GATAAGAATTAGCTGTCGCTTTGAAAGCGTTTTTTTGAAATTTTCAGCAATTATTTTGCAAGAGAATACTAAAAATGATGAAGTCGGCTACTTGAAAAACGCTTTTACAAGTATTACAACTTTAGGATTTCTCTTCAACAAATCTGGTTAAAAAGAAAAAAATGAAATTTTGAGATCAAAAAAACTCACCTTTTTGATCCCTTTGAAAATTCTATGTTTAATCATTTTTTATAAAATTCAAACCTGCCTAAAATGAATAATTTCAGAGGTCCCAATGCATACAAGAAGCTTGAGCGTATTTCACAAATCTTCATTACTCATTTTTGTCATCATCCTCAATTTTAAGACTTGAATTTCTATTTTTTTATAAAAAAAGAAAAAAAAAAAGAAAAAGTTGTCACAAAATTTGACCTGGTAGCCTTCTCGAACGCTGCTGATGACTAACCTTTGTGTTCCATTGTCTTCAAGTTTTTATTATCTTCTAAATCCGTTAATTAAACTTTCCGATCTCTCTGAATTCAAAATTTCCCCTCAGTTTCCCCAATTACCATCCGTTTTGTGTTGTAATTTCTGTAATCCATTTGTCAACGCGAGAGGCGACCTGGATTCATTAAATTTCCGTTGTCCCACATTGTCTCCAGCTTCTCATTGTTTTCTTCCGTTCCTTGCGCAACAAATAAAAAATCGCTCCCCCATTTGGGAATCGGACTGGACTCCCGGAATTAAGAGCGATTCTGTGACGACATTCTTGACTCGATTGTAACCTCCATATAAATTCGGTGACTCGCGTTCCAAAAACTTTTTCTGATTGTCTTTTTTGTTTTGTTCAGGGGTTTGTTTTTGGGGGTTTGGTTCTTTAAATTTTGAAATTGATCAAAATTTTGGCGGTGATGATAATTTTATTGAGGAAGTACTCCAAGTGCGACGCTCAGATTTTGATGAAACTTGGTAAAAATTTAGAATAATTTTTTCTAAGATATATGCGAGAATACTAGCTCGCGCTTTGCAGAAACAACCGGGATTTTTAGATCGAAAGTCGGCGAAAATTTAGGACTTTTTGCCGAATTTCGGCACGAAGATTTTCATGCCTATTTCTACCGGAAAGGATAATGTTTCTACAAAAAATCAAATTTTTCCGCACGGAACTGCCAAAGTTATGGCCAAAAAGCGTTTTTCTTTCTGACCGCTCTCCACGTTTAGCGTGCTCTCTCCAACAAACAAATCTCATATTGCATTTTTTCACATACTATTTGATGATAAAGCACCTGAAATATTTTTTTCATAGAAATTCCACGTTTAGCGTGCTCTCTCTGCGGCATAAATCGTCCGATATCTCGGCGGCGCCTGCAAAGCGCGAGCTAAAACTTTCAGGAATTGATATTTAGTCCATACCCGACGTGTGTGCAAAATTTAAAGAGAATCTGAGCGTCCCACTTGGAGTACCTCCCATGTCAGTTTGGGTTGGTGAGGTTTGAATTCTAACGCTGTTGATTGACATTTCTCAGGAAATCTTGTTCCAATCGCTCGATGCCCCTGTTTTAATGAGGCTTGGCATAAGCTGAGATCAGCGTCTCTTTGAAAACTCAGATTTTATTTAATATATACGTGGCACGTCAAGAAAAAATAAAAGAAAAACGGGCGCCCAATGAAAAAGCCTAGAATTTTTTTTGGCATTCTGCCCGGTGCAAATCCGTTTTAGTCCAAATGGTTTGCAATATTTAGACATAAAGATTAATAGTAAATCACAAGATATTGATATCAATAGAAAGCTCGAGAGCTGCTTAAGCTAATAGAACCAAAATATACCCGTAATCGTAGTATTTGACAGTTTTCCATGGCGAAGAATACAACGTCTAAATAAAAGTTTGTATCGACGATACCGACTCAGAGAGCTCTGGAAGGAGGTATAGGCTCCACGTCAAAAAAATCCTTAAACTGTTCTTCGAGTATCTACACCGGTCCCGTCCCGCTTGATGGGACAGTTTTTTTGATATTCGGCCTTGAAATTTGCACTATTTTTAGCCTAGCTCGAACCGTGTTCAAAAAATGCGTCACGATGACACCCATTCAGAATGTGTCAGTGGTATAAAAGACAGTTGTATACGACTAGTAGTACTCCCTAGAGCTCCCATAAAAAAAATTAAGTTAAACATTGTTGTTATCTGCAATTTGGATGACAGATTTTATGAATTTTTTTTCGCTGTGAGAACCTTTGCAATGCCCGAAATTTCTTGACGTGCGTGGGCCGGTGAGCTATTCACCAAATTCTCTTTGAAAAATCAAAAAAAAAATAATAAGAATTTTGGGTAATTTTTGGGCTAAAAATCCCAGTACTTCCTGAAAAGCGCGAGTTAAAAATTCCTTTCTTATACAGCAAGTCTTGATTTGTGTCTAGTTCTATAATATCAAAATCTGATCTTCGAATCCCGTGCGCTTTCGCTTTTATCAAAATTTTTATTCTCGGCAATTTTATATAAAGTAATGCTTTGATCGAATCTGCGAACCTCCAACTGTAAACTGCGTGAGCAATTTCGCTTTTCCTGTTTTCAAATTTGAAGTGACCGTAAAATTTCAAAAATCGTTTTTTAATCAAAAGGTAATATTTATAAGCAAAAACCGTGAACAGATTTCTGAACAGATCTGTGAATCAATTACGTAATGCATTACGCGTAATGAATTGTAAAAAATGTCTCGTCGACTTTTTACTAGCGCTTACTTCCTGCGGGAGATCCGGGTTATTCGGTTACTCGCTATAATATATGTACATCAGAGATCAGAAGGCATGGAGTTCCGGACTTTTTTGTGGTCTGTGCCCTTACTTTTGAACAATGTGGTGATTGCTTTGATGGCAATGACCTTGTAGCCGTTGGACTTCGATATTTCACGGAATATTTTACAAAAACATTAAAATTTTGGTTCAAGTATTGCTGGCTGCGAGTAGAAACATTAATCAATATCGAAGCAAAAATTTAGCCTCGAATTCATAAATTGCCGACTACAGAGTGGAGTACGGTCAAAGAGGAAACACTTTTGGCCATACCTCTGTGAACATATTATCGCATGGACAGAATGATTTTTTCCAAGGTGTTCTTTGCAACATAAGAAACAAACGTGCTGCCAATCTTTCAACTTTTGTCGCGCAGTGAAAAATATTTAATTTTCTTCGACCTTCCACCCAAAAAGGTCTGATCACAAACCAGACTTCTTCTGTGAGTTAACTGATGTTTTTTGCTCCACATTCCTGAAGCGTGCTTTGTAAGACGGCGCAGAATCAGATTGCGCAAAGCGAGATGAAATCAAAAAAATATGATAAAGGTAACCGGGTATATATAAATTTACTTTTTGACATAATGACCTGCATATTTGGGTTTCTTCGGCTTTTTACTGTAACAATATTCTTCCTTTTCCAACCGGATCCTTTCAAAGGCATCACTGAATGTATTTTTCCCAATAATTTGTCTGTTCCATCATTCTAGGCAGGATTTTCAGGCATATTGTATACGTTACACTCTCTTAAATTGCTGTTTGGATCTACTTCCAATACTGCTATTAGATTCGTATACAGCTTGGTAGTCGGTGTTTAATCGTCTACATATTACAATAAATTTTGTTATGTAAGCATTATGAGTCGGTATTATTGTTTTTAAGACGATGAAATCATTTTGATTTTATCGCTGATTTTACTGCGTTTGGGCGGGTGCAATGTCTGGCTGTGAATGTGGTTTATTACAGGTATTGACAGCTTTTTTTTGTACCGCAAATGTCATAAGATTGACCTGGGTGGCGAAGGTCGAATGTGATTACATTTTGTGGAATTTTTCATTAAAAATTTGGCGCTTTGAAGGTAATCCATTACCCCAGTGTTTTCCCAAACCTTGATCGAGTCAGGAGGTAAATTATTTATTCAAAATTTTAACTCACGCTTTTCAAACATTTGAATTTTCAACAAGTTGTGAATGAGAGAGATTAAGAAAAATGACGAGAGTCGGTTAGAGAAAGAATTTTTTCATAATGCCTTTCCGAATTTTGCGTTTATTCTAATTTTTTGTCGAGCTTTCGTTGATAGTTGAAAATTAAGACATCAAGTTTTTTTTTTCTCACATGCATTTTACTGTATCCAGCCAAAAATAATTTCTGGACTTTCACCGTTCATTGAACAGCCTTCAACTTAATTCCAAAAGTCTTCAATTGTAGTTGTTATTCCCTTATTTGTCACACTTGTCATGAGTTTGCTCTCAACCGAATCGGTGATCTCATCAGCCAGTATCTACAGTAGTAAATACTCGATTTATTGATCGTTTGTCGAATAGATGTGGGCAGATTTGTTGGGAATATTACACCTTTCCGTCTTTGTCTCCAGAACTGGAATGGTCTGTTACACCTTTGTTTTTTTGTTCGACGCGCTTCAGGAAAGTGATGTTTTCTTCGGGAATTTTTATTTTTCAACTTGTTAAATACTTTCTCAGTCCTTCGTGGTCACAAACTTTCTTTTTTGAACCAAAAATTACTGGGAAGATTCTGCCCTTTGAATGGGGTTTCAATATTGTAATATTGTAAGGTGGGGTTTATTTTGTGAATAGTCTGTGGTAATTAAAAGGATGTGTAACAATTCTCTTAATGAATCTGGATTCCAGTGAAAGGTCTAGCCGGTTCCATCAGTCTCCGTATGCTAAATTTTGATATTTACAGAAATTTCGAAGGTTTTTCGAAAAATAGTTTTGGCACATATTATTCGTTAAAAATTTCTTGAAAAACCCTTAATGTTTAAACCGTTCTCCCATCCCAGCCATGGGTTTTAAAACTCTCCTCGTGATCTTTATTAATTTATATTTGTGTCCGTATCACTGTTGACATGTCTTGATTTTTTTATTTTTGTTTTAAGTTTGAGTTGATGCCTTTACACTGACCTATTATCAGTTTTCATCTTTTTACCGCGGTTTCAAGCTACTGTAATTTCTTATTCCTTCTTATTTCTAAATACAAATTTTTGCTCTCCAGACATGGATAAACCATATAAGCCGGATGGGTCATCGCTGAGTAGCGGCAGTGATAACAGTGTGATCAGCGCCGACTCCCCCACGGGCGCCCCAGTTCTCCGGTTTATGCACAAAGCCTATGGGGCTCTTGGAGCATTCATCGCTCGGCATGCCGTGGCCACGATTGTCATCACAACAATTATGACAATAGTTTTTGGACTTGTCACTTTGAACACAAAGTGCGTAATCTTCGATTTCTAGGAAACTTTTTGCTCACTAAATATCTAAAAACATCATTTTACTGTAAAAGTTAATTGTTTACAGGAAGGAGAGCGATCTTCTTGCATATGCTCCGAATGGCGCCCGAAGTCGAGAAGAATACAATATCTATCAAGAGTTCTTCGATAATCATGGCCAAGGCATCACAATGTTCATCTTGATCACGCCCAAGGATAATGGGACAATGATTAGAAATGAGTATTTAAATGCGAGTGTTCAAGTGTTGGATACGATTTATGGAAAGTTCAAAATGCCCTCAAAGGATGGGAAGAAGCTCGAGACGTTTCCGGAATTTTGCATGGGATTCTGTCAGCTGAACGAACCGGTTCGACAGTTTTATGTGAGTTTTCGGGCATAATTTGCAAGAATGGGCCAGATGAGATCCCTTGTGTTCTGTGGTGCTGTAACTGCAAGAATGGGTGAATATTACTGCGGTAGCTGATTATGACGGAAATTCTCGTAGATTTGTGTTTATTCCATAAAAGTAACCGGCTTGATAAAACTATAGAAACGACTTCAAAGTGTAGAGAATACATAGTAAATGTTTACCGAACCTTGCAAAGAGGTTGTTGCTCACTCATTGGGAAATATTTATTAGCTGTAGTTTACTGATCTCTATTTGTCATCAGTTCAGAAATCAAAAAATGTATTTTTGTCAGCATGACAAGCTACGGTTCTTTTTAAAAAACGTACATCTTCGTTTCTCAAAAGGCCAAACCGTATTTTACAATAACACAGAGTGCTTTTAAAAGCCAGTAAATTAAATATATACTTTGCTTTTCAGAATGGCTTCCAAATTCAAAACGCCCTTCAGTCCAAGAACCAAGTGCTAAATCCGCGAGTAAATCTGAGCTATCCAATAACATCTATGTTCAACCGCAAATTCACAATACAAGCCAACTTCTTTGGAGTTGAAACCTTCGATTTGGAGCACATGGAGATGTTTTATGAAAAGAAACAGCCTCTAATATCCAATTTGAAGAACGTTTCTTTGATCGTTTTACAAGTCAGAGCTGAGAGAAAAGCCTGGTGGAGCGATGAAGATATTGTGAGATATGAAACGGATATCCCGAAGTTTTTCAAACAGTAAGTTGACACATTCAATGCAGTATAAAATTGTAAAATACTCAAAATTAAATCCTAACTTTAGAGAGTTCAACTCCTCATTAATTAAAGTCCTTGCAATGTCCCCAAGTTATGTTGGAAAGGAAGTTGAGCGCGCTGGAATGAGTCTACAGCCGTTAATCGCTGTTGGATTCTTGATCATGACGTCATTTACCGTAGTAACAACGATTATGTCATCACTTTTTGTCCAACAATACAACTGGCATAAAATTACGCTGGCTGTTACGGCCTGTGTGGTGCCACTGATGTCTGTATCCACAGCTTTCGGAATGCTCTTTTCGATCGGTGTTAGATTCGGGCCGATCCTAGCTGTCACTCCGTTGTTGATTCTGGCTATTGGTAAGTTGTCTGCAGTTGTCGCAAGGAGTGATCTATGCAGCCAAGTTTTTTCTTTCTTTATGAAGCCAGAATTTTGATAGTTTTTGTAGGCACTGGCCATAAAATTTCATAAAATTCTCATCAAAATCTGTGCGTTGCTGCTTTGAAATTTCCCCTTTAAACCAATCGTAAATTCTTCAGGTGTTGACGACTCCTTCTTGATGCTGCATGCTTGGCAACGAGTTGTAACTCGAGTCCGCGAAAAGACCAGTGTTGCCAACGACTCCATCGAAAAGAGAATTAGCATGGTATGTTCCTATAGCAAGTAATTCCATAAAGAATTCGTAACATTCTTCTATACCGTTCCCGAATCTGTTTATTATATTATACATATTTTAGGTAGTGGCCGAGACCGGCGCTTCGATCACTTTGAGTGCGGTCACCAACATTTTTGCCTTTACCGTGGGAGCATTAACTTCTCCACCGGAGATTCAGCTGTTCTCCATTGTAAATGCCTTTGCTCTTTTCGTTGATACCGCTTATTCCTTTACATTATACGCCGCAATCATGGCAGTTTGTGGGAAAATGGAGATGAGAGAAGAGAACGATAATTACAGCAGACCGTCAAAGTTTCAGGAAAAGGTTAAGAAGATATTCTACACCGTCATCGACTGGTACATCAATATTCTCGGAAAGATTTGGATTATTGTTCCAGTATTGACGCTCCTGATTGGCTATTGGGGAATTAGTGCCTATGTGAGTTGAATCTTTTGTAAGGGATTGGCCTAATGCAGGCATTATTCGAAAGAAATTCGACCCTCGCGCATCGCTTTGCGCACAACTTTTCTATTTTTGGATTTCCTGTCAATCGATTTCAGGGTGCCCTAAACATGGGAATTGATCTCAGCTCGGAGAAATTCTTCCTCAAAGACTCGGATCTCCTCGAAGTAAGTGTAAAATACGCTTTGTAGTTTTATGATAGATAGTATATAAATACATAAAACATTATCTTTCAGGCGGACAAACTGAAGCAAAAGTTTGTGATTCCCCATTTTACTGCTCCGGCGATTTTCGTAAACAACCCCGGAAATCTGAGCGATATAAACCGGGTAAATCGCCTGGAAAGTTTGGTCAAACACATTGAGTCAATGCCTGAGGCGATTGGCGAAGATTCCACAAAGTTCTTCTTGAGAGATTACGCGGATTATGTGGCGGCCTTTAGTGATCCTGATTTCTTTGAGGAATCTCATGGGGATCTGGCCAAGGATGAGGAAAACAACTGGAAATTTGATGCTGATTTATTGGAGAATTTCTTGGCATGGCCTGAATATTCGTATTGGGGAGGTTTTATGAAGAGGAATACGAATACGACGTAAGAGCGGATTATTTTAGAAATTTTGGCATGCCTTAACTTTTCAAGCCAAAACTTTGCTATGTATAAGCCAAGTACTAAGTTCTGAAAATTGTGGCTCGTATTTGGATAGCACAATCGATATATTCAAACGTATTTAAAAAAAAACTCCACTCCAAAATATTACAATTGGAAGTGTAAAACTACGCCTTTTTTCAGAGACGATCAGCTGATTTCCAAGTTCTTTTTGACCACCGGATTTCACGGTGAGCGCCTGAAGCATTGGTCGCAACGCCACTCGTTATTGGACGACTGGAGAAAGAGTGTGGATGCTTTCCCGTAAGTCACCATTCTCTTACACGGCACCTTCCACATTTGGTCATACGTTCATTCAAATAAACCAACATTTTAGTGAATTCAACGTTTCCATTTTCTACGACGACGCCCTTTTCCTCGACCTGGTCGAGGTGCTCCCATCATGCACTTGGCAAAGTGTTGTGGCCACATTAATTTGCATGGCGTTCGTTTGTTTTGTATTTTTCGTTGACTCATTTACCGTGTCGATGGCCACAATGGCGATCTTTTCGATTTGTTTGGGAGAGATTGGATTCCTGCATTTCTATGGTATAACTTTGGATCCAATTCTAATGGCGGCGCTTATAATGTCCATAGGGTTTTCGGTGGATATCCCGTGCCATATTTGTCATCATTATTATAAAACAAGTGAGTTGTAGTGTCATTCAAAGATAGAATCAGCTCTTTTTATAACATTTACAAAAGAAATTTTATTCTTAATATAAGGAGTTTGTTGCCTGGAGGTTATTTGGCCAAAACTGACACTTGGGACTTCTGAAATGATTTGTTATAGATAGGCCTTGTTGTAGAGGTGTTTATCGTGCCTAGGGGAGGCTGTATTTTTCTCAAATTCATATCCCTTCTCTTGCAACGCAAAACCAAAGTTTTCAGAGTTCGAAGAGCAGATCTACGACAATGAGAAGACCGTGGTTTACAACCGTCTGAAGCACACCTTAAGTGCCGTCGGATTCCCCGTGATGCAAGCCGGAATCTCCACAAATCTCTGTGTTTTATGCTTCCTGGCTGTTCCAATTTACATGGGCGAAGTCTTCGTTCTCTGCATGTTACTCTGTATTACCCTGGGCATTCTGCACGGCCTTTTAATCCTACCGGTCATCTTCCATCTACAGGCGAAGATTAATGTGTGGAGAGGGAAAAAGTAGACGGATAGTGGATGTTGTATATTCTGATTACACATTTTTTGTTAACGAATAATTTTATTTATTAGATTTTACAGTCACTACAAGCTATATTGATCTCTGGTTATTGTTTGGAAAATAATATGTATATAATTATTATTTATAAAAAAATATCGTCGTATTGTAATAATCTTATCTAAACGAGTAAACAAATAGACCCGGTCGAAGAAAGTGAAAATTACATTCAAAACAAAAAAATTATTTTTTTACGGTGGAACACTGTATGTATCTCAGGGGACCCAATAATTCGTCTTGCTATAATATATAGGGATTTCGCTATATAGAGACTCCCTATGTATATATATAAACTATAGATTCTTGGGCAAATTCTTCGTCGACTTAAATTTTTACTTTGTTTTTGATGACATTTCTGCTATTTATAACATTTTCCCCATTACCCCGTCAAAAATAATATACCCATTAATTACAGGTGTTTGCCGCCTTTTCTTCAACCCCTCTTGCGAAATGCATTATAAAGTCGTAGTCCCGGTTGTCCCGGTAACTCGGGGCAACCCTCAGGATTCTTTCGTAAAATCTGGTTTTTGGAGGGAATCGTGGCGTTTTCCCCCCGTCCCTCAACCCTCGTCAATCTCAATGTTAATATGAATGCGGTTTTTTGTTGGTGTTGTCAAGCCAAACGAAGGAATTTATTTCGGATTTTGGGACATTTTTTTCGGGGTTTTGATTGTTTTATTTGGACGGAATTGGGTGCGTGTGGGCTTGGGAGATTTTGGGAATAAAAAATGTTGGCTTTCTTGATGATTTTTACCCTGTTGCAAAAAAAGATCGTTGTATATCTCGAAGGATTGAAGCAAAATATTTCAAGAATTGACATGTGATCTATGTAAGTTACGCATGCAAAATTCAAGCATACCTGACAATGAGGGCAAAAAATGCCTAATTTTCCGAATTTTTGATGACAGTTATTTGGACTTCTTCAAAAAATTTAAAAAATGCGCCACTGACCTCTCAAAGAAACATTTTTTTTGTTTTTCCGAACTCTTGTTTATTTCAAGTACTGCATAACATCACAATTTATTCTAAATCCTTGTTTTTTCAGTTTTTTCGAACGCTTCAAAAATAAACAAAAAATTAAAATTCCCAAAAATATATTATACTTGAGAGTGGACTCGGAAGCGTTTTGGAATCAGAGCTGACCAAAAATGGAAAATAAATGTCCGAAATGTTTTCCCCGGAGGGCCTGCGGGCATTCATAAAGCGACCAAAATGGGGGTTTTTCGTCGCATTTTGAGTCGCCAAATCTTTGGGCCGTCAAAAATGAAACAAGTTTCGCTTTTTTTGGGTCTATTGATTCGATTTGTATCTCACAATTAGAATAAAGTGGTATTACAATCAAAGATCAAGAATGTGACCTCAACGTGTCAGTTCCTTGTTGAAATCCTCATTAATTTTGCATTCGTTTCTTTTGTTTCAATTCTTTTCGCGGCCGAACACTTCAATTTGGCAAAACTGTGGGCCTAAAAGGTCATAGTACAGTTTGTACAACCTTGAACTTACTGCAGATTGCTGTTCCTACATTTTTACAGGCCTTGACATCCGTGGATCTCATCAATCTTTCTTTTTTTTGCTTTGTCTTTTTGTTTCTCTTCACAGCGACAAATCTTTGCCAAATTGTCAATTTTGATTTATTGTTGAAAGTCTAGGGATTTTACAGAAGGAATTCTTCAAAGTTGTAAAAATTTGATGCATAAATTTAAACTGTTAGCCCATGATTTAAATTAAGATTTGTAGGACACCTACAAAAAACTGATTTTTTCTAAATTAACCGCTTGCTACTCTTTTGCCCCTCATTTTGCAACAAAAACTTTTGTAAGTCAAATGATCGAGTCGAAGGAGTATAAGTCAGGTCTCCTCAAGTTACCTCCTCCTCTTCTTTCTGCAGTCTGAAACAAGTCCTCGGGTTGATGACGAGGTTGGCTATTGTTTTCCAATTTTCCGGATCAACTTTTTTATTCGTTTAATTTAATCAAGGTTTTAGAATCTAGCGTCTTTATAAAAGTTACAGTATTTCTCATCATGTTTCCGTATTTTATCCAATAATTCCGCCAAGGCCACCCAGACCTCCCAATCCGCCCTGACCTCCAAGCCCTCCCAATCCTCCTCCATTTGGCACTCCTCCAAGTCCTCCAGCTCCGGGGATTCCAAGGCCGGGGACGATTCCCCCGCCTCCAATAATTCCGTTCTGCCCGCCGGTACATAAACCACAAGTTAGGGGGCAATATCGTTGCAAACATTGAGAATAATAAGAGTAAGGGGAGAGGCACATACTGAGGTACATGTAACAGCCAGGAAGATAGTCCATACAGTCTGAAATGCTCAAAATGTTTGGCTTGGGATTTTCGGATTTAAAAAAACTTGAAATTTGACAAGATACTAATACAAAAATTTGTTGGTGGTTCCTTTTTTTTAATTCTAAGAATCGTAAAAATTTTTTGATTACAAAACAAACTTTTTTTGAGGTTTTTCTATACCCGAGACTCACATGCATTCCCACCGATGCCATAGCCATAACTAGCATAGTTTCTCGAGTTCAGCAGGTTGCCCAGGTTGAGTAAAACACTTTGCAAGGCTTGGCCAATTCCCAAGATAAGGTTCTGCAGACCTCCCAATAATCCACCAAGAAGTCCGCCGTTTTGATTGTAATAGTTGGGGTACCCAACCATTCCAACAAATCCTCCGCCGTAACAGTCGTAGCAGTACCCAGAGTAACCTCCGCCGCAGTAATAGTTGGAACAGCCTGAAACCAAAAGATCGCACCGAGAATTTTGATTTTTTTTTTTTGATTTTGGTAACTCTTAGCGTAAATTTACTACAGAACTTTCCATGGCCTATATTTTGAGCTTTTCAGAAATTACAAGCATTTTTAGGCCAATGATTTTTTTCATTTTCAATTTGAAAGACACTGCACGAAATTTCATGGAAATCGAAAAATAAAAAATCTTATTTTTCGATTATCTTTTATTTGTAGTCTTACCCGCCTGTCCTCCACTTCCATACTGCGGGGAATTAAAGTACCCTTCATACTGCTGCGGATAGGCATATTGGCCTTGCTGAGCTTGGCAAAATCCACAGGAAGCTTGGCAATTTGTCCGCATATATTGCTGATAGCTAGGATCTTGGCAATAGCCCGTGTATAAATAACATTGGAACTGCTGGTCTTGGCAAGCACTTGCTAATAACACATTGATAGAGAATAAGGTGAGAAATTGCAGTAGACTCCCCATTTTCGAGAAAAAATCAGGGTATTTTGGATTAAACTTAGGCTAGTTCCAAATGATGGAATCTGTTGCCCAAAAAGAGACAACAAAACTGATTTGAAACGTGTTTTCAAATGTTTTACAAGTATTTTTGTATTTTTGATATTCCAGCAATGTTTGTTCAGCTGCGATCCGCCATTGTCTTAATTTTTAGTTTGATTTTTTTGGTTTCAGTGTCAGAATTTGGCCTCATGACTTTGCAAAAAGAAGACCACGCAATCTGACTTTAAACTTGATCTTACTGTAAGGATTACAAAACAGCGCAGAAAATTTAACCTTATTTATTACAATCATGCGGATACGACTGGTTACTATGGTGATACATACCAAGTAACCTGATATAGAGCTTTGCACGCAACCTCTAAAATTGCCTCATTTTGACCGTGAGGCCGTTTTACTTCCGAGCCATTTTAAGGGTCTGTATAGGGGTTCTGACTAGTTAAAGAATTCCCCAAGTAGGCTACCTCCTTTGACAATACGATTCCAACTGTAGCTTCCGCCTTTAGAAGCCTCAATATACTCTGCTTGATACATGATCGTTCCTCCAAGTGAACTGCAATTAGAATACGCTCATCAATCAGCCCTCAGAGCCCATTGCCCCGGATTCCAAGTTCTTTTCCCTCAATGGGATTGCGTCAAATCAAAAGAAGACATTCATTCTTTTTTTGGTGTTCGAGTGCCGCATTTCCAAGGTCGGCGGACGGAAATTCGACTGAATTTATTTACAAGAACCGTCGAGAATGCGGGAACTTGAATACTTCAGTGGTATGGGCGGTTGCTTGAACCGGCGCACTTGAAAATGTTTTCCTGTTTGATATAATCATTGCTCATGAGCTTGTAGGAAATGAAGTGTTCATGATAAAAAACATTTTAGGGAAGGAGATATTTGGAAGCATTTGGAATGGTTCCTTGGGGCGCCTTTGGCCACAGGATCCTGTCCCCTACCGTATCAAAAGTTGTGAGCCACCTTTATAGTCAGACCCTATGCTCTCTAGAATAGCTGTTCTCAATTTGTACTCCTGTCCTTGTACTTGCACTTCATCAAAATCTGGTTCATCTCCGTACCGATTATCTTTTATAATAGCTCTTCCAAAATATAAATGAAATTTTAGCATGGACTTGATCCAAATTTCAATTTTTTAAAGGGTCCTTTGTCTTTCAGTTCAATTTTTAATTTCATTGATCTTTTCTTCGTACTCCTCAAAATTCCGATCATCTTCGATACCAGGTAAAACTCTCTTGTATATCCTTTTCCTCTGTAATTATCGGTTTCGCAACCCTCGACCTGGAAACGCGAAAATAAAATGTTCTCCCGACGCCTCTTGTAATACATTTACGTGTTTACAGAATACAGTTAATGGTTCTTGAAGGGGTCGGGAGGAAAAAAGAGGGAGGCTCCCTTGGGCAAACATAATCGCGTTTACAGAAATTATCCCCAAAAATTATCCGATTCACGCAGAGGGGAATTAAGGAACTCGAGTGGATGGATGGTTACGGGTCAAGCGAGTTCATGGAGACGGGGAAATAAAGTGCATAGGGCGACGGGATCATGGGTGATTATTAGGGTAAAAATTAAACTCTATATTCTTGCTGAAAAGAGGTAATCGAACGATCATTCTGATAGTTATATCTGTCTGTCGGGAAAAATAGTGTGGATATGTATCGCCTTGGATTCGTCAGTCATCACATTGCGGCAGTTAGCCTTTGCTAGGAGAGCTTCATCGGACCCAAAACTACCCTTCGTCAGGGTATCACCTTTTCATTTCTAGAATCCCTAAGCAGATCTCGCAAAATTTTTAGTCAAAGTAATCTAATTTAAACTCTTAAAACACTTCGTTTCATATTACCTACAACAGATCTCAGCCATTTTTAGTTCTCATCCTTTTGTCGCCCCTTAAAACCTTCGTATCTAGCCTTTACCTTCCACTTTAGTAACAGTTCCAATCTCCCCTCCCACCTATCAAATTACTCCCTCAATTAGCACCTCTTCTCCCACTGCTCTTTACCTGAGGTCAAGCTGAGTAATACTCGTCTCTTCTTCGTCTTTTGTTATAACCCACCTCGTTTTCATAACTTTACTTTTTCCCTCGAGACGTTTTTCATGTTCGAAATTTGAGCGCGGTCCGATCTTGATCCATCTTTTGCGTCGTGCATAAGCCGAAAAATGGACAAAACTTTATGCATTCTTTTGGGTTGGGCGTTTGTTTTCAGCTATACCCTGAGGGCTTAAGCAGAAAAATTTTGGGATTTTATTGGAATTCTCTTCCTATAGATCTTTATGAGATTTTTTAACAAATTTTATGGAAAAATTTGACTTGATGACATATTTTTTGGCAAGTAATTTGTTTTGATTTTATTGTAAATTTAAAAAAGTCTTGTTTTGACCCTAAGTTTAAGGTGTTTTAATCCCTATTTTTCGCTGTTTGCCCAAAAGAATCGTGATTTCACTCCTTTTGAATTCCATTTTTGATTACAAAATATCTTAATCACTTGTTTCCTCTTTTGTAAAGCCCAATGTGAATCATTTCTTTTCGTTCCGTTATTTCGAACATTCCCTGGAGGTTTTCTTATTTGTTTAAGATATCATTAATTGAAATTACATGGCCTTCCGGGCTGATTTTTAAATTTATTAAATTCCATAAAAATGGTGATTGGGAACGATTTTTGGAATAAAAAAAACTTGTCTGTGTTGATACGGTCTAAGTAAGAGACGCTTGTTTTTGCTTATTTCTCATTTTATGAATTTTAATTCTATTTTTTTCAAGCTGAATCACAAAGATGCGGCCAAAAATCCTTTTTTATCTACCGTCTCCTCTTATTTCTGCATAGTTTATGGCCTAAAAAACTCGTCGAATATCTCGGCTGTGCTTGCAAATTAGGAGGTACATTTTTCAGCCATTGTTACATGGCCTAGACTGAACATGTAAGCAAAATTTGGAGAAAATCTGAGTGTCACACCTTGAGAAAACTCTCGTTCAATTCAAACCGTTTAAAAAAATAAAAAAAAAATCGCCTAGATTCCTTAAAGTCTCCCAGCGTTTACCCCTTACTCTCAACTCCCCTCCGAGCACCCCGGTTATCCACGTCAATCAGGTGGAATACTTGAGCGACGCAATTATTTCCGCAGGCGGAAGGGGGAAAACAAGAAGATGAAAATCTCGTTTTTCACCTGAAGCAAAGAAAAAAACTTGAGTATTGTCTTATTCCACCCCAACTCTTTTTTCATTCCTTTACGCCTCAATAAATCTGCCTTCTTACTGAGATTTCCAAGACACTAAACTTACTAATGGTCACAAAAGGGTGGAATAAAAGGGGGAATAAGCGGGCGATTTTTTTGAAGTGTTTTTATACGGCTTGCGACGAATTTTTGTAAAGCTTACAATAAGTTTCGTCTCGTATTTTACTTGTTTTGGATTATTATTGCACCTTACATCATCATGGGTAATATAAAGTAATTTTTCAAATATAATATTTTTGCAAAACATGGCATGATTTTGAGCTAAACATTTCTAAAATTTAGTATCCTAAAGCGTTTTTTTTCAAAATCCGTCACCAGTTTTCGGAAATTTTACTCAAAGTTTACACTTCCATGTACAGCATAAAAAACGAATTTTCTCTTAAATTTTCGAATTTGAACTAAATTAAGCTTCCCCTCCACCCCGTTGTGACCTTCAATTTACAGTAAAATGTTCCTAACACCCCCGTTTAACTCTATACTTTAGCTATGACCGAAACTTTGGATTTTGACACATCCGAAGAGGCGATTATCTCCCCCAAAAAAGTCAGGGTATTGTGATCGAATCCAATGTTGTTTTATCCAGTCACTTCATTCCCTTCCGTTTCCGTTCGCTTTCCTTTTCATTGTCATTATTTTGGGCGCGAATTCTCAATTTTTAGCAGATACCCATCAAGGATAATATAATTTATATAATTTTAGGCCGATAAGTACAAAATTAGTGTGGAATACAATCTCAAAAGAGTGGAGAGTGCCATTGTCGACGTGTTTATGGCCCAGCTTCAAACAAAACGGGTCTACTGTAATATAAGTCAACTTTCGTAAACCTTATCAGTGAATGAGCTACCTCCGACAGGTAAGATCTCTAAAATTATTGGTCACAAAACATTCAATTTATCTATGAACCAACCTCAGTTTACATCAACTTCTCTTCTTCCAAAATTTCGTCGAATACGCCAAGATTTTCTCAAAATTTTGTAATAATGACGTATTTTTTGGATGGTTCCTCGGATTTCCAAACTTTTTCTTTTTTTTCAATCCCTTTTTGCAAATATTTGCGGATCAAGCTCGCCTCTTCTCCTTTATTTGGCCATAGCCGTATCTCGAGACCTGTTTTCGGGAATCGGAAACCTTTTCCGCCCATCCAATTTCGAAATTTTCCTTCCGAAGCGCTGATTCTGACGGATTTCGTTGTTTCTATTGACTTTTACTACCTGAACTGCGTCATGGAGGTGCCGCAGATCGTACTTGACCATGAAGATGAGGTAAATTGGGGATTCGGTTTTTAGTTTTATGGTTTTTAATGGGTTTGGACCTTATTTTACGTAGGTGTTTGATAAACTTGGTGCCTAAATTATGGTTTTTTGCTGAAATTGTCGACGAATATGGGTAAAATAAAAATATAGCAAGAATATGTGCTTGTCTTTCTGTAGATGTCTTTCTTCTTTCAAATTCTCCCTCAATTCGATAAATTAAAATAAAACGGATGTTATCCATTATTAACCTGAATATTTGTTTTCAGGAGCGGATCCGGAGTGCATTCAGGCCGCCGAGTCCGATGGGTCTTGAAGCCGGTTCAGCGAGTTCGACGGCGGTGGCGTCGCGACTGTTCGCCCGTTCGCGGAAGAATTCGTATTCCTCGGAGCCGGAGCTCATCCAGATCGATGGAAGTGCCAGCGATCCCGCCGATCCGATGGGGAGTATGGCGATTGAGGTGAGTGGTTTTGAGATATTCGAGGATTCTGAAGCTTTAGGAAAGAGAAGGGGTCATATCTCGAAGATTTGTATTCTACTTAAGGGATGGAGCTAATATAATATGGAAGAGTGCGAATCATTTGTTTTTTCTATAAGAAGGGTTTACAACCTCTCCAGCGGTATTCTGGAACCTTCAAAGGCAACAGATCCTAATTTAGGTTAGAATGCCATTTTTTATGTTATACCTGATTGATTTATACTGCGAACTTTTCTCATGGTAGCTAGTGTAATCCCAGCGATATTCCCTTGAAGTCATTGTTTTCTTACACAAGCATTACACTCTTTGAAAAGCTTCAAGTGGATGTATATTATCATAAATTATGCAAATGAGCTAATGCCAAAATTTGACCGCCGGCAGATTAATCATTCCGCAAATTACCTCGAGCGCACTTCTCTGTGGATTTCCCTCTCTTTTTATGATACCCGTCAATTGTGGCGTTAGATTTATATCTTCACCCATCAAGGAGAAGAAAAAAAAGTATTTGTGAGGGATAGGCGTGGAAAGCTGGGGTTTATTTCGGTTCGAAAAGTTCGAAGAGATAAGGAAAACAGCGTTCACTCGGTTTTTGTGTGGATCTGACATTTGGTTTATGAGTCATGTGTCAAATCTCAAGGCCGTAATCAAAGCGGCCGAAAACGAATTAATTAAAGCGGCTCTCGGAGGTGATTCCATAACAAATGACGTGGAGATTTATGCCCTCTTTTTGTCATTCTCTGGCTCGTCTTTATGTCATGAGAATTTTCTTTCATCTCCAACTGGGATGGGCTGGATTTTAGGAGGTTGTTTCAAAAAAAAAAAAAAAAAAAATCATTTTGGTACCTGGTACAATATAATTCCAAAAATTTTTTGTTGGATGATGGCTTAATTCCTATTCGAAATAAAAGAGTATGCTCTAAAATAATCTTTACTTCTGTTTTTACCCACCTTTCTGTGGTAAAACTCCTTTATTTTGCCTCGTTATTTATCACCACCCACATTTTCACTTTCTGGAATGAATAATTTCCCCTTGAGGTCAAAAAATCGTCCGTTTTATGATTCGTTCTGCCTGCGGAGTCTTACGTATCGCCTCCCATAAACGGAAGGGATTCCCTCTCGCCCCCTCCGCTCCAATTTTCTCGCCCCTCTTCATCTACCTGAGCAGCTTTTTATAACGAAAGCCAGGTACATGAGACTCCCAGAGAGAGCGCTTGCCCTAAAGAGAGAGCGCCAGGGATCGAGAAACGAGCGAGGCTTTGTTTTAAAAGTGCGCGATTCGAAAAATAAAATTTTTTGGAGCGCTTTGTCGAGACTGGTCAAGTGTCAAAAAGCGGTTTTAAACGGTGTTGGATTAGGCGGAAGGGAGGGCGACCAGTATTGTTTTTTGAAATTTTAATGAGAGGATATGTTTGGCAGAGAGTAATCGGGGATTTATTGAGCAAAAAAGGAAGTGGAGCTTTATGAAATTTTGGTAAAATACGCCTCACTTCTCTTTTTTGGTAGTAAATCGAGTTTTGAAGGGTTTATTTGATAAATTCTAGCGTGTTATGGAAGTAGGCGCAATATTTTTGCTGTAAAAACAACGTAACTGAATCATAACCGACTTTTTTCGACTTTACTCTCCGTATTTTCGACGTTTCTGCTCGTTACGGAGGGTATTTAACTCGAGGGTTAATGGTTGGAGGCTGTTTATGAGGTTCCAAGGAGTCTGTGAGATTATACAGTGGGTTAAAGGAAAAATGAAGCTTTTTGGATGGTAAGAAGTGCCGGGTACGATAGTAAAAGATGACAAGTTTCTTTTAGCTGTAACTCCACAGATGGTTGATTGTTTTTCTATGGATAACGAAAAACTATCAACTCGCTGTTGTTTTATAGCTAATAGAAACTTGGCATCTTTTACTATCTTACCCTGTATTGTTCAAGAGACAAAGTGCCGTGTTTTACCCGTCAAAAGGCATAATTCTTCTTTTTAAAACCAACTTTGCAGTCTGATTGACTCTTCGGATCATATAAGGAGGCTTCAACCGTTTACCCTTGGATCAATACCTTTTCCAGAATTTTTGTATCTTCCGTTGTTGAAAATTGCGTTTCTATAACAAAGTTCATCATAAAATTCTTATTGTTCTTTCATCTACAAATTAATATCACTTCTTTTTTTTCTCAAAATCGATTGGAATTCCCTGAGGGAAAATGGTTGCATGCCTCCGAAACTAATTTATCAAACGATTTGCTCGGAATTTTTTGTACGAAATTTGGGAAAAGGTGTGTTCCAACCATTCTTTTTTGAATCGCCTCGGGGGAAAACGGAGAAATTTAAAAAAATCCGAAAAAATCGGCTGGATTTATGGAGAAATGCGGAGATTTTTCTGTTTGACGCTACTTTTTATAACGTTTTCCGGTGCTTCCGAAACTGGGATTGTTTTAAAGTGGCGATTTTTATTGGAATTTTGTCTAGTTTGGCGTTAAGATGAGTTATTTTATATTATACTTGACCATAATACATAAAGTAATATATATGTGGTCCGAAAATCGGATTATGAAACGATTTCCCACATAAATATGTCTTCCCAATCACATTTTCACCACATTTTCTGCTCGAAATTTGTTTGAACTTATTTCTCGTTCGTTCAAAACAGTTGGATAGTCTTTTTTTCGTCTATCCCCACTTGAAAAGTTTTTCGAAAATCGTGTCGAACGGGTTTTTGACGATGTTTTGATCCGAAGTAGCAGTTTTCCTTGACTTGTCAATCGATTTGGCCAAATTTATGGCAAATTATGAGAAATTCCAATTTTTTGATTTGATTTGCTTCGGTTTCTGATGTTCTTGTCTAAGTTTCGGTCGATTATTAGTCTGTAAAATCGTTTGAGTTTGATTTGTTTTTGTTTACAAATAGAAATTTACAGGTGTTGGGTGGAATTCGATTTGAAGGCAAGCTTGGGTATTAATTCATCTCAAATAGGATGATTCTAGATGAAGAAGAAGTTGATCAGGTATTAAAAATTAAATATTGACGGGCAGAGAAGGTGGTATTAGCAGTGTAATTTATTTTTATGGTGGCTAAAATACAGCAAAGATTAGTAAATTACATAGACAATCGATTTTTTTGGGGATTTTTTTAATGAAATTAGTTATAATTGACCCTAATTTTCCAATTTCAGCTGAGTTCCCTATCAAAACGGTTGTCGGAATGCCAAGAAGAGAAGAGTCTCCTCAATGAGGAGCGAACCCGCCTCAGGGCAGACAATAATATGCTCCAGGAACGCATCCACAGCCTCGAAGATCAGTTCGCGACGGCCGAATCCCACTTCGAACAACGACTGGAGTCGGAAAAACAACGGGCCAAAGAAGCGATTCAACGGGCGGAAAGGGAGAAACAATTGGAATTGGAGAATCTGCAGTACAGAAAACAAGTCCTGGAAAGGGATTTGGAGAATGCGAGGAAGGAATGCAAGAGGATACAGGAAGAAAACGATGATTGGCAGAGCAGATTCTCAAAACAGCAGAATGAATTGGAAGAGTACAAAAGGTTGAGTGAGGAACTCGAAAAGGAAAAGAAATTGCTCAGAGCACAGTTTGAAACGTAAGCAGTTACTTTGATATCAATTTTGGGGGATTACTGATCATTTTAGTTTGAAAAAGTTGGACCTTGTACATGACGAAGCCATTTTTTTAATTTTTTTTTGTTTTTTGATTGAAGGCTAGATTACAGATGTTGTATTTTTGGGTATGATGTTTTGAAAGGAGTGTCTTTCTTCTAGGAAATTGATTTGTAATTGGAGTTTTGTTTTGGAAATATTATTCTTCAGGGATTTTCATACATTGATTTTAATTTTTTTAAATCTTGTTTTTTTAGATATCGAAAAGAAGCAGAAGAAGAGCTTCAAGTTCATCAGGATCACCTGGATCAGCTGTCTCAACAAACCGACGAATTACGGGAAATGCACAGCGGAACGAGGCAACGACATGGATCAGTGGACTTGGTAAGTGAATTGAGGTCATTATAAAGCTATTGAATTTATTTTTGAGGTCAATTTGGACGAGAAATTTTATTAAATTTGCTATTGATGTCACTATTTTAGATCCAAGAGCTCGAAATGCGATGTGAATCGTTAAAACACGAAAATAAAGAGCTCCGCGAGTCCAATGAAGAACTAAAAGCCCAAATCTTAACGCAATCAGTGCAATCTGGACAAATGTTGCTGGCAAACGGACCGTCGTTGGCCGCGGAATTGAGTGGAATGGACTCGGATGAGGTCGGTAGACTGGGAGCGAGCCCGGATTCAACTCACGAAGCACTTCGGGTCGAGAAACAAGAGGTCTTTTTTCGTTTTTTTCTTCGTTTTATGCTTTGCTTCGTGGTCTGGATGTGTCGCGGACTGGGCTTCTTTGGCGTCATGAAGCTGTTCTGGCGAGCCTATTAGTGACAGGGTTACTGTAGTTTTTTTGTAGCGAATTTTAAAGCCGTTGACGGACTTTCGAACCGGTTTTTAGCATTTTTTTTCAAAAATTTTTCAAATTTCTAACAAGGAAAGTACTTCTATGGGGTATGGAGTTACAGGTCGAGTCATATATCAAAAAATTCGCAAAATTTTTCTGATTCAGAATATGTAAAAATTAGCTGCCTAATTTTAGTTTGTAAGGGCGAAAAAATCCTCAGAACTTTTCTCGCAACACCATGAAAATGCGCATTTTTTACATTGCAACTGCTAATTAAGGTGTAGTATAAATTAAATTTGATATTTTAAAGCTTGTAAAGATACCAGTGTTTACTTTAACTCAAAAACAAGCTTTTGATTTGGTAAAAACTTGGTCAAAAAGGCATTTGTGTGGTGTTTCGAGAAAAGTTCCGAGGGTTTTTTCACCCTTACAGACCAAAATTAGGCAGCAAATTTTTACATATTCTGAATCAGAAAAATTTTGCGAATTTTTTGATGTATGACTCGACCTGTAACTCCACACCCCATAGAAGTACTTTCCTTGTAAAATTTTTCAAATTTTTATCCCAAAAATTTCACCTCAATTTACCCAAAGAAGCTCACTGTGATCTCCAATCTTTGTTAATGTAATATTTATTTCCTAACTTTTATGTTTTGGTACAACCAACAAGGAACTTTTAATAACAACTGCTTCTTTTTTCTGAGGGTTTCTTTCCTCCCTATCGCTTATTTAAATTTCCGGTGTGCATGGTGCTTGTGGTAATGGTGCTATTAGTTTTTATTTTTTATTTTTTTTGTTGGAAAAATTAATTTTTTGGGCAAAAATTTTATGTTGAAGTTGGACCGCTTCTGGCTTGATTTTGGTTTGTTTGGTGCACTGTAACGTTGCGTTGAAGAAAGACCTTGAGTTTCAGATGCGATAACAGAGACCGGAGTGCGAGAGGGAGTACTAATCAGGGTTGAAAAACTAATTTTTTACCCTTGGTAACACAAAAATATATTAGAATTAAGCCATTTCCTACGGAAAAACTAGGTTTTTAGCCGAGAAATTACGAGTTTTAGTCGGAAATTGAATTAAAATTGCTTTTAGGACAGTCTTTTACATCTATTAATATCTAAAAATTACTTTTTAACTTCTATTTTTGGTTATTTACCCTAAATTTTGTCGTTTTAGTTGATGAAAGCCCTTCACGAACAAGAGCTCTGCAATCAACACCTCCGCAAATACATCGATGGAATCTTGTTGCGAGTGGTCGAACTGTACCCCGAGATCCTGGAAGTGGCCTCGTCTTCGTCGTGCCATCAAAGCGAGCCCGAGAAAACGGTCTCGACAGCAACAACTGAAGCCCATTGACAATTTTGGGGCGTGAATAAGGGAGAGAAGACGTGTAAATGCGGAGGAAGTTGTGGGTCGGAGTGCAGCCGCTGCTCCAGCCCGGAGGCCAGCACCGCCTCGACAACGCTGAGCACGGCCAGAAGTCCGGAGAAGCCGAACGATTCGGTGTTTGGATCGCTGAGAGCAGCCCTGGCCTATGCCTCGTTCCGCAAACCCCCCAAACCATCCACCTCTCCCACGTTCACGTCCGAGCAATGGTCCATCCCAGAAGAGCCGAGGTCACGCTCGGTAGACGGAGAAGCCCCACAGTCGCTGGGATCGAAACTTTATTCGTATCTACCGAGTGCAAGGTTCTTCCGAAGAAGCCCTCCAAAAGACCAGAAAATAGAACTGGAAGCGAAAGAAGGCGAAGAAATTAGGCCTTCCCCGCCTCCACCAGACCCTGTGATCAAATAAGAAGTGGTTACTATAGTTCTTACTGTATTTTTTATCGATTTTTTTATTTGGAGAGAATTTTTTACCATTTTTTTCAAGTTTTGAGCTTCCAGCCCTTTTTTTGTTTTATTCCCCTAGTTTGGTTAGTTATTTTGTAAGTTTTTTATAGTTTTGGCGAGTGCATCTTGTGATATTCGATATTGATCCTCTCCATTCTGTCGATAGCTCTCCCCTCAAAGTCAATGGCTTTAATTCCGAACATTTAAATTGTAATGGCTGCGACTATTACACTTTTGGTTGCATTTGTAACCACTTTGCTTTCATTTTCCCGAATTTGGAGCAATTTTTGTTCACAAATAGTTGTAGCTAACTTTGTAACGTCTTTAGACGATCTATTCTATATTGTTTGTCCTTATAAATTATTCCATGTCGTGTTGTACAAATATAAACAGTAATTTTGACAGTGTTGTGGTATGTAAAAATATTTGCTACTGTAATTTTGTAAATAGTAGTGTAAAGCTGAATATTGTGATTGTAAATTTGAATACGAGGGTTGAACCGACCCTGAACGCCGTCCAATGTCGAAGGGATTCCGTGTAGAACCGGTTTGAGGTGGGTATTCATCATCTACTACAAGTGAATGAAGCCTCAATTTCTCGACCGACTGAATCATTCGACCATTTTTATAAGTGTTTCTACGAAATTTGTGATCTAAACGTTGTGTTTATAGGTATTATTTCTAGTTGTGAAATTTCTTTTCATCAATTATATTGCACTAAACGTATCAGATTTAAAACAAAATTTCTTGTATCTTAACCATACATTTTTACTCAATTTATCAATTATGTACAATAAACAACGCCAGAAATTTGTTTAGTAGTTTACCACAGGTAGAGACAGCTTGCCATCAGCTTCTTTGGCCATGTAATCCATCCTATACGTGATTCCAATCGATGTTTTATCGAAATGAGCGGACGTTTTAGTAGCTGAAACGGTTACCGATCCTTTAGGAGGTACAACAAGACAGTATTTGTCGAGTTTAAAGTATCTGGCATCAACATCAATCTCGCAAAAAGTTGCATCAGCTGGGTTTCGATTAGTTATCGCGAATTCTAAAAGGAAATGCCAATAATTTGATATAATCTTACTTGAACGCGTCTCAGTTCGACGCAACATTATGGAAGAAGGTTTCACAGAGATCTGGACTGTTTTCGGAGAGTCATAACTTGGCAATCTCAAGGCTTTCGGACATGGAATCTCCTCGTTAAAGCCGTTGAATCGATAAAATCCAAATTGAAAACATTTCCTGAGCAGAAGTGGCAATTCCAATTCATAAGCCAAGTCCAGACGATCCTTGAGCCCTTTCAATTCCAGATTCTCAGCCAGTACTGCTTCACAATGATCCTAAAGCCAGAAGAAATGTAAAATAATATAACCTTACCTTCAGATCCCGCAACTCGTACCGATGAGCCAATTCGACCACCTTCCGAGCAATATCAACATCGTCCACACTCCAATTGTTGGAGATGTGATTCAGCATGGCCTCAACTGCAAAGGGATCATCGTCTAGGGTCATTTCCCCGTCTATCGTCTCCCTCATACTCGACTCCAACATTCGGCAAAAAACTTGCGATTTTGAAGCCAACAAAAGTCTGGAGGCCTAAAACTTTAAAGTGAAATAGACCCTTAGGACTTACATTGAATTCCCTACCACCAGCAATCACCTTGAAGTCGGTGAGATTTGAACTTTTCAGTAATTGATTGGAGACGTCGTAGGTCTCACCCGAGTTTACTAAAATTCAAAGTGTTATTCGCAAAAAATAGGGGGTAAATCTAGGATCCTTCCATCTGAATCTACTTGCATTTTCTTTCAATCTCCATTTTCAACAAATTATTGATCCGACTGGCGTTGGAACCAGTAAAATCCATGATTATAATTAAAACACGATTTTTGAGTCACTGAATCAGCCGCCAATTAGGCGTGGACATAGGAAAAAATCGATTTTGAGTTTTTGATTTTAAAATGACTGTAGGCATCCTATAAACATAATGCTGAAATATTTTTGCCCAATTCCTTCGTTAACCTACTGTAATTTACAATTTAATGATTTTAGAGTAATCTACCATTACAAGAAAACTACTGATTAGAAATGGCTGAAATTGGCAATACTTATGTTTTAGGCCATGCCCGTCATAATAGACATGGAATTTTGACAGTCGGGTTACTGTAACACACCGTAATGTGGGTTCGGCCGCACAAATTCGGCCCTAAAAAAGTTATTTCTCAAATGCCGCAGCTGATTTTTACATATGTTAATCAGCGTAAAATTCTGCCCTATAAACATTAAAAAAAAGTGTAAAAAGCCATGATCCGTTTTTCGTGGTATAGTGGATTTTGGCCAAATTTAGTAATCCAAGGGTCGCGAGTTCGATCCCCGTGGAAGCAAAATCCGTAATACTGCCCAGAAGCATAAAAAATCAATTGGGCTGAGTTGTATAACATGCATGGGAAGTATGGAAACCTTTATAAAAATTGATTTGCAATTTTGAAAGCATTTTTTGAAGATGACATCAGAATTTTTTTTTTCGTGGATTACGGTGCAAATTTAGTTTAGGAAAGTTGGTAAAAATTACTGTATAGAGGTTTTCAAGCCTTCTAAATTTAATGGGACAAATTTTTCGGGCCTAGGATTACTGTAACATGGAGAAAACGAATTTCGGCCGCTAAAAATCGGCCGTAAAAATTTTGTTTTCGAAAAAACGCCATTAATTCTACGATTTTTGGAATCAGCGTGAAATTTGACTGTAGAATCATTACATACTGTACCTTAGTTGACCGCTTGAATTTTACAGATTTTTTTTGCCGTAAAATCACAAATTTTGGGGTGAGTGAAGTCATCCGCGGAAATCGAAAAATAAAATCATGAGTTTCTAGGCTAGAAGTATGTACGACCACCAATAAAATATAGCTTCAAAATATTTTTGTCTAATTCCATTGCCAATGCAGTTTTATTTACAATTTTCAAATATGAAAATAATCCACCAAAGAGAAAAAAGTATTTGACAACACGACTGTGTTTTGAGTTGATATAGTGTAGAATTGTACGCTGATTCCAAAAATTATAGAATTAACAGCCATTTTTTTGAAATCGATGTGTTTACGGCCGATTTTTAGCGGCCGAAATTCGTTTTCTCCATGTTACAGTAATCCTAGGCCCGAAAAATGTGTCCCATTAAATTTAGAAGGCTTGAAAACCTCTATACAGTAATTTTTACCAACTTTCCTAAACTAAATTTGCACCGTAATCCACGAAAAAAAAATTCTGATGTCATCTTCAAAAAATGCTTTCAAAATTGCAAATCAATTTTTATAAAGGTTTCCATACTTCCCATGCATGCTATACAACTCAGCCCAATTGATTTTTTATGCTTCTGGGCAGTATTACGGATTTTGCTTCCACGGGGATCGAACTCGCGACCCTTGGATTACTAAATTTGGCCAAAATCCACTATACCACGAAAAACGGATCATGGCTTTTTACACTTTTTTTTATGTTTATAGGGCAGAATTTTACGCTGATTAACATATGTAAAAATCAGCTGCGGCATTTGAGAAATAACTTTTTTAGGGCCGAATTTGTGCGGCCGAACCCACATTACGGTGTGTTACAGTAACCCGACTGTCAAAATTCCATGTCTATTATGACGGGCATGGCCTAAAACATAAGTATTGCCAATTTCAGCCATTTCTAATCAGTAGTTTTCTTGTAATGGTAGATTACTCTAAAATCATTAAATTGTAAATTACAGTAGGTTAACGAAGGAATTGGGCAAAAATATTTCAGCATTATGTTTATAGGATGCCTACAGTCATTTTAAAATCAAAAACTCAAAATCGATTTTTTCCTATGTCCGCGGCTGATTCAGTGACTCAGAAATCGTGTTTTAATATCTGGGCCTTCCAAAATATTGTAACAGTCAACACGCCAAACTTTTCTCCACCAGAAAAATCAAAAAAAAAAGCGTCGAGGCAAGTGTTTCTCTGACCGTTGGGTCAACTGTTACACAGTCAGAAGAAAGACTGCAGTTCGGCACAGACTAGTTCAATTACACCGAAAGTTGCTAAAAAAGCAGGGTACAGAAGGGGGAACCATAAAATCTGCGGATCAATCTGACAAAAAAATTCTAGAATTTATTTTTTATAGATCTTCGAAAATCCTTCTAATTTCTCTCTTTTGCGATAAGATCTGCACAAAAAACATTGTTCTAGCATTTTTGTCAAAGTCCCAGTGTTGTTTGGCGAGAAAAGAGGGATCCATTCGTTTTGACAATCTTTCCTGGAGAGAAACACTTGACCCATTGTTGTAAACCGAGTCATGTCTTGCCCTCGGAAACAAATTCTCTTCTTTGGTGGAAACTTTTATCAAAGGGAAATAAATAAATAAATTACAGTGGTTTGGCGCTCGGTTTGGGTACAAATAACAAGAAATAAACATATTATATTTGCCTTCTACAATATGTCTACAGAATTTGAGAGAGGAGCTTGATCAGTGAAGTAAAGTTGTATATTCAGACGCTTGTCAGACGTTTAGCCGTTGAGAAAATTGAACAACAATTGAAAATACTGCATAATCTTACATATACAGCCAAAAAAAGAGAGATAATCAACCAGTGGACTGAGAGAGAAAAGAAGTTTGAGGACACACAAGATGAGATGGCGAGGGTGATCAGGCATTACAGGCCTGCTGTGACTTTAAAGGACGTGTTGCGTACTGTAACAGGTTTGTTTAATATTCATAAAATCAGACAAGAAAAGGCGATCTTGAAGGGGTGTGACGTTATACCAAATTAAGATTTTTTTTGATTCTCACTGGACCGTTGCGATCACAATTGTGATGTAATTTTGGGCCGTTATTGTTGCATCGACTCTAAGAGAGCCTTGCAGAGCCGGAGGACATCGGATTTAGGGGCTTCCGAACGTTGAGCGCGGGTCATCTGAAAGTAATTTTTTCATTGTTATGGACTAACAAATTTGTCATCATTTTTAGAGCATTGAGAAAAGTCATCAAATTTTATAATTCCCCAAAATACCAAAAATTACTTACATAATTCTCGTTACAACTGCTCAACAACACCTCCAACGGATCAGCTCCGATTGGTCTTCCGGGATCTCCGTTCGGCTGGACCGGGACCGAATTGGAGAGGGCCAAACGATCGGCCGAGCCATCAGCTAAATTGGCCAGCTCAGTGTTAAGATTGGAACGGCGTTGGTTGTTACTTGTACCTTACATTTTTTGAATAAAATATTCGATTTTTGAAACAATAAGCCAAAAGCCGGAAACTGGTTTGTCAGGTTGCCAAAGGCACAGCCGTTTTGTTAGCACAACATCAATATATTTTACTAGATATCAGCTTTTTTATGTATGAAAGTATAGTGAGAGGAGATTCACAACATCCTTACAAAGTGGTAAAAACGTGGGTAAACTCACTGAATGAAAGCCAAGTTCCACAAAAGGCCTGGTCGAACTTGGCCAAAATCAGGAGAGCCAACAAGAACTGAGTGCAGAAACCCATCGTTTTCGGATAGGTTATGGTTCTGGCCAAACCAAAAATAACCCTAAAGAAATAAACGGAAATATTAAAGAGTATTGCCTATATAAGGAAGTTTTACGTTGGGTTTAATTGCACGGAAATTATGGCAATTCAAGGATCACAATAAAATTGATTACACATAAAAAGATATAGGAATAAGAGGGCACTTATAAACGTCATTCAAAATCTTTGGAAAGGAATGAATGACCGATTACGTCGTATATATACCTCATATTTACCAACAACTCACACTCCTAATTCGTTTACAAACTCCGCCCATTTCTACAGGTGGAATTTATTAAATAAGCGGAGATATTTCGTTACTTTGAAAAATAATAATAGTCATGATTAAAAATTTAGAAATCCGTCTAGATGAACTTTGAAGTTATTAGATCCAAAAACTACCTTCTTCCGTAAAACTGCACGATACCGGAGATATTTCGCCTACGAGAATGTCCTCGCCCACTGTAGCGCGGGCCATAACTTATGATACAGTGTACCAATTTATACCCTTAAAAAAATCCTTTGATGCTGAGAGCGTAACGAACATATAAAGGTTTTAATAAAAGATTACCTTTAAGATACCAAGAAAAAAATTTGCATGCAATTTGCATAATTTAGAAGGAAAATTTACAAATTTATATCCATGTATTCTGTGTAGCACCGTCATTAATATTGTTTTTGAAGGACGCAAATTTTTCCACTGTGTCAAAAGTTATGGCCCAAAATGTGCGGCCAAATTCGATAAAAGGTCAGGTCACTCGAGTTACCACTCCTCTTTTTCTCTGCTCTCTCCGCTTTTTGTGTGATGCCGCTAACTCAAGTTAGTGGCCTTTTTGTACGTGAAACATACTTTTGGCCATCTAGTTTTTGACCTCAATACCAAGTTTTAAACGGAAAAACACAAAGAGAAATATGTATGAGAAAATGTCAACATTCATTAATTTTTTTAACCAAATTAAGACACTTTTTACAGTCTTTTAATTTAATAAAAGTACATTGAAGATTCCAATAAACACCCAAAAATACCCAGCGTCGCGGATAGTTGGTTATGTACCCCGTCTGGACCCTAGTTATTGATAATAGGCGGGTCAACAAGCCTTGATATGTCTGTACAGGGCAGTGCCCACAACAAGCAAACAGTCACGCAGAAGAACTTTTCGCGCGGCGACAAGGAAAATTCTAGGTGTACTGCGACCTCGCACAGTCAAAATAAATTGTTTTGAAAACCGAAACACAGTACTCATTTTACTCCGGCGAATTTTTATCGCGCGACACCTCGTCGCAACGCCGAATGCCTCCACCCGCACAGTGCGAAAACATGAACTTTTATCCGCAGCATATTGACGATTTAAAAATTCCTCCAGAACTTTATAATGTACGTTCTTTGGGTTCTACAACTTTCAGCATACGTGCTTCAAACCCTGATAATTCCAGTTGTTTCCGCATTCACACAGAGTCCAGCCAAACAAAGTACCCAAGCTGCCGCCTCACTGATTAATTCCCCACGCCTTTTACCGGCTATTCTCCATAGTCCCAGGTAAAGAAACCAAGGCGGAATTCTTCATGAAACAGGTAATATCTCAGCCCATTTTTTGGGTCATTAATAATAAAACCGTGTCCCACTCACATGGCCATGAATATTTTAACTGCCGCTTAAGATCGGCGATAAGGAAGGTGAAAGGAATTTTTAATGACGTTCGATCCACGTAGGGAAGCCGTTTGTTTTTTACAAAAATATGCAAAACAAAAAATCCGAACGACCTTTGTTATCCGAAGGATTCGAATTCCATAATTCAGACGGTTTCGGAGCCAATGCACTATAAAATCCAATAACGGCGGCATTTACTTTTATATAACATCAGTTTGTTTGACTATCCGCCCTCAGGTTGTCGTAAAAATAAAAGAGATTTCGGCTCTGGGGACCGAGGAAACGATGATGGGGATTGGCGCGTGTTGAGGATTCGGAGAAGAGGTCCAAAAATAATTAAGGCACTCCCAATCTCATCAATAGCCTTCAAGTAAATACAAATACATCTTGATGCCTGCGTTGCTTTATTCCATAATGCATATTCAAAAAATATAAAAAATGCGACTAGAAACTACACCAATCATTTTCAGAATCTTCAGAAGGAGCTGTCGCCAGGGCTTTTGTATTGTCCGACCACTGGCTTGTTGCTGTCTTTAGAGGACTTTCCGGAATCACCCTGAACAGCAGAATTCTCCTGGTTCAAGTACTTCTTAGCCGCCTTGATAGCCGAATCGAATTGCATCCGGATCTGATGGACTTGGTCCGAAGAAAGTCCCAAAGCAGTGCCATCATCGCCGGTTCCAACAGGCTCGGGGAGCACGTTTAGGATCTCCCGTTCTTCTTTAGGCGAGAGGACCAATGGATCGGTCGTTTTTCTGCCATTCGAAGTTCCAATTGGATAAGGGATGATCTGTCTGAGTCTTTTCTCTTCCGCTGTAGACAATTCGAGTGGACCATCATGAGGACCGGTTCCATAGCCAATTGGCCAGGCCAGAGGCAACTTAGCCATGATGCCGCTAGGGGACAATGGAAGGGGTTTCTTATTGTCAACAACTCCTTTTCCATCGTGTGGGCCAGTTCCGTATCCAAGGGGGTATGGGAGAGGCAAGTTCAATTGGGAAGTGGTAGCAGATGAACCATCAGTCTGCTTGACTTTGTTTGGTTGGTCTTTAGACTTCGACTCAGTAATATCAGAGGCACTGTTGAGATCAGTTTCTTTAGATTTAGGCAGAAGTTCTTCCTCACTGCTTGACTCCTCTGACCCAAGGCCTTTTTGGATAGACCTGCTATCTAGGACGTGGATACCTTCGGTTTGGGTTTTAATTGAGTTTCCGCCAGGAGTTTTCCCCACTTCAGGATTTTCAAAATTAACCTTGGCTAGGACATCAAGGAGAGATGGCTGGGAATTTACGTTTTTCTCCACGGCATCTTGATTGATTTGGGTGCCGGGACCTGACTTCTGATTTTCTTTCATCGCTTTTGTTTTGCAACAGCTTCGTTGATTCGTTGATAGCCTCATCGAACTTCATACGGATGTTGTGGATTTGCTCCGAAGAAAGTCCAAGAGAAGCTCCGTTATCTCCGAAACCAACGGGTGCAGGAAGGATATTTAGGACAGCCCTCTCCTCGCCCGTGGTCAAGGCTAGAGGACCATGTTTGCCTCCATTTTTGGATCCGATTGGATATGGTAGCATCTTGCGGACTTTTGCTTCTTCTTCTGGGCTCAACTCAAGTGGACCATCATGTGGGCCAATCCCGTAACCAATTGGCCAAGCCAAAGGCAATTTGGCCATGATTCCGTGGGGATACATTGGAAGTTGTTGCTGGCCAGGAGTGATATGTTCCCCATCATGAGGCCTTGTCCCGTAGCCGAGGGGATAGGGAAGAGGCAAGTCCAATTTGGGGGTCTTGCTAGAAGAGTCAGCAACTGGCTCTCTTCGGGTCTGCTTGGTTAAGCCTTGGCTGAAATCGGTCTCTGGCTGATCATCAGGGATGGAGGTGACGGTTGTTTCGGCTATCTTTTGCTTGGTCAGGCCTTCTTCCTCTGGTTGGCTTAAAATTCGGAATTGGCTCTCAATACCGTCCTGACGCTTGTAGATTCCTAAAGAACGTATGAATTAATGAACACACTTACTGAATGCTTCAGCGTTGTATGCTGTAACAATTAAGGAGATGAGAACAAGTCCAGAGACAGGTCTCATGGTTATAAATACTTCTATTGCTCTTACACCAATGGATGTGGTGGATCTCAATGTTGGCGCCGGTATTTATACAAGTTTTATGGGTTGTTGTTAAGGCTCTTGCAGTACATAAAACAGCAATAATCAATGTTTATCTGCTAACAATCGCTCTAAATTGCAGGATCAAACAACTGGATGTTTGCAGAAAGTTCAAACCCGCGAAATTTTATTTAATGAAATTTCAAACCAATAAATAACCTTTCTGCAACACAAGATTAACCTTTCTGCAAGGATGTATATGTATGATGATAAAAACGTTAGGTGCTCAACAGTTCCCATGCTTATGATCTGTCGGCTAGCACACAGGTTTGGGATTAGGCACTCTAAATTACAATATATGTGTATTCATGTAAAAACTTGAAGTCAGATTACTACGTGTATGCCAAGTTCTTTTAAGAAGGTCTTGACGTTAGTAATTTAAAAATTACCAACGTCAAAATCTGCCGATTTGCAGGATCTTTGCGGCATTTTCGATGGGCTCAGGCGGTCCTTTGTCAAACCGCATGCGGATTACGCGTGCTGCGGCAGTAGGAAAAGGAATGACTTTCTGAGCCCTGCTTCCCCCAGCGGGTGACTATTCGAGTGAACCATCATGTGGACCAACTCCATAACCAGCAGGCCAAGTCAAGGCCAATTTTCCCCTTATCCTGGTTGGACACAATGAAAGAAAAAAAAAACACACCGAAAAGAGTGCTACAAAAGCTATCGCATTGTAACAACATGCGTCAGACTGCGCTAACAATTTGTTGTCGGAATATTTCATCTGTCCATGACTATTTTACCAGAAGTTTTGCATGACAAAGGTCATAGACCCACTGACAGATTTGTTGACAGTTTTACTGAAGATGATCCGTTTTAAAACTTTTTAATTATTTTTCGGTAACAGAACAACAAATGCTCTTTCCGGATATTACAACCAATCATTTCAGAGGCCGTTATAAAAATAATAAGGCTTGTGAAAATTCATTGCAACCTGTAGTAGTGTAGTCATGGGGCCGCAAGTTGTTCTGGTCGCTGCTTTTGTCGTTACGGTTCTTCCAATCATTGAGTGCTTCAGTAAGTTTACTAGAGCTTAAATTAATCCTTGCAAATTCTTAAGACCTTCGCTTTATACGACAATCAGCCGTTGTAGCTTCGTCAGTAGGAATTCCTGCTGCTCCAACAACAGCCGCCTCGTCAAACGCTGTTGGGACGAGTTTGGCTCCAACTTCTGCTCTATCTGTTGCAACTTCAGCCCCTCCGGCTCTGTCAGTTGCTAGTGCTGTAACCTCTGCTCTTCCCAGCGCTGCGGCAGTTACTTCTGCTCCTCCAAGCGCCGCTGCAGCAACCTCCGCTCATCCAGGTTCTGCCGCTCCAAGCTCTGCTTCTCCAGCCGCCGCCGCAGCAACTTCTGCTCCCCCGGCCGCAGCAACCTCGGCTCCTCAAACCGCTGCTGGAAGTTCTGCTTCCCCAAGCGCTGCGGCTGCAACATCTGCTCATCCAGGCTCTGCCGCTCCAAGCTCTGCTCCTCCAGGCTCTGCTGCTCCAACCTCTGCACCACCAGGGACCGCCGCTGCGACTTCTGCTTCTCCAGCCGCCGCTGCTGCAACCTCTGCCCCTCCAGGCTCTGCTGCTCCAAGCTCGGCTCTTCCAGGCTCTGCCGCTCCAAGCTCTGCTTCTCCAGCCTCTGCCACCGCCGTATCATCTGCTCCTCCGGCCGCTGCAACCTCTGCTCCTCCAGGCGCCACCGGCGCTACTTCTAAAGCTTCTACATAGAGAACCACGTTTATGAAACCCCACCCGACTATAGTTTCTATGAGAACCTCGCGTAATGTTAACTGGATTCTATAGAATACAACTTAACAGTCTTTTTTAAAAGTTTTAATATTACACTTATAATTGCGTAATAAACTAGTGAAATTAAATGTGGAAATTTTATTTCATTTATGACGAATGTTCTCAATAGTTGGTTTAGGACATTCGTTGATGCTATTGATAAAACGAAGACTAAACTTTAACCAAATTATCACAACAATGGGAAATACAAAGCCCATAACGCCGGGATACCTCAAATTCTTTGGTCATTCCGTGTACTTTAAGTCACGTGTCTTTGATCCGGGAGCATGTTTTTAGCCGTCTGAAAGAGAGTCAGAACTACTCAAACCATGAGCGTTATTTTGAAACGATGTTCTTGGATTACACTAATTCTTCTAACCAATAAGCTCCTGTTTCTGTATAAATTCACAGTTGGAAAAACATTCAGTTGTTTATGGATTCCTGGACGAATAGGTATGAAAATCGATAGAACCATTGTTGTTGTTGTTTTACTTTTTCTATCAAACACTTCGGCACACAGTAAGTCGATTCCGTTCTTGTACGCTTGAGTTCAGCTATCCGCAAGAAGCGCCAGTCAGTGGTAGATCTTCCGGTACCAGATGAGCCAGTCTACAAGTACGCTTCTGCTACGGAACAATCGAAGTCTGATGTCGCTTCAACCGTTTTCTCCGAGTACGATTACAATTCAAATAAGGATCAAACTCACAGTTACGGTGGAGATTCTTATAGTGCTGTAGATGAAGGGGACTTGGAAGAAGCTGAGACGTTTAATCAGCCAAGCGGGGCGGCTACATCGACTTCCGCCACTGAGACGGAAATAACTAGTCGTTTAGTCAACGTTATATCAACAGATAGAACAATGAATCCGACCGCCAAAATTCTCTCTCTTTTAGCGACAGAGAATCCACTACACCGGATTGTAAAAGGCCCAGATGGCTCAAGTCCAACGCCTCTATCGGGCTTGATTGTCAAAGGCACAGATGATGCCACTTTCAAGGCCACTACTAAAGGTGCTAGGGTAGCCTTGCGAAATGATTTTGGGCATGCGACGCCATTGTTTGCCGATGATTATGATGGCAAGGGAACTTATATTGAGGATGCTAACTTAAATTTTTCTCCGATTGAAATAAGCGGTGCCGAAAATCCCGTAAAAGGAAAGGATTACCAAGAAAATGAAGAAGCTTCCGATGGGCACTATTATGATAAAGAAAATGCCGACGCAGGCATTACGCCATTCTTTGACGATGTGGAATATTTGTCAACTCCATAAGAATAATCAAAGACGTTGCTTTGAAAGCCTTTCTGTCATTATAAAGAGCCCAATAATAATGCAATAAATATGTGTTTCTTTAGCTTATAATACACTGCTTCAGACATTGAGAAAGCTGCATAACTTATTGTTGGGAATACAGATTTATCCAAGGTTTGCTGTGATGGTTGTTGGGAAGAAGGCAGGACCTGCCGTCGTCGTAGTAGGAGCAAAAAAGCCGTAATTTGCAGTAGTTGTTGTGGGAGCAAAGACCCCGTTGTATACCGTAGTGGTCGTTGGAACAAAAGCCCCATTATTCGCTGTGGTTGTAGTTGGGACAAAAAATGGATTCGAAATAGTGGTTGTAATTGGAAAACCAAATGGATTTGAGGCAGTAGTTGTAATTGGAGCACCGAATGGATTGAATGCGGTACTGGCTGAAGTGCTCCCAGTAATTGGCACTTGTCCTGAGCCAGATCCCAACCCATTTCCGGCAGGCTGAACCACGGCTGGTTGTGCTCCACTATTCTCATCGAACTGTTGAAACGCTGCAGCGGCTTGCTGTCCAAAGATATCGGCTGCCGCTTGCTGATTGTTTATCATTGAAAAGATTACATTTGAAGGGCTCTGAGAAGGAGCTACCGCGTTTATCACAGCCTCTTCTCCAGAGTTTGTATACTCCTCAATTGAGTTCACTGGAATGGCTGCACTACCTTCTATTCCAGAGTATTCTGCAGAATAGCCCGATCCGGCACCGGACCGTTTAATCCCTGAAAAACAAGATTCTAAAAGTAAAAATTAACTTACTGTAAGCAGTGTCTTCTTTAACAAAAAAGACAATAATCAGCAATAAATATAATTGCATTACTCTTTGGAAAAAAACTTTAAAAACAACGCAGTAACAACTAGGACCGGTTAAGGTAATAAAGAACCTTTTTCCGACTGAAAACGGATCACCCCGCCGAGAACTTTCGGTCAGCCAGTGGATGATCTGGCTGACGCTTAATCCCATATCCGTTTCCCATTACAGTCTCGATTTGCTCTTTTGAATCAATCCCCAGAAATTCAGCTGACGTTCTGTCTATGCTATGTTTTTACTGGGCCTTTAATTAAGTAGACAGTCATCTGATTCGTCAACTGTTTATTTACTTTAATTTTGGAGCTGTTGCAAAACAAAGAAAAGAATTCTAAATTTGAGGGTTTAGATGAGAATTAGATAAAAAAATCTTTTTTAAAAATGAAAAAACAAGTAAAATTAACAATAAATAAAGCTTTTGAACAGAAATTTCCTTTGCATTAATAACTTCAGCGATAAGTTTACAGTGAATTCCAAACCAAAATAGACCATAAAAACAACGAAAAAATATCCTACCACAGTAATCTCCTTGTGAAAAGAAGACAAGGAAGATGTTGACGGGCATCATAAGACAAAAGACGATCCTAATTGGATTAGAAATGCGGTTTGGAACCAATCCAATTCCCGATTCTTGGCTCTCTGGTCACAATGGGCTTTATTTACTTGTAAGTACTCAAAACAGATGAATTATCGAGTGTGCTACAAATATATTCGCTAAAATTTCTATGAAAAAAATATTTCAGGTGCTTTATCGTCAAACATTATGTGAAAAAATGCAATATGAGATTTGTTTGTTGGAGAGAGCACGCTAAACGTGGAGAGCGGTCAGAGAGAAAAACGCTTTTTGGCCATAACTTTGGAAGTTTCGTGCGTAAAAAATTTAATTTTTTTGTAGAAACATTATCCTTAACGGTCGAAATAGCACGAAACTTTTCGTGCCGAAATTCGGAAAAAAGTCCTAAATTTTCGCCGACTTTCGATCTAAAAATCCCGGTTTTTTGCCAAGTTTCATCATAATCTGAGCGTCGCACTTGGAGTACTTCCCCTGTTAATACCTTCCAATAATTTGATAAATAATTTATTAATTTTATTACATCGTTTATCACAGACATTCTCATTGATATGTACAAATAAAAAAATGCTAGACCGGCTTTTGGTTGAGGAACCTTCGAACAAAATTCCCATCACATTTATCCACACCGAACACCTTCCGGTAATCCGGGATTTGTTTCGGAGGCAGGGTATGCGCCATTTTACACATGTGGCACATTGAATAGAATTTTGAGTCATAGATTCTGGGGAGCTTGTCCTCAATTGACCAATTGAAATACCTAAAATACAAAATGGACGTTGTGAAAACACCTACTGTTCATACAAAGTGTGATTGTTAGCGACCAAATTGAGGTAGTCGACGAATTCGTTCACATTTTTAAAGTCATCAACGGCAATGTAAAGATCCTGAGGTATTCTTTTTGGCATGAAGGAGCGGCGGAGAACGACGGGAACAATGTATTTGGTGAAACGGAAAAACTTCTCGGTCGTGTAATCCTTGCAAATCGAGTTTTCGAAGGCGAAGTAAAAGTAGTGGGACTCTGAAGCAAAATTTATATTAATTTGGACAATTAAGGCTTCTAATAGCACTCTGTAAATAAGGTAATCTTACCAATAAGTTTGTCCAAACATTGCGAATTACACGAACGAGAGACACATCGCCCAACCTGGGTGATGTTAATCCTTTTCTGGAGGGCTTTTAGAAGGTCTCCTCGTTTGGACTTCGTAGCACAATTGGAATGAGCTATCAGGGCTAATTTGCTCTTTTTGCTGATGATCTCTCGGATCTGGAAAAGGGAATTTTAAGTGGTCAAAAAAGTCATCATTTTTTGAAATTATAATCCATACGCAAAATTTATATCTGGATGCCCTTCTATATATATGACTTCTCCTGCTACAAAAATTGCTTCTAGCTTTGTCTCGAGGCCCGCATTTTGTTCTTCCCCTTCCTTACCTCCTCAATAGTCCTTGCTGTCCCATTATAAGTCTTATTGACATCATACTCGTACGGCTGAGGCATATCACTGTCCTCTTCGTAGGTCATGGTGTAATTAAAATAGTCCAATTTTAGTTTCCCCTTCTGGAAATAGGTGTGATACGGGGATTCCAAAGAAAAGAAGACTTTGGGTGCATTTGATTGCGGCAAATCTCTTGAATTCGTATTTCGGATGTGGAAAATGAGGAGAGAGGCGTTACTGAGCATTCGACGATCGTAAGTGTAGATGCAGCTGTAGTTGCAATTACTTCCGGGCTCCCAGAAATAACTGGGAGAGCCGAAGAAAGTGGTCCACATTAGGATTACTTTGTGGCTGGGCTGGAAATTATTATAAATTAGGGTCGTAAGGAATTGATTAAGCACATTGGCAGATTGCAGAGTTGTGAGCAAAAAATTTGATGAAACTTCGCAAAAAATTTTGAAAATCATCCCGATAGAATAGTCCTAGCGAAAAAATCAGTTCACAAAACTTACTGGTACATCTGGAACAGGAGTCATCGAGTTCTCCAAAATTTGGGTTGTGTAAAGAAGATAGTACGTACTACTCGTAAATCCCACACCCGCTTCATACCAGTAAACGAACACAATAACCAGAGAGAATAAAAAGAGGCCCCCGAGAAGCTTAGGCCATGTTGTATTGGGTGCGGAAGTTGCCTTTCCTTGGCCTGGTATTAACTACAATAAAGAGAATAAAGTTAAGATACGACAGACTTGTCTTACATCTTCATCCATGTTGAATGTAAGCGCCAAATCCTTATCGGTCAATCATTAAAAATTCCAATAAACCGGCGTTGGGAAATTTGATCAAATGGTCGACCAAAAAATCAAAATTTTAAATTGTAAATAACCGAGGAATGTTTTGGGTTAGAATAAATTATTTCGACCGTAATTGTATCGAACTTGCGTAGAACCAACTTCATTTACCCGGTTTTATTTCCATTCTGATCCTGTAAATATTTTATAATTATGTCGGGAAAATAATGAGCACAATATCGCATCCATCGCCGCCGAGAAAATGAACTGTGTCGCGAGAAAATCAAATTTCTTTGCACTTCAGCGACGCGATAGGTGTAGCAACATTGTTCTCATTATTTTCCCGACAGAATAACATAATAATTATATAAAAAATGAAGGACTGAGCGTTGGGATTGCTCAATGAATTTGATAGCCTTAAAAGTGGAGGAAAAGAAAAGTACGGGAAGTGATAAGACGAATCGAGACACGCCTAATATTTGCATTAGAAGGAACTATTCCTCCAAATGGGCTTATAGAGGGGGAGGTTAAGATTTAGAGAGGTCATGGATACGTGATCAAACGAGTTCAAGATTCTTCGTTTTGGAAGCAAACTTTGGATTTGGATATTTAGATATTCGAGCAGAGAGTGGGCTAAGATTGCCTCCTTGTTCAACAAGTAACAAGAAATTCTAACTACTGCCGGAAAAATTACGGCAATTCCGGAGATAAATCGCGTTGATTTTCATAAGATCGGAGAGAAATTGGAGTAGATTTGTCTGAGACGGCAGTTCATCCTTTGTTTTAGGAAGTTTTAAAAAATGAAGCCGGAGGTGAATTATAGCCGACTTGAATACATGTGGATTTTTCATCTGTTTTGTAGCAAAATTTTGGACTTTCCACTTCTTTACGATTAAAAAACCAGTCTTTTACAAAGAAAATTTAACAAGTTGTCAGATAACGTGGTTTGGCCAGGCCGGCCTACATTATTTTGCGTGCCCGCTTGAAGAATACGGTAAAAAATTTTGGCCTTGCCCGAGACGCAAGCCTGAAAAGTTTCACTTTTTTTTACCGTAGAGGTTAATGTTTCCACAAAAATCATTTTTTCTTCCGCATGGAACTGACGAAGATATAGCCTGAAAGCGTTTCAAATCGGAGCGTCGCAGCTTGACACAATAAGCCGAATTCTGAAAATTAATCCCCATAAGTTTGTTTTCCTTATCAGGAAACGCCCTTGGGCCCTTTTTCCCAACATATTTAATCGCAGGAAAATTTCAATTAGGAACTCTGCCAGTGTCTCCAAATTATAACCAAAACATGCTGTCATAGGCCAAATTATAATTAGCATAGCTGCATTGGGTATATGAGAATACTAGTCGCGACATAAAGTCCTGACACATTTGCACAGTGCATTTTGTTTTTCTTTCGGACCCGTCGCGGAAACTCCCCGTTTTTGCACTAGCGACATGCACTTTCGTGCGAGCTCGCCAAATTTCTCGCGCGACACCCGCGACAAAATGTGTCAGGACTTTATGGCGCGACTAGTATAAACTTTAGTCTAATCTAATGGAACAGTAAAACAAAGACCGGAAAAATTTTTTTTGAAAGTGGGGCCAATAAGCGACAACGTCCAAAAAAGCGGGCGATCTGAATAATTCATTGGAAAGTTTGTCGAAAGTGTCATTATTTTGTGACATTCTGCTTTGCGACAAGCCATCAAAACACCTTGAATTTCTATTAGAATTTATATTTGATGAGGTTTTTTTAGCTTGGCATTTTTGGGGTTCTAAAAAACCAACAGAAAATTCAATAAAAAAATTCTAATCATTATGACAAAGTTTTGGCCGGCTATTTATCGGAATTTTCGAAATTTTTAGGTCGTAAATTGTGGAATTAACAGTTATGTTCACCGTGTAATCGCCAAACAGGTCGTAGAACTTTAAAACGAGAGCTAAAAATTGTAGGGATTACGTGGATTCAAGTCATCAAAAAGTGCAGATTAGGGCATCATTTGAATAAACAACAAGTTGGTCAAGAAGAGCCATTTTACAGTAGTTTTTGGAAAGCGTAGAATCAAAACTAAAAAGTCGCACTCAATATGTCACATAAGGTGTAATTTGAATGCCTTTATTCGCCTAAATAATCATGCAACGGGATCATTAAGGAGGTTCCGTTTTCCGTAAGCGGAAATTTAACCGCCAAGATTTGAATCTTCGCAGATGTCGGAACAAAAAACTAAAAATCTTACGTCTTGAAGGAAACATATTATATATTTATTAATAACTCGAAAAAGCGGGCCCAGGATGAGAAAACGAGCGTATGTCATACGAAGTCTTGGTATTTTAGAAGCAATTTTCGCTTTCGATTTTGAATCATGTAACGAGATATTTGGAAAAATGATTTGCTTTGTGATAAACGTCTTATGTGAATCACGGCTAGTGTCAGTAATCAAGGAAAAATAGACGTCAAGCAAACAATAAAAAATGTGATCAAAATTTCACAAAAGTGCAAAAATATTGTTTTTTCGAGGATCGTCAAACAAATATCCAAAATAACGCGTTAGCCCGGGATTTTATAGGCCAAATAAAGCTTTTATTTGCATTGGAGCCGCACACCTTTTCTGTAAATCAAAATATTTATCCAGTGGCCATGGATAGAGATCACCACAATGACTTATAAAAAACGGAGAGTTTCAGATGGCGATTTAAAAGTACAACTGAAATTTAGAGGTCTGTAGTGGCCGAAAATTTGTCTGTTAAGATATCAGAATCTACAGAAAACATAAACTCCAAAAATTTCACAAAAGCGTTTTTTGTCATCAAGGCTCTACAAGTTATTATAAAACCCTGGCTACGCATTAAAAACGTAGTTATTCCAAAAATTTATCACCTTTTTGATCCCCACACAACAAAGTAAACAGACTTAAGCGGCCAACTTAGCAAACTTTGTAAACCAGGATTTTGATTTGTTTCCAAATTCCCGATTGCAAAATTTCCGTTTTTAAAATTTTGCATAAAACGTGCCCATTACAGCCATCATATTTTCCGTTTGTTGTGTTGCAATGGATTACGCAAACTGAGGATTAGGAAGCCCTTGAAAGTGTCGTCGGAATCTCCCATTTGAAACCCCTTAAAAGGATTGGCCATTTTAGGAAAAAGTAAGAAAATGTAACGGACATATTACTATAATATACTACTGCAATCGGTAGCAAAAATTTCTTGATTCCTTTCCTCCACGAAACGCAGAAAAAATATAAAGATTGTGAGTACAAGTAATAACAACTCCCGCCGATCCGCGATAATCCGCTTGAACAATAAGAAAATCGCTGCAAAAGTTGTTGACTCAACCCCCGAGGGCTGACTTGGCTTGATATGAAAGAAAACATGAGTAACCTTGGCCTTTAATTAAATGCTTTTCATATAATGAACAAAAAATGGAATTCGGTTTCTGAAATTACGGAAACCAGCAAACGCCTCCTTTCAATTTACCATAGCAACATAAGGAAGCCATGAAATTTTAACACAACGAGGAAAGAGACTGTTTATTAGACATGCACATATGTACTCGGGTGATGTTTAAGGTCAAAGATCTGGGTATGTATTGAGCAGGTCGAATGTAACGGGCTTGAAGTGATATGTCTTTTTTTACCAAGTGAAATGAGGTGAAGTTAGTATCCTTGCACAAAATAAAATAAATTAATTAATCTTTATTTTGTAATGCTCAATTTCCAATAGTTCATCTTCCAGGTTTGCCCTGTTTCGCAGACGTTGAGACGACGGAAATTGTAGATAATGTAGGCACTTTACACCTGAGCAATCCGAAGAACCTTCGTCGAAAGGACGGCAGAATAAAAATCACAGTAAACGCGTCAAATAGAGGGGTAAAAGTGGGTCCCAGAGCTAAGGCCAAGGTTGTGTATTCCAGGATTTGATTCGAAAAAAGATGAGAATTGAACATCAACACTGGCACAACAGTGAATAACATTGGAGGTGCTGTCTAAAATATTTAAAATTTATATTTTTAAACAAGACAAGAGCTTGTTTTACCTGTAAAATCAACATATAAGTGAGCTGTCGATTGAGTCTTCGTCGTCTGTGCATTATATTCGCTGCACTTTGATTGTATAAAATCCATGTTTTGAGACCGTAATAGAGGACCCCAACAAAACTGCCAAGCATTCCAAGATTGCTCATCGCATTATGCCAGAAACTCAATGGTTTTGCCTACAAATGTTCAACATTTTCATGTCATTGGCTTCCCAAAGATTTGTTCAACCACTCACCGACACAATTACAGTAAACGTCGGTCGGCCAATTTCCCCACAGCCAGCATCTATGTTGCTAAAAACCATTTTCTCAAATCGCTGTGGGTTGTCTTCGAAGATGATGATAAAAGTAATTGCATCAATGAAATTGTAAGAAAAAAGAACTCCGAATGCAAACCATAGTGTGCGTTGAGAGACAAATGACTCTTTCATTATCCGGTAGCGGTAGAAAAACTGAATTGCGGGGATCATCGACTGAGTAAATGAGAAAACAAAGGAGAGCACTATTGCTATCTCCTGCACATGGTTGGAGGCGCTGTAAAAGATGGGTGACAAAGTGAAGTAAACGAGATGGTCGTGAATGAACGTTGCTTTCTGAAAGGTTATTCTGTAAAATACAATTCTTACAGTGACGCTTTAATCTTATGATACGCACTATAAGATTGTACTCTGTGTCAGAGCTTGGAGTTTTGTTAAAAGTCAAGAGTTTATCGCAAACTTTGTGCAAAAAATCACTCTTCGCATAAGCTAATTTTATCCCGTCTTTATTGCGATATGTATAACGGTAACATAATTGCCGAAAAAACAACGATAATGGACCTATCGCGATTTTGCGATACTCCCAGCGCTCCTTTGTGTGACCTATGGTGTTTTTCGGCTCGTTTTCATAAATCATTGCTCTAAAAACTTGCGAAGTCTAGACATGACGAGAAACGCAAATTAGCCTTCTCACTTGTGAATCAGTGTCGCCCGCTCAAATTGTGTGAAAGATACGATCAGGCGTCTTTTTCTTTTCCGTAGGATTTCTCCCTTCATTTTACTTTTCCCTTTCTTTCAAAGGTTCCCCATCAATATGCCATATATCGTAATGTAATCTTATATAAATACCATGAACTACTCAAGTTTTGAGGCAAATCAGTATGTCATGGTTTAAGAACAAATACTAGTAAATATCAGCTCAGCAGGACTTACAAATCCAACCAAAATCCTCGAGACGCTTATTCCAATGTTGCACATGGAGCTCAAAATAATCAATTTGGAATACATCCTGAGCTCAGCTGATTGTCGGAGACTAAGAAATATGACTGCCGAATTAAATAACACCGATAATCCTCCAACAATATAAATAAATAAAAAATTTGGATCCAACAAGTCATTATAACACGGTATACTCACTAGCATCGCAGAGTACACGAATAAAGGAATACAATTGTTATGGTTGGTCTCAGAGTGTAGTTAATTGTCTTGCAATATGCCTTTTAACATCTTCTTTCACTAAATTTGGAATACAATGTGCGTTGAAGCGGCACAAAAGGGATACACAGGATATTTTAACATACAAATACGATGGGAAGTAAGCCCTGTTTTTCTTCCGAATAGTATATATATATGTTCTTTCTAATTGTAGCCCATGCACAGTTGTGTACCTTCGTCAAGGTTAACATGACCAATTTGTTGTCTGGTTGTTGTGGTTCATGTTGATAAACGTCAAGTTCAACACGTCAACTTTTTAATGACAACTATTTAGAACATCCTCATGACAACATCTCTTGAGCTTCATAGCTTTTAAAAATATAGGCCTGCTTCCTATATACTATTTACATATGGCTTGTAGGACTGCCTTTTTTAGGACGGTCGTTATTATAAGACTTAAGGTGTGATGTATACGTGTACCTCCTCACAGAAAAAAAGGCTCGACACTTGTAGGTGAGCGTTATGACAACAAATAAGAGCCTGCGCATTGTAGGTATATGATTTGGGGCCATTACTTAAGAGAAGTGCTCAATTCGAACATGCTATTTCTGCTAAAGTTGACCTGCTCTATCTCCCTGTCCTTGTCATTTTCTTGAAGGAGGAAGTTTAGATCATTTCCTCGTAGACTAATAAAAGACCTTGTTTTGAAAGTACCGTAAATTGTATTTATAATGAAATGAGTCAATTTCTCCATCACTCAAACGCTTCTTTGTTTTGTACAGTATGCATTATAAATACTATTTGAATACTACATATTATGTATTACAAAATACACGTACAAAGCAGACTTTTGACTCGTACGGATACAATTTATTTGCATCACAAGAATCACAAACTGCATATGTATTACACATCTACAAGCTCCTCACTGGCTGCACAGCTCCGACTGAATTTTTGGACCATGATGTAGAGACTAAGGTCGGACTACTCAGCCTCATCACTTTCAAGAATCTTCTTCGATACGATGGGATAATAAACAGAATTGTGAGCGAATCAAACAACGGGGTTAACGAAGGCCCAACGCCAAGAACAACGCTGATATACCCCATCAAAGACGAAGGTAAAATATGACTTGCAAAAATTATGATAGGAAGGACGGTGAAGAGGAATGGAGGGATGACCTGAAACTTTTAGATTACAATGTATTTAGATCATACCACAAGTCTTAAAAAGTCATGAAAACTTTTTTTCTATTATTCGTGCATCACGCTGCTTACCTGTAAAAAAAATACGATTGTCACAACTCGATTGATGTGCTCTTTTTTCCTCGTAATTTTCCCCGCATTGTCCTTGAACACCCTCCACGCCCGATATGTGTAATAAACCACCAACATGTAACTAATAGACAATCCTGTATGTCCAAAGACATTGTGTATCTGGCTGGCGAGAGTTCTCTTAAACAAGAAATACCTTTTCTGAGCTGATCTACAAACCTTGTCAAGCACGGTGAAGGTCGGAATCGTCTTCTGGTTGCAACCTTCAGCCCCTCCAAACACTTTTTCAGTAAAGATTACCGGATTTTTGTGGAAAATCGATAAAAAAGTGATAGCATTGATAAAACTGTAAAGCACCACAACGAAAAACACAAAGAATAGTTGGCGTCCAGTCACATCTGAGGCTTTGAGGACTTTATATCGATAATAGATTTGAATAACGGGGATCCCGACATGGATGTAGACCACAAGGTGATTGATGACAATCCCAACATGTTGCCATCCGGCAGAGGCATGGTAAAGGACAAACGAGGTAGTAAAATAGTAGTTGTAATCACTTGTGGAGATTGGGCGCTTAAGATAAATTAAAGTGTAATTGGAAAGCAAGAAACGGATAGTAATCTCAAATGGAAAAATTCAGCTTGTGATTGCCTATTGCGGCTTTGAAAAAATACGTTAATTGTGGCGCAACGCTGTGAAATAGCAACAAAAAAAGGATCGAATTCAATGATCTGTGCTCCCGAGAAGCAATGAGTAGAAACGGCCGGAGAAAGGGCTTGAATTTGTATTTGCAAAATTTTGTGGAAATGAACTTCTGCGCTTTCCAAAAAGGAACTTCAAAAAGAGAAAAAAAAGGATTTTGCCAAGAGTTTGTACGCGCCTTGAAGTTCAGATAATTTTCACTGTGCGTTTAATATTTTTTGTGAATGTTGGCGCAACTTTGCGTTTTTACCCATGCGACAAGCTCTTCTTCGCGCTGATACCCCAAATTTCACGCGCAACGCCGGCGAAAAAATTGCCTATGTTTTTATGGCGAGCATTAGAACTGCCTGACCTGTTTCCAGCAGTTCGAAAGGAGTTCTGCGGAAGAAACAGTCCAGAAAAGTCCACCTTTCTGGGCAAGATGCCCAAGGAAACATTACGATTTATATCATAATGATTGCTTTCGAGATGCTTCTTCTCGTGCAATTGACTTACCTGCGCAATAAAGATCCTGGTAAGGCTCAACAAGATGGTGAAGCAGGATGTTAAAATAATCAATTTGGCATAAACTTTCATTTCATGAGTCTGCCGGCTCAGATAGACCACCACAGAACTCAAAAAAATAGCGATGGCTCCGATTATATCATTCGATACGGCATAAAACCAATCCAACGAGTCAACGCTGCAAGGGAGATTAAACGTTGGCTGCAGCATCGCTGAAAATATTTAAATCAAAAATTGAAATTTGGAACCTTTCGAAATTAGAAACCTGGACTCCCAAAGCCCAGCATCTTCAGGTTGGACTCTACAAGTTTCAATTGTATGTTTCTGACATACCCACGGCTTTAATGTTGCTCAAAATGTTTTCAATGCGATGAGAGATCATTATTTTAAGACTTCTTGACGCCTACTGCTGAACTCAAACAAGAGGGTCATTGTGTTGCAGGTACATTTGCAAAGGCAGGTGATAGTTACAGTGTCAAAGTTTGACTACATTTCTCGTAATTGTAGTCCGAGAAATCAACGGTGCTTGCAAAACAAGATATAAGGATGGTGACATACAAATCAAATCGAGTTTCGTGGCCAGAAACCGCCATTTCTTGTCTGTTAGGCCTCTAGACAAGAAATGCGCAATTCCTGTCTGAAAACAGGGCAACGACTCTCAATTCCTATCTGGAAGTTTAGACAAAAAAATTGTCCACAAGTCAGACAAAATATCCAAACTTCGGTCTGGTTTCGGACAAACTCGCTGTCTGTGCAGACAAACTCGCTGTCTGTCCAGACAAACTTGCTGTCTGTCCAGACAAAGAGCCTATCTGACAGAAAAAAAGTTTGGCCTAGACAAAAAATTTGTCTGGAATCCCTGTTAAAAAGTAGTAAATATTATACACTCCGTTACGAAAGTATACCTACCCCATTGAAAATTGCAATATCTAAAGTTTGGTAAGAGATATCAAAAAACTGCTAATGCCATTCGAAAGAGCATGTCTTAAAACCTATTACCACATGGAATCAGCCCGTGGAAAAAATTTTGATCGGTTTGGCAACCATTTTAATATTTTTGGCCGTTTCAAAAGTATACCTACCCGTGACGGTTTTTTGGCCAATCTGGCTCGGATTTTGAATTAACTTGCCCCGATTTCTTTCCATCGTGTACCCTATGGTATTAGGAAGTGTATTACATTCATTTCAATTGCACTTTACCCACGTAGTGCTTTTGCGAGCCATCTCTGACCTTGTACATGAGGTTTGTCTTAATTTCAAAAAAATCCTACATGAATGTTTTTGTTTCGCTAAAAAAACAACCTAGATAACTCTTATCGAAGGTAATACGTAAAACAAATCAATACAATATCATGTACAGCCATCTACATAAGAGATAAATTACCGTATACTTTTTACAGTAACCTTCACAGACCCTAGAAACACAAAAAATTAGTATCGATTGCAAAATTTTGTCCGGAAAATCGAACTCAGCATATCCGTAAACCTATATTTATACTCCACTAGTTTCAGAAGTGTGGTATCTGTTGCAGACACTCGGTTCAAAAATGCATTTGCAAAACCTAGTGTATTTTTGCCTGTTTTTCGAAGGTTTTTGAAGAACGGACTCTACAGGACTGGGGCCTGCTCTGTATGGGCGTCTAATTAAAGAGATATGTTTTCTGACATGCTGAGTCTGAATTCGCGTATCAAATTTTATGATTTGCGTCCATTCGTCTTGGTATTTTAGAGCCTAAAGTGTTACGGTAGCTGCTTGTTGTAGATGATATGATGAGAAAATACTTGAAAACTTTCAGTAAGCTGTTTTATTTTCTCATTGTGAGCTATATGTGCAAAATGTATACTTTCGTAACGGAGTGTAGTTTGTTCACTACTACTATAAATGTAATTCCACATACAAAATGTACAGATTTATGTTTTACAAGAGAATGCAGATTGGAGAAATCCCGAGTGATGCTTGCAGAAGAATTCGTTTCATCAGCATCTCTTTCCTCTTCTTAGGTTTCTTTTCGAATTTTAGCTTCCTGAACCTGTTGATGGCCGTGCCGGGGAAGGCGAACACACTGTTGACTAGAGATTGACAAGAGGCTACACCGTTACAGAACTCCGACGCTTTGAATCTCGCTTGAAGAGGTGAACGCCGACAATTGAACAATTCGAAAACCCGTGGATCCATCGGAATGTCCAAAGGCTTCTTTTTCCTTCTTTCCAAACAATTCGGTTTCTAAACACATGAATAACACAATAAATAACTTACAAGGTAACAAAAAGATCGAAAAAATTTCCCAACATCTGAACTTCTGCATAGAAATGGATCTGTTACAGGTCAACCCGGGTCGGAATTTTGCGCAATCAGAGCTCGGTCATTCGTTTGAGGTCTAAAATTTCGATGGAACCATCACTTGCGAGGTTTCCATCAACCTTTACTTCCACTTTGGGCAAACACAGCAGAAGAACATTTTGCATTCCTAATCGAGTCTAGGACGTTCAACGCACGAGGAACAGGTTCGACGCTGTAGTTACGGACCATGACGGACTCAACTTCCCAACAACTGAAGTGAACATGAAGAAATCGAGCTGGATTCAATGTCAACTACCCTCATCACAATCCGAAACTAGGAAATGATGGATTCTTCTGATTAAAAGCCGGATACTCGTATTTTTTCTTTGGTTTTTGGGGGTTTCAATTTTTTTTTTTTTTGATTTTTGGGGGTTCAGACAATTTTTTTGTCTGTTCCTCAGACAAGAAAACTGAAGTTCTTGTCTGGGAACTGAAATTGCTAAATTATAGACAATTTTTACGTAATTCTTGTCTGACCTCAGACAAGAATCTTCGATTCCTGTCTGAAGGTCAAAAATTCCAGACAAGAAGTTGGGAATTCTTGTCTAGAGGCCTAACAGACAAGAAATGGCGGTTTCTGGCCACAAAACCCGATTTGATTTGTATGTCACCATCCTTATATTTTTAATAATTCTAAGAAAATCTATTATATATGAGGATAACGGATGTACGGTACTTCTATTATGCTTATAATTGGCAGGTGATATTGCACTTTCAACAAGACTTTTTTACAAACTGAAGCTTCCACAATGTAGAACATTGTAAACGACCATCACCAAACTTTATGAAATTGGCCAGTAGAAAGGCCCTTGATGTGCTGATAACAAGCGTCATCGGTTTTCGTGGAATTTCAACTATTCCGGGATTTTTGTTATCGGGCTGGCGGACTTCGATAGAAGATATTTCATCGCATCAGAATTTTCTAAAAACATACTTGAAGTTGACGTGACGTAGTGTGGATTTTTTGTGATGAATATATTTGTACTCAAATGCTGAGATAGACCGCTGAATACAATGACAAAGCACCCAAATGTTTACATAACTGTCAAAGTAGTTGGAACGGATTTTTAGAACTGTTATAGATGTATTAGAGCAGCTTTTACATAAGTACGCGGAAGTAAGGAATGTCTTCGCTTCGGGACTAAAGAATTTTTTCTGTAGAAAAACGTTTTTTTCGAAAAAATTACGTTTTGATTTTTCCGAAGCCCAAGACTTGTGTTTCAAGACTAAAGCAATTTATTTGGATCCGCCGACAATGAGCTTTGTTTTTTTGCTAGGTTTTATAAACGTTTCTTCTGTTTGAAATATGGAACCTGCAGCACTTCTGTAGCACGTAAAATTAAAATCATTATTATGTAACTGAATGCACAGTAAACAATGTTTGAGATCTCGGGCCTGATTTTGGTGTCAAGATGATGCTAAAAAGATGTCGTCGAAAGGATGGAAGGATGAGAAGGACACTCAACGCATCAAACAACGGAGTTATTGCGGGACCAAACCCAATCGCAACTGTTGTATAACTCATCAAACGAGGCGGTAATAACGATGTGGCGAACAAAAGATTAGGTAGGAGCATAAAAACAAATGGCGGAACGGCCTGTAAAAATAATTGCAAAGTCAGAAAATTCACAATTGAAATTACGATATGTAACGTGGGAAATGGAGGTTTACCTGTAGCAAAAATAACAAGTTGACACTTCTGTTCATCTTCAACTTCTTCTTTGTCATCTGTCGGGCATGTTGATTGTAGACGCGCCATGTTTTGAGAGCGTAGTAGATCATAATAAACGAAATTAGAGACAAGCCGACATGACCGAGAATGTTGTGTACTTGGTTGGCAATGGCGTCCTAAACGGGAAGCGCCATTAGAAGGCCAGACAAACATACCTTGTAGATTACCGTAAATGTAGGCAATTCCTGAGTGCACCCTTTAATCCCTCCAAAAATATCGTCAATATAAATCTCCGGATTCTCCTCGAAGAGAAAGTAAAAGGTCAGGGAATGGACAACCCAAAATGCAAACATTGCAAAATAAGCGACTTCAATCTGTGTCTTCGTTACATTGACATCTTTCAGAGTCTTGTAGCGATAATAAAATTGGACAGCCGGGATTCCGCCATGGAAGAAAACAACGATATAAGTGATGTAAATTAAGATTTGTTGAAGGGTTTGTGAGCAATGCAGGAAGAGAGGGCTGACTGTGAAGTAGAAGAAATAATTGGCAGTGGAGATTGGGCGCTGGAAACGGGATATCAGCAAAGGGTTATTTTGTAAAATTATTCCTTGATTTTCGTTCAAGTTTACAATAGTTCTAAATGTCAGCAAAAACGGACAATATCGCCATATTTTGCGTTAAAAAATTCAAGCTTAAATTTATGTCAAGTTCCAATACAATCTGCTTACAATTAGAGCATTTCCTCTGTAAAAACACTCGACCTACCTGTCCAATCAGCGACCTTGTAATCGAAAACACAATATTACACACTGAACTGAAACGTATCAGCTTTGTGTAGAGCCTCATTTCATTGCTTTGCTTGAACGTCAAGATTATCACAATTACATTAAAAAACACCGATAAACTTCCAACACAGTAGTTAAAATAGTTATGAAAATTATGAATAGAATCCTCGCTGCAAGGAACGTTAAAAGTTGGGGTCAGCATTCCGTAGTTATTACTGTCGTACTTTACGTAACGAGTCTATTACCAGCGTGCTTTTGTACCCAAATGCACAACAATATAAATTCCGTGAAGTCCAAAAAACCGAGCGTTTCAAAACACGTGGCTACAGTTATCTTGGCTATAAAGCGGGCATTGTAACGCCCACTGATCACACAGTCTCACTGTCCCAGCCATAAGGAACAGTCTAGAAAATAAATATCAGCAATTCATTGTAATGCAAGTATTAATCGAATCTATGGCTGTTACAGTCTGAAAAACAAGTTCTGTCATTTCCAAAACATGGTACACGTCAAGTCGAAGAAGCAAGAGAACGGGAACTGTTCAAGTCTGGAATTCCGTGAAAAATAAAGGATCCAAGAGGTCTTCTTTGACCAAATTCTTGATCAACTTGGCAAAAAACAGGACTTTTTTTGACAAATATCAATGTATTTGATGACTATTTGTGATGTCAGAATGGTAACGCATAAAATTGCGTTTTGGACCTTGTAAAAGGCTCTGTTGTAAATTTTAAGAAAACTGGTGCTTCTCATGTGCTTCTATTTTTGGGTTTTTGTTAGATTGCAATCTTGTAAGTAATCAAGAGCTTATCATAACTTTGATTAACTCTCCCTTTACTTTAATACATTACATAAATCAAGCAATATCTTTTCTGTCTAGACTTCATTTTGGCTCATTTTTGAACCCTTACACATTCAACCGACTCAAGACTATCTCTCTGCGAAACACCTTATATAAAATGATTTCTGGAGCCAATGTTCTTAAATTACTGCTTCACATTTATGCATTACATCAGCTTCAGATTTCCTAATAAACAAGAAAATATGTGCTCGGCCGCTTTGAGCGGCCCTTTCGGCCGTTGAAAGCTTTCTTTTTCTTGGACATTCCCGTCCCCTCAGGCTTTTTTCCACTTCTTTTAGACCTTTTTCGCGTTGAAACCCCTTTCCAGAGTCCCTTTCTTTATTTATCGTCTGAACTTTCGTTGTAGTCAATTAAAACTCAACCCGAATTAAATTCTGAACCCACAACGTGAGTCTGACTACTAATTTGACGGGGGAACGACGTGAAATTTCGTTGGGAATCGAGATTTTTGCGTTTTCTCCATGTTTTCCGCGGTTTATTGGGGAATTTTAAGGGCAAAGTTGCGCAATTTGGTTTTTGATGCTTTTCGAAGCAATTTTCCGGGTTCAAGAAGTTACAGTGTAAGAAACAAAGTACTGGAGGATATTGTTTCGTCTTACAGAACAATAGAACAAGGAGGGATTTCAAAAAAAAAAATAGCGTAAATAATAGCGATAAACAACATTTCTAAAGGTCTCATCTTCCCTGTTTTCTTTCTCTTACGATTTTTGTAACAACAATATTGGTAAAAACACTTTTTTGTTTACCGATGAAATATCACAAGTGGTTTAATTTTCAGATTTTAACTGCTTTCTTTTTCCGATTACAATCATTTTCTGAGATTCAATTTTCACGTTGGCAATTGAAGGCGAATATGTAAATTTTAGAATGCGATGTGAGTTAAAAACTGCACTTTTCTCTGGCCAGATTTAACTCTGAAAATTTCAACTTTGTCTTTGCCAAAATACATCAAGATTTATTGGTATATTGGCTCGAACGAACGTATTGAAGGGTGATACCCTTAAATACGTTGATTACATACAACCTTGCTATGTACTATTTCGAACACACGTAATTTCATTTTCATCTTCTCACGTTTCCAAAACCACGTGTTCCTTTCTCATTCTCAAGGTGTGTTTATACTTCCAAAGTCCCCAGACAATTTATTTCATAGACCAAATGTCCCTGGCCAAGGGAATCCCATGGCCCAAAGATCGGGGAAATTAGAAACGTGATCGGCCGATGAGCACACGTGACTAAACTCTTGGATTTTTAACTATCAAAGTATAGTGCATTCCTTAACCTTATTTTGCACCAAAGACAAAAAAATCGAACATTTGAAGATCACAAGGCTTAGAAAAAAATTTAAAAACAATTTTACAAACTTTCTTTTTATTTTCAAAATGCTCGTCAAAAATATGATTGATTTGCCTGTTTTATAATTTTTTAACACAATCAAAAGAATTTCAGTGCTAAATTAGATTTTTACAACCAAAACCGAAGATTACTGGTACCAAATTAGGACTTTTTATGAGGTCATTTGTTAAAAAATGGGAAAAAGTTATCAAATTGTCGGCGATTCAGGGTCGTAAATTAGAAAAGCGTGCTGATTTTTTTGAAAGAAGTGGGTTCAAGGAAAATTTAGATTGTAAAAAATCAAAAAAATGTCATAATGACACATTAAATCTTTAAACATTTTTCATTTCAAAAGTCAGCATGACGCAACATTTTGAAAAAAATTGCTTGCTTTTTAAAGAATTTTTTTATTTTTTGAGCTTTTTTGTAGGCATAGCTTTAAATTTCCAATTTTCACAATTTCTTTTTAATTTTGTGGTTTTTCAAAGCACAATTCGTAGACCGCTTCGCGGATTGTAAAAACACATTTGTTTCTGCCTTGCAAAGTCATCTTGACACTGATCCAAACTGAAAATTACAACTACAATTCCCACAATTCACACGGCGATTTCTCCCACAGCAACCCTTTGTCTGATGCAATCGGTCGTTCAAAACCATTATTTTGTTGTAACAAGCGTTCGCAGTAACTCACTACTTTTAAATTAGCCTAAAAAGCCTTTTATAGCCACAGGTGCTTCAAATTATTAACAAAAATGTGGAACTCACATGTACAATATAAAATAATTGATGTCACTTGATGAAAGTCAACTGTTTGACCCTTAAAAATCATCGACTGCAAGAAGAAAGTTATGATTCCTTTTTTGTAAAGTTAGCTCTCGGATGCAGTAAAAGTGTGCCGTCAAAACACGCGCCATATTACACTGGACGACTAATCTCCCGTTCGCGAGAAATTCACGTGAAAGTCCGCTCTTCGCTCTTTGGGCCCGCCAGGGAGAATGGCCAAGCCCCGCCGCGAAACGGGGGGAAATTTCGAGTTTTTTTGCGGCTGCAAATATTCGTGGCTGAAAAGGGAAAGGGAAAATGGCAAAAAACGGAGAAAATTAAGGAAATGACGATAAAGGATAAGAAATTAGTGAATTTCCTCAAGTTGGGGAGCAATATTTTTCTGATAAGTGATCAAATAAGGACGTTGTACTCATGTTTTATGCAATTTTGGTTTTTACCCCACCTCAAGTCGCGTAAAAATTACAAAAAATGCAAATTTATGATAATTTTTGGACAAACGACAGATGTTTTTAAAAAATTGGCTTAAAGATGACTCAATGCCTTATGTGGCAAAAAAATAAACTATTTTGCATCTTGCAGTGGTTGCTTTCATTGTCTAGACGCTTTTTATTGATCTATTTCACATCATGCTTTTTGGCAGAACTTATGTAACTTTTTGATTTTATTCAAGATTTTTTGATGTTATCGTAAATTTTGAGCAAAGCTCATGCCATTTTAACTCAATTTCTGCCCATGTTTTATACATAACCCACTCGTTTTACCTCGTTTCTTATCAAGATGTTGCCTTTTTCCATATTTTTCCAGAAATTTCCTCGGAATTTCGCAACATTCTTCATATTCCTCACTATTTTGCCATCCTCAGTTTCTAAATATGGCCAGTCCAAAGTACGCTCCAAACCGTCTCGTTTGCGAAATCCCTGGCCACGGGCGTTCGCTCGAGAGAAAATGGGGAAAGTGCAGAGAAAAAGGAAGAAAGTGGGAGGGGATTTTCGAAAAATATAAAAAATAGCGGGGAGAACAGAAAAGACAAACCCCGGAATATTTTTGCTCAGAATTTGTTTCGAAGACGGTTGGGAAAGCCGGTGCTGTCTGGCCAAGAGCTCCCTCCGAACGTTCCGATTGTTATTCGGCTAGAAATTGGTTGGCCTGCGTGTTAGCTGGCCAGAAAATTCATTCAAATACTACTACTACAAGCTTGATTACGGTACCTGTCTGTGGTCTTTGACGTAAAAAAGATGGGCGATCTAATGGTCAGTAAATTGTAATTTTTTTGTCGTAGATTCCCTGGGAATAAGGGCGTAAAATTTATCGAGGAATTTAGTAAGGGGATGATTTTGAAATTGCGGTCTGTTTACTGCGGGTTTTCTGATTTATGGGATCTGATGAAAGTTGAAGGTGGAACTTTTTCTGAAGGTGAAACTTGACGCATTCCTCTCCCAAATAAAATCTTTTTTATGTCAAGAAGTATTTTGGCTTCCCTCAAAATCCTGCAGTACTATTCTGGTATGACTCCCCTCCTCTCCCTCCACTTTTACAATGGGGTGATGAAGAATGTGTTTTTGGCGCCCTCCTTATCACACTCCACACTTGTTTTTATTTTTTTTTTATCTCTACTCTTACACTTTGAATGTAATAAGGTTATCAATTTTTCAGAAAATGGCGGGTATCTCACAAACGGCCTTAGTCTACAGCGGCATGGTCGGGATGGTGTACTTGGGGACGGATGGCTTCCAGAAAAATGCCCCGTTCGTGTTTACACTACCAGTTGTGGTGCTGGGATTCATCACACTCTCAACTCGAATGCCGATTATGCGAAAGATCTGCACGTCTGCTTCGTTTTTCTTGTTGGGTGAGTCGGGAGAAAACAATGAGAAATAGTGGACTTTAGATCGGAGAAAAAAACGTTCATGGCTGAACTAAAAGTAGAATGAAAAACGGCAGTTGCCTGGGACGTTTTATTCTTTGATCGGAGATTTAGATGAGCTAAAGATCAGTTTTGTTGATGGCATTCTGTAGATTGTCGCTAAACGAAAGATAGTGAAGAAAGAAAGAGTTGACTCGGGTGGGTCAAGTGTCTTCTTCACTAACCCTTTATGAGACAGACTACTGTAAAATACCAAATACACGGTCTATTGCGTTCAAAACTGTTTTTTAATAGGAAGGACACACTTGACACATTGAGTCAAGTCTTCCCCTCAAAGCCAAAACTTCTCAAAATTTGAGCTCATTTACGATTTATGACAAAATCGGTCAAAATTATCTTCTATTTTTTCAGCTTCTGCTCTCTACGAATGGTCGATGAGTCCCCGTCGCCTAGAAATTAATGCCTCCATCATCACAGCGTCTCATATTTTCTATCTTCTCTCTTTTATCGGATGCGTAAAGCAATGGTGGAAGTCCCTGGCCGTCCTCACAACTCTATTTTCCATTTGTTTTGCGTACATTGTCTTCGCCGACCTTTTCCGATCACTGCCCTGGGTTGTGTTGGCGTGCACAATGTCCCATTCAACCATTGGTTTGAATTTTGTGGCGGCCGGGTCCGTCTGGAAAAAGGGCAGCAAGGTGCCGTTCGCTGAGACGGTAAGGAGGGGTTTTGAGGGATTGAGAGTCAAACTTAAGTTTATTTTTGAGTCAAGTTCAAGCTTTATTGATTCACAAGGGAAGTTTTGAAAGTACTGGGATTTTCGCTTTTTTCGCTTATGCTATTAAAGGGCAGCCTAGCTATTGATGACAAGAGAGTGGATAAAATGCGGAGGGTGGCCGGAGAGAAAAAGCTTAGTTCGCATGTCCGCCAATGCCCCGAGGAAAAAAGTAATTTTTCGCAGAAAAGTTTTCCTTGGGTAAAATCAAGGAAACCCTTATTCGACATTAGCTTTTATTGACTCTCCAGATTAGTTTCAAAGTAAAAATTGATGTCAACCCGTCCAACACAATTATTTCTTTTACATTTTCAGGCAGCCTTCACTCGTTTCATCGGCATTTTCTTTGCCTACATTTGCGACGTCGCTCTACTATCCAACCAATTTGCCCGCCACACTCCACAACTGGTGTTCTACCTGAACACAACCTACTATTTGTCGCAGTATATGCTATACTTTGCGAATGAGCGAGCCTTCTAAAGCAAGGATAATAATGTATTAGTTCTATTATTTAAAAGTTCAAAAATATGGGTCTGTTTTTTCATGTCATCTTTAGAGCAGCTTAACGTCCTATGAATGGAAGTTGTAAATGTCATATGAATCTCTTAGTGGCACAAAAAAGTTTTTGTTTAAAATTACATATTTATACAGTTTTGTACATAATAAACGTACTGAGTATGGCCAATGGACTAATGTTAAGGTCAAAGGTCGATAAGGTGTGGATAAGTTATAAGAGTCCCTTCGGGTTGTGGACTGGGCCATTGCTCATCTGCATAGAGCTTCTTTCTCGGCATTGTAGTACGGAGAGTGGTCAGAGGTCAGAGCTCCATTAAAGGGCTGTCAGACTCTCCAAAACAAATAGGTTTATACAGTGTAAAGGAATTGCTATACACATGTATTACAAAGAAGTATTTATCATGCCTTGCCACCCACTCTTTGGTGAGCTTTCCAATATTTCATTACTATCATTCAATTTTGAACAGCAAAGTTCGCGATATCAGACAGAATAATCTAATCACACATGGAAGACGTACCCATAAATAAGATCTACAATTGTTTATTCCTATCTAAATAAAGCAACATCATTTTCACAAACATTCAAAAGATGCTAATATCAACTCTTTAATTCTGCTTTTGCTTCTTGGCCAATTCATCCAAGAATTCTTGTTTCTTACTCAGCAATGTCGTCTTGATCAGAAGATCCTGAACAAAAACAGGCAATGCTTCCATGATATCAAAGACCAACTGATGGGCATAGTGTCCTTTGGTGGTTTCAGCCCAACCAATCGTTTTTACGGCCGATTCAACGAAATCTTCTGGAGTTCGAACGAGGAAATTGGGAGTGCTGGATTTACTCAGCTTCGTGGTGATAAATCCTGGAGCCAAGTATTGAATGTGGATTTTGGGGTTCTCGATTCGAATGGAATGAGTGAATTTCTCGAGGGCAGACTGAAAAAAAGTGGAGTATTCTATAAAATTACATTTTTTATTTTTTGTACATATTCTATCAAGGCAATACATAAGTCAATTCCCTAAAGATTAGCCATCAAGATCTTTGCATCATAACGCCTAGAGATCAATCTTACCTTCGACAGTCCATAAGCCGTGCAGAACGGGTAGTTGAAAGAACTGGCCATGGATCCATTGTTCACGATGACTCCTCCGCCCCTTTCTTCCATCGGTTTCAGCACAATCGATGAGAGAAATACGGCCGGATACATGTTTACATCAACGATCTCCTTGTTCTCGCCGATTCCACCAATAAGTTCGTGGAATCTGTCGACGGTTTGAGGGCCGGCGCCGACATTGTTGACTAAAAAACAGTAATTTGAACTGCAAAATTGCAAAAAATTGGACAGATACAATAAAATGTTTTCACAAATCTCTTCTCACATAGCAATCCAACTTTTTTCAGGGGCTCTGTGAAAGTGTTAACATAATCTTCAGGCTTTGTATTTTTAAAATCAAAAGCGATAGTTTCAACTTGGATTCCCTTATATTGGGCGAGCAGTTTCTCCTTGGTATCAATAAGTCTGGACTGAGTTCTTGAGATCAGAATTAGATTGAATCCACGCTTGGCCAACTCGAACGCATAGGCTTTGCCAATTCCGTCAGTGGCGCCGGTAATTGCTAAATAAGAATTTTTGATAAAATCATTTCAAATAAATTCCAAATTGCCTGAAATGAAGGCTCAAAATGCACAAAAATTACTAAAGATGATATTTTTATCATGCCTAAATTGTAGCTTACCAGCCCAATCACTTCTGGCCAATTTCTTGAGATCTTTGGGCTCGGCAAAGAAGTAAACGTAAGCATGGAATCCAATGTGGTAAACGATCTTGATCAAGGTGTATACGCCATACAAGTACAAGGCGTAACCGATGTTCTCAAAGAGCCCCATTTTCCTGGAAAATAAATGAGAAATAAAAAAATGATGACAAGACATTAGCATAATAATGTCGTCACGTATAGTTCGATTGATATAATAATCAAATTAGAATTGCAAAATCGACTTTTGCGTCGACAAGAAGTAATAATTTTGTCTGAACAACAATATTCGATATATAATATATTTTAGGCCAAGAGTTGCCTCGGTTAGGGATGGAAATCCTTAAATAAGGCTACCGTAGCCATGAACAACTTTCCCATCCACAAGAATCAAAATCAGCCACCTGAACACACGAATCTACGCCCCTAATAAAAGTCATATGGAGATATCGATAAAAGATATTCGACTTATGACTTGGGAATCCTTTGGAACCCAACGAAATGTGAATACACACAAATAAAATAGAATATAATAGACCACACAGAGAGATGATATTCCCTCAAGGGACGAATAACGATCGTCCGGGATCAGCCGCCTTTTGTATGAGATCGTATGCAATTGCGAATTGTGAAAAGAATTGAGCCTTGCAAGGGCTCGTGGGAAAGTTGGCAATAAAAAATGGACAAAAAAATCTTGGTCATACTTGGAATCAAATAAGCATTGAAACATCTTATCACATTGGACTAAATGAACCCATAAATTTTATTCAAACGTTCTCTGATAAGCGGTTTAATTGAAAGGCAACAAAACTGCATATTCCACAAAATAAAATATTATTTCACTTTTGCACAGCAAATTTTTACTTAGAAAAGCGTATTAATCAAGTTATAAACTGCACTCTTATTTCTCTCCTTTAAAGTTTTGGTGGTGCATGTTTAAAAGCATCTACTGTAGAGGTCTCCGTACTTGGGTTAGCCACTGTGTCCCATACTGACTTCTTCGAGGTCCCGGTGGCATGGATTCCTGGCAGCGGTTCGTCAAAATCACTCTCATCTGAAGAGTCATCATTTAGATTTTTGGAAGTGGATGTGGGATGGCCGCTGCCTAAATGAGTTAAAGCTCCGGTGACCGTGTTAAATGAAGATCCATTTGGCTGAGAACCAGTTGTTCCAGTAGCTGATCCAGCTGCGGTGTTGAACAAAATACCTTTTTTCTTAAGACTACTGCTTGTTGTGGCACTTCCAAAGCTGTCCATCAAGCCTTCAACTCCTGGTTGCGCTTGTCCCTCATTCATGCCACCTATTGGTTGTTTACTCGTCTTAAGACCGAGAAGTCCTCCTCCGATTCCACCACCCTCTGCCGTATCATAATCCTCGGTTTGTGGCCCTTGCTCATAAATGGATGGTGGCTTAGTTGCCGGATGTCCTAGGCCAACAGTTGGGGTCCCGTTGTATTGGGAACCTTTCCCTAGGTCAATTCCTGAAGGAGGCTTGGTGATAGCACCAAAGGAACTAAACAGATTTCCACTGGCCCCATGACCAGGCGTCACAATCCCAGAAACGCCTCCCACACCAATGCCAGCGGCTTTAGAAGTGGCTTTGCTTGATTTGGTTGTTTCCTGAGAGTCATCTTCGAAGAATGACAGGGGTCCCGCCAAGTTTATTTCTGGTTCTCGTTTGATGCGAACACCTGCAAAGCAAAATGTAATATCGAATAGCAACGTACCGAAGCCTTCAGTTTGTAATACAGCCATGGCAAGTAAGCCAGTTAGAATGTAATTGGTCCTCATGACAATAAAATTGAACCCTGAACCAGCTGTATTGAGTAAAACCTGTCGGTTTGCTTGGTTATATATACAAGTGCTTGTTATTGTCCGGCTAGAGGGTAATCCCGACTCTAAAGGGCATCATACATATATCCAGCCTAATCAAAAACAAGCAGGGATACCCTTGTGTAATAGTGGAACTCATGGTAAACAAGTCCTCCGGGAAAGATGAGCCGGCATGTTTTAAACTGTAAATTTATGTATTTCGAACCTTTACACACACATACGTCCTTTGGCATGCAATAAGAACGGTAAAGTTTGATGTTTGCAACCGCTGCAAAATCTTTCAAAAGGTCAAATTTCCGTGCTCGAAAGGTTTTTTTCGAGCCCTTATAGGATTAAACTTTGTCATTACTTTTAGAATTTATTTACGGACCCAATTTCAGTTGTAATGGCAAAAAGTGATGGCGATCTTCCAATGACTATTCAAGCTTCCCATTCTTGGCAACATTATTATTTTCCTGCAACTCTCTCAACCGGATGAATTCCACGTTTTCTTCCCTCTTTGCTTTCAGCGACTTCTCCATCAAAAAATCTTGCAACCACATGGGCAAAGAAGTAATGATATCGAATTGTAACTGTTGCGCGTAATGCCCTCGAGTATCGTTGACCCAACCAACTGTTTTTACGGCGTATTTTACATACTCTTCGGCTGTGAGATCGAAGAACGTCGGCTTCATTTTCTTGCTGAATTTGGTCACAATCCAACCGGGGGTTAAATGCTGGATGTAAACCTCTGGATATTCTACCCGCAGAATGTGAGAAAACTTTTCGAGGGCCGTCTGACAATGAAATGGATAATATTTTTGGCAAGATAAGAGATGATATATAGTTGCAATAGACGACTCACTTTTGTAGCGCCATAAGCCGACACATAGACAAAGGTGACAGATCCAGCAATTGATCCAACATTTACAATAGTGCCACCTCCCCGCTCTTTCATATATTTGAGGACAATGGAGCAGAGGCAGAAGGCTGGGATCAAGTTCAAATCAACAACTTGTTTTTGCTCCGCCAGTCCACCTTTGACTTCATGAAGTCGGTCCGGGATTTCATAGACACCACCAACGTTGTTCACTGAAAAAGTAAATCTGATAGCACTATTATCTTACCCAGAAATCCAACCTTCTTCATTGGCTGCCTCAATATTTTCTCATAACTCTCTGGGGATGTGTCCGTAAAATCAAAAGCAATGGTCTCGATTTTGATGTTAGGATTTAATTTTAGGATCTCTTCTCTAACATCATCAAGTTTGGACTGAGTCCTTGAAATCAAAACGAGATTCATCCCTTGTTTCGCCAATTGGATCGCATACTGTTTGCCAATTCCGTCGGTGGCTCCGGTGACCGCTACAATAACTTTGTTCAGCGTAAATCATAGCTCAAAAAATTTTGCAAAGCTTTGTAATGCTTCTCACCAGCCCAGTCAGTTTTTGCCAGCTTTTTAAGGTCCTTCATGGGTGCATAAAAGTACACATAAGCATGGAAAACGGTATGGCAAACAGCCCTGAAGATGTAATAACCAAAGAACAGGTAAGCCACCCATCCCAGATAAGACAACATTGTTTTTTTTGCCTCCGAAGAATGAACTTTCCACTTCTTATATACGTTTAAGATAACCAGATTAAACTACGTTGTAAAGTTGAGCGGGAAAAACATGCAGATTATTTCCGATTTTTAATCAGTAATCAAACTAAGGGCAACCTACAGATTGTTCAAGTTCTTGGCCCTCCTTCTTTACAGTAAATACCGTGAAATGTCATGTCAAATAAAGAAGTAAACATTAAACAAGGATGTGATGATTGGTGTAGTTGATCGTCGTGAACCCAAAAAGTAACAAAAAAATGAAACATTTACGTTCTTGATTGGAACATGTGAGCACTGCGTGCAATTTTTACACTTTAATCGGTTAAAACGCCGGAATAAAATGGTAATGTTACAGTCAAAGCGCTATAAATAGGGATTTGACAATACATAAAAACCGGGCATGGTCTTTTTGTGCCAGTCCCTCCGGCTCGATGAAAAGTAGGCCCGCCCGTTTTCAAAATTTCAGAATGTGGCTTTGAAAGACCTAAAATTTTAAGGCCTGGCCCGGTAGTTTGCCGGATCTAAACAAAATAATGAAGAACTTTGCATTTGCAAAAAGAATGACAAAGGTTTTGATAAATAAAGTTTATTTAAAACTTTACAGCGTCATGAATATTATTGTAATATTCTTATTAACATATTTACAAGGGGCATTTCACATCTAAAGCTGTTTTCTCGGGCTCCTCACTTGGAGGAAGGAGATCCTTTCCTTTTTTGCACAAGAATGAGAAGAATAAAAATCCACAGAACAGGATGGTTGAGGAAGTCATCATAAGGTGAAGAGGTGGGCCGGTAAGGAGGAAGCCAAACATGGCCGCAGCTTCTAGGATGTAAACGAAGTGGGCTAACACCTGAAATTTGAAGGTTAGGAAAAGGAAGTAGGTTTTGAACGAAGGGAAAACTTGACACAAAGAGTAATGCTTGACCAAAAAGGTGTTAACTCTTCCTCTCTATCTCTTGTCCGCAGGGGGGCTCGTTAAGTCGTCCGAATGACTTCTGATGCGTTATAAAAATTACCTGTCGATGTAAAAATGAAGCCACATAGGCACCAAATGGCGCCAGCCCCATTCCAACGGGAATGCTGACTTTGATGTAATCAACAACAATTTGACTGACATCCCCCATGATTACGTACCGCCAGTACATGCAGAATTGTGAAGATAACGCTGAAATGGACGTAACATTATAGGTAACTTCTAATGCAAGCAAAATTCTATAAACGTGAGCTTACCCATAGCCACAACCGTTGTTGGTGTCGCATTTTTCTCAGAAACGCTGAACAACAAAGTGATCACCGAGAAAATACAGATGTCAACTCCACTCCCGGCAAACGCCGTAAATACTCCACCAACAAATCCTGTGGCCAATAAGACCATCGCTTTCCAAAAACAGAAATTCTGGATTTGAGAATAAGTTGGCCGTTTCTTCTCTCGATTCAGAATCCATAGCGACAGGGCGAAAGAAGACCATATCGAGACGAATAACATCTTCTTCTCGGGAGCTGTGAAGTTTGGATCAACCTGAAAAAGTGATGATAATGATGACTCGTGTGAACTGGGGGTTTTTAAAGGTCTACTTACATAGTAAAGCCCGAATAACTGTCCAGGAATTGATCCCAAAACCCCAAGTCCGATCGCTCTCCACTCAACGTTCAGCCGCATAAATATTATCGCGAATAATGCCGAACTCATCCCTAAAGTGTTACAGCAATATATCTGGAATTTCATTTCTTGAAAAATGCATCAATGCTACATCAAAAATTCTTTATACTTTAGGGATTTAAAATGCCACAGGACTTACCAAAGCCCTGAATTGTAATCGAAAAATCCCTTCCGTCTTTGGGCGTCATGTGAAGAACAAATGTCATGACTGGAAAAGCGATTGCTCCACCGCCTTCGGATGTCATTCCTGGAACAGAATACGAAGATTTAAATGCTCATACTGTAAATTGTTACCTGCAATAAGTGCCCCAAACACCATAGTCAATGGCATCTGCCAATGTGTTGCGTATAATGAAAAGTAGTCATAGTTATATGCAGTGCAGAGCCATAAAAACAGGCCTGTCGTTACGGGAATCGCAAAAGAGATGAGTTTCCGATGCCTCTCAACGAATTGCTCCTCCGGTGTGAGGTTTTCAAGCAAGCTTTGGTTATCATTATCATCCTCCTCAACATGGCAAAAATACTTCCGAAACCATTCCTTCGGTGAGCGTTGTTGCCTCGGCCCTGACTGCATACCTAAAAGAAAATATTATAATTTTACTGCGACTAACAGCATAAAATTTTACAGTACTAAGTCCGACTTTTATAGTAAATCCTTTAGTCTACATATGTACCGATGTCTATCTTTTATATCCTAGATGACAATAACTCCATAAAATAAACTAAATATTTTTAAAAAACTCCTCGCTTTTAACAAACTACGTTGAACTGTGGGAGTTTGTTGATCACCTAGCAGCCTTAAACTTGTTTCAGATGCCACTAAAACCTCCTCAAAACACATACATGTGTACAAACAAAACAGAAGCTGCTCAAAAAGTAATACGGGCCCGTCATAAAACATTTTTTACACTCTGATATTACTGATAATTTCGCAGACTATTTATTGATAACGTTTACAACTACAAAAGAAGGAGAATTACCTGTAACAAAGATTTGTACGACCCTATATGTATAGACAAAAACATATTTTTGTAAACTTATTCTTAGAACGCCCAATGTTTGGGTAATTCAAGGAAAATTACAGTACATAAAATCATCAAAACCGAAGCGCAATTACGTCGGGCTTCTTATAACAACAACAAGGCGAGACCCACTGAATTTCTCGGCAAATTTTAAACCAAAAATTTATTGTGATCAAAATTGTCGATGGGCGTACGGTAAAGATTTATTAGGTAATGAGAGAGTCGAGGTCATTGTAGCCCTTCAAAGGCTTTGAATTTTTGCTAACAATATAGATGAAAAAGGACAGTGCAAGTACAGTTTTGCACATTTGTGGAATTATCTGGTCACTGACAACAATTTTTCCAAGCTCAAAAAAATTGCAGCATTTTATTTTTTATACAAAAACGACCCGCTTTGTCCATCAATCAAACCGCCACTTACCCGCAAGTCCAGTCCACCCACAGATCGCTTGATTAATGATTCGGCCTCACATTATAATGCAACATCGTACAAACAAGGCGGGACTTGGTTATCATTACTCCCATGAATCTCGCGCTCAACGCCCCGCCACATTAGCCGGTTGTCTTTATTCTGGGAAACAATGGACAAAAGACCCGGAGGGTAAAAAGAAACTTGAAGTGCGCAAAAAAGATTCCGATCAAAGGTGCGTCGAGTTATCAGAAAAAAGAAGCGGGATGACCTATCGAGACGAGGTGAGAGATTAGAAATTGATAACTCGGATACTGTTCGTATCACCGCGTTTGCTACAACAGTGAAAATTCGGAAATGCAAGAATAATTATAGGCCGTCAAAGAATACCTATATGGAAACATACTCAGTTTTTGCTTAGATTCTGCATGCCTGATCCATGTAGACGACAGTAAAATTGTCAAATTTTTTGACTCTGTTTGCAGGCAACCTGTACCGTAGTTTCTCGCCACTTACAACCAAAAAATTACACACTTTTGGACTAAAAATTTCCAACGGTTTCTGCGAAAAAGATGCTGATAATCCCGTAGAGGGACAACTTCACTTTCAATTTGCCTCAATCATAATCCATGTGATAAGTTCTTGCTCTTGACGATGACAAATGCGTTGATCCATGTTCCATCTGGGCCAAGTCTCACCTTATCTCCTAATGTAAATCTATTTCTGATATCTCATTGACCATCTCCCCTCCCGACCTCGCTTGTTTGTCCACAACTTCTGACCGTGCCCGCTAATCGCCTAATCGGTCCCCCTAATCAGATGGACCACCAAACAAATAACCCTGCATCAGCAAACAAGTAAAGATGATTTGGTTTATTTACACTACTCGTTTATCAAAGAGAGAAATAATATATATGTGGTTGCCACAAATTTTACATCTACGTTTACAATATAAGATCTTCGGTCCCGCAGTGGTTGATTATCTTGGAATAAGTTACTTTCGGAGGGCTTTGGCGGCCACTGTAAGGACCGCAGCAGCGGCGGCGGCCATGCCAACCATTCCAGTTGGGGTGGACAGGAAAGTTGAGGGCTTGGGGTCGGCCGTAACAATATGATCGCGGCCGAAATGCGGGGCTTCGGACTAAAAATGGATGACATAATTAAAAATGATTAAATTTTTGATGAAATTATTATTAAGAAACACAAACTATAAGTCCGAGAAACGCCCAGTCTACAAAATGACGTTCTGAACGTTCTCAGACAACCGTAGAAAAGCTTTACATAGGACTGGACATTCTCGAACTTACGATTTTTAAATTGTAATCGAAGAAATAGGATGTTAGTAGTACACAAATTGAACTGTTTTACAAATTTTTGGTATGGAACGCATTGAAATTGATCTAGGAGCCAAAATGTCATAAAATACTCTAACCTACATTTTTGAGACATTACAAAAACTGAGGAACACGTAAGTAATGAGGGAAATAAGTGGTACGAACCGTAGCAATGCCTTCGGGATTGTCTCCGGTGGCCGCACGCTGCTGCGCGGTGAGCTGTTGGTCCTGCCAGGCCTTGTTTTTGTGATCCTTGGCGCCGTGAGCTCGAGCTTGCTGAAAATTATATTGTGCTTGAGAGATAAGAAAAAAATTATGTCCAGTGAAATAAAACGGCATCAGGTGATGACTTACTCCCATCTCGTCCAATTCCGAAGGAGAACCTTTGTTCAAAAAGACCATTTTGCACCTTGATTATTTTTTGGACAGTTGAATGTAATCTAAAATAATATTCGCAAGCTTACGAAAAACGAAAAAAAAAATAAAATCACGATGAATCGACGGTGGCATCACATCGACTACCGGTAGATGCAAAAAATTCATTGCAAACTCCTATCTTGCTTATATTGGAATAGGCACGGTTGACCTAAAAGTTCTCCAAACTGATAAGCAAGCAGATATCACCCGTCCTAAAACTAGGTACAGCACCGATCAAGATGTTCTCTTAGCCATGCTGACAAATAACAAAACAAATCCCAAAGTTTCTCTTTTATATACCCCTTGAAAAAGCCCACTGTTCAAAACAAAATCCCGAAGAAGTGCTCGTTGGATCCCAGAAATAAGACGCCGAAGACTGAACTCCGTCAAATTACGAAATGTGGCCAACAAGAACGCCCCTTCTGAATCCACAGCCCGTCTCTGGACCCTCTTATTTTTTCGAATTCTCTCGTTGTTTATCGTTGTTTGTGATCTCTGAACAAGAGAACAAAAACAACAAAAACATGTGAAGAGAGAGGAGAGCTTTGCTCGAAATAAACATTTTTTGACAAAATGGGATTGGCCAGGGCAATGGCCAAACATCAAAATGGGAGTAAGCGTTGCAACGGCAGGGTGGTATTACCTCCGTTAGGTAATCTTTAAATTACTGACCGTAAGAAATGATAACTATCGCGAATTTTCTATTATTTAGAACCCAAGTTATGTCTCTTTCAAAAATCAACTTTTTTTATGATAAACGAAATTCTCAGCCTAAAGAAACGTTCATAAAATACCTAACAAGTATAACGTTAGATCTTACGCACCTTTCGCCGTAACCTTTCACCATATCAACATCCAATTTGTCATCATGCTCAAAAAAACGCTTAAAAAAGCCTACTACAATATCAAAACCACAAACCCACAAGGACTCCTCCAAAAATAGCTGCATTCCCAAATAAAGTGGTCAGCACAACTGTTTTTTGTGTATTTTATACTGAATCCTCCATTTGTTTATCAAAACATTACGAAACGATCTACCACAAACATCTTTATTGAGTCTCACAACGAAAACACAAATGGCTAAATCCGGTAAAACGGAATGCCAAACTACGGAAAATTATTTACAAAAAATATTGAGTAGATCACGTATAGATTATAGTACGCAGTACATGACAAGCAGGAAGTGAAATCGAATAAAAAGGGATAGCCTTCTCCCTTATATCAATCATTTTTGGTCAAAGGAATATATTCTGAGAGAGAAAACAATGCTGCGAGCAAAGGGTCTTCTAATTTCGGGAGCTCGCTTTGGTCGTAGATTTACTTCTACTGGACAGAAGGAGGTGCCAAGCTCTGAGGTATGTACCTTCTTTATTTTTTTTGCTTTAGATTACCTCTTACGTTTGACAGTGATGTCATGTTCCGTATATTTTGCGAGGAAAGTCAAAACTGATGGAATTTACAAATTTTTGTAAACATGGGATTGGTTGTTTCTTTTCTTTGAGGAGTTTTACACCTATTCCTTGGAATGTTTTATTATGTAATGTTCAAGTATAATATAATTTTTAGCAGCCGAATGTTCCCCGGCATAGGACCAGATTTGAATACGAAGCCACAAAAAAAGAGAGCCGTGCCACTTCGGACGCCGAGACTGGAGGTCGTGAACGTCCAACGGCTTTTCAACGAAGAATGTTAGTAGTGACTGGGCTGTATCAAAAAGCAGCAGACATCCCGGAATATGTCTCGTAAGTTTTGTTTTATTTTTACTTTGCTTTTAGATGCCCACCAAGAGATTATAAGTATTCTATAATTCCAGAAGTCAAACGATGAACCGTCTCCACGACCGTAACCGGGTTGTATTTATCGTAACAGCTGTGGCCTTTGTATTCCTTGTCGGTTTATCGGCTGAACAATGGATTAGTCGAAAGATCGAGTCGGAAAAGGCTTCAGGAAAGTCATTATCGGGCATGATCCATTAGAATACGATGTATTTTGCGATTTTTATTAGGTATTTGTAAAAATAAATATTGAATTAGCCCCCTTTTTCCTATTATTTGGCGGACTCGCTCAACACGATCGTAATCTCTGATATTATTACATTTTTCCGTATTTTATAACGAGTTTAGGTCATGGCGCTGCGTTTGTTGACCTTGAAGATTTTGGGAATCAGAACGGCCCAAATGGCCGAGATCAGCCCCGAAGAAGAATACAAACGTCAGAAGATTCAGGACCGGTCCAATAGATACAGTGGTGTAAGTGTTTGCTCTTTTTTGTTTTCTGGATTTTTAGGCATCGTGGATAATATATCGATTGTAGGTGCCGTCTATTCCTGCGGATATCGGGTTTGGTGCCTCTAAATCAACTGGAGGCGAAGCTCAGAAGGGTGGAATTGTCTCACATGTTGCCGGGAATCCCTTCGTCATTGCTGGGATGGGGTTGACTTGTGTCGCTTTGCTAGGAATGATGAGAAGATCTTTCCTGGGAGATCGATTAGGCGCTCAAAAGTACATGCAGTAAGTGTGAACACGATCGCTAACCCGTCTGAATTTTTATGAGTATTTACTAACCCAATTAACTTTCAGGTATCGTATTATGGCCCAATTTTTCACCGTCACTGCTTTAGTTGCCGGAGTCGCTGTCTTCGGGATGACCTACGAACCCACCAACAAGAAAATCTAGTCACTCACTTACGCATAAAGGAAATTAGCAGGTTGTTTGTCCACATACTAGGTCTCATTTGCTTTACTATCTACGTTCCGGTTTCCTTTTATGGGTCGATGAAATAAAAAACATGACCAATGACGGGTAACTTCGTTTATTTTACAAATTGGATATGCAAAAATAACAAAAATATTATGGATCATTAGTAGTGATTGAGATTACAGTAACATGGTGAGATTGTTGTGTGGAGATCAGATGGTCTAGTGTAATGTAAAGTGATCAAATTGCTGATTCGCCTCTGAAATTGATGGAGTTATTAGCAAAGGCAATGCATGGACTGATGGCAGTTGCGGCAACTTTCAATTTTTAATGCGATTCAAAATCTCCGCCTATTTTTCAAAAGTTGGCATTCCGTGGCAACCCCGTGATTTTGAAATGCCCGCCGAATTGTGGGCCCATTGGCATTTTGTTCCCTCACCATCTCTCCCTTTTTCGCGCTTTTTCTAGAACTCATGGTATGGGCGGACGGAGCGAGGACAGCAAAAATAATGTGGTACTGTGTGCACCTTGTTTTAATTCTTTCCTAATTTTTCGTCAAGTTTTATGGTGGTCTCTGGCGTTTCTATGACATTGAGTACGAACGTTTTATTCGCGAAATTGATGACATTTAGGAGGCCTCTCTCTAGTACTTATTCTTCTCAGTTATTTATGTTGAAATTGCCGACGAGAGGAGAAATTGTTTTAATTCCACCAAAGTGCTAATCGATGTCCTTTTGGGCCGTGTTTTTCTTCTCACATTTTTTTCGTGAAATGGCTATGATTAGGCCACATCTAACCTATTGCAATGTGTTATTTTTATTGCTTTAGAGTTGCACCTATAAACCTCATATTGAGCTCAAAATGTCGTCTCCTCAAGTGAAACATCCTATTATCTTGTGGGCTCAGCGAGAGGACACTATTCTTTTGACAGTCGAAGTTATGGACATGAATGTTGAGGTCTTGAATTATGAAGATTCTACGAAAACCTTCACCATCAAAGGAAGCACCAAGACTGGCGACAAATACGAAGCTGCTTTAAAGCTGTATGAGGAGTTGGAATGGTCTGACCGAAACAGGATCAAGACTGACCGACATGTCGAGCTTATCATTAACAAAAAGAAGCCAAGTTGGTGGCCAAGGTTGTTGGAGAGCAAGGATAAGGTGCAGTGGATTAAGGTAAGAGGTTTTTCCTTTCTTTTTTTGTTTTAGGTCTTACTGCGAATATTTGACAAGTGTGTAATATTATGGATGAGAAGTTTAGAATATGCTGATTTCTTTCATTTTCAGGTCGATTTCAACAAATGGATAGACGAAGACGATGAGGAAGAAGCTGCTGGCGCCGGGTTCGACTCATCCGCATTCCAGAACTTTGATTTCTCCAAATTCGGAGGCGCCGGGGGTGAAGACGAAGATGTGGATGCGAGTGAATTAGCCGCTGAACTGGATGAACATGGTGTATCCGACGATGAGGCCGAAGAAGAGCTCTCAAAAGCCCAGGACTCAGCGGAAGACGTCAAAACGACTGAATCCAAGGCCTGAATACCGGTAGTAGCGTGATGGTTACGTCATGGGTACCTCCATTCCATTGATCGCTTCCCTCTAAACCAACTGGAACGTCCTTGGTCTCTTCTAATCTCTTACCCAGTTTCTTTTGGCTTTTACTCTTGTATTATTTGTTTAAATTGTGACTTATCCAGTGATAATTTGATAAATTATTTTAATTGTTTTTTTGATGTCACCTAATTGTTTTGATCGACGCTTGAGGTATTTGTTATGTACAAGGTTGTGCCATTATTTGGGGTATAATTATTAGAAAAACGTTGCGTGCTCGAATCCGGAGAATACTTGAGAGGTTGTACACTACACCAACGAAAGTTCTCGAATATGACTAGATTAGGCACTAAGAAAATTAGGAATTCTCTTTGATTTGCATATATTAGCAGTAAAGCGATTTGTTTCCAAGCAGTCCGGCATAATGGGAACAATTATCTAGTATAATTGACCTTGGCTAATCTTGTGGTACTACTTACTCTACTTGCTCAGCGATTGGCGGACTGGTAAACCCTCCATTGAGTTTGTATGCATCGACAGTGTGGCTTAATTTTCGCTCGCCGTCAATAGATTTGGACGACCTTATGCTTGTCTGTCTACTCATAATGGTTTCCTGACGGCGAATCTTGTGCAGCAATTGTCGTAGACGGTCTAGAATTGCATCTACAGCAAGCTCTCGTCGGTATCTTTCTAGATGTACACTTTCGTCTTGGTCGATCGCTGTGAAGTCCGCTTCCTCGCCACCAGGGAGGTCGACGGCCAATGCTTCGGCCAGGACTTTTGCCAATTCCCAGAACTGAAACCAATTGGATTTACAAGTGGATAAGGGGCACTTACCTCATATGCATGCTGCCTTTTGCTGTAGCTTTTGTCGTTTTCATCTACTGCTTCGTCCAAAATCTCATCGTCGATGTCTTCATTCGTTGCTCTGGTGTCTTTTCTGTGGACCGCATCGTCCGGGACAAGGATTTCTGCGGATTCCGCTCGTTTTGTGCAACCGGAACGACCAGATTCTGGTTGAGCAAGTTCTTGTTCGCGGAGAAGTGGCTCGCTGAGGCCTCGTTTTAGAGGTGGATGATCTCCATCGGACTCTTCTGACTGGTTGGACGCCTGACGAAGGACTTCGTGAAGCTCTTTCCATTCTCCATTATCTTCGTCTTCAATTACAGAAGGATCTCGCTCTTGGGGTTCTACTTGATCAGTATTTCCGTTTTTACTTTGATTATCTACTTTCTCGGTGTTGTCTTGCCTTTGTGGATACTCTTCGTCGTCATTTTGGACTAGACTGTTTTCCGTGTTAGAAAAGCTTCGGTCACTGTGTAAAATTTTGTGTTCTTCAGCTAGCGCTTTCGTATGCTCCGTTTTTGAGGAGTTTTCCCGACTGATTCTACTCTCTGGTTGCTTTTGAAAGATCTCCTCGTCCTCGGCATCTTTAAGCGTTCCTTCCGGAGTTATTTGTGAGTCATCGTCTTCTTTGGATTCACCTTCAACCTCCCGTGTTGATCGAAGCTTAGGTGATAAAGGGCACCCATCCAATTTCTCGCACTCTTTTCCAGTTGAAGGTGGAGAGATCGTTTTGTTTTCCACATTGTCATAGCCGTTGTCGAAGTTCTCCAGATCTTCATGGACATTTTTGATTTCTCTGATTGTCACTTCTTCTGCGTCATCCTTCTCAAAGAATTCATGGGAACTTTGTCTCTGGATGTCATCATTTAACTCCTCGATTCCAAGAACTTCTTCAGAGGGAGTAATTTTTATCCAGTTTTCGTTTTTCGTTGGATCATCCAAGTTTCCGTGAGTTGTTTTCTCAACGCCTAGATCAGCGACTTGAACCTTATCAGATACATCTTCTGGGTCTTCAGGATCCTTCTCGTCGTCTTGCCTATGCACTTGTTGGTCGAACAGCTCATATTTGATCGTATAAGGCTCTTCTTGAAGGTCCGTATCGATATTCCTTTGCGTCTCCTCCTCAACTTGGTTATTATTCCTCTCTCCATCGCTGGAATGGCTAAACAATGTGTTAGCGGCAGTTTTCAAAGCATTGTGTTTCTCCATCAACTCGTCTTCTGTGATCTCTGGTCTTGGGTTGTTGTTATTCTCACTGTCATCATGACTTTTGTCATCCATTTTCTCATTGAATTCCTCCATTGCTTTGGCTGAAGGCCCGGTAATAACTCCACCAATAACTGCACTTGCTAATCTTCCGGTTACATTGTTTGTTATGTTGTTGATTAATGTTGCTGCATAAGTTTTGGGATCTTCCTTTATCTCTTCCAACTTTTGTGCCCTATCCTCGACGCGTTTCTCCCATTCGCCAACAGCTGTTTTTACAGATGAAATCTTGGCTCTTTCATCGACTTTCATTGATTGGGAGGACTCGGTCTCCGTTTCAGTACTGCAGCGGGAGCAGGAGCTGACTGTATCTCGCTGAAAATTGAGAAAAGGTAGAGCTAGAATTAATAAATGATAGACTTACAACTTCTTCCTTGTCTTTTGCAGTAGCTGGCGTTGGCACTCTACTCTCCAAAGAAGCGTCCCTCAGAATTCTTGTCTCAATGTCGTTGGGAATTGTCGTTGTTGAGAATTTGGTCTGTTTTCTCTTTGGTTCCCCTTGACTTTTGGACCTGACCATTGTGATTCTCCTTCGCTGTTCGTACAATCGAAGTTTCTCTTGAAGGGTGTGATTTTGAATCCGTAATGTTTGAAGTTCACGAACTAGGTCATGTTCTTCATGAGTTTGCTGAAGCTCTTGATTTATGGCCTTTTCTTTCTCCAGTTCCTCAACAAGATCGTCGTTCTTCTCCGTCAATGCCCTTAGGGCGCGATTATGGTCTTTGGCTGAAAAATGTAATCATATTAATGCCACAAGGACTCTCTTACCTTGCCGATCCATCTCATCCGCTAAATTTTTACTTTCGTAAATCATTACTTTCAAAATCGGAACCAGAGCCTGTGGCAGCCAATGTTTGTTCATGTTGTGATCCTTGAATCTTTGTTGTAAATCGTCCACCTTATATCCCATTACTTCCCATCCAGGCTGCAATTGTAATTGTGCTGCGAACTCCCGACTCCATTGGGTAAAAACGTTCGCCGCTTTGAGGGATTCTCTGGCCAATTGAGAGGCTTCTCGAAGAGCTGGCAAAATTCCATCAACAGCTTTGGAAATTGGCTAAAAAATCGGTGATATTGTTACGTCATACGTTCGTAACTATGATTTTTGGAATGTACAACTTACATTGAGTTGGTCGCTAAAGAAATGGTCAAACTTGTCAAACAATTGGTCCTTTTGGTCTTGACTCATTTCGGCTTTATCAAAAATAACTCCACATTTTGAGTTAACTTCCATTAGTCGGTAACTAAAGGGCTCTTGCAGAACCTTGTAAGCTTCTGTAAACACGTCGATGTTATCTTTGAGACTTGGTTCATTTAGCCTTCGGCTAACATCTTGCAATTCTTTGCAAGAAACGACGAAAAAGGTCTGATAAACAAGTTCGTTGATTCGGATCACACTCAAAGCAGCATTATCTAGCGCTGAAATTGTGGATGATTTTAGTGGCGTAACGCGATCTTACTTGTTTGTTTTCCTGTATTGATATCCCCGTTTCCATTGATCCTTGGCAAGGTTGCATTGGCCTCTTTTATTCGGGCCAACTCGATTTCCTTTCGATGAAGTTCGTTTTGTAATCTGATGACTCGATGGACGAGTTGATTGCCGGTTGAATGAGTCGTTGCAGAGTCGATGGAACCGTGAATTGATCCTGAAAATGACAATTAGTTGGAAAGGGTCCGGGATTTTACTCACCTCCGTCTGGATACCAATCGGATCTATAAGAATTTTCTCCACTTCGATTTCCCGAATTTTCCGAAGTTTTGCCTTTGGGCGGCTTCTTCCCATTTTTGAGCAGTTCCAAGGGTTCGTCGGCCACTTGAGATAATGATTTTCCAGTTTGAACCAATCTTGGAACTGGCTCATTTTTCAATTTGCAGAGCCTTTGATTGGTCGTCGGAGTTCGGGTAAATCGCTCGTTGAAATTGTGGGGATGGATTTTCTCCTAAAGGATAAAGTAAATTTCATAGCTTTGTTTACGTAATATTCAAATTATTCAAAAACAATCAGAGTGCCCTTTCACTACCGTACTTTGTAGTGAAAGTTACCTCGGCCATGCCTCCATTCTGCAGATTGAAAAAGGAAGACCGATTGCACTGTGCTGTGCCGTCCGCAAAACGTTTCAATCGCTGCGAAATTGAATTGTCGCTTGATTTTGTCGCAGCGACAATCACTCATCGTACGCCGAGAGAGTGCGCATTTGGGAGAGAAGGCAGAGCGAAGCGGGAAAGAGAAATATCGCTGTTCTCTTCGTTTGTCGCTGCAAGGTTTTTTCGGCACAGTGCGAATTTTTCTGAGCTTGGAATTTTAATTCCAATTCTTAATTTTTAAAAGAATTAAAGTTCCCGCCTTTAGTAAATTTTCAATCAGCAGTTGAATGACTCTTGATTTTGGAGTCTCAATAAATAAAATGTTTCTGAACTTACTCCCACAACAGGCAAACTGATATCGCTGCCATTGCTCTGCCTGCTGGCCAGTCCGCCCGTTGATTGGGCTCTTCGCGAGAATTTGTATCGCTTGGCTGACCCATTTTCGGCTTGTTGGTTCGTCTGGAAAAATCTCACGGTTTTGGGACCAATCACATGGAAATCGGTCATATATATGGTTATTTTTCCTCTGCTTCCTTAACAAAAACTCATCATATAGTTTTAACAACTCTCGCTGGTCACGCCGCTTTTAATTATTATAAAAGTTAAGATTCGACATTTACAATCCAAATGAATTTATATAGGTTTATAAAAACCAGTATATGTAATTGGAAATTTCTCGAATTTTGAATGGAAACTCATTAAAGCCCTGAGGGCGAAAAGAGATTCTACTCGAATTTTCTTGCCCCCAGGGCTTAATCCCCACAGCGCGGCGGCAAGGTGTGCGAAGAAAAAGCCAGGGTAAAATTAGGGTGTTGTGTTTATGGGAAAATGGAAATACCAAGATTATTGGAACGAGCGAAAGATGTTTTGAACCGCCTTTATCACTTTGTGTAGTCTTTGCTTGGGGAACACGTGGCTTGAAAATATTGAGAGTACACAGTTCGTATTATTTGTCTAAACCAGTGGCGGTTCTTTTTTTATTGCTGTAAAGGAAACTGGTGGTGTGAAAGTTGCAAAATAATTCATTGAACAGTGTGTAAACCGGATTCTCCCCTCCCAGGACCCAATACTTCAACATGAACTTTCGTACAACATATCCCGCAGTAAGTAAGGTAGAACATGACATCCCTCCACTTACCAAAGGCCCCTTCGGCAAGGCCGGCATTTGAAACTGGAACTCCTTGTCGCCGAACCGCAGTAAATCCCCGGCTCTGAGCTCGATCATCCCGTAAACCAGTCGGCCGTTACTCTCGGTCGCTCCCACACAACCACCGGCTTGGCCACTGTGCAAGTCACGCAACCAGAAGGAACGCGTCAACGGGTGATATTCGATAAGCGCGTGCTTTTCGGACACCTTTCGCGACTGAAATTAGCCGATTACCTGCGAAAAAACAAGACTAAAACGAGAGGAGATTGGAGCTTTCACAACTAGTGTCCGCCAAAAAAAAAAAGACTTGGACTGCAGGGTATGCGTGCTGGATAAGAGACCGATTAATTAATCAGCACGAGAGGGATTTCCAGGAGAAAATCGGCTAACATTCCCGGGATGTCGGTCAGATGGACTGGAGATTGTAAAGCGTTTTGGGGAAAAGGTATTTGAAGGTTATAGAGACAAATTATACTTGGTGACTCAAGAGTATAATCAGGCCAAAAGCTGAGCGTATTTTATGTTAAACGTTAAACTGGTTCTACGCCGTTACGCAAGCGGATATATAAATTTTACGTCGTTACCTTTCAAGTGGGGATTAAGATATCCTCATAACACTTTGCTGCGTTGGGTAACATACGGGTAATTCCGGATTAAGATCTTAGAAACAGACTGGTAAAACGTCAAGTGTTCGACTACAGAAGGGGTCATTAATAAAGCAAGGGGTTTGTAATCTCTTAGTGTAGGCTTTTAATACCTTATTCTAACAGGCAGGTAAAATGTTCAAGTGTTCGGCTACAGAAGGGGTCATTAATAAAGCAAGGGGTTTGTAATCTTTTAGTGCAGGCTTTTAATACCTTATTCTAAGTATCAGAAAGTGCAAGTTTATGGAAAACAAACCTTAGTGTAAAGACTCTTTAAAAGCAGAAGAATCTGCAAGTAAATGCACTTATTATTAGTTTCCAGGACAAAATTTCGATCAAAAATTATATTTACGAGAACAAGTTTGCTTGTTGTTTGATCAAAAATTAGACTTATAGCTTTACTGTAGCGCTTACACGACGAAAATGCCCCCGTTTTCCACTACTACATCCCTAGCATTTGGCAGTTTATCCAGATTTCAAAAATTTCTCCAGGAAATGGTGGATTTATTCCCCCAAGGGCCTTTAAACGCTGACTGACCTCTAATGAGTTTGCGAGGTGTAAATGGACATAAGTTGCGCCGGGATTATTAGTCGAAAGTCACCTGTGCCCAGCGGGCTTGCGGCAAATAATAAGGTCGGCAAAACAATTCAAAAAGCGGTAAGCAATTAACCGGTTCTTCAAAAGTTCGGGAATTTAAAAATATTATATTCGGTGTCAGCTATACATACCTTGGCGAGCACGCAAAAACTAAGCACTTTGAAGATCGGCTTAAAAGAAATATGAAAAAAATGGAAAAAGTAAAAATTTGGAGGTCTCTGCAACTCGTTGTGTCATAGAATTAAAACGCCAAAATTTCACTGAATTCCGACTACAATTTTAAGCAAATACTCCATTTGGATAGTAATGTAGCCCCTCCATCCGAATACACTCATCTTTTTTGAAAAACAAACCAGTAATCTTTTGATTGTCAAAAAATATGTTCGTAAGCGCCCCGCTATGCATATACATATTTAAATATATCTAGAGTCTAATTACATTGAGAAAGTAGGTAACGTAATTACTTATCTTCCAAATTATTGTAATTGCCGGAAGCAAGGGCCAAGCTTTAAATGAATGTCACCATAATCGCATGTCTGTGGTTTGTTGTGACAGTAAATAGCAAAAAACATAAAGAGCGTTAGAAAAAAAAATTGAAAAAGTTGGGGACAAAAACGTTTTGTTACAGTTTGCTGGTTTTAAAAGTTTAAATTTATTAGAATGCAAGATTGAAACCTCAAAAATATGTTCTAATGACGTGTCTTGCATCTGGGTTTTGGAAGTTTTGGAGTATTTGCAAAGAAGTTCTACAAGCCCTGAAAAGCAGCGGCTTCCCGAGTTTAAAAACACTCTAGAAGATTTTTTATTGCACCTAAAGATAAAAACAGGGCCTAAGAGGATGACACTCATATAATCTTCTAGTAGCATGCTAGTTCTCCCCTCGGCTCTTTTAGATACCCGTCTTATCCGCTAATCCTGTAATTAGGTCCCTGAAGACGTCGTTTGCCGGTTTATTTTCTGGTAATCCTCCAAGGCATTAAATTTTTAAATTTCGGAGACACTGACATAGGATTACCTGAAAAGCGAACGCACTTCAAGAAAAGCACACGAAAAATATGCTAAAATTAGAAGAAACGTTGTAGATTTTGCAGCAAAACATGTGATTTGCAACGTGAATAAAGTTGAAACCTCAAAGTGGACAAAGAAAACTTACGTTAACCACGAAATCATTGGATAAATCTTTCCCAATCAACGTCACTCCCGACTTCAGTTCGAATTTTTCCGTAGTCTTGCCACGCTTACATATCAGCATATTCCTCTAAAATACGAACATAGTACAGAATGAGGCACAGAAAACAATTTCTCACACACCAGAAAACGTAAAGGGCCGCTAATTGAACTTGTAATACAATGCACGGCATACTTTCAGGGGTTACAAGTACAGGGAGTTATTGTATTCTGTTTCATAAGAATAAAAAAGTAGACTTAAGGTCGTCGCAAAATTAATTTAAATATATTACCTAAGCAAGATTACATGCGTTTGACGGTAAACTACTTTCTCTTATAAAATTTTACCTGTTAACAAGGGAAATACGCAAAGTATGGCGATTAAACTTTATTTTTTGGCACAAAGATCATGGCATTTTGCCTCAGCAAATGCATAAATTAGGCTGTATGTGCTTTGAAACCTAAAGTAGACCCTCAAAGTGAAACGAAATGATTTTTTGACATTACGCTTTGTATGGACATGCAAAAAGTTTCCCGAAACCTTTCCAAAAATCCCTTTCTCAGACATTAATTTTGGGCCGTTGGAAAGCGCCCCTCAAATGTTATAAATAAGCAGGTGTTTGTGGTTCGACGTAAAAGACTAAGCATTCTGGTTAACACGACGAGTAATTCCTGCAGAAGCCAGCCTCAAAATTTTCTTGCAAAGATAAAGTTTGGAGACAAGAACGGGGCCCAAAGTAAGATGGCCATATTTGGTATGCCCGTGGTATCTTCCCCATCTCCTTCCACGGACGGGAAATTGCAAACAAGCAAAGGATTTAGCCAGAAGTTTGGTAGGCGCTAATGTAAAAGTAATGCGGGCTAATGTAATTACCATCGAGTGTCTTCTCGTGGTTTAGAATCTCGTTTTTGAACGCATTGCCACAGAAATACAATTCTGCGGACAAGAAAAGGCCAGATTTGTAATCGATAGGAAAAAGGCCAAAATTGCCAATTAAAAAAAATTAAATACGGAATTAATTGTAGTGAGAATGTGTGACATACAGGGTGGCCGGTTATTATTGGGCTTAAATTGAGCCGTAATTACATTTTGAGTTGTTTTGCCTTGAGTTGGTTGTGAGAAATGTTTTCAAAAATGTTGGACATTGCAATCCATTGTATCGTTGGGCGATATTTACGCGACTGACTGATAATGGAATTGGCATTTCTTGCTCGAAGCTAAAACGATAAAGCGCATAAAAAATAATATTATACTAACACGCTGCCAAAAATACCCAAATATTACCCCAGCTTATACAAGGCCTTCTGGGAAGTTGCCGGACTGAAGTCGGTAACGCATGATGTGAAAAATTTTTTTTTCGCTTTTCTTGTTTTTTGTGCCGAGGCATTTTTGGGCTGTCTGTCGCATCCTGAATTTTAATGCACAGTGCAAACGGCAATCAGCCCGGCGACTTTCCGGAAGGCTTAGTACATGGTCTTATGTTGAGATAAAAGGAGTCCAACAAAAGAGTAGTGAATTCGGTATTATTGGTAGTATATCATTGCTCTCAGAAAACACAACGAATTGAATTCTAAAAAAACAATAATAATGGGTTAGCTTCGTCTAGGCAATAGCGTAACACAAAGAAACGTTGCAAGTTTTGTATAAAAATAGAAATTGCATTTTCAATTTATTGGAATTCGTTAATATACGAATTATAACTGTACGGAAACACAATATCTGTAATCCATGGAAAACATAAACAAAATTGCAGCTGGATGTTGATAGTTTATAGAAATTACTGGATTAGTGTGTGACCACCGGAAGCTGTATTTTCAGCGTTGTGCAGTTTAATTACATAGAGCGTTAATTGTATTCGACCTTTTTTGTCATCTCGGCAATATTTATTCACAAACTTTGCAAAAGGTAATGCAGTAGTCTTGCAAGGTGTAAAAATATTTGCAGAAATAAGTTATAAGAACGATTAAATTAATAGCCAGGAGCGGTTCTTGGCGGAGGACAATGATCACAGCTGCCCTTAGGGCCTGGATATCCCGGCCGCCCAGGACCTCCCGGTCCACCTGGCCTACCTGGTCCACCGGGAGCGCCTTGATCACCTGGTGGTCCCATTGGGCCAGGATAAGCTCTTCCTGGAGCTCCTGGTTGTCCCATCGAGCCCGGAGAACCTGGAGGTCCCATTGGCCCAGCTGGCCCATATTGAGGCGGGCCATCAATCACTTGGCCAGGCGCTCCTCTGCCCCCTGGTTTGCCGGGCATACCAGGACTTCCCATCGGTCCCATAGCTCCAGGTGGGCCAGGTGGTCCCATCATTCCCGGGCCATAGGATGCCCCGGGTTCTCCAGGTCGACCAGGAGGACCTTTTGGTCCCATTCCTCCGGGCATTCCTGCAGGTCCTGGTGGACAGTCGAAGCAGAAGTCTTGAGGTCTTGGCTTGTCATTCAGCCCTGCATCCGGTCCAGGCGTTCCGTCGTTTCCCGGTGCTCCATCTTTACCTGGATAGCCATCTCCTCCAGGTGGGCCAGGAGGACCTCCCATCCCTACCCCGCATGAGCAACTTTGAGCCGGTGCTGGACGATACGGAGCTGGCCGTGGCGCCTGCATTGGCCGTTGATATTGTGGCTGGGCTTGTGGTTGATAAGGAGCTTGTTGATACGATGGTTGCTGATAGTTTGGCGGGGAATATCCAGCGCCCATTTGGTGGAAGTGACGCTTGATTCGAACTTCGTGACCAGTGATATCATGAGTTCTATGATATTGCAACCATAGATCGTTTGTTCGATGGAGACAGAAGGAGAGTTCGTCTTGAAGGCCACTTTGTACATATTGAATGTAATTGTAGAGAAGGGGAACCGCCAAGATTACGGTCAGAATGGCTGAAGTTGTAACGGACGTGGCAATTAGAGCATGACGGCGAAGAGTTTCTGCTTCTAGGAGCAATGTACCGTGTGACTTTAGTTGGGGATTAGATGACGTTTGTGACATCTGAAATGAAGAAAAATAAAAATTAAATTTTGGTATTTCCTAGTGATAGCTGGCAGGCATATATATTTTTAAATATGTTACTGAGAGCAAAGATAATATATGCACTGTAATAGTGCACTAGGCAGAAGTATATAAGCACGAGAAACTCTTGGGAACTCACCGTAGAATCTTCGGACAATATATTATAATTGACGCATTCAAGCGGCCAGAATGGCAACGACAGCGACTGGCGACACTACCGTTTACGCCCCGCTTTTCATAGCAATTTATACACAAAGCCTCTTCTCCCAGCCACTTGACTGTCGACGCCTCGCGCAATAAAACAGTTCATAAACCTGGTTATTACTCAACCCAAGGTCCGCATCAAGGTTATTTCCGGTTCAAAACAACCTTTTTCACAAAGTTTCATATCGATTATGACTTTTTATTGTCTTCTTTTGTAGTTTTATTGTGACAAAATGAGTCAATTTGATAGAAAACTTTCTTGAATTAAGAAATTCGCAACGCGATAGATTAGAGTCATTAAAGTTAGTTAAAGAGGAGGCTACTGTAATGTACAATATTAGTGGAGGTTTGAAACACCTTCTGAGGATCGTGCAGTTTTGACTCGCGAGAGTTCCGATGCATTTGTTGTGCTGACCGAGCGGCGGAACGGCCGGAGGAATTTTCGCGCTATATATCGGCGAATCGTCTTGTTGCAGCAGATGTAGATAACTGGTGGGGTCCCTAAAACAATAAAGATGTTCTCAAATTTTGGTCGGCCTGATAAATAGCACCATTTATATTTTTTTGCTGATTTCACTTACCATGCGAAGCCAAATAGGCCGAAGACGCAACGAGTGTGTAATAAAAGTTCACCGGTAAATACTGAATGATGACATAAGACGCGGCGGCGACGAAATGAATGGCTCCGATAATCAGAATTTGGATGTATGTCTAAAGTACATTCAGCATAAGCTTTTACGCGAAATGATGTAGTCAATGTTGCATTTTTCTTACCGATTTGTCTTTGATATTTCCCAGGGATTTGGTCATTCGCGTCTTTTTGAAGTAGACAAAAAAGAAGTAAGCGTACACTCCGGAATGAGCGAGCATCACACAGAGGTTGTTCATGGAATGCCAGATACTTTGGTACTGAAATTTTTAGGTTAAAAAATTTGTTATGGTGGGAATTTGTGTTGGGTTCTAGGGTTGTATCATCCAAGCAGAGGTTGCTGGCGAAATTTTGAAGGTGCTTATAAAACAATTCGTATATTGTGGTGATTACTTCTGCAAAATGGAACATTCATTTCGTCAAACTTCCTCATCTACCGGGTTCATGCTACGAAGTTACCTTGTGTTCGGTATCTTCATAATACCCATAATGAGGATTGAAGAACCAGGTCATCATTTCTCCATTGAAAAACGCACTAGGAGTGAAAATGAAAAAGAAAAAGAAATAAATGACTGGAGTCGCAATCCAGAAGATCTTTCGCCATCCCCCAAACATGACATCTGCCCAGTAATGACTCGTCAATTCGGCACATCGATTGATTCCGAGGAATAGTGAGGTCAACGTGCTGGACGACCACATTGCTAAAGCAATCAGTGATATTATTTCAGAATATTTAACGTAAATATATGAAGGGCTGGTCACTTACAAACTCCCAATGACCCGAAGAAGTACATGAGGTTAGGAAAGTCACAATAAACATGCCCAAAGAAGGCATGGAAACCAGTAAACAGTCCGCAAGTCTGTATTCCGAATAGATGCATTACTCCCAATAGAAACATCAATTGATAACTCGCCCTCTTTCTGTTTTCGGAGGACATCATTGCCATTAAGCAAGGCACATATAAGATCTAAAAGTTAATTGATTTTTTTATGGCTTATCTTGCATCGTGTGATAGGTTTCGAGAAGGGTCTTGACAGCGCTATGCGAATTTCACATCGTCTTTGTTTAGAACAACCTCTCCGCACCCTCCAGACATGCCAGCCCTCTCGAATCACATAGTAAATAAAAACGATTACTTTTTTGCAAATTTTATAACATTACTTTAATAACTTACGACTGTTACCACGTAGAAGACTAAAACCAAGGCTCCCAGAAGTTTGTGCTGCCTTTTCTCCAACGGAATAGAAGTCGGATCGTAAAAGGAACAGTTATACCATAATCTATACTTTTCGGGCTCAAAAAAATAAACCTCCATGGCCTTCTACTTGTTGTTGTAAGGCTTCCAAAACTGTAATCTTTGGCTATATTATAAATACGGCGGTAACAAGATTGGCAATTAAAAATCGGGGCAATTTGGCTCGATATAGTGCGACTGGTCATAATAGGACAGCAAGAATGATCTAAGATCTTTGCACCATTATTATTTATACAAATGTCCGACGGATGAGAAAACATCGTGTTTGGAGTGAATGGAAATTTTGTTTTGTGCAGATAAGGCTACTGTAAAAACATGGGTCCAAAAAATCCATGAAAATATTATGAATACGGTACCCCCTCCCCCACAATAAAAGTAATATCCAAGATTCAGAAAAAAATAAAGACTAAAAGCGATGTTTACCGCTGTCTTATATACTTCTTCACCTTTACAATTAGATGAATACTTTTAAAGGAAGCCTTCTACATTCTCCTTACTTTCCTATCATCCAACTCTGAGCCTTCAGAGAATCTTTGGATTCTGTTAAAAATGTTAAAAGTAGGTGTGTTTCGGATGCAAATTAGCCTCGCATTCAAGTATGCCTAAGGACAAGAGACGTCTGGCCAATCAATGTTTCCTTTTAACTTTTTGTTATCGTTATGATGTTGCAAAGTGAGAGATTCAGCGAAAGAAAACCGTAAAAATAAACTGAATCGGGTTAATAAGTAAATAAATTCAAAGAATTTGGCTATTTGTCACATAAAGCGGCTTACAATCGCCTCAGGGATTAGCCGCAATAAAAGAAGCTTTAGCCAAGTTGCCATTTTTGATACGATAAGGAAGTCATCAAATTTTATTACTGTATAGATAGGTTTATCGTTTTTTCAGAAAAATCTTTGTAATACCATAAGAAGGCAACTCTTTATCTTCGAATTGCAATAAAATGGATTTAAAGAGAAGAGTGACTTTACAATTAGCCGTATTCAATGGCTGAGTGGTGGATGCAAAGTACACGGGATCGTTTTGGAGGGTTTACTGTGGTAGGTTTTTCAATACGTGCCTAAATGGAAATCCGTGGGATTCCTTGAATCAAAAAAAAAACAAAAAGTTGTACCTTCTTTTGCAACGATTATATATAACGAAGAAAATGGACTTGAAAATCAGACTATACAATATCATCAGCCCAAAAATATTATGTTAATATCTGAGATAATTGGTAGGAGCGTAAAAAACTACGTGACATAGTGAAAAAGGAGCTATCAAAACGTTTGGTAACATCTGCTAATTGTAAGCTTACTCCGCGTTCTTGTTTTTGTTTTTACTTTGAGAGTGTAAATTTGTATTTGTCTGCGCAAGATTCATTACAACATGCATGTATTATACTATGTGATTTTAAGTTACAATTGAACACATAAAACTGCCCCTAAAGAACACCTACGACCGGCGATTGCGTGGACACTCGGTAGATGCAAGCATCATAAAGAGTCCTACTTGATCGATGCTTTAAAAATTTCCTTTTCAGCCTTATGTTTATTTTCTATGGTTTAACAGATGATGTAAACGAAGTCCTCTGAGCTCACAGTGGCAGTTTCCGTATGGGTTTTTATTCAGAGACATAATAACAGATACTGAAAAACGTGTTATAGATGTAGTCACAATTTCAAAAACTCCTTTTGCTTGGGCCTAATGATTCCTACATATTCGGTTTTTCTGTTTGTCACGTACAGATCAAGGCAAGTGTAGGTAAGTAATGTTTTTAGTAAATATTTTTTATCGCCGTCTCAACTCTCTGGAAAGAAAGCTGCAAATTTTTTGGCCCTTAATTCGGCCTTTTCGATATCTCAAAAGAATATGGAAAAATAAAAGAGCATAATTCGGACTCTGACTACAACTACTGTAGGTTACGTCAATGTTGCGAGTACGGCCAAAAAATTTTGCCGACGCAAAAATTAAGAGGTATCTTCAAGGAAGTAAATCTGACGATGGGGTGTTTTTGGGGCTCATCATGATGCTTTTTTCTCCGTTGAGTTCTTACGAAAGTTGTTGTGACAAATAAGTTTATGTAGCATCATGGTTTCTAGTAACCATCAAGACCACGTCAGACACAAATGAATAAGCAGTGGAAGGCCAATACCATACACTTTTGAGGTATAGTTGTTATTGAGTAACATCGAATTGAACTGGTCAGTAAGGTATAATTTGCTCAGGCTGCGGTTTAATGTTTCAGGTTCAAGAAATCAATGTAAACATTACGACTGTCAGAGAATAATCGAAACGCTTTTTCTGGTCGCAACAGTGATACTTCGTCAATATTAATTTATTAATCAGCGCTTCCACGTTTCCTTCCGCGTGGCGCGGTGCTTGTCAATGGCCGTCGTACTTCTATATTACGAATGGAAGTTGAAATGAGCAACATAAAAGACATGCGTTTCTTCAAAGATTGTGTGGTTCAGTTTGTGTTTATTACTCGAAATTCGAGATACAATCCAATTTTAACATAAGATAGCCCAACAATTTTGATAAAATTGTATCCAGATTTCTTGGAAAACACGTGACAGGTTGTTTCAAGTTTATTTCAAACGCTTTTAGTTAATCAACCTTGATTTTTTAGGGCTTTCAATAAAATGCAGCAATGTTCTGTGTGAAGATGACTTATCCTCTTCAAATGATATTTATTGTTCTGTCTTCTTCCTGTTGCTTTGATGTGTCGACCATTGATGACGAATGTATCTTGGTGTTAAGAATAAATCCAAGCACAGCTCTTCGATAGGGAACAATGGCGGCAATGGTAAGCAGTGGGTTGAAGATGGGTACCCAGCTGGCGATATGCATGAAGACCAACGCTGAGATTCCCGTATCAACATAGAAGAAGGATGGAATGCAGATGCTGGTGATTGGAAGGACCGAGACGAACAGCGGAATCACAGACTGAAATTGATTTAGTTTTACTTTCTTATGATTAAAATTATAACTCATTTCCAGCACCTTAACTTCTGGAATCTGTTCTGCGACTTGTAGCAGCAGCTGCTTTTTGAAGTACAGGGTGCGGCAATTTTTCGGCCGGGTTTGAATTGGCTATAACTTTTTTAGTTCTTATCCGATTGTTAAAATTCTTTTTTCCCCTGAATCCTCAGACAACCCCATTTTGTTTAATACCAAATATGTTATATATACAGAGACGGAGATCATAGTTATTGGCCTTTCGGTCGTGTTCTCTGCTTTTTCGGCGTGTGTGAAAATCGCCAGAAAAAATGACTTTTTTACGAATTTTGTCGTAAAAAGTTTCATGCCTGTCCATGCCATGGAGAATACCGTTTCCACAAAAAATCATCTCCGCACAAAACTAGCGAGGATATAGCCAAACAGTTTTTCTGTGTGACCACTCATGTGCCCTCCTGACCGCAAAGAATCGTTGAATATCTTCGTCGCCCCTGAAAGGTGCGGGCTGAAACTTTCAGGAATTGATGTGTGGCCTATCTCCGGCCCATGTGCAAAATTTAAAGAAAATCTGAGAGTCGTACTAGGGGTAATTCCATTATGAAAATTAGAGCTTTTTCTTTGCTTTGAGTTTTTACTGTAATATAATAAACGGGTATAACATATTTGGTATTAAACAAAATGGGGTTGTCTATAGATTCAGGAAAAAAGAATTTTAACATTTGCCCAAAAACTAAAAAAGTTATGGCCAATTAAAATCCGGCCGAGCCGCACCCTGTACATTAATTTAACTTTGAATATTCGATTACCTGGAAAAGAAGGGCTCTGGAAAGCTGTGCTTGCATGGCTCTGGTCTTCTCGGAATATAAATGGCTATTTGCCTTCAGGTGAAGGACTGTTTTGTAAGCGTAGATCATCGCCACAACATAGCCTCCAGGGACAAGTAGGCTTGCGTAGAGGAAATAGCATTTATGGTAGACACTCCGCTGAAAAATAAGTTTATTTTACAATAAGGCCAAAAGGTTTTCATATAAACTATCGGCATTATAAAAACTTACAATATCAGCAATCAAAACTTGAGGCATTGGGACCTCTCTGTAGTACAAAGTACCATAATTAAAACCCGGCCTTTCCAATCCTGAAATACCGTAGGCTGGATAAGCGATAAATCCCATTGGGATTGCCATTCCCAGTGATATTGCGTAGGCAAATAGAGTCTGCTTAGAGCTTAGTGGGCGACCTCTGAAAAAAACGAAACGGTTTGTATTAACAGTATAGTATGTACTTACTTCAAGACAGTGCAATATCGGAAATAATATTGCGCCGGGAGAATACTGTGGATCAGCGAAAGACAGACCACGTATACAGACATGGCCACGACTTGGCCGTTATACGACAAATAGCTAGCCGGGCCTTCCACTTTCACCAGAAAAACTCCATCGGTTAACTTGGACTTCTAAAATCGGCATACCTTACAAAAGGTCTTCAAATTTGAATACTCAAATTTCCTAAGTTCCACTCACGACTTGAATGAAATTGTCTGTCGCCCAGTAACTCAGATCAGTAAGAGTACAAAGCAACAGCATTTTACTGTAGGCTTTCAATTGACCTGTGCTTCTGTAGAGCACCAAGTACAGCATTGTGAATGACAGGGCTCCTCCGACCGTTGACTCAAAACAATAGCTGATCCGGAGGAAGCGAGATATCCTCCCAAGTTCATCGTATGGCTCAGTCGGAAGGCCAGTTTTATTGTCAGCGAAATCCCAGCAATAAGGGTTTTCTTTGGTGGGACCGAAATGAAGCTCCATTCTGAAAGCTATTAATGTAAATGGAATTGAGATTAAATTAGCGACCTCAAGCAGTATTCATCAGGAAAAGGCATGGAATAAGGTGCAAAACACTATAATTTGCACTTATGGAATCCACTTTACAAAAATACCATTATCTTAGTGCTGTAGGCTATCAATGTAAATGGAATGTGGGATAAAATTAGCAATCTCAGGCGGCGTTCGTCAAGGAAAGACGTGGGATAAAATCTAAAACACCATTTGGACTTATGGAATGAACTTTACGAAAATAACAACGCTTACAACGGCTAGCTAAAACTTTCAGAAGTTGGTCGACTTGTAGTATAAGTTTGAGGAAATTAAAGAGTCGCTTTTGGGATAACCCTTAAACAAGTGTTAAAATATTGCGATTATTACACAAGGGTTATATCAGTGACGATGACATCTTTTGTCCCATCGTTTTCTAAAATTTCGTCTATAATTTCCTCAAAGTGAGTCGGAAAAATTGGCTCATTCTACAGGAATTTGGCTCTCGTCCACATCTTCTGTGTCTTCCTGAATGTCTCTGCGGAACCTAGGGGACGGCTCACTAGCTTTTTGGCTCTTATGTAGGCCACTGTTTAGCAAACTTCGTAAAACAATAAGCGATTTGCTGCCAATTGAGAAACTGAGGTTATAAGAACTTTGGCAGCTCCGTTTTCACTCAAATCTCCATCGACTTGTAACATACTTGAACGCATTCGAATCAGGATACACTGTACTTTTTGAAAATGTGATAAAAAAGTGCTAAAATTAGCATAATTTGACGAGAAAACAAGAGATAACAGTTTTCACTACGTGTTCATATAGATAGCGCCTTCCTGCGCAAAACATGGTGTTCAGATTGCGACACGTATAGTTAAAGTTGGATTCTCACATTGCCTAATGTATTGTACAATGATAATAATGGGTATAACATTGGAAGTATTTGAGATATTTACAAATTTTAAGTACTGCGCAAAAATATGCAAATTTTTTTAAAACGGGGTTTTCAACATAAATTTGTTGATGACTTTTTGTCTATGAGGACTAAAAAAGCTCTAGAGTTAACTGGATAAAAAAAGAAATTCAAAAATTGTCCAATTTGTTGCGATTTTAGACCGTTTTGTTAGATCTCGAACGGAGTACGCCAACTTCCGGCGGCCGGTTACCCCCAAATTCTCCGGCTTTATGAGCAGTCCTTATATGCATTCGATTCAGAAAAAGCTCTTCTTTCAGAATATGCAATAAAAAAGCGCTAAAATAATAACCAGTTTTCGAGAAAATTGAAGATTTATTGTTCAGCGCATGAATATTCAAATTTTTGGAACCCTTCCGATAATTTTCATATCCGGGTGTAACAACCAAAAACACGTTATTTTGCATGAGGAACATAATGGTGAAGGTCCCGTCCTTCTACGACGTCTGGTTATCGAGATATAAATTTTGAGGTCAAGTTACAGTAACCCGGACTACGGTGAGTAATCAAAAAAAGTTAACGGGAAAGTTTCTTAGAACTGTCCATAGGCACAGATTTGAAAGTTTCGCTAGATTTGAAGCAGTTTGAATTTTCGTGTAGCCAAGGCTCTCGACTCATAGAAAAATCGTGTTAATTAAAATTAAACTTTGGTTCTAAAAAATGCCTCTAAAAACTCATCGCCGAAAAAACGAAAACGTAAAAAGTGGTGCTTACAAATCAGTTTGTATTCGGCTAGCCACAACAGATATTACTAAACTAAAAAGTGTACGTCAGACTGTAAGGACGTGACATTCGATGTGTATAAAAATCGCGTCATCATAGCTTGTGTTAATATCGAGAAAATAAGGTTCGAAAATAATTAAAATTCAGGTAGACGAGGCCTGATTTTGGCCGTTTTTTGCTCATTTTTTACTTATTTGCACTTTATGGGTAATAAAAATATTCTGTATACGACAGGTTGTTTAATAGATCATTGTGGTCAGACATGCCAAATGTCAAATGCCTCTGGCCCTCCAGAATCGTTGAATAGCATTTCCAATATGTAAACTTCATGTCTTCAATTTTGTATGAAAGCATTAATGAAATATTTAGCTGGAATGAATTACAGCACTTCTGGTAGCATTGAATCTTCTGTCACAATGAGAAAAGGCCAAACTCTGCTTAACAGGTAATTTGAGTAAGTGGAAAGTTCACAATTTGGCTTTGAGCAGAAGTATCTGTTAAATTCAACTTTCAAAATGAAAAAAATATCGGCTTAATAACAAAAAGTTGGCATAGAGATACAAACAACAGATTTACATATGTTCAAAAAGTAATTTTGTAACAGTTAACGCGGTTACAATCAACAGGAATAGTACACTTGGGTGCCATATTGCAATTGCTACGCAACGATTCTGGAGCGTCGGAAGAATTTGGAATTTGGCGTGTGTGGCCATAATGATCTGTTAAACAACCTGTCGTATATAGAATATTTCAACTCTTTACCCTTAAAGTGCAAATAGGTAAGTAAAAAAAGTAAAAAAGCGGGCAAAATCAGACCTCTTTCAACACAACTTTTCTGAAAGGTTACAAAATTTCAATATTTTCTAGCTCTCGGAATTCACCGTACAATAGAAGAAAAAATTGGTGTTTACGACCCGAAAAGTATAATTTTTATAACCTGAAAGTTGAAATTTTATAATCATCGATCTTTATTTTCTCTAACACAAGCTATGATGGCGCGATCTGTATACATGGAGATGCTCTTTTAAGTCTAACACACTTTTTAGTTTAGTAATTGTTGCGGCTAGCCAAATACACAACAAATTGTAAGCCTTTTAGAAATTGATACCCAAAGCCCCCCGGCCAGATAGTGTCCACCAATAAAACAGGTACTTGTAAAAGTTAAACAACAGTTCTTAGACTTTGCGAAAATTATTAAAATGGCTTCAAAATCAGAAACATGATAAAAAACTCAATCCTAAAACGTCAGGCAACGTCAAATCTAATGTTTCATCATTCGCCAGAGCAACCAAGAACTATGATTATCACAAAATCGCAGCCAAGACGCATAATCAACCCCCAAATAAACAAATGTACCAATGGGATCTCTTAACGTATCATACATGCCACCTTGTATATAATCATTTACGAAAAAACTGAAGACTAAACGAGGTTGTAATTATCATCATGAAGCTATTATAACTACTATGTGCAAGAAGATTTCGCGGCTGGAATTTTATGATTTCCATGAAAGTTAAGGTACTCTTAACATGCGACATTACGGGATATGAACATCTAATTTTGGTTGAAAAAACTCCGCGTACCTTGATTTATTAGAAAAAATTATAATCTCAAGTTTAACAAAAAGTGACGCTTTAATTACCTCAGGTAATGTGAGCTTCTGTAATTTATAGAGTTCAAAAAGCAGTTTTTTAAATTATGCAGTGTAATCTTTACTGGTAATAAATTAATACTCCTTGAGTTATTATAAGTAAAACAAACTTAGGGCGTTCCTACAAGGGAGGCCTTTAATTTGGAGCACTTTGGTTTTCTTAAATAAAGATTTTTTAATGCGAACGTTGGGTAGCCACAGATCAGTCCATGGAATCTAATAATTCAAACCTTTCTGCGACAGCCGGGATGTACATTATTGTTCTTTGCAAAAGAGCGTACCGAGTGAGTAGAGACGGCCAAACAAAAAATGTATTTTTTACGCAATACTTACTCGCATCAACATGGAAAAGAAATTTATTTCTTTGGACACCTGCCTAATTTAACCGGCAAGTTTTAAATGGAAAACAGAAAACAGCATTTCAATTTTTCGCAACTTTTAACCAAAAAAATTCATGGCATTTCTTTGCAACGGTGTTCTCCGCAGATCGAACACTTTCATTGACAGACAACACCTTGTGATAGGTTGCCTGTTTCTTACTTCCGAGTTAACGTTTACGTGCACTGTTTTTAATAGAGCCAAAAGTGGAGTACGGTAATCTTTTAGTCTTCAACCGTTCGAAAATTATACGTTAAAAAAGTGTTATATTATAATTACACAAATCTATTTCCACCATGTACGAATTTTGTAACCATCACAAACAAAGTGCGGCCTTTAGACGTAGGCCTGAAAATGAGGGGGAGCGAATGGACGAAAAGTGCAGATAATTTAGGCTTTGAGGTAAAATCGTACGCTTACATAAGGCACATCCTACACATGAGTCGTGATGACAAATGTGTTCTCTGCGCGTTGAAATGGTCTTGAGCACGCGAAAGGAGGAGGGAAAGATTAATTTTGGATAAAAACCTTTCCTTTTCCGCCTGAAAAAGCGATTTTATGTACAGTCTCTGCACAACGTATCGTAATGAATAAAAAAAAAATGGGAAATACTGTATAGGGTTTCGCTGCATGGAGGTTCAATTTGGCCTAAGGTTTCAGGGCTTCTGTATTGTTTGGTATTACTCTCAGGGTTTTTGAAATTATTTGGTACAGACGGGTTTTATAGTACTAGGGTTAAAAAAAGGTTTCACATTATATTACACTACTCGCAGAGATGATGAATAGACATCTCAGTCTATGCTGAACAGTTCCAACAAGAACAAGGAAAGAACTAACAATACTACGACTATTGTCGACCACCGGGGCATGAAGGGATACTGTGGGTCTTTAGACGACAGTATCCCCTCACAAAGGTACGCGGAATTTCATGAGTAATGCTCCCTCTCCTCACTTATATACCCAGCCGATTGACGCTTCGACTTTATCCCTTTTGATCTCCACAATTATCTTACTACTAACTCCAGACGGATGACATATTTTGCTTACAGAGGTAAATACGTTCTTTCTGGATGAATAAGTGTAGCTTTTCCAACTATTCCTAGCGGTGACGGGCCCTCTAATTGGCCGTTTTATTAGTACAGTGAAATTTACAAGAGGATTAACTTTACAATCAGAAAGGGAGATAACAGAGAGCAAGGGCACATATATATATTTAAGGTAAAGGACAGCATTTCGATATGGTTTTTGATGCTATACTATTCAAGAGATCAAAAGGGAAGTAAATCTTTACAGATGGGAAAGGATGTGTCAAGTTTTGATTACAAAGACATATATATATCACCTGGCTTACTCTGATGATATTGTGCTCATGTTCCCACAACTGTCATCGCAGCGGAGTATGTAGTTTGGCCTTGCGTCAAAGACAAAGGAATGTGGGCTCGAGTTAATCCCTCAGAAATCCAAATAAATAATTAGGCAGTAGGAGGTAAATTAATAGCCGACCGTAAGTCCTTCATATAATAATATATTTTGGCCAATCACAGACTGTCGTTCATAACCGCAACCATAAAATCAGCCAAAGCATTTTTTGTGAATGGAATGCTAGCATGCATGCAAGTTTGGACGTTAAAATCGACAAATCCCCACAAAAATCTTGAAATCTTGATATGTTGTAGCCCTTGAAATTCTCTTCACGATGGACTCCACCATCTTTTTTGTTGACCCCAAGAAAGTACATTTCTTTTGGCATTCAAAATTGAAATTTCGTTTTTTTCATTGCCGATTTTTTCAACGGTAGCGAGCATTCTGGTGACAAAATCTATATATTCTGAAAGGAAATTGGTCACTCTACATACGGATTTTTTCTTTTTGCCGGTATATCTTCTGGTTAGCCGTACACATATAAAAACGTGGCATGAAGGAAAGGTCACTCCTTCGGAATAGAAACACTCCAACGAACATCCAACGCTGTATTTCCGTATCAGCATACTCACCGCCCTTCCTTGGAATTGAAGCCAGGCGGAGAAAATGGAAGTCTCTCCAGGAGCCGTCGGGCGATCATCGGTGCAAATCTTTTCCACCTATCAGTCAGGTGTTTTCGAGGACATAAATGGACTGCTTCTCCAGCACATTATTTAAGATTTTATGAAATAAAGAAACGAATTGATTTGGACGAGATTCAAGGCTAGGTATAAACATAATGCATCTTTCCTTTAGAACACCCAAACATGTTAACGCCTTTATTGCTTTTTTTCTTTTCGAAAAATTATTGTCATTACATCATCATTTCCAAAGTCCCATCTCCCTTATTTGAACTCTCCTTTCCTGCTGATGACGTGTGAACTTTCCCTCTTCCAAAACATTCCAAAACAGCACGACGGTACGGAACGATGGCAATGATTGTAAGCAGCGGGTTGAAGACGGGGATCCAGCTGGTCATGTTCATAAAGATCAACGCTGACTTTCCGGTATTCATGTAGAAGAACGAGGGGACGCAAATGAAGAGGATTGGGCCAATGGAAACAAATATTGGCAGGAGGGTCTGAAATGGTTGTAGGTGGTAATTGCTCATGTAAATCCGCGGCTTATACCATTAGTTGTGTAATAAATATTGTAATTTGTTAACTACCTGAAAAAACAAGGCCCTTGCAAGTTGATTTTGCATAGATTTGGTCCTTTCCGAGTACATGCTGCTGTTCTGCTTTAAAAAAAGGACAGTTTTGTAGGCGAAATAAAGCGAGAGCAAGTACGAAGCGGTCACAAAAAGATTCGCATAGAAGAAGTAGAGTTGTTGGTAAATGTCACGCTAAAAAAGAACAGTTAAATAAATGGTAATATAAGGTGAACAAGAGGGCGGCTTACAATGTCAGCATACAAAACCTTAGGCAAAGGGACCTCTCGATACCACAGAGTTCCATAGTTAAATCCGGGGCGACTTGTGGCTGATCGACTGTAGCCTGGATAGGCAATAAATCCCAGGGGAAGTGCGAGCAGCAGGGACAGAATGTAGATACTGGCGGTTTGCAAGCCGCTGAGGGGCTGGGATCTAAAAACAAAAGGATTGACGGGTTCGGGAATGTACAAACTACGTGTCTTCAACTCAGTAACGCTCAGAATCCCTTCCACAGGTCAATTTCCGTGATGACAAATGGTCAAATCTACTTCATGATATATTTCCTTACCTTGTCACCGCATAATACCTAAAGTAATATTGAGCCGGCAGAATACTGTGAATCCAAGCCAATGTCGCCACGTAGCAAGCCATAGCAACTGCTTGATTGTTGTATGAAAAGTACATTGCCGGACCTTCAAATTTGGCCATGAAAACGCCATCTTGAAGTCTCGCCTTCTAAAACGGCCAAAAACGATGACAAATGCAGAAAAAACACAAAGAAAAGCAGTTTTTGATTCCTACAAGTTGCAGCATATTGTCCATGAGCCAGTAACTCAAATCGGTTATCGAACAAAGCATCAGCATTCTTCCGTAATTCTTTAAATGCCCACTTGTCCTATACAACACCAAGTATAACATGGAGAGCGAAAGAGCTCCTCCTGTGAAGAATGCCAAGTGATAGCTGGCTCTGAGTACCGGAGATAGTATTCCCAGTTCATCATAAGGACGATCCGGTATTCCCGTCTCATTATCAAGGTAATCCCAGGCATAGGGATTCTCGGGTGTGGGTTCGAAATGAAGTTCCATCATTGCTGCTGTGTCAGTCGAAATTGACGAGCAAAATGCAAGTTCGAGGAAGCAACTGTAATGTGTCATTTGTGAGACTACACAATAACTTTGAAATTGTATTTCTTAGAAGAAGTATTAAACGTTCCGGGACCACGTGTGGATGGATGAGACAGACAGGTAATGCAACAATGCAAAAAATACAAATCTCCAAGTGCAACGCTCATATTTTGATGAAGTATGGCACAAATGGAGAAAAAAATCTAAGACTTCTAACTCGCGCTTTGCAGAAACCACCGATATTTTTTGGTCGAAAGTTGACAAAATGTGACACTTTTGGCGAATCTTGGTATAAAAGGTTTTATGTCTATATCTATCGAATATTTGTGACGTCAATCAAGTTTTATCATTCTTTTCCATGCAAAACCGGCCAAGATACGGCCAAAACGTTTTCTTTTTTCTCTTTGAGTGCGCACCGCTTTTCGCGATTACAGTATTCACAGTGCTTTCCGTCTGCATATAAATGATTTCTACGCAAACAAGGATTACAATTATAGTTAAATATCAAAGGGTCAATTGAAGAGCTCTCTCCAATTCTCAGAAAAATACAGTACATAAAAAAATATCAAGTACCCATTACCCGAAACCCTTCGATAATCCCGGATAAAGTAAGAATAACTTAGTAATACGAAGTTTTTGGTTCGAAACAAATAGAACCCGCACGGTTAATCATATAATTACAGCGGATATCGAAAAAGATTAAAAGTGAGATCTCCACACATGTGTTTATCTACGTGCGATTAATTTTTGCAATAATTGTATCCGACGGTGGCCACACCGAATTTTCAAATTACGAAAAATCGTAAATGTACTTTTGTCGTTGAATTGGCGTGGAATTGTAACGAAGGTTTCACACAATAAATAAAACAATCTACAGGGTCAGCACAATATACAGGGTGTACCAAATTCGTGGCCCGATTTGAATTGGCTATAACTTCTTTAATTTTGGGCCAAATTTAAAAATTCTTTTTTTCCCTGAATCCTCAGACAACCCCATTTTGTCTGCTACCAAATATGTTATACATAGGTAAGTGTCATCTACAGTTATTAGATTTATTCTTGAAGTTCATTTTTTTGGTCGAACTTCAAGAATAAATGCAATAACTGTAGATGACACTTACCTATGTATAACATATTTGGTAGCAGACAAAATGGGGTTGTCTGAGGATTCAGGGAAAAAAAAGAATTTTAAAATTTGGCCCAAAATTAAGTTTCTTCTCACTTAGAGTGGCTAACTGAACCGTTAACAAGACTTTTTTGACTCAAAATAATTTTAATACCGTAATATGCCAGGTCAATTGCAAGGCTATTGATGATAAATGGAATTGTATTTATCCTACAAGTTAGAGGACATGCACAATGCAAACCAAAAAATTTGAGACTTTTATATCTGATGTCAATAAAAAATTGTAGTTTTGAGTCCTAATGCTCTTTCGAGTACGGCAAAAGTAGGTGGAAATGATTCTCCAGCCTCCAACAGTGTTATTCGACCAATTTGCATCATCACGTTCCTTCTTATAGCGTTCCGGTTGCAGTTTAAAAAACATGGTCCAAGTGTAACAACGTCAATAATTCCATGTTTTTCAATGCAAATGTTGCGTGTCGACCTCGAATTTACACTCCTTGACATTCCCAACACAGTTTTTCAAAACATGCAAGCACATGTTGCAAATTAAACAAGGTGTTTTTTGTACCCCTTCATACCGTAAATTAACATTTATGAGATTACAAATGGCAAGTACAAAACAATAGGAAACAAATAAGAGATCTTTGATCCTTTTTGGACTAGACTACTTCGCTTTCTTCGCTGGGGGTTTCTCGGGGGTGATCCCGCACACATTTATGGCGTGGTTTTTCTCGGATTGATAGGAAAGACCGACCCGCTCGTAGACTGATTCCAAGGTGATTCCTGAGGTGTCGAGTGTGGGACAGTCCTGAAAAATGTCAATATAAGATCTACTGCATATTCTAACATCTGAATATTTTTATAAAAATCAAATTTTGGCACAGTACGAAATTTTAGGCCTTCTTCTAGGGTGCACAGTGCAAGAGTTTAGAAAAATTAAACGTCAACAAAGTCCGAAACTCTTCGAAATTGGCAAGTTTAGTACACATGACCTGTGAAGCAATGCCAAAAATTTTCAAATCAGATTTGACGAAGTCCTCATACTATTCCGTTCTCAAAGTCGCTGAATTCACTTTGGCGACATGCACAGTGCGAGAACAAAAGTTAACTTTGCACAGTGCAATTTCTTGCTTTGCACCGTGCAATAGACTTTTTGGGCCGTCGCTTGCATCCTGACTTTTTCTGCATGTGATTTTTTTTTAAAAATATTTTGCACCGAAAAAGATGCCTAACATATTATTGATCAATCAATATTTTGCTCGAAAAAATCCACACACATGCATCACCCTAGGCATTTTTCTTTGCACTGTGCGATAATAAACATTTTAAAATTTTTACTCCCAAGTCCCTTGTAAACTCACAGGAGCTCTCTCTTTCAGCATTTTATACTGCCTTAGCATCTCTTTTACATCCGGAAGGCAATGCGGTTGATATAAATCCAGATCGCAATCGGCCATTTTACTCTCATATAAGGTGGATTTGGCCTCCTTGTTATATGGTTTGAACGGTTTCGGGACCTCCTTCCCATTCTCTTCATCTGAACTATACACTCCTTCTGTTCCTGAGACTCGTTTTGCCTCTCGCATCAGCATTTTGAGTCTAAAATCAGCTCTTTCACCAATCCGGAGGTCCCTTTTCTTCGGTCTTTTTAGGCTCGGGACATTCAGATTGGGCTCTTCGTTAAATCCTGTTTGTTCAGCCTTTTCCAACAGCTTCTAAATTTAGAAAAATACAAAAATTTCAAAGAAATTTTAGCTTACCTTTCTACCCAAAAGCAGTTTTCTCAGCAATCTCATACTATGATTTCGAATAAAGTGATTATGAAGTACTCGGTAATAACTGTTTAACTGATTTGGATCTGCCGAATGAGGGTGATTGTAGTATCCAGCTAAAAGTTAAGGCCAAATCTGTTGTTTTGGGCACAAAAAATAAAAATTATATTAATTTACCTCTAGTTTTTTGATAAACAACCAAAGGAGCTGGAATAAAAGCGTCATCTGTAAAGGCAATGTCCAAATCCTTTTCAAAACTTTGATTTTCCAGAAAGGCTGAGGGCAAAAATCCCTAAAAATAACCAAAGTTATTGAAAATGGATAACAAATGGCATCGATAATATAAAGATTACCTTCAAACGATATTTTGCTTCACTGGAAAGCTTGTCGAACGACCCCCGGGATATTACGGACCGAAATATTTCTTCCTGAAGCAAATAATGACAAAAGACATAGTGCGACATTTAAAAAAACATAAATCATCAAGCAAAATACGAAAACTCACACTCTCAAACAGTTTAGTGGGTATATCAACAAATTCCCCGTTCAGAAACAGTTTCATGACTTCTGGAGCAGCACTTTGAACTTCGTGATTTTGAGGTTTGCTACCTAAAAATTTAAAGATAAATTTAAAAAAGGATCAACTCACTATAATCATTATGATCATTAGGTGGTTCTCTGGAAGTCGACGGTAATGTTCCCATCAATGGTTGCGAAATTGGGACATAGACTTCCTTTGGGAGATGATTTGAGTTGTTTACTTCTCGATCGTTATCTTGAGATGGAGGTACAGGTTGAAAGGATGTACTTGGAGGGTATGCCGGTTGATGGGCGGACGTTCGAGGAACATCCATCTTGCCGGAGATTCAAATCTAAAAGAATTAATCTTCAAGAACGGTATCAGCTAAAGATCGGTGAGTTTTTAACGATAACAACGGTAAGGATAATATGAAACTTCAAAAATACACGTAAACCTTTCCAAAATTAGTTCATACTGTCAAAAAACCTTATCAAGGTATTCCTTGAGGCTTCCGAAATCCGCGCGCGCTCGGTAAAACAACCATTCCAATTATTATTAATTCCGCGAGCTGCGCCCGCACTGCGCAGTCTGCAATTTCGCAAGATGCGCCCGTATTGAGAATGACAGAGAATTTTTTTTATGCTATCGAGCAGACGAGCGTAGTAGAGTAAGATCCAGGCGTCTGTTTTATAGTAGACATATTGATGTACTTTATACTTTTATGCGGTTATTTCCGATCTTTTCCATCAGCTATTTATGAAAGTTTTGTCTGATTTGTGGCCAAAATCGTCTCGATTCTGCTCATCAAGAAACCTTTCGAAAGTCGATTTCTAATAGATATCTTTATTTGTCATCACGTGAAGAATTAGAGTATTCCTTTGAATTTTAACTTTAACTCTTTACTGAATAATTAAAATAATATCGAGAAATGTCAATGTTACATCTAAATTAATATAGAATTGATTAAATGTGCCCATCCTAGCTGCCGAATCTTGTGATGGATAGCGATCATTCGGACAATGAGTCGAACAGTTATCTGGAGGATGATTCCATCGATATGAATGATGAGAACCACGGGGGCGAAAATGGGAATTTGGACAGACTTCCGTTGATCCCCACTGACTTCACTGACATCCACGAAGCTATTCAGAACTTCTCCGCGGTGTTTGACGCCAGGTAAGCCATTCTTATTTTTGTTCTGCATTGTTTAGGCGGACCCTTTTTCTCTAGTGTAATGTAGAATTGGTGAAATAGAGAAAAATTTGTTGTTTAATATAAGTCTCTGCAGGTACGGCGGGCTTCATCCTCGTTTCTATTCGGGAACTCTTCGTGACGCCATCGATGAGTCTTTCGGGATCAGCAGAAGAGCACCGGCCATAGAAAGGAAACCCTTTGCTCTTTACTTACACAACGACGACGCCGTGGCAGCCAACATTTTTGCTCAAAATGTAAGGCTTCTTAAAGCTTATTAACAAGTTTGCCCATGTTATATAAGAAGTTTTTATATTGTGTAATCTACGGCATTGGTTTAGATAATGATCTGAAGATAAGATAATAACAAATAAAGCTCTTCGTATTTCAGGTTCTGTGTTCTGAAACAGCATCAGCTATTCTTGGGTGCCAATACACTCTTTGGGCGTGGGATGTGACTCAAGACGATAATCGCAAAAAATTCAATGATTGGGTAGCCGAACTTGGCCTAACTGATGTCGCTGATGTTCTTCGGATCCATCCTAAAGAAGATTACCCACTGTTGTTACTGATTACGAAGGAAAGGTCGAATTATAGTGTCGCTAATGTTTGTCAAGGTAATAAAATGTTTACTATTTATTTATTTGATTTTTAGGATTTGACAATGCCACTGATTGTGTAGAGAAGATTATGCAGGCTTTGGATCAATACCAAGCAATCAAAAATAAGGAAGAAGTGGAAGAGAGAGGTCGGTTGGAAAGAGAGCAGATCCGGCAAGAACAAGTTACGGCTTATGAGGAGTCAAAGGCGATTGACAAGGCTCGACAGCAAGAGCAGGAAAGGAAAAAGCAGGAAGAAATGTAAGAGACAATTCAACTTGAAAATAATTTATTAATAATTTTACTACGCATGACAAAAAATATTTTAGAGCCGAGCAACAACGATTCTATGAAGAAGAGGAGAGGAAGCTGCAAAAAATGGCACAACTCTCCTCTTCTTTACCGGCCGAACCCTCAGGCAATGACTGTATCACGATTCGTTTCCGTTTTCCCTCGGGCGAACAGAAAATACGACGATTTAACAAGGACGACAAGCTCAAGTGGCTGTCGACGTATGTGGAATCTCTGGGATATGACATGGAGACTCATCGAATCTGGAATTCCGACTTCCCCAAGAAGGAAATCTCCAGTTTCGATGCGACCAAAACCTTTGCCGAACTCAAATGGCCTCTGAGAGAACAAGTTACTGTCGAGGAGAAGTGACGAGTATTTATTTCGGAGTAAAGTTTTGTCTTTTCTATCGATTTGGTTCAAAAAGAATGACGCTTTTCCAATTTCCTCAGGGATTTTAGTCGTTCTTTTTGTATTAATTTATGTAAATTTTTTGATGTCTTATGAGAATTTTTGAGATTTACCATGGATTCAGTCGGTTTTCGCTTTCCTTGAAATCCATATTCTAATCGTTTTTGTTCCGTATTTTGTAAATGGTGACCTTTTTTGTCATTAAATGATATTATCCTTGACATTTCCTCTCTTTTTTTGATCTTTTTTGTGAAAAAAGTGTTATTTGCCTTGATGAATTTTGTCATTTCAAGCTCTTCTCAACCTTCAAGGATGCTGTTGTCAATATTGAACACAAACTCTCTCAATTCAATGGTCTTAACTTGTAAAATTTCAAGGATTCCCCTAAAATTTGAAGGAAACCTCCGAATTTGACAAGAAACAAAGAAAAAGGCGGGTGGTCTGGCCGTCTTTCCTCTCCAAACTGTCCTAATAGTCCTACAATAACTATTTATAACAAACTATAACGAACATCCACAAGCATCTGTTCTCTCTCTCATTTCAAATCAAATCGGGATCTTTAAATCGTGTCCAGCTCGACTTTTTCAACGTCTATGACGCTAATTTTGTAAATTGTCATCTTTTTTAAATAAACTTATTATGAAAATTGTGATGTATTCGAGTTGGGAGAGCAATGGTAATGTGCCAAAATTTTTATTTGGAAATTTCGGAAATAAAAAATTTTTTTTTATCGAAAAATTTCCCAATTTTTTATATGAAGTACAAGGTAACTCAACTAAATTTTGCAGACATAATCTACATGAGCCATAGATAGATGACCGAGGTCTCTTACGACATTGACGATTCCCTCGCCGACCTCACTGTTACAGTATGCCTGGATGAGGACGTTCCCATCGAACCACAGCCTCGCCCTCGCAATTTTGAAGATGATATTACCTTATTTGCCGAACAAATTGGCCCTCCAATCAGAGCTGAGGACGTTGAATTTGATATTGATGCAAATGCACAGTGTCGGAATCTCCCAATTCAAGCGGCGAGTGTCATGGAGCTGCGTCTGAATCCACCGGCAATTGGATCAATGAGAAATTGGGAGTATTTGGCGATGTTGTTGGGGATGAGTATGGAGGAGATTGTAGGATTACGGTAGGATTTTGATGATAAAGTTGGCATAATTTTTGGAGGCTCTCAACTAATGGTTAAGTTTTTAGTCGAGTCGAAAGTCCCGTCGCCAAATTGCTTCAGAATTTCGCTGATTTTTCGTTACGAAGTCTAATCGCCGCCTTGAAAGATACGAATCGGGTAGATGTCCTAATTTCACTTCAACCTTTCATAAATTCGATTGGTAATGACAGTCTGGCCATTGGTGGTGGCGACTCTGGCCTTTTTGATAACGCTACCACAACCACTGACTCTGCTGACTATGGTTTGGCAGGTAAGAGCATCATTTTTTGATGAGAAACATATCAAATTATATCCAAAGGTCAAGTATAATATAATTTTAATTTTTGATATCTATTTTTAGGTCCGTCATCCCAACCAGTGTCCATTCCACGTCCACAAAGGCCATTTCAAATCCCAGATAGATTTGTTTTGGTTACCCATCATGAGCCTCAAGATAAATCTCCACAAAGTAAAGAGATCCGGAAATATTTCCGATCCCTTTTTGCTAGTCTCAAAGCGAGTGGGGAGAAAGAAGGTACCCAGATTTTGGACGTGGAAGAATGCCTGGATGCTCAGAATTTATATCCGACAATGAGGAGGATCTACAGGCAAGTTATACCTTATTTTAAGGTCAAATTGTGTATCAAATGATGATTAATATAAATGTCGTTTCTTTTTAGTCAAGCTCAACTCATAATCCTCTACGTATCGCCTCTTTACTTTCATGAAATCCATAATCAGCAGCAAATATCTCCGCCGAATCAGAAAATACAGCTCAAAAGGTATGTGGAGGACCTGATTGGCACGGAGAGTGTGGAACAGGGGAACGGAAGATTCATGGTCATACTCAAGAGCCCTGAGGACACCGAGTATAGACCACTGGGATGGGCGAGGAATACACTTTATTACGTTTTTCCGAATAATTGGAAGGATATATCCAACAAGTGCTTTAATAAAGTGTAAACAGATCACATCAATTCCTAAAAATTTTACCGTGCTCTTTGCAGGTGCAGCCACGATATTTTGAACGATCTTTTGCTGCGCAAAATGCAGAGAACGGTGAGAAATAAAAACCTTTTTGACCGTATCTCTGCCGATTTCGCGCGGAAAAGGTTGTAATATTCGTTGAAAGGTTGCGTGAGCGTCGTATCTCGACCAGTGTCAGAAGAAAGTGTAGTTTTAGAATTGAAATTTCAGATGTATGCTTTCCTTGGCAGGACCAAAACACCTTTTCCGTTAGAATACAATTCTGTTGCTTCTTTCTGCTTTCCCCACTTTATCTAACGGTGCAATTCAAGCCAGTGACTTCCGTTTTCTTATTATGTTTGCGCAAAACACGTGAAAGATTTGTAAATGAAACCTTAAGGGTTTCTTTCAACCATTCACTTGCAAAATATGTATTTATGCAAGTGTTCCATTTGCTAACCTAACAGCAAGATGAACAGTTCAGTACTGAGGGTGCTGTATGCTGGTGGATTGCCGGGGATTAACACTAATTGCACTGGTTTTCCCGTCTTGACCCCGAGGAAGAGCTGTCAGTTTCCTGGACTTCACGTTGAGGTAAGTGTGATTTCTGAGTATAAATAAAGAGTTGTAGGACTGTTTAATGAGATTTGTGGGTTAGAGGCAAGAACTGCCTCAACGAAAACTTCAAAGCAACTAATTCTAGATTTTCAGATCATCAAAAGAATTGCTGATGTACTCAACATGACCATTGAGCCTTATTACCATGAAGGTGAACTGCCAGTAGTGGGTTCAATTGTAAGATTTTTGTCTGTTTCAATCTGACAATGACACCTAATCTTTATCAAAGCTTCTTACAAATTATAATAGAAGATCCGTATCTTTATCCTCAAAGTTCAGATTGACGGTAAAATCACCGGCTTAATGGGTTACATTCACAACGGATCGGTGGATACCATCGCTCTAATGGTCGGCCAAAGCGAGGAGCGAAGAAAATACTTTGAATTCACGGACCCTCTGTACTATGTAAGAAAACGACTTCAAGAGTAAAATAGATTCTCTAGTCTTTGGGCAAGGTGTTCATAAACATGCCAGAGAACACTTGGGATAAATACTTTGCGTACTTCCAAAGCTATCAGTGCAATTCGTGGTTCGCCATAGGAGTCGCTCTAATTTTACAATGCTTATTAACAGTGTTGGTGCACAAAGTCGAGGGGGAATTGAAGCAGGTAAATCAGCACTTCAAGGCCTAGAAAAATCATTGATTTAAGGAGGCAGTAAGGTGCACAATAAGCGAATCTGTATGGCAGATTATCCGATTACAATTGTTGCAACCGGAGACTTTGGAACACAGCTCCACTGCAGGTAAAATTTTATACGTATCTTCAAAAAAATTGCAAATTTTAAGGTTACATGTATCACGCGCCAAGTCTATATTTTAAATTTGAGTAATTTGAAGCTGCTTGAATTCCCCGACGATTTTTTCAGGGAAGTTCTCAGTGGTCATCTTCTCCCTCGTCCAATGCACCGTAATCATGGGCGTTCTGAGTTCCTACATCTTTTCCAATCTCGTCCGACCACCTCAACCAATCCCCTTCAAAAGTTTGTACGAGTTTACATCCCTCCTCGAGGCAGGGACCTTGCATTTGGTCGATGTTTCTTCAACCGGCCCTATGTATGACATGATTCAGACTTCCAATGCGTCGGATCTTGTTCTGCTTCGAAGGGCGTTGAAACAAAATCCCGTCAGAAAGACCAATTCCGTTGAGCATGCTTTGGAAATGATGGATGAACCTGGCGCAGTGCTTGTTCGTTATGTAAGAATAAAATTTATTGTACATAGCAGAGATAAAATTTCCTCGAAATTTGCAGGAAGACGAGCATTTAGCATTTGAAGCGTATAAGAAATGCGATATTTACATATCCGAAGCGCTGCTCCCACCATCTCGGGGATATTTGATGTTCAAAAAAGGGTACCCCCGAATGGAAGAAGTGAACAAAGCGATTGGATTGGAATACCACAACTTCAGGAAGATGTGGCTCAAGTATTTGAGGTCCTATCGAGGACAGCTAGGCTGTTCGCCGCCTGGCTATCGAAGAATTGAAGGTAGAATTAGAAAAAAATAAGAATTTGCCAACTACAATATAATTTTAATCCAAAAAATAATTTCAGCGCATTACCCTTACATTGGAACTGTTTTAATGCTCTTTCTCACCGAATCCCTCGCACTACTAGTATTCTTCCTGGAAGTATTTGTTCATTGCTTCTACCGCCGAAAATGAGATTCACATTAGAACCAAGAGTAATATAATACCTCATTGTAATGCTTTTAAGCGTCGTTCAATCATAAATTAATGTTCAGTCACAAAGAAAAGAGAATGTTTTGTGGTCAAGGAAAAGGAAACTCGCACAAACCCGATTGTAATCACTTTTCCCCGAGTAAATTCAAGAGCAATACCAAACTAGAAACTATTTCACGCCAAATTTGTCTACAAACAAAAATGGAAACTTTTTTGCGGGTTTTCATTAAAGTCGAGACGTTTTTTCTTTAGATCCTCTGGAGTTTTGGTCAACTTGCGAGTTTTTCATCTCTAAAACCCAAAATTGGGTGATCATTTTTACATATTGATGCATGACTTTCATTTTTTGAGACAATACCTTTATGTCTCGTCTAAAAGAATACAGGTGCCCCCAAAAAAACTACTTCCCTTATCAGGAAAAAGTTTGCGAAGAGTTGCGCAACTTTGCGTCGTGTGGCGTTTCGTCCAAGCGAAATGTCAAAATACATATAATTTGTCGGCTGATATTCTTTCTGGTTAGTTTTATTTCAGTTTCCAGACTTCTCTCAGTTTCGGCGTCTTTTATCAATCGAAATAGCTAAAACAACAATAACAAACGTTAGAAAAACTAATCAACAATAACAAACTACTGTAATCCAAAGACTAACGGTATAACAAAACAAAATACGATATGATTACAAACAAACACTGGTAAACGGTGCTAATTTCGGAATAATATAATCCTTGAGGATGTAATCTGGCTTGATTGAAGACATCGCTTCCAGTTCCACTTTGTAACCGGCTCCAATCATCGCTTCAACCTGAAAAACAGAAACCTACAGCGTGTATTAACCACTTTTGCTTCAAAGTCACTCCAATATCAGCAAAATTCTGCTGACGTGTGACAGAAACACATTTCTCACCTGTTTTTCAAGCCCACTATCATCATTTGTCGTGGCCAGTTGTTTCAACTTTTTCAGTCGCTTCATATCAGCCACAGTGAGTGTTAATCGATGAATGGGATCCAAATTCATCTTAACTGCGTCTGACATCTTCAGGCCCATCATCCGTATCTCATACAATTTGACCCCATTTGATTCAATCTCCGATTTCGCGCCTCCGTATCGGTATGTGCAATATATTTGCAGGCCTAAACTAGAGTACAAAATTGCACAATAGTCGAAAAAAGAGATGGACTTACCGTAGGGATCACAGTCGACCAAACAGAAGATTTTCTTGGGGTTTTGGTTGAGAAGCCATCGAAGGAAACTCCTAGTACAAATATCCGGGAAACCACGGCCCTAAAACAGACTTAGTAGGGTATGGAATACGTATTTCTGGTCATCACACGACTTTTTAAATTTTACATTATGCGTTTGACAATATTAGAACGAGGACAAAACTTGACTCGAGTCAAGTCGTCCCGTCGTTCAAGAGCAACTGGAAAACCCCGAGTGGAGAATCACTAGTCCAACGTGTCTCCATTTAGATCATCCAAAGATCTAAAGACAAAAACACCAACAAAAACAACTTACTGTAACCAGCAGTACCTTGGGTAACATGGTGAATATCCCATCATCGATCAATCTTTGAAACACAGTATCCTTCTCTACTACCAGAATCGTATCTGCGTCCATATTGAATCCCGTAAACTTCATCAGCTCAGCTCCAATCGCTACAGGATAAGCTTCGCAGTTTACTTCAACACCTGACTCAAACGACAAAACCAGTTTTCCCATGGCAAATCCTCGACTTGTAGATGTCCGAAATCAAAAAGAAAATATCATGTTTTCGACATGTAATGAAAAGCAACAATTTCCCACGAAGATATAAAAAATCCAAACGAAAAATATTCAAAAATCTTACCACGTTCAAGCATTGCCGAGGTCTGTGGAAAAATCTGCAGATTTTGCTAACAGCAGAGTCCAGATTCCTTTGTTTGTTCTTATACACCTTTTTATATTCATAGTAAAGATCTCTAAACATAGAGTTCGAACTGTACACAACCTACCTCTTGGTAGAGCGTCGATTACCCAATAGCAAGGAGTATATTTGCGCCATAGCTCGAAATTGCCGGGAAAATGTTGGGAGACTTCCAACACTGAACAATAAGCGTTCCGACGAGCTAGAGGCAGGGCTTCTGAAGAAAAACAAGAGAATTTTCAAATTGTAATAAGTGAGTATAACTAAAAAATTTTTTATAGAAAAAGGAGATAATAATAGCGCAAAAAATATTACTTTAAATCTGCAGCAGCTCTTTCTTTACATTTTAGTCACCAAATCCACCAGAAGCAACCGCAATATCGCTGAGAAATCCCGATGTTACCCATGACTAAATTACCTAAAACACAAAACCCAAAAATTAATAAAAACTCACTGAATTTCGAATGAATTTCGTAGATAGCTGTTCTGTCTCTTGTTTTTCCGGACGTCTGTGGTTTTAGTGGCGGAATCCAGTTTACGCAAGAAGGTGAGGACGGTTTTCTCGATCAGCTTGATTGTTTCGTCGCGTACTTGTTGATTATTAGTCTCAAGAATCGGCTTGAACGAAGTGATGTTCTCGATGGCCCGTAACTTTGGCATCGGGCAGGAACGTCCACGACGATGGACTTTCCGGAAGATCCGGAAATCTTCGTCGAAAATCGGCAAACGAGAATAATGTGTCAAATCTTCCCCTTTTGAGTCAACAATCTTTCTCTATCTATTGTCTTCAGGGGTGGTCAGTGGGCCGGGCCGGCCCGTGACGGGCCGGCCCGGCCCGGCCCAAACGGGCCGGCCGGGCTCAAAAATGGAAAATTACAAACGGGCCGGGCCCGTCACGGGCCGGGCCGGGCCGGGCCGCGGGCCTGGGGTTTTTTCCGGCCCGGCCCGGCCCGTCTAAATTACAATGCCAAAGCGTTGGCATTCATTGTTTTCGCGCCGGGAAAATTAATTGATGTTGTTATAGTTGCTGTTTCTCAAGTTCTAAAACGTTTACAAGTCTATAGTTCCATTATAAAACCACAAAACTATCACATTGACCCTTTACTAGCTATATTAACGCCTTTTTTGCCTAAGTTTAGATCCCAAGCTTGGGCGCAGTTCGCAGAACCCTCTATAAACGGGCCTGCACGGGCCGGGCCGGGCCGGGCCGGGCCTGGAAAAAGACTAGACGGGCCGGGCCGGGCCGGTAATTAGACGGGCCGGGCCGCGGGCCGAAAATCGGAAAAATAGGGTCCGCTGACCACCCCTGATTGTCTTGCTGCAGATGTAATAGAAGTTGAGGGTAATGTGTATTTTAGCCATAAGTTTTATTGAAATGCTTTATATTTAGGCGAACACTGGCTGTTTTCCCATTTCATAGCGTTCCTCCTTTTTCCCGTTCCCTTTTTCTCGCAAAAAGAGTCAATGTTTCGGACCGTTGCAAGTTATCTACCCTTTCTAGTCGAGCCGAGCACGCTTTTTGTTTTATCAGTTGTTTTCCTCGAGATTTCCGCTCATTCCGTATTATTCTATCTTTGATGTCTCTGGTGCAACATCCGCAGAAAATTGGTGTAATTGCTGGACTGGGAGCGGCTGGAGTGGCTACTGCCTATTTCGTCAACAAATATGTAAAGTCTAGACGCTATTGGAATGCGGAATACGTGGACGTGGGACGAGTGGACCGAGCTTTTATTTATCCCATCAAGAGTTGCAAGCCAGTCGAGGTAAATCTTTGTTTTCTTTCTGATTTTAGGCAACGTTCTATAATCGAGAGCGATCAAAAGTTTCTACAGGTTTTCTGCCAAATATTTGAATAGTATTCTCCACCAAATCCGACGTCAATTGTATATTTTTATTTGGTTTTAGACCTCATATTTGGATTGTGCTGAAAGAGGTCCCCGCAATGGATGGCTGACTGATAGGGAATATCTGGTAGTCGATGAAGCCAATGAACACATGTTCCTCACCGCTAGAACATATCCGAAAATGGTCTTAATTGATTGTGAAGCCGAGGCCAACAAGTTTGTCGTCAAATTCCCTGATGGAAAGAGAGTTGAGATTGATGTTGCCGAAGTTGTGAAAAGAAATGACGTTCGCAGAGCTGCGTAGGTACTTGTTATTTCTTATCTTTGTTTAGACTTCATGGTGGCAAAAAGACGGATGGTTTGGACTGTGGAGACGAAATCGGCGAAGCGCTGACTCAATATCTCCAAGTGGAAGGTAAAAGACGTCTGCGCCTGTTAAAGTTTGATCCGAAGCTTTGGACAGAAAGAGACTTCCACACTGACCCGAGCTGGTGGCATAATCCAGTGCCGAACGTGCAAGATCATGTAGGATGACATAATTATCATAATGTCCTTGGTGTTTTAGATAAATTACAGTGACATGAATGCGTTTATGGCAATTTCTACGGGAAGTTTGGAGGTAATGAATCAGAAATTGGCTGAGATTGGCAGTGAAGTGAGTTGTGAAAAATTTATAAGTTTAGTATTATATAATATTGCGTAATACCATCACGTTTTCAGGAAGTAGAAATCCGAAATTTCCGTCCAAATTTTTTCATAAATTCTAATGTCCCATTTGCGGAGGATTATTGGCTGAATGTTCGAATTGGCGATGCTGAATTTGTTTGTGTTAGACCTTGTACTAGGCAAGTGATGCTTTATTCGTTTATTTTTTCATCTTTAGATGTATATTGACCACGGTAAATCCAACAACAGGAGAGAAACATCCCAAAATGCAGCCTCTGAAACTTCTTAGAGAGTGAGTTTTCTTTTTTAAGTTTATGTTGTGCTAAAAATTCTAATTTTTTTTATTACTCAATGAAAATTGTTCTCTTCTTAGATTCCGGTTAGCCCCAGAGGGTCAGCTCCGCAAAGCATTTGATATGAGCCCAATCTTTGGAGTGTTCATGGTCCTCGTTCGACCGGGCAGAGTCCGTGTTGGCGATACAGTTTACGCGCAGATTAAGCCTACGGCATTTTAATTGTATATAATATTTGGAGAACAATTACATATTTAATTTTAACTCAGCTATAAATTTTTCTTTAAATTCGAAGTTTTGAATTTACAAAAAATGCCAGGATCCTCTCGATGTTTGGCCTTGCAATGGACCTATCTCCAATTTTCCACCACATTTTTTTATCGGGTCATTCCGTGGTGCGCAAAAGCCTCGAATTTATCTGATCCCCCAAAAAAGTGGCGATGCCAGCGAGATACATATTACGATTTTTTGGAGTAATGTGCCAACAGGCGTCTAATGATGACTATTCGACTTGTTTCAAATTCCGGGTAATGGACATACCAAGCCTTGGAAATTCCATTTTGTGTTTTTACAGCGCGGAAGATATATTAGGTGATCTTTTGACGGAACACACGCCGAAACGATCTAGTCGATTTTTTTGATTCAAATCTCGCGAATAAGTATGGAAAATGAAGGAAACAAATTATTTTGCAGCACTATGCCTATAATAACAGCCACTGACAAACATACAATTTATCGACGAAAGTTTTTTGCCCATAATCATCAAACAGTTCTACCAAAGCCACATTCCCAAAGATGTTGATCTCGTAGGGAACAGTGAAAGTTAGCTTTTATCCGGATTGATTAGGATCTAAAGTGTAGTCTCTGATCTTTTCTGCGTTATCTATGCTACGCTGGTACCGGTTACTAAGCTGGCTACCCTGTTTGTTCTTGCGTATCTCACATCTCTCATAATTCAGAATTCTTTTTCCGCAATTTTTTTCTGATCATGTTCGTGCGAGATGTATAAAACGAAGCTTGAAGTTGCCGAGTGTCGCCTTTTGATCTGGCTTGTTTATATGAGTTAGGTCGTAAAAGAAAGCTACTGTTCTTCAGTTTTCTGCGTCGCGTGAATTAGAGGCTGGTATTGGGATTGCTCTCTTGTGGGATTAAGAAGCCGCATTAGGGATCATGGGATGCTCTTGTAAAATATGGTTCGTCCCATTCATCTGCAGGGAAAGTGATATTTCTGTAGTATCTAGTGCAAAAAATAAACCCTGATTTTGATGGAACTGGCGCGGACTTTAATCCGCTTGGTAGAAAACCCCGAATCTTTAAGGGTCAACGTTGACAAAGATTTTGCGCTTTCAGTCTCAGTGGAGGATTAGGACTCTATTTCTTACGTGGTCAAATGACGTATCAAAGTTCGCAATATATGATCCACGCTTTTCTTGCCAGCATAATAGAATACTTTTAGGAATCAAAATATTGTTACAGTGATGATCCATCTTTGATGGCTGAGTATAATATTTTACCGACCGACGGGAAGGCGACAGAGTCTGAGCCACACCGCTACCCGTCTTTTAAGTGGCTAAAAAAACATTCATTGTGAGTCTATAAAAAATTAGGATTGCTTACGGTGTTTTACTCAATTCTGGTGACTTTCAGAAAGTTTCTCTTGGTGATTACTGTCCTTGGTATTGCTTACCATTATGCTCACCAAAAACACCTCCGGTATTTAAATTACATGCCTCTGGAGGATTGTTATGTTGTTTTGTCATCAGATTTGAACCTTTACTACCTAATTCACATGCCAATTGTTATCCAATATTGGAAAAACAAGGGGGTCAAAGCGTTGTTAATGATTACTTTGAAGGAAGGAGAGGAAATTAAAAACGATAAAGCGGCTGCAAAAGTTTTGAAATTTGCTGAGGAGGAGCTGGGTGTAAGTAAAATAGGATGTACCATTCTTTTCTCTCAGATTTTCACCTAATTTTTTATCTTAGGCAAAAATCGAGTATTTCCATAATAAAACACTCAAATCTGGCCAATTTGCGCAAACTTTGAGGAGTTTCGCGGCAGGCACTAAGTTCTCATTTACTTTGGATCCGGATAAAACGGTGTTCATCACAAGCGATGCAGATTTCTTCCCAAACAAAATTGAATCTCATATTCCGAAGGTGAGAAAAAGGAAGGAAATCATGTTTTATGACCACGATTGCTGTGGATTCCTGAGACATCGGGGAGAGAGATTCCAAATGTACATCATGATAACAATTGGAATGACATTAAGAAGATGGAGGGAGATTATTGGTGAGGATTGGGGGCGGTGTTGTTCCCAGCTATAAAAACACGCGCTTTCGAACATCAAGTGCTTTGAAAAATAATTTTTGCCTTTTTGCAGGCATCCCAGAAGCCCCAATCGATGGCTCGTGGGTCGACACTTACGTTAGCCACACTTTTAATGGGGTAATCAGCAAAAAGAGGCCTTGGTGGCAATGGTTTTTGGATCAGAGAGTGTTTGGAATCCATATGAAACGGTGGAAAGAGACTCATGAAGAGGAGTAAGAACATAGCCTCTAAAGTACCCTGAATTCCATTTCAGATACTCCAGAATAGTGGACACCCTCTACCGCAAAGGTCAGCCTCGACTGGAACGGTTTGATTGGCCAGCAGACGATGTCTTGGCCAAGACAGATGTCTGGAACACCTATGAAAGTGCTCATATTACTCCAGGGATCTTCATGGATCATGTCTGGGAGAAGAATCTCGTTTTTTACAATCGAATCTTTCCTTCGGATCAGGTTAAAAAGCTGACGGAATATAGAAATAGTGTGGTGGAGGTGATGAATGTAACCGAAACTTTGAGAAGACATCACCATCCTGAACAGAAGAAGGCATATTGGAAAAAGACCTTCCAGCAAAAGGATATGTTGGGCGGAGCACAGAGCGAGAAAGGAGTGGCACAGCAGGAAGAAGACATTGATGAGAATGAAGGCGTGGTACAAAAGGGAGTGGAAACAGATATTCAGGTGGAAAAAGAAGAAAACTTTGAAAAGAAGAAGGAAAAATAATAAAAAAAGAAGAAAAAGAGACAGCCGACCAGGAAGAGAACGAGGAATAAGAGAAGGAAGAAGCCATGGGAAGGCGTGATTACAGTAATCATCCCATTGTTTCGTGTATTTATTTTAATAAATCGAGCAATTCTTTGCAAAAAACACAATTTTATTCTCCGCTATTCCGACGTAAGAAACATTATATCGACTGCTCCAATTTTTGCCCTTGTTTTTCGCTCAAATGATGGAAACGTAGATATAATCAAGGAATGAGGGGAAGAAGGCATTTTACATACGGAATAATTGACGGCGGAACTATTCAAAACTTGAAGTTTTATTTTGCATGTGTTATACCACGACAGTGCCTGTGCTTGTCCCCACATCTCTTGCCTCATCCCGGCTTTCTCCCTGTCACTGTTGAAAGGATTTATCGCGGTGTTTATGGCTATTTATCATGCCGGTTGTACAATACATAATCGACACCTGTTATCGCGAACGCGTCATGTACTAGTATAATATATTTTTGTGGCTTGTGTCCACCTTAATCTTTGTTTATGTATTCTTTTTGAGCCACCTTTTCAGAGACGAGGATATTCAGGCGATGACATTATGATTCCAATCAAATACAAACCCCTTCAAGGAGATGATACCGTCAAACAAATCTTTCTATATGCTCGTAACATTTTCGACTTTTTAAAACGTCACATTTTGTAAGTAAACCCCAAATTTTGTAACTTCATTTTTCTTCACTCTTTAGAAAACTCGCTATAATTGTCATCATTTTTCTCTGCGCCCAAGCTTACAAAAACCGAAGAGATCTCGAATATCGCAATGAAATTCCTCTTGAAGATTGTTATGTTGTTTTGTCATCAGATTTGAATCTTTACTACCTAATTCACATGCCAATTGTTATCCAATATTGGAAAAACAAGGGGGTCAAAGCGTTGTTAATGATTACTTTGAAGGAAGGAGAGGAAATTAAAGACGATAAAGCGGCTGCAAAGGTTTTAAAATTTGCTGAGGAAGAGCTGGGTGTAAGTAAAATGGGATGTGGCATTCTGTTATCTCAGATATTCATCATTTTTTGCATTTTTTTAGGCAAAAGTAGAGTATTTCCGCAACAAAACACTGAAAACTGGTCAATTTGCGCAAACTTTGAGGAGTTTTGCCGGAGGCACTGAATTCTCAAGGAATTTGGATCCGGATAAAACGGTGTTTATCACAAGCGATGCAGATTTCTTCCCAAATGATACAAGAAATCACATTCCAAAAGTGAGAAAAGGGAAGGAAATCATGTTTTACGACCATGAGTGCTGTGGGCATTTGAGATTCCGCGGAGAAAGGCATCGGATGTACATGATGATTACAATTGGAATGACGTTGAGGAAGTGGAGGGAAATCATAGGTAGGTAATTATTTTTCTAATCTGCGCGTTTCCCCTTTCATACGTCCTGGCTAAATTTATGAAGTCTCAGAAAACCAAGCAAGTATTTTCAGGGATCCCAGACCATCCAATTGACGGCTATTGGGCGGATTCTTATGTGAATAGCACCTTTTTGGGGGTGATTCACAAAAAGAACAAAAAGTGGCAATGGTTTTTGGATCAGCGTTTCTTCAGCATCAAGCTGAAAAGATGGAGGGATAAACATCAAGAGGAGTGAGTTGTCAATGGAAAATAAAATGGTGGTGCTTAATTTTTCAGATTCCAAAATATTGTAGAATACTACCGCCGGCAAGGACAGCCTCGTCTAGAGCGATTTGATTGGCCGGCAGACGATGTCTTGGCCAGGACAGATGTCTGGAAGACCTATGAAAGTGCTCATATTACTCCGGGGATCTTCATGGATCAAGTTTGGGAGAAGAATCTCATTTTTTACAATCGAATCTTCCCTTCTGATCAGGTTAAAAAGCTGACGGAATATAGAAATAGTGTGGTGGAGGTGATGAATGTAACCGAAACTTTGAGAAGACATTATCATCCAGAGCAGAATAAGGCGTATTGGAAAAAGACTTTCAAAATAAAGAACATGCTGGGCGAAGCAAGGGAGAGCGGGAAAAGAGAGGATCAGAAAGAAGAAAACATTGAAGATGGGCGAAAACATTGACGAAGAAAAAGAGGCTCGGTAGACAAATATGTGGCTGTTTGTGTGTTGGTATTCGATATTTATTAATAGAAGGAGTGTCTTAGCAAAAAATCTACATCCTGCGTATGATATATCACTTTTACCCTCACAAATCTCCTAAGACATGGTTTTTGAATCTACTATTTTTGTTTAAAATTTTTAGTTTGAACTACCCTTGGGTATCTTAACAAAGTGTAGCAAAAAGTTTTCCCGATTTGAAACTTTTTTTTTGTGGTTGATGTGGATAAGCAAAAAGTTAGAACAAAAGAGGGAGGAAGCAGTCAAGCAGACAGAAAAAAATACAATGGAAGGACAGATATAGTTATGATCATATTTTCTAATCGTCCTATTTTGCTGTACATATTTATTTAGCCAAAAAAAAAGACTTACAAACCGAAGATGCAAAAATACGCATGTATGTTTTGAGGCAGATTTTATCTTTTCTATTTCGACTTCTCTAATTTCCCCCCTTGAATTTCGGGGAGCCCCAAATAATCAAAGTGGAGATTCAATCAAGGGAAGAGATGAAAAGGCTGATTTGGATGCAACGCCGAAATAATTTTTCACGAGGGAATGGTCTGAACTTCCCCCAGCGTTTGGGAAAATGACTAGTACAGGTGGATAGAGCAAGTAAACTTTGGTAAAAAGAGCCATTTTCCAGCTGCGGAATAAGCCCGGCCGACGAGAAAAATCGACCGAAAGTTCCATAAAAATTTCCTCTTTCTCTTCCCTCGGAAAAGAAGAGCGGGGTCCAATGGTTCGGTTAGCCGAGTGGATTAAGCATCCGCTCGGTATTCTTTTTTGGGGGTTGGTTCGATTCCGGGGTCTCGCAAAGAACCGTGATAAGGCTTTGATGAGCAAGATCAAGCTCTAACAAACCAAAGAAAAATATTTTGCCATTTTTATACGTTTTATAGGGGCATTATACCAAAAAATAATCGTCAACAAATGAATTTTTTGGGTGCTTCCGAACATTTAAAACGATGAACCATCGAAGTTATACTCGTTTGGTGATAGACTTGACTTTGAATAAGGCAAAATAATTTTTTTTTGGGTTGTTAGAGTTTGATCTTGCTAATCAAAGCCTTATCACGGTCCTTCGCGAGACCCCGGGATCGAACCAACCCCCAAAAGAATACCGAGCGGATGCTTTATCCACTCGGCTAACCAAACCACTGTACACCGCTCTTCTTTTCCGAGTGAAGAGACAGAGGAAATTTTTGTGGAACTTTCGGTCGATTTTTCTCGTCGGCCGGGCTTATTCCGCAGCTGGAAAATGGCTCTTTTTACCAAAGTTTACTTGCTCTATCCACCTGTACTAGTCATTTTCCCAAACGCTGGGGGAAGTTCAGACCATTCCCTCGTCAGTAAAATTTTTCTAAGTTTGGCCGAATCACAGCACTTTTTCGTAGGTTGGGGAACGCTTTTGTCTTTTAGTCATCCAAAAAATGAGCCAACTATTATAATTAATCTCGTGACGAAATATTTCTTCAACGCATGTCATCTTATTTATCATTCCCACAAAAAATTGTCCAGAATTCTGATTATTTTGATAGACATTAAATTATTCCTACTTTAGTCATCGTTTGGTAGACATTTTATTTAAAAATTACTCTTCCTTTAGTCATCGTTTACCGTTCAAAAATTTTCGGATACGATGACGTTAATGATATCGCCGGAAAGTCGACGATATCGCGTAATTTCAATGCAACCCAGTACGATAAACGATATAGCAACCCTGAACCGACAAATTTTTATCCTTACTCAACCCCCAACAAAAAATGCCAGAATCTTCTCGCTTTGATGTTCAAAAATTTCTGAATCTAGTCGACCAATCTTCAAGTTCCGGCGTAAAACTTCGCATAGTGCAACTAAATGGGGCGCTGAAGGCTCGAATGTGTGTATATCCGACCCCTAAACTCCAAATCCTTGATCACTCTCTGCTGCTCGGACTCTGAAAAAGTGGCGATGCCAGCGGAGATATAAACATGATCATTGAGTTGTGCGCGGAAAGCGCAACACAAGGAAAATCCCAGAAAAAACAAAAAGAAAGGTGTTATTGTTTTGGGTCAATGAATATATTTGGTCATGGTGAAGCCAGTGGAAGGGCTTTTTTTAAACGAGAGCTGACCCTAAATCTTTATAGTACATGTTCTAAATACATATCCTTTTGAAATGTGACAAAGGCTAAAGCGACAAGCTTTGCAGGAAAATCTTTATCGACGTCTCAGAAACCGGAGCTATAATTTTACCCATAAAGAGGTGGTGCCATAAGGACGACTATTTTTAAATATGTGAAAACTGGTTTTAATGTTTCGAATTCTAAGTAAGTCACACAACAAGAAAAATTTCAGTTTGTGTTTTTCTAGCGTGGCAGAGATAATGGGATGTTTTGCGAAACACTCGCCAAGACAATGTAGTCTATTTTTTGTTGACAGAAATCTCGCGACTGTATGAAAAATGAGGCAACCCGGGCAGGCAAAGAATATTATTTTGGCGGCAGTTTTCATATTTGGGAAAAGTAGGGGTTTCGTAATTACAGTAGAATCTCTATACTATTATAATATGAATTGCGATGGACCGAGATATTTTTTAAAACAGTTTATCGGGAAAATAGTGGGGACTCGTTGCAACAAAATGCTTCGCCTCGTCTAAAAAAGGGCGCAGTCGCGCACCAAATTTTCAGCTGCAGTTAGCCGTCGCAAGGCAGGGCTCATCGTACCAAAGTTTTACAAAAATATTCGTCAATTTGTACCTTAAAAATTACCCGATTTGCCTCATATTTTCTGGATATGATCCTATTTTGAATTTGGGCCGAGTTTTACCAAAACTAAACTTTCAAGATTGCCGCAATTTAGCTATAGAAAAAGTGGTGACAAACTCCTGGCCTAATTTTTCTATGGCAGCCCATAACCACCAACAAGTTTTACCGAAGTCCCATAATACGCGTTTTCAAAGTGCGCTGACTTTTTTTCGCGGCGCACAGTGCACTTTGCTTCACAAAACCTACGAACTTTTGAAAAAACGTAGTATCTTATTAGACTACGTGTTTGTAGGGAACAGTGAAAGTTATCTTCTATTCGGATCGATTAGGATCTGAAGAATAACTTCTCTGTTTTTTTCATGTTTTCCAAGTAACAACGGTACTTAGCTGGCTATCCTGATTCTTCATGCATATCTCATTATTATAACCAGAAAATCCTTTCCCGGAACATGTGAATCAAGTTTTTATGGAGAGTTGCAAGATGCATAGATGTAGGGTTTAAAAATTCGAGATTATCGCTTTCTGATCTGGCTTCCTATATGTGCTTCCAAATAAATAAAAGCTATGTTTTCCATTTGCGACGTTTCGTGAATTAGGGGGAGCGAGTGCGATTCTAGATCCTGTGATAGGGATCAGGAAATTTTTTTTGTAAAATACGGTTGGTCAAGAAGACCTGAGCGTTTTGTCACAGCTACCTTAGCGAATTTCATATAATTATTCCACCTTGCGAAAAGGAGGGCATCCAATTATGCCATCTTGAAAAATTCTGGAGCTCAGTGTGTCGCGGCGGAGAGTTTTTGCTTATTGTTGGCGAAGCCTACATTGCTATCGGTTACGGACCTTGCCGACCCTCTGCCGTCGCGAGTGTAATACCTGTGCTCGGTATTATCTGAACTTAGCCGAATATTTATCAATAACGTTTATTTAGCAGCGATATAACAATTAGCAGCAATATAACAATATACAGTAAAATAATATAGATCACAAATAGGTACAGCCACTTTCTACTCCACTACTGGTTCCTCCATTTGGTGCATTTGGTTCTCCTTTTATACTGCCTTTGTTTTCGTCGCATCTGGTTGTTTTGACGAGCGCTTAATGGGAGTTTGGCGAACTCCTACCGGTTTACTGGTTCTTCGCCAAACTCTTTCTAGTCTAGTTTGTTGATTCCTTCAAAACTGGTACCTTCTAGTCACATAGTCACAAAACTCTCTGTGTTTTGTGACTTTTATTTTCTTTGTCTCTTCCGACTGTTGCGTCGGATATTACACGAGATGTAGGTTGGTTGGGTTCACAATCTAAGGGATGTCGATGACCTTTCCGAACAAGAAGCTACAGAAAATGTTCTGACAAAGAAATTATGGCCATTTCATCGCAGAAATTAACATTTTTGTAGTGCATTCATATAAAATCCTACTATATCGTATGTATGTTGACGTGAACCTATTTTCCTATGTCCTCCTGTTTCATACTAACTGTAAAACTAAATTCAAACTGTTGTTTGAGACTTGTGCGGTTTTTTAAACATGTTTGCTTTGAATCTGACCTCCGGCTTCCCCGGTGATCTTTGTCAAAAAATTGAGATTTGCCTTAACACAACGACCCCGAAGAATCGCGGCTAGACATCCACGTACCTTCAAGCACTGGGTAAAAACCGAAGAAGAATACAAAACTGACATTCATCTCTATATCTGAAAGTTCACTTTGGCTGGGGAACAAGACTCAAATGGAGTTAATTCTCCTCTCTGTCATATCATACCGCTCTTTAGAGAATCGCTTGTGTTTTTGTTTGCTCTGCTTTTCTGCAGTCTCTTCGCTTCCAAAGAGGTCTTTTATAGGGTTACGTGGACAAGTGCCTATAGATCGGGACAGATTAAGTTATCATCATGAAAGGTGTCCTACAGAAAATGCGTGGGGTAAGATTAAGAGTTTGTCGATGCCTCTAGTGCGTGCCACTTCTCTAGAACAAAGCCAGATTCGAATCCATTATTAAATACTAAAAAATAACTGAAAGACGATTGGCGCCAAAATACGATCTTTTTTACAGTAAGAATATTACACTCATGCTTTTCAAAAATTTTTTCTATTCTTGGTCCCTGTGTATGCGATGACCTCCATAAATGATTTTACAAGAGAAGTACTGCCTGAAGCTACTGGTTCTCTTCATAAAATCAAAAAATTTTTCTTTCCTTTGGCGAAATTGTTGACATTTTTTCCGTGACATTTAAGGGCGAGTAATTTATCTTTATTATTCATTGAATAGTTTAAGGTGGTTTAAAAACTTTGATGATCCATCCATCCACAAGATGACTGCAGAGTATAACATTTTATTGGACGATGAGAGTAGGTCCAAGACTGAACGACGCCATACCTCATTTTATCAATGGCTGAAACGAAATTTTGCGTATGTGATTTTATTATACATAAATTTCAAAAACACAACTCTGAGCGTATTTTATTATCCTTGTAATTTCAGAAGGATCCTTTTACTAATCACTTGTCTTGTTATCGCTTATTATTATGTCCACAAAAAATATGTCGAATATTTAAATGCTTATTTAAATCACATACCTCTGGAGGATTGTTATGTTGTTTTGTCATCAGATTTGAATCTTTACTACCTAATTCACATGCCTATTGTTATCCAATATTGGAAAAACAAAGGGATCAAATCGTTGTTATTGATTACTTTGAAGGAAGGAGAGGAAATTAAAAGCGATAAAGCGGCTGCAAGAGTCTTGAAATTTGCTGAGGAAGAGCTGGGTGTAAGTAAAATAGGATGTACCATTCTTTTCTCTCAGATTTTCACCTAATTTTTTATCTTAGGCAAAAATCGAGTATTTCCATAATAAAACACTCAAAACTGGCCAGTTTACGCAAACTTTGAGAAGTTTTGCCGCAGGCACCGAATTTTCCTGGACTTTGGATCCGGATAAGACGGTGTTTATCACAAGCGATGCAGATTTCTTCCCGAATAAAATGGAATCTCATGTTCCGAAGGTGAGAAAAGGGAAGGAAATTATGTTTTATGACCACGATTGCTGTGGATTCCTGAGACATCGGGGAGAGAGATTCCAAATGTACATCATGATTACAATTGGAATGACATTGCGAAGATGGAGGGAGATTATGAGTGAGTTATTTTGAAGGGCTGGCTTAGAATGGTCAGCTGAGTGTACCAGGAGGAATACTAATTGTAAGAGAAGGGTTGCTTAAAATGATCGCCTTCAATTTTGATTGAACTTGGAACAAATAAAAATTTAATTTTTTGAGACTAACGTGAATGAATTGGTTTGTGTTTTGAGGGTATTGCCGTAATTTTTTGCCCAAAACTCTATCCGAATTTTACGTACTCTCTCAAAGATCTTTGAATAGTTTGACTGGCCTGAAAAGCGTAAGCTAAAATTTTGAAGAACTCATGTACGTATGCATTGTAGGGCTTACTTAAACAGTGTGCTATACACAAAAGCCTTGAAACTTCTGACCTCGCGCAACAACAGGCTTCCGATAAATGGGTCCATTGTTTTTCAGGTATCCCAGACAATCCATTAGATGGCGATTGGATTGATACTTATGTGAACCAAACTTTTAATGGGGTAATCAGCCGAAAGAGTACTTGGTGGCAGTGGTTTTTGGATCAGAGAGTGTTTGGAATCCATATGAAACGGTGGAAAGAGGCTCATGAAGAGGAGTAAGGATATTGTTATTCCAAGGTACCCCGAAATCCATTTCAGATACTCCAGAATAGTGGACACCCTCTACCGCAAAGGTCAGCCTCGACTGGAACGGTTTGATTGGCCAGCAGACGATGTCTTGGCCAAGACAGATGTCTGGAACACCTATGAAAGTGCCCACCTTACCCCGGGGATCTTCATGGACCATGTTTGGGAGAAGAATCTCGTTTTTTACAATCGAATCTTCCCTTCTGATCAAGTTAAAAAGCTGACGGAATATAGAAATAGTGTGGTGGAGGTGATGAATGTAACCGAAACTTTGAGAAGACATTATCATCCAGAGCAGAATGGAGCATATTGGGAAAAGACTTTCCAAATTACGGACATGCTGGGGGAAGCAAAGAAAAGGGTGAAGAGCAAGGGAAAGAGAGAACAAAAAGATGATATGGAAAAGAAGGCAGACAATGAAGGAACTGATGATAAAGCCCAGCAGGAAAAAAGAGAGAAGCTTGAAAAGAAGCAAGAAAAATAATAAAAATAAGAAGAAAAAGAGATAGCCGATAAGGAAGAGAACGATGAATAATAGAAGGAAGAAGCCAAGGGAGGCGTGATTACATTAATCATCCCGTTTTTTGGTGTATTTATTTTAATAAATCAGTTCTTTACACAAAAAGCGATTGCTCCAATTTTTCCTTCGAAATTTGGATAAACCAGGATATTGCAGGGCTTAAACTGTGTGAGCTTTCCGAGAACTCGATACTAGTGTTCAAGTGCACACACCGGCGGCACGTCGAGGTTTACGAGTCCGACACAAATCAATAATGACTGCTTCATGGCTTGCACTTCAATCTCTCTCCTAAATTTCCATTGTTTCTTTTAGAGTGCCTTAGGAATTGTTGTGTATATCAGCGGCGCATGCAATGAGCGAAAAAGAATCTTTTGCTGCACATCCGCAATCTAGTCCGTTGGCAATCCGTTCAATTGTGCCTCCTGATTGAAGCGAGACTTGGAATTCCGCTTTAGGAGGCATATCACGAGAAGAAAAAAGGCCCCCTTTTCAATAAATTCAATCTGGCAAATCGCCACAAGAATGACCGATCATTCCTTCCTTTTTTTCCAATATCTGACTATCCTCCACAACTCTAGAGGATCAAAAAGTAAAGCTCCAGAATATTGGACGACCAAGCTGTACAATATCAGAAATCTCTGAGACCTCAAATATCGGCCGACCGCAACGAAGCCGGCACTCGGAGAGCCAATGTAGCTGAATACGCACAAGATGGGAATCAGACAACAATGTGAGCTGTTCACATTGTTGCCTGTAATATCTATTCGTACAATAGACACACTCCAATCTCCGAAGTACGACCTTGTCGACAACACTTCATTCTAAAACTCCATTTCCCTCCAAATGTTGACTACTCCATTGTATCGGATGTGCGGATCTACCGAGGAAAAAGCCCCCAATTTTATCTTCGTAGCCCTCGATATCTGTGACAACGGGGTTATCCAGATCATCAAGTAGATTAGCGAATGTCTCCCGAATTCTGAGGGCGATTTTCCCCTGGAAAACTGGATTCCGGCAGAAACTTTTTGGAAACTTGCAAGTTCCTGGATAATGAAGCCCTCAAGGGGCAAAAGATTTTGATTCTTTTTTGATGTTTTCATCTGGATAGCATCCGTGACACTTGAAACTACTTCTTGTGTTCAACCAGTTGCTCCGATCTACACACATCGAGTCTATAAAAGTCATCCCTTTTTGTTTCTACTTTATTGATTTTATTTCAGCACTTCACTTTTGATGACTCTATAATGGTGGATGAATACAAGTCCCTTCTGAATGAGAGAGAGGAAAGCAAAAATTCCGTCAAATACACCTCGTGTTATCAGAGGTTTAGCAAACCGTTTGTGTAAGTGGAATGTTGAGATTTTCCTAAAATTATCCTTGTTTTCTTCAAGGAAAGGCAACGTATTTTAGAGAAATATTTTAGAGAGTAACGCACAATCGTTAATTTCACTATTTTAGAATTTTCTTATGGGACACCATAAGTGTAGTAACAACGTGTTTTTTCCAAATTTTCACGTTGGCCGAGTTTTATTTTCAAATTTGGTTATAAAAAGCGAATTGCAAAAACTCAGCAGCAACATAAAAAATGCGTAATTATCCTTCAAGTTTGCCGCATTAACCCACTTCATTTCAGCAAACTTGTAATCCTCCTATCAGCTATTGCCATGCCGATTTTCTTCACAGTTTGCTACCTGCGTCATGAAGAATGGGCAAAAATTCTTCCCGTTGACGACACTTGGGTGGTGCTGTCGTCCGACCTGAATATGTACTACTTGTTACATGTCCCTGTAGTGACCATGTACTGGAGAAATTTGGGAGTCAAAACCTTGCTACTAATCACATTGAAGGAGGGGGAAGAAGTCGACGATGATAATCGAGGACTTCATACACTGCTTGAGTTCGTGGAGGGATATATGGGGGTAAGATGGCCCAAGTTATACCGCAGATTTCTTTGCAGTCGTTTATAGAGACAGGTTTAGATCTTCTTGATATATAAAAAGAAAAAGTGTTAAAATAAGCTATTTCTGGTTCGAAAATGCCAAAATGTTCTATTGTGCATTTGTAACACATTCAAAGCATCAAGTAACCGTTTACATTTACAGGTAAAGGTGATCTACCTTCGAAATCAGACCATTCCCGCAGGGCAGTTCGCTCAAACGGTCAGATCCTTTGCCGCAGGCACTGAATTTGCCCACACTTTGGATCCGGATAAGACCGTTTTCGTGACAAGCGACGTAGACTTCTTCCCGAGTAATCTCACCTTGCATATCCCAAAAACTCATCGAGGGAAAGAGATCATGTTGTACGACGTCGGTTGCTGTGGATTTCTCCATTGGCATGGGGAGCTATACCCAATGTATATCATGATTACGGTGGGGATGACGGTCAGAAAATGGAGAGATGTTATTGGTAAATCAAATAAAAAACAGTGAATAACAATGGTCTATATTACAGGCTTGCCACATGACCGACCGGTAGATAGTAAATTCATTGATACGTATGTAAACAAGACTTTTGACAACTCGATCAACGAGAGGAATGAGTTCTGGAGGTGGTTTCTGGATCAAAGATTCTTCAGTTTGAAGATGAAACATTGGAAAGACGAGCATGAGGCGTTGTAAGTGCTCTTTGAAACGTTGGAATTCCAAACGATGACTTCAAGAAAAACAAGAGCTCAGATTTTAATCAAACTTGGCTTGAATCTAGATTTGTTTTATCCAAGGCCTGCAAGATTTCTAGGTCGTGCTTTACAACCTTGAAGGTGGATAGAAACGACAATTTTTAAGGAAAAGATACGTTTCTATCGCTCGCAATTGTCAGATATACGACCACAAAGCATTTTTCCTTCTGAACGCGCCCCGCACATCGCGAACTCGTCGACTGAAGTCGTTGAATATCTCGGCTGACCCTGCAAAGAACAAGCTTAAATTTCCAGGGCTTGATACGTTACCAAGTCCGACAAGTGTGCAACATTTAGAAAAAATTTGAGCGTCGCCCATATTTTTGCAGTAACTATGATTCTCTGAACCTTAGGTGCTATGTTTCGTACAACCCGTATAACCTGTGGTTTTTCAGATTCAACAAGACCGTGGAAACAGTGGACCGCAAAGGACAGCCTCGTTTGGAAAGATTCCAATGGCCAGAAAAGGAAGAATTCAAAAATATGGATGTCTGGAAGAGATACGAAAGCGCGCACATCGCCCCGGGAATTATTCTGGATCCGGTTTGGGAGACAAATCTTCCATTTTATGAGAAAATACTCAGACCGGAACAGATCAGGAAGCTGACACAGCTAAGGAAAGACGTCCTCAAGTTCACAGATGTCAAGCAAATTATGGCAAACCATTACCATCCGGAAAAAGACGATGGATATTGGCAGAGGACCTTCCACATGAAAGGAATGTTCAATCATAGTGATCATTTGAACAATGCGTTTAAGCCTTAGCAAGGAAAATTGTAGAACTGGTATTATTGAATAATAAAGTAAATACATATAGTTGGTAATAAACGGAAGGAAAGTGCTACAGCTAAGTTATATAAATTCAAGGGAAAGCTAACTACATAAAATAAATGTGTTATATAAAGGTGGTCAAAGACGTTATCGACTTTTATTTTTGCTGTTGAGTCGAATTTGGGTGCAAAAATGGGTTGACATTGATTTTGAAAAATCAGTGCACACTTTAATTTTCGTCCTGCAGCGATTTCCCAAAATCTGCACTGGTTATTTCCAAATTTTCGGGCTTTTTTGGCACTGATTTTTCAAAATCAATGTCAACCCATTTTTGCACTGAAATTCGACTCCACAGAAAAAATAAAAGTTGAGAACTTCGGTGACCACCTTTATATTGAAAATAAATCAAAACAAATCTGCTAAAAAATGGAAAAGCGACCACTCAACGCAACCTCCAATTGTATTATTTGATTACTCCCCCAGATCTCGCCTTTAGATGCTATCTGCTGCGGTACAAGCTGTAAATAACCTCCTTTTGTAGTAAAGCCTTCTATTCTTCCTATATTTAGTTCTTTAAGGGATTCTGGAATACGACCCGTTGTTGGATAAAAAAACAGACGCCTCACTTGAAAAGATGAGGTAAAAGAAAGTATAAAAATCAATTAAAAAATATATATTTTGGCTTACTTCCGAACGTTTAGACAATGTGTCAATACTTTTTACGGCAATCACAGCTTTATTGCTTTTACATTCCTTCAATTCCCACAAAAATCATTAGCCTTGGTTTCCTCTGTCGGACACTTGGGTTGTACTTCATCCGACCTCGATTTGTACCACTTATTACATGTAGCAGTAGTCACAATGTATTGCGTGGTAATGGGTGTATTTGTGGTCCTCATGATCATCACTCTGAAGGAAGGGGAAATTTAGGGCTAAAGGTAAAAGTAATCCTCTACGCAACTACATGATCCCCTCGGATATACTGTATGTTATGAGTGAGAATGACGCCGAGGAAGTTCGGCTCACGAATAATTAGAGTAATCTACAAAATAAAATTTTAGGTCTTCCTAATGTTGCCCCAGCCATTATTCTGGATCCATTTTGTAAAGCAAATCTTCCATTTACAAGAAAATATTCAAAAGATCTCGCGATTACAAAAAGTTGGCAACAAACCTCTTCATCCAGAGATGAATGATGGTTATTGGAATAGGACCTCCAAAAAGCAAGGAGTGTTTAATGAAAACAATGTTTTGAGCAATGATTCTAAACCATAAATCTATATTCTTCGATGTATTAGGCGTAGAAGTATGATCGTGCCGTTTTCCGGCCCATAATTTCAATCAAAACAAAAAATTTTTACACTAAACCTTATCCAATTTTATATTCTATTATTAATTCCGAGGGGTTTGCACAATTTGGCCAACTTTCAAGTCCATCAAAGAAAATTTTTGGCTTTTTTGAAGCCATCTAAATAAATATCAACCCAATTTTCGGCATCGTTGTATTCAACGAAGCGCTGCTGCCACAGATCGTGTTACGTCGGTCGAAACCAGTGATAATCTGAAAGTGCTGCGTCCGGAGAGTGTCGCGGGTGGGGTAAAACGTCCGAACTCGGCGGTTCTGGGGTGGCCTTGATCAGTTTTTCAACGTTGGGTTTGGCGTCATCATGCAGCAAAATAAAAATTGGTCATACCGACCGCTTTTACCATATCTCTTGGTGGAGTTGCATCAAGTCTTGTTGACAACGGATGCCAGTAACCGTTTTGTCGGGTTTCAAGACCTCATAGAAAAGAATATCTTGTTTTTGTCATCATATACAGAGTAACACTTCCTTCCCGGTAATGTTGGACTGTGCGGTCGCTTGTGTTTCGGGTTGTCAAAATCGATCCATTGTTCTTCTCTGGTCACTAGACAATGCAAAAATGACTTCCTTTCTGTCTGTCCATCAAAATTTTGTATGTTATCCATGTTGAGTTAGGTCAATCCATATGACACCCAACTCCCTTCTCTCTAGATCCTTCCCAATTGTTCCAAACTGAGTGAAGCTCCTTTATGCAACACGTGTAACATCACAGCTAGCTTTTCTTGCGCACCGGCATCGTGTTGTTTGCAATAATCTCCATATTCAAATTTCTTATATGGGTTGGAAAATCACGGGATTTGAAACGATGAACCCTTTTCCGACGGAATTTTTTTTACAGAGCACAACCACAGTAAGCTTCTGTAAGCGTTCCATGCGTCGACGGCGCTTTTGCTCACATTACATGTATAGAGGAAAATTTCCCGCAAATGGCATTTTTCTGGGACGAAAGTTGGTCATCTTTGAAGCTTTATAAAACCCGCTATTCTAAACCTAACCACACGAAGCATATATCGATAGACAGCGTTTTCAACGTTCTTTCAGGCGATATCAACAGGTGCACCAAAACTTTAACTCTACCTGTAAAAAAGGCGCAACTAAAAAACGGCACGGTCATACTTCTACGCCTAATACATATTTTTGGTGACTTATAACTATCGTAAAAGCTTCCTGCTTTCTTTACGGCCAGAAGAAACGGCATGCCGCGGTATGACGGACAATGAGATCTGCGATGTGGGCTTACGATTTTAAGCGATGAAAGTACCATAGCGTTTTTTTTTGCAGCAGAGGTTGATTGCGGTATCTCTGAGACCGACCTAGATATAAGAAAGGGGGAAGGATAAAAAATAATTAGTGATAAATGATGACTAAATTTGGTAATTCCTTCTGCAGTTGGACAAAGATGATTTTTATGGTTCCTTGTCTTTTTATCGACCGTTGATAAAAATTTCTTGCCGGCCATAACTCCAGCCCGATGACATTCATTGGGACACGTGAACTGCCGTCGCCTCGTCCTTCTTTCTCCGCTCTGCCCACGATGATCCTGTAGGCGCCGAAGTCGAGCAGATTTTCGGGGCATTTCCAGAAGAAAATAGGGGGTTTTTTTGATAGTATTCTTGTGCAAAAATCGTTTTGCAAACAATTTTTTGGACGTTTATCCAAAGAAATTTGAATAGTTCTTCGCAAATTGCAAAGATCGAAACTCAAAACTCATTTCGAAATTCGCCAGTGCTGTGAGTCAGTGCTTTCTTTATGGGTACCGTGGAGAAAGACGAAACTCCAGGCCAGGGGGCGGAGAAAGTGGTCGAGGAAGATGCTGACCCCCAAACGTTGCCCGAAATCGTTGAGGAAATCAACAAAGGCGGCGAGAAACTGGTCTCTTCTTGGTACGATCGTCTGATGAAAGTGAGTCTTAGGGCTTTACAGACATTTTTAAAATAAAAATTTTTTAGTTCCCCCCTTCTGTGGACGCATTTCTGGATGCCAAGAACAACGCCAAAAATCGGTATCCGAATATTTTGTTGTACGATCGGAATAGGGTCGTCTTGACCGATAAGTTGGGTCCGGATTATATCCATGCCAGCTGGGTGGACAGCTATGATCAACCGAGTGAGTTTGAGGGCGTAATTTTCTGGCAGTCAAACAGTTGAAGTTTTGGGTCTTAAGTAGGCCAAAAAGGATGGTTATAGGCGCAGCAAAGTTATCATTTTTGGGAAAGTATATGGGTTCCACTATGAGTCCTTACGCCTTTTTTGTCATCCCTCCTTCAATTCACTGTTACTTTCTTTCAGATGGCTATGTTCTGGCTCAAGCCCCCTTCGATCAAGACACTGAAGTGGATTTCTGGCGAATGGTCAATCAGATCAAGCCTTGTTTGATTGTGCTTTGCACCAGTACCAATGGAGCTGATGGCCAAAAGCAAATCAAGGATTTTTGGCCGACTTCCAAGGCCGAGAGAGGTTACTATGGAGGTGATCTCACCGTCAAATGCACTCTGATGGAACCGGTGAGTTTTAGGGAATTTGTTGGAATACCCTTTTTTGTGCATGTATACAGTATATATAATAGAATGACGTTTTAAATTTTCCAGGAGCGAGATTTTGACAATTATGAGATGCACGTTAAATTGAAGAAGGAGAAGACCGATCACAAAGTATTCATGATGCAGTATCGGAAATGGATCTCGGATAATGAGATCCCGGACAATCTGCTCGAGTTCCGGGCCATGCTCAAGATCAGCGTGGCCAGAGCGGAGAAAGAGGGGCGGGGCGATGGCCCTCTTCTGTTCACATGTCCCAATGGATGTCATCGGAGTGGAGTTATGGCCGGATTGGACATTGTCATCGACCGGATGACGGTCGATAAAAAGGCAAGGAGCCATAAAACTCATCTTTATCCAAGTCCGGAAATAATTACCAAATTTAGTCATCATTTACCATCTATTATTTTTTGTCCTTTCTCTTTCTTATTTCGTATTTCCAGGTCGGTCTCCGAGATACCGCCATCAACCTCCGCAAGCAACGTTATGGCACTTTCCATCGCTTCGAATCGTACGCTCACATCGCAGATATTATTGTCCGCCATGCCGTCTCCTCCGGTCTTGTAAATCCCAACTTTATTGGCGTTAGAAAGTAAATGGAATTATTTTTATCGGAACTAAATCAGAGATTTTATCCCACGTTGAAGCGAAATAACATGTGTGGGGTTGCAGAGGGGGTTGCGACAATTGAAATAAGTCGAGTCTAAAAGGTTCATGAATATGACGAAAATTCCGAAGTATAATCAATAAATTTTCCAATGCGCTCATGCTTTTATTGCATTTCTCTTCAAACATCAGACGAAAACTTTGATATAAGCTTTCAAAGGCCAGCTTAACGCCATATCCCAAGTGCGACGCTTAGATTTTGATGAGACGTGTCAGTCTGTCGGGAAAATAACGGCGGATCGTCGCAGCAAAATGTCTCGCCTCGCCGCTATCGCGCACCAAATCCCAAGCCGCGGCTTGCAGTCGCAATGCGATGATGGGCGATTCCGAGTCGCGACGATCCGCCGTTATTTTCCCGACAGACTGATAACACAAATAGACAGAAATGTTCCCACAAAAAATCGATTTTTTCCCTGCGAAACTGGCAAAGATACGGCCACAAAAGTGTTTTTATCTCTCGCCGCACTCCGCCCTTCGCGTATCCTCTCGGCCGCAAAGATGGTTCAATATCTCGGCTGCGCCTGCAAGTCGCGAGCTAAACATTTCAGGAATTGATATCTGGCCTATGCCCGGCATGTGTAAAAATTTTAAGCAAAAGTATGAGCATCGCACTTGCCGTATTTCTTTCCCGTTTTGGTAGTCTCAACTCTCAACAGATACTTGCAACCGTACTCGAAAGCCCCGCACCAAGAAGACCAGAAATACCTTTTCAAGTTTTAATAATCAAAAGTAGTATCCAAAATTCTTGGATCTCGGAATCCCAACTCTGTTCAATTTTCTATTATCGTAGATCAAGATCATGTAGGGATCAATAAGTGTGATCAGATATGGAATCAGGATATAAGAGTGTAGAAATGAAAATGTGATCAGACATGGACAGCGATATAAGGGTGCAGAAATAAGCCCGGTCGCTAGGAGCAATCTGCAAAATCCACTTTTTCCTGTTTTTTTGTTATGTCGTCTTCACTCTCTACGGATGAAACTTTCAAAAATTTTGATCAGAAAAGTTTTTGCGGGACTTTTAAACCGAATTTTTCCATGGGAAAACTGAAGTGAGTTTATATTAAAAGTAGTCCCGAACAAATAAAGCGCGCTTTTTTACAGTTATTTTTTTGATTTTCAGGAAGTTAGTAGTACTATTTATTTTCTCAACCGCTGCTATCGTTTTTTTTGCCTACAAATACCACTATAATACGCAAACTCTACAAAAAGAGGGGACAGAAGAGAAAACCCGTCGACAAATTTGGATGAACTTGCTCCCTTTGAACGACACTTACATCGTTTTGTCATCAGATCTCAATTTTTACTACTTATTGCATGTCCCGGTCGCTGCGATGTATTGGATTGGGAAGGGAGTAAAGGTGTTACTCGTCATTGTTCTCAAGGAGAACGAGGATGCAGATGATCGGGATTTCGCGCTGGTTGAATTACTAAACTTTTTGGAGGGCGAAATGAATGTAAGCAGGGGTTGCGATTTTGATTATGTTTCAGCGAAAAATTAAGTGCCGCAGGGGCAAGTGTTACTTGGAGGCAAAATGAAATCAAACCTTTTTGTGAAACGTTTGTAAATTTGGCAGAAATCGCGCTGAAATTTAGGGCAAGAAATACTAGTCGCGACATAAAGTCCTGACACATTTTGCACCGTGCATTCTTCTTTCATTTTATCCGCACTGTGCATCTTTTCGCATTTGTCGCCGCGATTTCCCGTTTTTGCACTAGCGACGTGCACTTTCGCGCGCGACAAACCCGAATTTGGGGGCGCGACGTCCAAACCCAGAACTTTCGCACGGTCAAAATGTGTCAGGGCTTCATGTCGCGACTAGTACCATTTTCCATTCAAATCCGTTCCTAAAATTATACGTAGTGTGCAGCACATAAAGCCAATTTCAAAAAAAGCTAAATATGTTTGACGACCTCCCTTTCATCAGAACGTTGCCCTTTTCAGGTGAAAGTGATCTACTACCGTAACTACACGATCCCTTCTTCCCAATTCTCCCAAACAGTCAGAGCTTTTGCCGCAGGCTCTGAGTTCGCCCATACTTTGGATCCGGATAAAACGGTCTTCGTTACAAGCGACGTTGACTTTTTCCCCCGCAATATATCATCTCATATCCCGAAGACTCATCAAGGAAAAGAAATAATGACCTACGGCACCGACGGCAACGATTGGATTCGATGGCTCGGCGAGAAATACCACATGTACAGCATGACTTCAGTGGGGATGACATTGAGGCGGTGGAGAGAAGTCGTTGGTAAGTTTTTATAATTATTTCTATACGGTTCATTAAAGTTCAAGTCCGAGGCCAACGTATTTTCTTCTAGGCATCCCACACGACCGACCAGTCGATGGGAAATTCATCGACAGCTATGTAAACAAGACATTTGACGAGAGGATTCATCGGAAAACTCTGTTTTGGCAATGGTTTTTGGATCAACGATTCTTGAGCCTTAAAATTAAGCATTGGATTGATAAAAATGAGGAAAAGTAAGGTCCCAGACATCAATACAAACATATTATTCTGCAGGTTTCGCCAAATATCTGAAAGATCTGTCTCAGGAGAGCGATTGGACCGAAAACACTGGCCAGGTTCTGAAGAATTAGAGAAAATGAATCTCTGGGAAAGGTATGAAAGCGCTCACCTAACTCCTGGAATCATACATGATCAAGTTTGGAACGCAAACATGCCATTTTACAAGAAGATATTCACTGAAGACCAAATTAAACAACTGGCGGGGATCAGAGAAAGGGTGTTGTCAGCAAGGGATATTAAAAAGTACATTACACATTGGTATCATCCAGAGTTCCAAGATGCCTTCTGGAAGACCAGTTTTAATATAAAAGATATGCTTAACAAAACTCAGCCCTTGACATAAAACAGTGTGTTGTATAAAATACGGCTCTAATAAAACTGAAAAAATAGCTAGACATTATTACTCTTCTTTGGATCTTGGAATCAACTTCTTCTTTATTGTTAGTACATGATGCTCATAACACCCCAAGAAATAATGCTTCGTGGAAGCAAGCTTTGCCAAAAGTACATTCGAAGTCGTATCACTCCGAGATGACACGGCGCGGAATTGGGAAGTAGCAAATCCGTGGAGTTGCGACCTCCCAAATTCACTCCGCCTTTGCTGTAAGAAGCGAAATGTTTTACAGAACTGCCAGTTCAGGCATTTTCGTATACTGCACTAATTATTTTTAAGACTTATTGGTTGAATTCAGCTAGTTCTCAAGATGAAAATAGCCAATGCTAGCGCAAACTCTAGAAAAAACCAACTGCAAGCCAAGGGGCCGACAAAAAACAAAAATCAAAGATGTAAAACATCGTTGACTCCGCGCAAATAGCTAAAAAACACGTGAAGACTGTAAAATACAGCCGTAATCATATAAAAGCCAAGAGAAGAAAGAAATACATGAAGAAAAACTTGGTAACACAAAAAATTTTGAGAGTCAGATCAGTGAAATCACAGGGCGCACTCCTGAACCGTTTCGAAACTTCGTATCGTTTTCATTGATTCAAAAGAGATACGAAATGTCGCGAAATTATCGGCACTTTTTCTCGCCCAAAATAATTGCTTTTTCTCGAAAAGGAAGAAGAAAGATAAGAAAATGTGTTTTATCCGATAGTGACATTTCGTTTTGAACGAATCACCAAAAAGGGGCGGGAAATTTTTTCTTCTATTTTGGATTGACGTGGGGCGCAAATTGCGGCGCCTCGCCTAGTCCCGAAAATGTGTCACGATGACACCCGTTTAAAACGCGGCAGTGTATTAAAAACGGTTGTATGTGACTACTAGCACTCCCTAGTGTACCCTGAAAAAGACACCAGGTTCAAAACTTTCGCTCATCTAAACTATGAAGTTTGGATGAGCGGGGACATTTTATGCCTAAAAAACGTTTTTATCTCTCGCCGCACTCCGTCCTTCGTGTACCCTCTCGGCCGCAAAGATGGTTCAATATCTCGGCTGCGCCTGCAAAGCGCGAGCTAAAACTTTCAGGAATTGGTATCTGGCCTATGCCCGTCATGTGTCAAAAATTTAAAAAAAAAAGTCTGAGCATCGCACTGGTCGTTCTTCTTCCCCGTTTTGGTAGTCTCAACTCACAAAAGATGCTTGAAATAGTGCTCGCAAGCCCCGAAAAACAACCAAAAATGCCCAAAATATCTTTTAAACTTTTAATAATGAAAAGTAATATCCAAAATTCTTGGATATCGGAATTTCAACTCTGTTGAATTTTCGATTATCGTAGATCAAGATCCTGTAGGGATCAATCAATAAACGTGATCAGATATGGAATCAGGATATAAGAGTGTAGAAATGAAAGTGTGATCTCAGACATATAAGAGTGCAGAAATAAGCCCGCTCGCTAGGAGCAATCTGAAAAATTCGCGTTTTCCCGTTTTTTTGGTCATGTCGTCTTCACGGTTTGCACTCTCTGCGGATGAAAATTCCAAAAATTTTGATCAGAAAAGTTTTTGCGGCACTTTTAATCCGAATTTTTCTATTGGAAAACTGAAGTGAGTTTACGTTAAAAATAGTCTCAAACAAATAAAGCGCGCTTTTTTACAGTTATTTTTTTTGATTTTCAGGAAGTTAATAGTACTATTTATTTTCTCATCTGCTGCTTTCGCTTTTTTTGCCTACGAATACCACTGTAATATGCAAATTCGTCAAAAAGAAGGGAGAGAAGCGGAAGTCCGTCGACAAATTTGGATGAACTTGTTACCTTTGAACGACACTTACATCGTTTTGTCATCAGATCTCAATTTTTACTACTTATTGCATGTCCCGGTCGCTGCGATGTATTGGATTGGGAAGGGAGTAAAGGTGTTACTCGTCATTGTTCTCAGGGATAACGAGGATGCAACTGATCATGATTTCGCGCTGATGGAATTAATAAACTTTTTGGAGGGCGAAATGAATGTAAGCAGGGGTTGCGATTTTGATTATGTTTCAGCGAAAAAATTAAGTGCCGCCGTGGCGAGTGTTTGACTAGGTTTTGATGAGACTTGGAGGCAAAATGAAATCAAATCTTTGTGTAAAACGTCTGTATTAAATTTGACAGAAATCGCTGTGAAATTTATGACAAAAAGTAATATTGTCTATCATGCTACCGCCTTCAAATCAGTTACTAAAATTACATGTAGTGTGCTTTCAAAAAAAGCTGAACACGTTTGACGGCCTTCCTTTCATCAGAACGTTGCCCTTTTCAGGTGAAAGTGATCTACTACCGTAACTACACGATCCCTTCTTCCCAATTCTCCCAAACAGTCAGAGCTTTTGCCGCAGGCTCTGAGTTCGCCCATACTTTGGATCCGGATAAAACGGTCTTCGTTACAAGCGACGTTGACTTTTTCCCCCGCAATATATCATCTCATATCCCGAACACCCATCGAGGAAAAGAAATAATGACATACGGCCCCGATGGCACCGATTATATTCGATGGTTCGGCGAGAAATACCATATGTACAGCATGACTTCAGTGGGGATGACGTTGAGGCGGTGGAGGGAGGTCATTGGTAAGTTTTTATAATTACAACTATACGGTTCATTAAAGCTCAAATCAAAGGCCAACGTATTTTCTTCTAGGCATCCCACACGACCAACCAGTCGATGGGAAGTTTATTGACAGCTACATCAACAAGACATTTGACAATAGGATTCATCGGCAAGGGATGTATTGGCGATGGTTTTTGGATCAACGATTCGTGAGCCTCAAAATTAAGCGTTGGATTGATAAAAATGAGGAAAAGTAAGGTGCCAAACATCAATTCAAAGATTATTCTACAGGTTTCGTGAAATATCTGAAAGGTCTTGCTCAGGAGAGCGATTAGACCGAAAATATTGGCCAAGTGCTGAAGAACTGGAGAAAATGAATCTCTGGGAAAAGTATGAAAGCGCTCATCTAACTCCTGGAATCGTATATGAGCAAATTTGGAACGTAAATATGCCATTTTACAAGAAGATATTCACTGAAGACCAAATTAAACAACTGGCGGGGATCAGAGAAAAGGTTTTGTCAGCAAGGGATATCAAAAAATACGTTACACATTCGTATCATCCAGAGTTCCAGAATGCCTTCTGGAAGACCATTTATAATATGGACGATATGCTTAACAAAACTCAGCATTAAACAATGTGTTGTATAAAATACGGCTCTAATAAAACTGAAAATAAAATCATCGCTGGACATTACTCTTCTTTGGATTAAATGCTCTTTTTTAGAATCAACTTCTTCTTTATTGTTAATACATGATGCTCGTAACACCCCAAGAAATAATGCTTCGTGGAAGCAAGCTTTGCCAAGAAATATTTACATTCAAAGCCGTATCACCCCGAGATGATTTATCTCCTTGAAAGTTCGCTGATCATACATAATAACCTGACTTTTTCACATCCATAACTGTGCATTGTTAATTACTCTCCAACACTACCGTATACATTGCTTGTTTGCCCTCGTTCCCACATATATTTCAATCAGAAATGTCCCGGTCTGGATCACAAGAAGAACCAAATTTTATTCACTCTACACCCGATTTCCGGAATAATCCTTCTTTATCTCCGCTTAATTTGACCATCAAAGATCATAGGCAGAAAAAGTCGAGAATAACTCGTTCCTTGCGACTTCTTGCGACCTTTTTAAGTTTGTCTAAATGAAGGGTTTACTGCGTAAAAATTAAAAGTTTTTAGACTTTTAAAGAAGGGCGGATTAATGCAAAACGCACCCATTGTTTTGCTAGACGTTACATAGGTTAGCTGTTATTTCAAACAACCTTTCTTGATGCAAAGGACAAAGTTTGGAACTCAAGAAGTTTTATCAGATGTTGCATAATAAATACACATTTTTTTAACTTGTGGGTCAACCATTATGACTAAAGTGAGCAAAATCAATCCCAATCCCACACAATGCCGGACAAGGCTGGCCTTGAAAAAACAAAGTCTGAACACAATGCCCGGCCCTCACCTCGGGATGGTCAGACCAATTCAAAAATTTTAGAGGCCCGCCTTGGACTTATAAGCCCAATAGTAATCTTTTTTCATGAAAATGGTAATGGCCAGCGTGGCAATGTCTGATTCCTTTTTTTTAGAAATTAAAGTCGTCTATTTTCGGAATAAAGTCACTTCCGGCGCTCGTTGCCCTCAGATTAGTCAATTTTAAGCCAAATGTATCTTGTTGTCAATCGGAACATGATAGTCCTTGCCCTCTACCATTAATTCCAACTACGTCATGGAAAGTAGACTATGAATTTTATAGGAAATAATAGCATTAAAATCCATGGTCTTCTGCGAAGTGACTTTCCCAAACAATCGGTATTTAAATGCCCGAGGGCTTACAGATTCGGGGTTGCTTTGTCGGACATGTATATCAGCAGGTCAGTTACATTTTTAGTGCTCCCAAAAGACACATGAAGAATATTTTCTAAAAGAAATATTTTTTTAGCCGAACAATATTTGTGATATCAGTGATTGTAACAACATTGCTCATCTTCAACAGCTTCAATCATGTCTCTTTTTACAATTACTACGACCAAGCCGAGTTTATTCGTGGGATCATGAATTCGGCCGTACAGAAAAATGGCGAATTTGACCATGTATATGTTGTTTTATCATCAGATCTTAATCTATATTACTTTGTTCACATGCCAATTATTGTGCAATATTGGAAGAATTTAGGGATAAGAACATATCTGATGATCACTTTGAAGGAGGGAGAGAGAATTGAGGACGATGAGGCCGCTAAGAAAGTTGTCGAATTTGTCGAGGGGCAAGGGGTAAGCACAAGACAAAAAATAATGTATACTAATGTATACCCAACGTTTTTAGCTTGCACTTTGTAGAATTAACTTGAAAAACTCTGAAATTTTTAAATCCTATGCACTTTTAAGGATTAAACTACGCAATTTTTCTAAAAAATCATTGTTTTCAACAGCATGACGTTAGTCAAACCTTGTAGTTCCCACTTTAAGACCATGTATGTAGTGTTCAAAGCTGAACAAAAGAGCTTCTTTTCAGGCTGCAATCGCCTATTTCCAAAGCAAGAAGATAAAGTCCGGCCAATTCGCCCAAACTCTCCGCTGTTTTGCCGCTGGCACTGAATTCGCTCACACCCTGGACCCCAACAATACCATATTCATCACGAGCGATGTTGATTTCTTCCCGAGTAAGACCGAATTTCATGTCCCCAATCTCATGAAGGGCGAGGAAATTTTGTTCTATGACAAAAGTTGCTGTGGAAACATCAATTGGAAGGATGTGAAGTTCGAGATGTACATCATGATTACAATTGCAATGACATTAAATAGATGGAGGGAAACTATGGGTAAGGCGTACGGAGATCACGATGATATTGTTCTAGGACTGTCTCATGTGGTCCCAGTCGACAGCGACTTTGTGGAGGACTATATAAACCAAACTTTCGACGGGGAAGTGGGGAAAATGGACCAATGGGGACAATGGTTCTTGGACCAGAAATTCTTTGGCCTCAAATTTTGGCAATGGAAGAAAACACATAGAAAAGAGTGAGTAATATCGTAAGACGGTTGGCGAATGAAGTGCGCAATCAAGTTGCGCCAAGGCCACATATCAATTCCTAAAAATACAAGGCCTTGCAAGGTTTGCTTTTCGGGAACGGAGGAGACTTCAACGTTCTTTATAAACGGGTGCTCAATGCGTAGAGCTTTGTGAGACAAAAATTATTAACTAATAATTAGTTAGCAAGTAGTAGTACTTTTTATAACGTTCTTTCCCTTTACTAATAATTTTCACCCCTCCGCCATGCCTCCAACCAATTGCAACCTATTCATAGGTTTGGTGCTCCTTTCACAATACGTGGGCAGTTCTGGAAAATTTAAAGATTAAAATCTCTTTAATATCGAGAATTCAGATGTCATCATTGTGATTTCGCAAACGTAGCATCAACAGATTTCGCCCGCTTATGCAAATCCTCTTTCATAAACTTGCAGGCATCACTTTTGTTGCCCACGGCGAAGCCAGAGACTCGCGAAAACATCATGAAACTTTACATATCATTATAAAAGACACCATTCTGTAAAAAAACACAAAGAGTTCTTTCAGATACCATCGAATCATCCGCAACATCGATCGCCGCGGCCAACCTCGTCTGGAGAGGAAATGGTGGCCAAAAGATGAGGAGTTGGAGAAGATAGATGACATCTGGAAGACATACGAAAGCGCCCACATTACTCCAGGGATTTTCTTGGACAACGTTTGGGCCAAAAATCTCGTATTTTATAAGAAAATATTCCCGGAGAGTCAAGTCCAGCAGTTTTCGGAATTCCGAGATTCTCTGCTCCCATTGATGAACATCACGGAGACCATGCAGCGACATTATCATCCAGAACAGAACGATCAATATTGGAACAAAACTTTCGCTCAGAAGGGAATGCTGGGCGACGGAAGGTCAGTACAACAACATGGAAAAATCTAGAAGGCTCTACTTGTTGAAACATTTTATTATTTATTCAATTTTTGACCGTTTTACGCATTTTCTAATATTAAACTTGGTGTTTTTAGAAGTTTTAAAGTCAATTTAAGAGTGAAGGAATAAGAATTGGTTCTCGAGCTAGAGAATGCTTGCTGGATTCGCTACCAATTCAAAAGTAGCGGAAACCTCAATTTGCAACACCAAAAAACAAGTCGGAAGCAAATCAGTTTTTTCGCGACCTCCTCGAAGAGGAGGTAGCAAATCGGCCATTTTGCGACGACGCAAAATTGAGAGGTAGCAAATCCATGGATTTGCGACGTCCCAAATTAAGCCCCGCCCCCTCAGTTTTTTTGGGTCTGAAGAACATTTGTTTTTCCACAATATTGCTCAGATATGGCCCAAGAGTCAATGGCTGGGGTTGAAGAAGATGGCCGCATACGGATGTTCCTGGAAATCAAAAGCAATATAAAATTTCCTTCTCATTTTTAGATAAAAAGACCTTCATATTTACCTCATAGTGCAAGTGTCTAATCCGAGCATCGAAATGGACATAGTCTTGTGCAAAAATACGGCCGACGGGAGTGAAATTAATTCCAGGTAACAATTTCAAGGTCTAAATTACTTAAAAAACCAAGTAATAATACTTATATTCAATCTTACCTCCTCTAGCAACTATCACACGATTTGTCCTTTGTTCAATTTCATTGTTTTTGTTGCCTGAAAACCGTTTTATAAAGATTTTTGCCATGAATAATATTAAAAAAATTGGAAAATTTTGTCTAAAATCAAAAAAAAAACAAAACAGCTTACCATGGAGTCAAAAAGCCTTGCTTTGCCGCCAATGTCGTCCCCGATGTTTATGACGATCTTCTTGAGTCGGTTTATCTTCAGATTCAGCCTCTCTGATCAATTGGCCAACTTCAACAAGAAGAAACATAAGAAAAGAAGAAAAAGGAATTTATGAAGTGGCGAATGTTTTCGCGGCGGGACGTGAAAAGGAAATGATACAAAGTCTGCAAACGTTTTTTAGGCATAATTTTCGTGGCATCTAATTTATTAGGCGTAGAAGTATTGTCGTGCCGTTTGTCTGGCCCATAATTTCAATCAAAACATACAATTTTTACACTAAATCTTATCCAATTTTATATTCTATTATCAATTCCGAGGGGTTTTCACAATTTGGCCAACTTTCAAATCTATCAAAGAAAAATTTTGGCTGTTTTGAAGCCATCTAGATATCAACCCAATTTTTGGCATCGCGATGCCAAAAATTCAACAAAGCGCTGCTGCCAGATCGTGTTCCGTCTAGAGGTGGCAATCGGGCTGGGCCGGCCCGGCCCGGCCGGGCCCGGTGATTGGGCCGGGCCGGGCCGGGCCTGAGCAGATTTGAAAAAGCCCTGGGCCGGCCTGACCGCTTCGGCCCGCGGGCCGGGCCGACACTTTCGGCCCGGCCCGGCCCGGAAGGTAGATAAGTAAAAAAAAATTTAATGCTAAACCAGCAAAATAAAGCACAAATGCTTTGTAGAATGGATAGAAATTAGATTAAACCTTTTTTGACTTATACGCTGTTTTACTACCTTTTAAAATTATGTATATGTATAGGTAACTTATTATGTATATGTAAAATCCCACCCAAATATGCAAGGGTCGGGCAAAAATCTTCGAATTTTTTATGATAAATTTAAAAATTTCACTGTAATTTTGATTCCTTGATGTAAATGAAAGTGTTTAAACAGTTTTTGGTTATCCATGTACCTTATAACGTCCATACGTTTATATAGCTAACTTCCTATAGGATTAAAAAATTCAACACAATCCAACTTTTTGGCTAGGTTTTAGCTACCTGTACGGATGTTCCAGTCATCCGACTTTTTAATTTACACGTAAAAATCTTCTGGAAAGCATAAGAACTTGGAGTAGAAAGTGCTAAGACTTTTATCCAGCTTTTCTGTATTAGCGGGCCAAACCGGGCCGGGCCGGCCTGGGCTTTCACCGGGCCGGGCCGGGCCTGAGCAAATTTGAAAAAGCCCTGGGCCGGCCTGGTTACTTCGGCCCGCGGGCCGGGCCGCAAAAATCGGCCCGGCCCGGCCCGATTGCCACCTCTAGTTCCGTCGGTCGAAACCAGTGATAATCTGACAGTGCTGCGTCCGGAAAATGTCGCGGGTGGGGTAATACTTTCGAACTCGGCGGTTCTAGGATGCCCTTGACCAGTTTTTCAACATGGGGTTTGGCGTCATCATGCAGCAAAATAAAAATTGGTCATGAGAACCAATTCTTATTCCTTCGCTCTTATTTCTAAACAAAACACTGCTATGGAGAAATAAATTTTTGACATACGTCATGATCTTAGCTTAATTTAGTCATCACAAATTATAAATCTCTGGATTTCCGATTATCTATCATTTTTAGTGAATCGTGGACTCTGACGTTCTCAGCGTGCGCCTTGAAGACTTTGATGAGCTCCTCGATTCTCGATTTATCCGAATTGTCAGCACATTCAACGAGCACCTCATAGCATCCTTCGTGAGTTTTGGAGGGGCAAGATTCAATATGGGTGAGCCTTACACGCTTTTCCCAAAAGAAAAAACGTGTGTATACTATACGGTTCGGAATACGGTTCAAAATTAGATGATGGAAGTTCCTTACCTTGAAGATTCTGAGGGTTTGAGAAAGAGCTCCCAGTTCCGGCGCTCGTTGACCTCTTATCAGTCAATTTTAAGCCAAATATATCTTGTTGTCAACCGGAACATGATAGTCCTTGCCCTTTACCACCAATTCAAACTGCGTGGAAAGTAGACTATGAATTTTATAGGAAACAATAACATTAAAATCCATGGTCTTCTGCGAAGTAACTTTCCGAAATAATCGGTATTTAAATGCCCGAGGACTTACAGATTCGGGGTTGCCTTGTCGGACATGTATATCAGCAGGTGAGTTTCATTTTTAGTGCGTTTAAAAGGCACATGAAGAATATTTTCTAAAAGAAATATTGTTTTAGCCGAACAATATTTGTGATATCAGTAATTTTAACAACATTCCTCATCTTCCACAGTTTCAATAATGTCTCCTTTCACAATTACTACGACCAAGCCGAGTTTATTCGCGGGTTCATGAACAAGGATGTCCAGGAGAAAGGCCCATTTGACCATGTCTATGTTGTTTTATCATCAGATCTTAACCTATATTACTTTGTTCACATGCCAATTATTGTGCAATATTGGAAGAATTTTGGGATAAAAACATATCTGATGATCACTTTGAAGGAGGGAGAGAGAATTGAGGATGATAAGGCCGCTAAGAAAGTTGTCGAATTTGTCGAGGGGCAAGGGGTAAGTGAAAAAAAATGTATACTAATGTATATCTCCCACATTTTTTGCTTGCACTTTGTAGAATTAACTTGAAAAACTCTGAAATTTTTAAACCCTTTGCACTTTTAAGGATGAAAAGAGAGTTTCTTACAGATGAAGCTTCTCATAACAAGGGCCGGACATTTCGGAAAAACGATCAAATCAGAATCTTTTGATATTTTGCACAGCTGCTATACTATGATAGTTGAACGTCAGCCTGAATTTTTAGTTTTGAAAATTTCCGTGTACAGGGGTTATTGTAGGTACAATTTTCAGAGAGATTGGGTCCGTGTGTAAAAACCCCAAGGAGTAAAAGCACAAAACCAAGCTATTTTACGTTTTCGGCCATGGGGAATATCTTCATAATTGACACCTTTGTCCTAGGATGTAGTCTTCGACTATTTTGAAAAATGGTACCATTTAGAATATAACTTTTTTGCAGAGAACTTGTCTCAACTTTAGAAACCTCTCAGAAATACTTTGCCATAGATGTAACAACATACCAAAAATGCACAAAAGTAAAAGGGGTGGTTTTGGAGTTATGGTACTTTAACCCCCATATACGGTAATTTTCAAAACTTAAAATTCACGCTGACGTTCAGCTATCATAGTACAACAGCTATGCAAAATATCAATAGATTCTGAGTTGGTCGTTTTTTCGAAATGTCCGGGCCATGCTTCGAGTTGTAAAAAACTCTCTTTTAAACTATGCAACTTTTCTAATAATCATTGTTTTAGACAGCATGATGTTAGTTAAACCTTGTACTTTAAGACAATGTATGCAGTGTCCAAAGCTGAACAAAAGAGCTTCTTTTCAGGCTGCAGTCGCGTATTTCCAAAGCAAGAAGATCAAGTCCGGCCAATTCGCCCAAACTCTCCGCTGTTTTGCCGCTGGCACTGAATTCGCTCACACCCTGGACCCCAATAATACCATATTCATCACAAGTGATGTTGATTTCTTCCCGAGTAAGACCGAATTTCATGTCCCCAATCTCACGAAAGGCGAGGAAATTTTGTTCTATGACAAAAGTTGCTGTGGGGACATCAATTGGAAGGGTGTGAAGTTCGAGATGTACATTATGATTACAATTGCAATGACATTAAATAGATGGAGGGAAACTATGGGTAAGGCGTACGGAGATCACGATGATATTGTTCTAGGACTGTCTCATGTGGTCCCAGTCGACAGCGACTTTGTGGAGGACTATACAAACCAAACTTTTGATGGGGAAGTGAACAAAATGGACCAATGGGGACAGTGGTTCTTGGACCAGAAATTCTTTGGCCTCAAGTTTTGGCAATGGAAGAGGACACATAGAAAAGAGTGAGTGTAGTAAGACGGTTAGTGAATGAAGTACGCAATCAATAATATCTTTTTTACATAACGTTCTTTCCCCTTACTAATGTTTTACGCCCCTCCGCCATGCTTCCGACCAATTGCATCCTATTCATAGCTGTGGTGCTCCTTTCACAATACGTGGGCAGTTCTGAAAACCAAATCGCTCTAATATGGAGAATTCAGATATCATCATTGTGATTTCGCAAACGTAGTATCAACAGATTTCGCCCGCTTATGCAAATCCTCTTTCATAAACTTGCAGGCATCACTTTTTTTGCTCACGGCGAAGCCTGAGACTCGCGAAAACATCATGAAACTTTACATATCATTATACGAGACACCATTCTGCAAAAAAAAACACAAAGAGTTCTTTCAGATACCATCAAATCATCCGCAACATCGATCGCCGCGGCAAACCTCGTCTGGAGAGGAATCATTGGCCAAAAGATGAGGAGTTGGAGAGGATAGATGACATCTGGAAGGCATACGAGAGCGCCCACATTACTCCAGGGATCTTCTTGGACAATGTTTGGGCCAAGAATCTCCTGTTTTATAAGAAAATATTCCCGGAGAGTCAAATCCAACAGTTCTCGGAATTCCGGGATTCTGTGATCCCATTGATGAACATCACGGAGACCATGCGACGACATTATCATCCAGAACAAAACGCTCCATATTGGAACGAAACGTTCTCTCAGAAGGGAATGCTGGGCAATGGCACATAAAGAATGCGGGAAAATAACGTCAGTACAACGACATGGAAAAATTAGAATAGCTTTACTTGTTGAAACATTTTATTATTTATTTATTAAATTTTGACCGTTTTAGGCATTTTCTAAAATTAAACTTGATGTTTTTACAAGTTTTAAAGTCTATTTCTAGACAAAATAAGTACTGTTATGCAGAAATAAATTGTTGACATACGTCATGATCTTAACTTAATTTGGTCATCACATCTCTGGATTTTCGATTATCTATCAGGTATTTTAGTGTTTGAAGGCCAATGTTTCTTTCCAGAGGTGGTTGCTTTGTTGTTAACTTGCTTGAAATTACCAAATTTTATTTCCCAATCACCCTCCAGCGTTCTTTTTCTTCTCATTTCATAAATATTTTCATTTCCTTTGTTTCTTCTCCCACTACAATTACAATTTCCTAGCACGTTTTGATCGGATTGTATCTTTTTGCACGTAAATTTAACTCGATAACAATTCAAAACAACCTCCAATTCTATGAGGGCATCAGAAAAAGGATGATAAGAGAGAAGGGGCCTTTAGAACTCACTCTGATCAGTCATCGCCGCCTTGTCGTGGCTGATAAGGACCTTCTGGAAGGTGCTATATAAACGAGGGAATTCCCCAAAAGAGCACAAAAATTGGGGCTAAGGTAGTACAGCCCCCCAGTCCAGTTCAGCCCCCCATGCCCCAGTACAGCCCCCCACGTCCATTCCGTACCCCCAAAATTTATTCCCAAGAATTATTCTAATTTGTAAAACGTAAGGGGGCATGATCTAAAACGTAGGGGGCTTGATCTAAAACGTAGGGGCTTGATCTAAAACGTAGGGGGCTTCATCTAAAACGTAGGGGGCTTCATCTAAAACGTAGGGGGCTTGATCTAAAACGTAGGGGGCTTCATCTAAAACGTAGGGGGCTTCATCTAAAACGTAGGGGCTTCATCTAAAACGTAGGGGGCTTCATCTAAAACGTAGGGGGCTTCATCTAAAACGTAGGGGCTTCATCTAAAACGTAGGGGGCTTCATCTAAAACGTAGGGGGCTTCATCTAAAACGTAGGGGGCTTCATCTAAAACGTAGGGGGCTTGATCTAAAACGTAGGGGGCTTGATCTAAAACGTAGGGGGCTTCATCTAAAACGTAGGGGGCTTGATCTAAAACGTAGGGGGCTTGATCTAAACGTTCTACTACTAAACATTCTAATTCCCTCTTTGCGGCACCGAAACTATAACTGAAGAAGTACATATGCACACTATACCTCGTATTTATCCATAGAACGGCCCCGAGTACGTAATACCATAATGTGCCCACATTTCTCGCAACAAGGGTCTTTGGGCAGACAACCAAGAGCCTGCAGAGCACCAATGAGACCATCAGAAGAGACGAGGTTGGTGATCTGTTCCAAAGTAGAGATTTGTGACATGCCGACCGGTTCCAAGGGGAAGAACAAGAAGAATGAATGAATCGTTTCAGAATTAAGATTTTAATCTCATTTGCACTTTTTTTATTATTCTAATTTTTTCATTATGGGGGTGTGAAATGGGCAAAACAGTGGGGGGCTGAACTACCTTTCGTGGGGGGCTGAACTACCGAAGCCCCCAAAAATTATTATTTTTGAGACCAAATTATATTCTACTTGACTAAATTGATATCAACTGGGAATGGAGAGAATCCAAAGCCGGCCAGATGTGAAATGTTATTCCTGCGGCGAAGAGCGATGTCCCCACGAAACGCCTAAGGTGAAATGCGAGAATATCGAGGTGCCATTGGCTCAGGGAAACAAGTTTTGTCCCATGGAAGGGGTCCGAGATTACAGATGCAGCTGTTCAGAGTAGTAAAATAACACTGTAAGATAATTGTAACTATTGTAAATACTGTCTTGATCATTAATAAAGTAACTTTATACAAATGAAAGGGTCTATGTACAATTTTGAACTGAAATTTGATTAAATATCCGTAGATTTTGAGTTATTTTAGGTGATCTGATGTTTTCTAGGCTAAAGAGACAGCTGGAAGGGAAAATAATTTAGTCATCGCTGCAGATCTTGGTTAAAGCATCCTCTAGCTTCGCCATTTGCGCTGAAATTAAGAAGTTATTATTCTGAGTATTCGAATTATTGAAAAAAAATATTTTTTTGGAATGTTTAAATTTAAGGAATCTTCTGAAAGAATCGGCTTACATTTGATGTCCTTTACCAAGCTTTGAACAGCTGGAACGCTGTCCAAAATCTCAACACGCTGAGTGTAGGGGTTGTAACGGACTTGGAAAGGTCTGCGGATGGTCGAAGCCCAAGAACTGAAAACATGGTAAATGGATATTACAATTAAGCGTATTTTAGTCTTTGTCGTCTTTTTAACCACAATAATATCGCCAGACCAAAGTATATGAATTTGTCTACGTTTTCAGCTAGACAAAAATACAAATACTGTCTTATCTATCCTTGTACTATATCATAGGCATATAATTTTTATAATTACTTCTAATGCACTTTCTCTTACGAAAGACAAAAATCAGTTATAACACAAAAACCTACGTCAATTTATTCTTGGCGTCGCTAAAGCTCTCCGCGATGAAATACTTTGGTTGGTACTCAGTAATTGGGTACTTTGTCATGCACGTTACACTGGGATCGAAGGGAGAGAACTCGGGTTTGTCGCTCAGAGCGTACTGCAGCTCTCCGAATGAGCTGAGAAGTCCGGCGCCGTAGGCTTTGAGCTCTCCACTTTGATTGCAAACTCCAAATTCGACAGTGAACCAGTACAACTGAAATTGCAAAGAAAATTATATTGTACTCGTTATTAGTCATCATAAATCAAAAACATTTTTAGATTATGAGCTTGGCTGTTAAATTAGACTTACAGTAGCCAACTGTTCGATCATTTCATCGCTAGCCCCCAACGAGGCAAGTCCAATCTCTTGGGAGAATTGGGCGAAATCGGGGTCAGCCAATAAGGGAGCGTGACCCAGAAGCTCGTGACAAACGTCGCTGAAACAAAATTTTTATAAAACACTCTTCATTTCTTGTAAGGATCACAATATACAGTAGCTGCCAAAAAACTGTCAATTTTTTTGTTTTTTGTGTAACTCTGCTCAACGTGGACGGATTTCAACGAAACAAATACCATTCTGTAGAGAATTACTGCTGTTATCTAATGGTGTAGCGGTTGGAGCGATTTTACATCTTAGTGTGTAACAACTGTCGATGTAAAATTTTTGGAAAGACAAAAAACTGTCAATTTTTCCAAAAAAATTTTACCGCTTGCATACGTCGCGGCAAATCATGGGCTTGTACATTCCGATTTTTAAATAAAGTCCCACTGTACATAATTAACCATCAAAGGGAGCCAAGAAAGTTAATTTAGTAGACCTTTTGATGATCCCAAGTTCGATACCCAAAAAGATGACGTTTAAGGAAAAATCGGTGTTTTTACTTTGACTTAGCAGTAAGACAATGCCTTGTAGCACAAGCTAGACAACCTACAATTATAATAGAACAATGCTTGGGAGCCAAAGTGCAAGTCTACAGACTCCACTTGACATTCAAGTTTCTCCGGCAATCGAGTTTCTGTAGAGACTTGGCCTTGTTGCCTCCGCCTTTGTTTCAACTTACCAATTTTTTATCAAGACGTGATCACAGATGTTCTAGAAGCTTTATGTTGGCATTCGTAGGACGGCGATGCAAGTCACATAAGAATTACGGAGGGTTATGTTGTCATTAACAACAAATTTTTTTTGTGGAAACTTGCAAGCCAGCTTACGACTTTAGCAACACCTCAGAGGGAGTGAAATTGCGCTAGAAACGTCAAGAATGGCTATAAATCTACAACGCAACATCTTGCTCTTCGTTGCACTGGGTTATTTCAATCTTATGGAGACTGCAAATCGAGACAACAATTTTTCTTCAAAGATTCTATTTCGGACCTTGTTTTTTTAGGCGCAAAGTATGGGCCTGCCGCGGCAGCTGTTCTAAACTGTTCACTATTCACATAGGTGCCTTCTGTCGCGTTGGAAGTACGATAGAGGTATCTACGGAAGCACCCGGGCTGAAGTTCCACGGCACATCCACTGCCAGAAAAACTTGAATGTCAAGTGGAGTCCGTAGACTTACATTTAGGCTCCCAATCATTGTTCTATTTTAAATGTAGGTTGTCTAGCTTCTGCTACAAAGCATTGTCTTACTGCTAAGTCAAAGTAAAAACACCGATTTTTCCTTAAACGTCATCTTTTTGGGTATCGAACTTGGGATCATCAAAAGGTATACTAAATTAATGTTCTTGGCTCCCATTGGTGGTCAATAATGTAGAGTGGGACTTTATTTAAAAATCGGAATATATTATCCCATCATTTGCTGCGACGTATCCAAACGGTAAATTTTTTTTGGAAAAATTGACAGTTTTTTGTCTTTCCAAAAATTTTACATCGACAGTTGTTACACACTAAGATGTAAAATCGCTCCAATCGCTACACCGTAAGATAATAGCAATAATTCTCTACAGAATGGTATTTGTTTCGTTTAAATCCATCTACGTTGAGCAGAGTTACACAAAAAATAAAAAAATTGACAGTTTTTTGGCAGCTACTGTACGCTTTAGATGGCATTAGCCAACGTATGACCCTTCAAAAAATAAGAAAAATGATGACTTACGGTTCTGGGGTGTATTTGGGGACGGAATGATGTCTAATATATTGAGTAGAATGGAAAACCCGGAAGGCAAGACCGGCCAAAAAGTCTCTGGAACTCAAAAGACCAGCAACTGGACGGATGATGAAGCCGGTGCAGTCTGAAAATACCAATTATCTTATCCATGGCACATTCAGACAAGTGGACATTTTATTTTCCGATTTTTCTAATTTTTCTGGCAAAAAATTGGTCTTGAAAAGTCTAGGTACACTTTTCATTGTCTAAATACGTATTTTAATAGCATTTAAAATGCTCCAACTACCTTTCAAAAAGTCGGAGACATCTTGTAATTGCGGAATATTGTCCGGTCCATATCCACAATTTTGTTGTAAAAGCGGGAAAATGTAATTAAATTCGCGGCAGGCATGAGTCTTGTATAAACTGACAAGCTCGCTGTAGACTGCTCTCCAAGTGGCCACCTCCCGTTCCATATATTCAACGCGAGGGATCTTTTCTCCACTAAAAATAAAGATTATATCCAACTAGATCAGATGAAGACAGGATTTTAAATTGAACCTACAGTCGATATGTGAAGGCGATGTCCGCGAACATCTTCCTCCTCTCTCTGTATTCGGCGTCTTTGAATCCGGGATGATCGCAGTCCAACTCGTTTCCGTAACTCAGGATTCGATTGGCGAATTGGTCGATATCAGAGATCTTCACCGGGAACCATGGGACTGATTCCTTGTTTTGCTTCACTTGAGAGTTGAAATCGTGGACTCTGACGTTCTCAGCGTGCGCCTTGAAGACTTTGATGAGCTCCTCGATCCTCGATTTATCCGAATTGTCAGCACATTCAACGAGCACCTCATAGCATCCTTCGTGAGTTTTGGAGGGGCGAGATTCGATATGAGTGAGATTTACACGCTTTTCCTAAAAGAAAAAACGTGTTTTGCAGTACAAAATAAATGTTAGATGTTGTAAGTACCTTACCTTGAAGATTCTGAGGGTTTGAGCAAGAGCTCCCGGTTCTTCGGCCAACGTGAAGATGATGGTGGTATGGGAGGGGCTGGTCGTAACATCGGCAACATACGAATCCATGGTGTATTCCTGAAACAAAAAATGGGTTTAATCTTGTTCTCAAAGCTCTAAGCCACCAAAGTTCGCCATTGAACCTACTCTTAAGGGCATGATGACAAAAAGAAATCAATTTTTAAACCGTCAACCTCTCAAATGTCAAGTGCAATATAACTATTCGCCAAACCACCCTATAGTATCACTTGTTTCCTCTCAAATGTCTTTCCGCCCAGTGTTATTGTAAAATCTTATCATGTCTTGATCTAATGTTACGTCACTAAATCTAATATCACAAATTTGTCGTTCATATACCATGTGGAAGTTTCTTCATCTTGATACGTGTCGATTTGCAAAACGCGCGCAGCTGAACACATTCCACGTTTTTATCATACAAAACGAATGTCACAAAGAGATTGATCGAAATATGAGATGGGATACTAAGTAAGTGCTTAATAAGGTTTAAATTGCGCGCGAGAAAAGTAATCAAAAGTTAATGACTATCATGAGACGAGGGGGAAATTTCTGTAAATATATGGCGTGGGTTTCAAAAACTTGATGAAGAATAAGATGACGGTTTTCTAAGTTTATAAATCTTGCCTTTTTTGGATGAACAGTTGGCGTACTGGCCGCGGTAAATTGCAGAGTAATACTGCGTTACAAGACCCTTGATCAAAGTAGAAATGATACGAAAATGGTCTTCGACAAACCTCGCCCTTGACCTTATCAAACAAAAACAAAAATGCGATCACACAAGCTACTGCTCAGTAAATTACTTTACTTTTTACTTTCTACCTAACCCCAAACACGTTATTTTGTTTTTTTATGTTATGGAAACCCCTGCGTAATCTCCTTTACCATCCAAAAATTGATTAAAAGATCAAAGCTCAGGACTTACAGTAATCGGCATTATGTATTTATAAGATACCAAACGTAATAGACGCAAATAGATCAAATCAAAACACGTGGCGATGGGAATCGCAGACGGAATGAGCGATAAAACCTGAGAGCGGGTATTTAAGGGAGTTCTGGAGATCGCCTTTCGAGATCATCAATTAGAAAATGGTGTAAAGTCGACGGCCTTAGGGCTGAATTTATGAAATTACCAGGGATGATGCAAGTGAATAACAATTGGAAAAAGAATTACTGTTTCTAACAAATGATGATAAATGTGGATGGCCTTATACGTTTGACGTAGACTGTTATAAGGTTGACAGATAGAGATTGAACAACTTTATTAAGGAAGTATTTGGCTAGTACTTGTATCAGTCTGTAGAACTTTCAAAATATCCACAAGGGAAGTGTTCAACATGTGAGCGTCATATTTTCTTTAAGAATGCACGAAAGAGGATGCGGCCAGGGATAAACGATGCTTGCTTAGACCTTTCCCATCTTAAGTAAGTGACAGATTTTTTGTGGGTATACACATATGTAAACTGTACGCCATAGTGGCTGAGCCTAAACAACGGCGGGTTGTCGCAACAAAATGTTTCGCCTCGTCGAAAAAAGGGTGTGGTCGCGCACCAAATCTCCAGCTTCGGCAGCCGTCGCAAAGCGGCGATGGGCGATTCCGAGACGCAACGATCTGCCGTTATTTTCCCGACAGACTGATAATTGTCTACTCCACATGAGAAGAAGATTGCCTTATTAGAAATCAATTTTTGGGTACTGTATTATTGTAAAAATTTTGGCGAGAACCCACAAATGTAACCCTTTTGTCTATAGTAAAGTAAACAGTTTTCAAAAAAAACTCCCCGAATTTACTTAAATCAAACATGACCTTGTATTTATTTGCAACATTACTGTAACTAAAACGTTGTTTTCCCCCGTTTTAGCTAAGCGGCATTTACAGTGTAACCACTAGATACGACATGGACTCTCATTCACTTGACTCTGTAAACACTTACCAGCCATTCCACCTCCTTGCAGCGAAAGACATCAGGAACGACCATGATGATTTCGTCGAAAGATGCGTCAAAGTCTAACGATTACTCTGCAATTAATCGAAAATGAGAACCCGACATTTGGCGTGAGGGTTTTAACAATAAAAAATAAAAAAAATGTGGAGAAACGCGATGGGAAAAATCACGGAGACTTGTGGAGTCGGGGGAATCTTCGGATGTCACGAGAAAATGAGGGAGAACAAAGTCATACGATACGCTGAAGGTGTAAATGGAACCACAAATTGGAATTGACATAGAGATTGCAACGTAAAGGATAGTAGCTTGCTTTGTTGAGCTCAAGAATGTCTGCAGGGCTTTATTAAATGTGGGAAACAGAACGTTCCCACAAAAGGGGAGATTGTTTCGAACAAACTCTACATTTATCGTCAGCCCATGTTCTCCATCTCTTTAGATCTCCTCATTTCCCAAACTTTTTGGAGATGTTCAAAGCTTGCTGAAGATCCCGACGTACCCCAGCAATATCACCTCAAAGACCGTCACTTATCCATCTGCTTTGCTGATCATAACAGTACTTTTGCCTGCATTAACCTTCCCTGTAAACATGTTTCTAACACGCGGAAGTGCGCCGTCCCATCCGCCCACAAGAGATCGACAAACAATCTTCTCCAATTCTCGAGAATTTACCCTTAAAGCTGTGTAACGGTCAACAAAACCTCGTCTCTCTTGCCGCATCTTCACAGTTATTACCTACTTCGGAAGAGATTTGATTGATGTTCGCACGGAATCGATCTCAGACGCGTGACAAACATGGCATAAAGAGTAGTGACTTTTGGTCAGACAAGGTTGTCAGCGATGTAAACAAGTTACAGTATATGCAGTAGATGTTCACGACATCAGGTATGCTATGAAACATGGTGTTTGCATAAAAAGTCAAGTTGTTTCCCTAATCTAACGTCGTGATAACGGCTGATGACTTGTTTAGCAACCACCTTCAAGCCCCAAAAAGAGTTACTTTTTAATTTTTTTACCAATCCTTCAAATTTTTTGTCATGTGAAAGATCAGGTGTCAAAAAACATCCCATAACAGGCAAAATACAGTCTAATAAACAGTAATAAGTGCTGCTTGTGCTACCTCTTTACAGCAGAATTACATTGCAAGACTTGTTTTCGATATCAAAGTTTTCCAAAAAGTGTAAAATGCCTTAGGGTTTTCTCTTACGAACCCGACTCCCTTGCAATTAACGTCATCATAAGGATTCCTTAAAGGGTTTTGTTAACGCAAAATAGTTTAAGAGACCGTTGATGTCATGTGAACTGCATCTTAAGGAATTGAGAAGCGAAGCAATTGGGCTTTTAGTCATCATAATGCAACTCCTACGAGGCTGAATGAATCTGACTGTATAAGGTAAATAGAGGCAACAAAAAAATTTTTTTATCTGTTGCTTTACAACTACATATTATCGAGACATTGATAATGAGAAAACAACATTTTTTTACTCCTTAACACTGTACTTTTAAGGGCTGCGAAGCTGCCAACTTTATGCCTTGATATGGAAGATCAAAGTGACGGCTCTTTGCAGTGTACCCGCAACTTGGGGATTAATACCTAACTCGTCAGCGTTACAATGAGTACCGAGCAGCAAAACTTCTATTCCAAGGATTTATAGGTCGCTATTTAGCAGCACTTTATCCGCCCCAACCCCGTTCGCAAGTTCGCATTAATAGATCTGTTCAAATGCCCCGCTTACAACTGTGTCATCGCTTGTCTACTTCCAATCCCTACCGTATTCCTCCCCCACGTGGCCTTCTTCCCATCGACCCTCCCTCCACCCATTGAAAGCGCTGTCAACGAAACGAAAAGCTCTCCAGATTCAGTGATGTAACTACTTTCCGTTCCCTTTTTATACTGTCTTCCTTCCTCTCGAATCATCCTCCTTTGACCAACCTAGTCACAAGGACTCTTCCCTTTACATTAACTGAAGCGGTCCCTTCTCCAAATTAATTGGAATCCCGTTTTCCTTATTGCTTTTCATCACAATTGATGACCATCGGCAGGCGAAAACCCTACAAATTTCTGAAGTTACAACTCTTTAATCTGTAGATTCTCAAACGTCAGAAGAAGAAGCCCTCAGGGTCGTTAATTTCTGGTGCGATTTCTTCGCGAGAAAACATGAAAAATGGGAGAGAATTACAGTAATCCTGCAAAGGTTGGAGAAGATAGAAACAGTAGTGTTACTGAGAATCATTGGGAAATGTTTTAGTCATTGTTCGCTGAACTCTTTTCGGTTTTATTGTTGCATTTTTAATAGTAAACGCATGGGATTTCCGGTGTTTTCAGTTGTCCAGACGTCTTACATACAATTTCTCTATTATAATAATAGAAAATAGACAGGAAACATGGAGTTGAGGGTTCAGAACGATGACATCAGAGATCGTCAGGATGAAGGAAAAAATTGGGGTGCTTGTTGTCAACGTGTCGTATACAGATGTAAGCCAAATTTATGCCAAGAACTTTACGCCATATTCATAAGCACCCACCCGTCCATCTATATTAAATACATCTCACGTTTTACATCGGCTCAAGCCAAAAGCTTGCATCAATTTTTTGCGCGTGCCTGCGGTTTCCGAACTGTAAAAAATTTCAAGTTGAATGATGGCCAAGATAGGGAATCAGCGACAAATCATATAGCAACGGTTGTAGGTTATGCCTTCCGGGAGAGGCTGCCAAATTCAAAGAGAAGAGAGGCGGTCATCGCTCATTTTTAAGGCAATTTTTTATCACTTCTTAAAAAGACTACATATTAGGCTTATTTTAAAATTTTATGGATTTTATTGGTAATAACAAAAGTTCACTTGACTGGATGTAAAAAACACTTAGTTTTGGACTCTATCAATCATCAAAAATAATAATAACAAGTCTTCCAAATGTCAACTCCACAAAAATGAGACTATAGTAACCCTGTAAATTACCTATATTAATCAAGTAATTAGACGACAGTATCCTTCAATTCCCATAAAACAACAATCCCTAAAGTAAAGCCGACTTCCTAGACCATAAAAATAAATTGAAACCATTCCACAAAGAGTTTATAAAACGTCTCGTTCTGTCGCTGGAAAAGTCGATAAATCACGTTTGGGGGGATTCGTTGAGCGTTGAGAAGAGTATTTCCATAATTTCAGGGGTCAAAGATTCTGATGCAAGACGACCGTAAAGTTGAGACGTCTCGAATTAAAAGGACTAGCGAACATTCAGCATTGGAAATGACCCTTAATCAAAGGTTAAGGCAGCAGCGATCGTCAACCATTCTAGAAAATAAACTTGCATTACACTCTTGCAAAAAAAGTGCTCAATAAACAAGAATGTCATCATTTTTGAGGGTCTCGGAATGGGAAGAGCAAGTGTTCAAATTGTAAAATACGACCTTGGATTTTGTTGCTTCCTTTTTTAGCCAAAGAAATGGTGGAAGTGCTCCGGCTCCAGGCAGTTCGTGGATTGGCCGAGATGAAGCCCCATTTATACTAGTCGCGGAAAAAAGTCCTGGGATTTTTCTGCGACTCTGCACTGTGCATGAACCCGAAAAGTGCATTTGCACAGTGCAATTTTGTTCATTTTGGCTTATTGTCGCGCGCGATTCGCGCGACAAATCAACTTTTCGGAGCGCGACGGAATTTGGGGGGGTGCGAGAAAATGCCAGGACTTTTTTCCGCGACTAGTACAGGATTTTGGGAGAATTACCCGATTCTTTCTTATGTGGAACTCACAAGTTCGATTTTTTGACAAGAGAAACAATTTTTGATAGGAATTTTAAAATTTGACAAAATGTGTCATCATGACGCTTTTGAGACTTTTCATATATTCAGATTTTTGAATTATTCATAATTCAGATTTTGGCTTGGTGATTCGTCCGAATTCACCGTATAAATTCCAAATTTATCACCAAAAATTTATTCGAATTCAGCTTAAAAAATGAATACCCAAAATACCATGACATTTATCGCTTTCCTGTACACTTTTTACAACTAAAGATAAGGCGGATTACTCGTATTAATACAACTGTCTTGCTCGAGGTCCTATCAATTCTTCTTATTGCTTTAAGTAGGCTACGAAATACTCAGCCTCGGCTTGACGAGTCTGAAGTTCTTGGGGATGCAGAACATGGAATGGGGAAGGTCCTTCTGGGAGAGCCATTCAAAGTTCTGGAAGGTGACCTTGGCCGAGATTGTGGGGACAATCGGGATCTCGAGTTTGATGGGGAAGCCTGGGGGCATCTTCAGACGACAGAAATCGCGGAGTTTGTTGATGTGTTTGAAGGGGGCGAGCACTTCCAGGATATCGATCAAAGTCTGCAGTTGGAGGGGGAAATCGGAGCTCTGAAATTGAAAATAGGCAAAATACGATTACAAAAAAAAATTGCCAACTTGGCGGGAAATTTCATTTCTGAATTCCCTTTGGTCAAAATCGAAAAAATTTTCACTCAAAACGCCATGTATATTTTCCCGCCATGTACTAGTCGCGGAAAAAAGTCCTGGGAATTTCTCGCGCCCCCCAAATTCCGTCGCGCTCCGAAAAGTCGATTTGTCGCGGGAATCGCGCGCGACAATAAGCCAAAATCAACAAAATTGCACTGTGCAAATGCACTTTTCGGGTTCATGCACAGTGCAGAGTCGCAGAAAATTCCCAGGACTTTTTTCCGCGACTAGTAAGCTTCTAGTATTATATTTTTAAAATTAACTTCAAAATTCCAAAAAAATGCACAAAATTCAAATTTTCCATCAAAAAATCGTCATTCAAATTCTTTCTAGCGACCCCAAATCCCCTACCATAGCCACCATCGCCGTAAAAGTCCTTGTCGAAGTCTTGGTCAAATGTTTTCTGGCCAAAACCGGGTTGTCCAACATCTGAGTGTACTCCTCAAAAGTGATATCAGGTTTGGGAGGCGGAGTCAACGACGGGCGATGCTGAATCGTCCCCAGTTGCTCGAAATCCTCTTCGGACATCTTAACACCGGTCGCGAACTTTTTCATGATGGATTTGTTCTTCTTCACATCCTCATGGGACAGGTGTTCTCGTCGTTTTTTGGTGATTAAGTTCATGTTATTCACGAAGTAAAAGTCTCCGACAAATCCAGCAATGTCCTCGGTCTTCTCTTGACGGAAAATCCAGCCGGATTTGGCTCGTTCGAAGGTGATTGGCTTCGTGGACATGTGCATATCCACTATGTCGGAGGACTGAAATGCGAAGGGTTTTAGTAAACAGCAAAAAATTTTGTGCTCGAAATTACCGTTAGTATCTATCTATCCCATTCTGATATATCATTTTGGCCTATTGAAAAAATTGAACATCAATTTACAGTACCAAATAGCAGTTTTCCCACAAAATCAAAAAAAAAATTTTTTTGATCAAGTATAAAATCTAATCTGAGGCCCTGTATCGCTTCAGAACCTCCTCTGTAAAAGCTGAACCCACCATGAGAACATCCACTTCTTCATCCAGCTCCCCGAAATCATGTTGTCCCTTCACATGAGTGTATGTTTTTTCTCCATTATCGACCAAAATTAATCGTCCCTTCTCGTCATCATTGAAAGCATTGAAGAGCAGTGAGATATCCCCTCGTTCCCATTTCTTATCAGTTACGTCCACCAGGGAGGTGTCCATTCTGAGGGAAGACTTACATTTATATATTCGGCAGACATCGGACGGCAACATTCGGGACAAAAGAGGTACTGAAAAAATTTTTACATTAAACTGGACGATTTTAGATTGTTCGTGGCTCAAAATCATCAAAAATCCGGTCAAATTTGGACAACTTTAAAAAATTCCGGAAAATCCGTCATTATGACACCTTCAATTATTCGGATACTCGCCTCTTTACGTCAAGACTGGTTTGTTGAAAGACAATCATGTCTTAAAAAATTTTTCCATGTCAAAAATTTTTTTAATTCCGTTATTTATGAAGTCATGATGACATATTTTTTGGAATTTTAAAATCATCCCTAATTTTTTACGTTCCTAAAAGATGATTTCCAAAATTTTTTGCTCAAAACTTACTCCAGCTATGGAAATCCCACTTGAGTTCCATATAAAAATCGGGCAGTTCCCCCAAAATCCTGAATAAATGTGGCTTTCTCTCGGCCAACCCTCGAATGGCCTGAAGACGGAGCACCTTCAGCATTTCTTTGACTAAAAACAAGAATAATAACAAGGAATAATTGAAAGAGCGTATTCTGTTAAAACTTACTGATTTCCCTGTTTCCGTAGCTGATGGCTTCAACCATCGGATTCCATCCCTGGTTGTTCTTCAATTTCACGCAAGAATTGGCGTCAAGCAGGAGGTATATCATTTCTGAAACGGTAAACTGTACTGTTCATACGGACGCCATAACCTATGACGTATTTTACCCAAAATCTTTCAGAATCCACAATAACGTAAATTAAAGCACCGACAAAACTTTGAAAATAAAATACGTTGAAATGAACCTTGGAACACAATGCCAAACATTGGCGGGAAATTCAAAAATTCAAACTTTTTGTGATGTATAAAAGTCCAAAAAGGCAAATCCCAACAACAAAAGCAGTTTTTAAAAAAAGAAGGCAACACCTTTCTGACGTTCCGTACGTGAAACACAATGCCAAAAAATTGGCGGGAAATTTAAAAATTCGAAATTGTCACCCAAAAAACAGCCAATCAGGCCAAATTAACTTCAATCGTTACCTTTATGACCCATCATGGTCGCCACATGCAGCGCTGTGTCCCCATGAACATTCTGTTTATCGATTGGGACCTCTCCTTTGGCCAGGATCCTCTTCGCCCAATCCACGTCATTCAGAAAGGCGGCATGATGAAGAGGGTAATCTCGGGGCTCGATCGATGACACTGTGGCCTGTGAACAGTGGGGCCAACTCAGGAACTGGACCGGCTTCAAGGGCATGCCCTGAGGCGATGTTTGATCTTCGGATTAACCCTCAAAAAGCCGGTTTTAAGATTACAGGAATCGGGGAGTGGAACCGACATCAGTGTAAAATATGTATCCTCGCAAAAAAATTTTGAGTTATTGAACAAAACTCGGATATTTGGACATTAAGGGTCAAATATCTACTACAATAACAATAAAGTCATAAAATGCGATAAAGTCTGGAAAGACATGTAAAATAATATCTAGAAACCAACTCTGTAAAAAAACATGATCTAAATTCCAGAAAAATCAATCGGAATTAATCGAAAAGAGTCGAATCACCATTAAATTCCACTTGAAACTAACAGTTTTTGAGATTGTAAAGTCGAGGCAGAGATCGAAAAAAGTTTTTGAGAGCCAAACGAACGCGTCATACTAACTCTGCAAGTATTTATAGGTCGATAATATTATTAAGCAAGAAGGATTAGACATTAAAATATTTTGGATGACATGAATAATAAAAGTAGATAAGTCAGCCGGAAGTTGTCGCAAAATTATTAAAAAAAATAGCAGTGACTAGATTAGAAGACTTGTTTTTCAAGACCAAACTTTAATTTCCTTTCTAAAAGCTTTAATTAACCTTATTTTATCTTCATCTTTACTACATGTCTAAAGTAATAAAACTTTCAACGAATAGAAGACAGAGCTGTAGTAAAACTCGATAAAACTAAATAAATATAACAAATTGGACCCGTTCTGAGATTATAATGTTGGAAATACGCTGAATACTTACTTTTTGTCCCCGTGAGACCCTAATTATGTTAACCTCACCCCCGTTTTTTTACTTTATCCTTGTTTTTTGGTGGAAAAAGAAGGTTGTTTTTGCGGTGTAAGCTGATTATAAAATGTATTTTGGCAGTAAATCGAATTAGCACTCGAAAAGAACCACAGAATATAAATTCTGGGACCAGAATTATATTATCCATGATGCCTCTAACACCAGATTCAAAAAAGGGCTCTGGCCAACTTGTTTTGCCAAACCCATGAATGGAACCGAACAGAGAATGAATAACGACCTCCGACCCGAGAAATGTAACCATTTACCACGAAATAAACCCGAATTGGGATCTCTTTTTTTGGATGTTAAACCAACCAGAAAATGGATGTTTTTTAAGAAAAAAAGGTTCGAAACAAAAGTGAATCACTTGAAAAAAATGTATAGAATGAACAGAGAGATCATAGCCGATATGTTCGAGATTAATTTCAGGATCCTGCAAACAGAAAAACACGGGATCGGATCAGGTGAAAAAAAAGCTCATGGATAATATCGGGAAACCGGGATGAATGGGAAATAATTAAGGATTTGGAGAGAAAAGTGCTTTTCAGGCCTGAAATTTCAGATCGTCATACGGTTTACGTCCCAAAATTGTCGTCATTTTTGCAAAATTTATATTATTTTAGACATTTCCAGAAAATCCGTCATCCTAAAGTCTAAAAATAAATGTTAAAACAAGCAGAAAAAATAAAGGAAATAGAATTTTTAGCAAGTAAATAACCTGGAAAGTCCACGTCTACCTATGTCTATCTAAAAATCCATAATTCCTCAAAATAAGTAAGTCATCATGACGGATTTTCTGGAAATTCCGAAAATAATATAAAATTTGAATAAATTTGAATAAATTCCCGCGCTTTCCACGAAATCGACTAAAAATTTATTTTCCAAACACATTTCCCAGCCAGTTTTTCTCAATTTCCGTTCCAAAAATAAATTTTTTCGATTTCGAATCCCCAAATCCATAAATCCGAGTCCATTTTATCTGCCCCAACACGCCATCTGCTTTTCGAAATTCTCGATTCAAAAATTTTGACGTGAGAAAGAAATATTTTCCCTCCAAAAAAGTCCCGAATTCGGATATTTGCAAGGGGAACGAGGGAGTTGGGAAACGAAAAGAGCGAAAAGAAGGGAAAGGGAAGGGGCAGAGGGAGCTGGAGAGGTTTTTAGTCACGGAAACCGGAACAGTCCTTGACATCCCCATGAAAATTCGCCCAATTTTAGGTACGTTCATCAAGTTCTCGTAAACAACATCAATTTTCCGACGATTTAGACATAAAATTAACGTATAATCGGTTAAAAACTAGGGGGATAAGTCCGAAAATTATTACTAATCCGCTTGATACTAGATTAATGATCTTTTAAACATCACAGCAATATAAAACGGAACTATTTTTCTCATCTTTTTATCAAAGTTATCAAGTGTAATATAATTTATTTTATTTTTTGAATTGTCGAACAAAGTGACCTCGAAAGTACAAGGATTAATCCAGCAGACAATCGCGTTACTCGAAGCCATTCATTGGCCATAAACTTCCTATGAAAGGGCATATTCCAATAAAAATGTTAATTGTCACCACTTTTTACTTGTTTTCGGACAATCCATTACCAAAGTTAAGAGAATGAATTGGCGAGATCGAAAGTAAATTTATTTTTGTTATCTACTCAGCAAATTGGATGATTCAGATGCCAAGGGGAAAAAGTCTGACGCAAAATTTTAAACGATGATTAAACGTGAAAGTTTTTATGTTATTTTTGCCAGCTTTATATCTCGGCTATCCTTGCAAGTTGTGTACTAAAACTTTCAGGAATTAAAATATAGCCAAGGCAGAGTACTCGGACAGAAATTGAAGGAGATTGAAACTTTCAGCTTCGAGTAGCATCCCTATTGAAGAAGAAGACCAAAACAGGTCACTAAATTAAAACAATCTTACGTAACGGCCCGAAATATCCCCCATAATCTCCGCAATTCCTTGGTGTACATTATCAGACATGTGCGGGTCGATCTAAGCTCTAATCCGCCCTAATTCTCGTTCAAAAAGCGGCCGAAAACGCCTCCACAAGGTGCCGTCAATCGAAATCTTTTTATTTTTTCCCCTCTCTACGGCAGGAGAGCAGGGCATTCTCGACTTTTTCCACGTCTAATGCAGTCTTCATCTCTATTCATAAAAAAACTATGTCCTTAAAAAACGTGTAAGAAGTGTGGCCGCTCTCAAACGGGATTGGCCCAAAAATTGAGCCAAACTAAACAAACATTGACTGATTGATTGGGACATCTGGCACTTTATGACATGTGTTCTGGCGAGAAGGAGGTGACAAAGTGTCGGGAATTTGATCTGTAACTGCCTAAGGCAATTTCTGGAGATTGTTTTGAAGGGGGACGTGGGCTCAAAGAATTTTGGAGAAACGGAAAAAATAACAGAAATACAATCGAACCGCTGGTTTCGTAGTGAGACTTAATTTCCGGCAATGATTATCTAACGGTTCAAATGGCAATTCAGTGGTGTAGGTTGACCCTGAAATCTCATCTGGATTATCAGGGTTTCAGCTTCATTCCAACTGTCTGGTCAAACGTTTATCACATTTTTTGGGCTGTTACAACACTGTGGCGATTATTCTAACAAGGTTTTCACAATTTTTGTTATGACAAACATCACCGTCACATATAGTAGCTAGCCATGGTAATAATACCATTTCCAAGATCTTCTTGCTTCCAAACACGAAAATGAATTGAAATAAATCCCATTGCAAAACGAAAAAACAAGATTATGACTAGGGTATAAGATGGGTTCCGGACAAATTCAAATGTTTTTCGGCCATGATGCTCAGACACGGGTCTCGGCCATATCGATTTTTTTGTCCTACAATGAATTTGCAGAGGATGACACAGATTTGTTCTGAACGGTACAATGGAAAGAATTATTCGCAAAGTGTATGAAGTGCCAAAGAATTAATAATTATTTAATTTTTTCAAAAACAAGGATCTGACTTTAGGTAAAACATGCAGGATCTACTTCGATTTTAGTTAGTCTCTGATTGAACGGAAGAAATCTCAACATCCACTAGATTTTATTCCTTCTTTTTACCAAAAAAGCACTTCTTCACCAGCCATATAAGGAACAGCGGTTTGTCAGTAACCAGAACCACAGTGATGGGGATGACCATGGCTATGTCCTTCTCAAATTCGGGGAATGTGTACAACATGATTGTGAACGCAATCCCCACATTCTGGATGCCCGTCTCAATGGCTATTGTGATTGCATTTTGGAAGTTCTGATGCATAATTACGGCAAATAGAAAGGCGATAATGTAGCCAGACCAGGGAAGAACACACGAGGCGACCACAATCTTCCAGTTGATGAAGGCAAAGATGTAATAATTTGCATAGATCCCGACTGAGGTGAGGACGATCACAAGGATCCAGGTGAAGTACTGGAATGGAGGTAAAGAAAGTGTAAAGAATCTGCATAATGTTGTATACAGTGAAAGACCTGATCCAGTGGCAAAACACGTCCCATTTTGCATCCAGGAAGCATCAAAAAAATGCGGCAAAATACCTCCCTGTGAGGGAAAAGGCGCACAAGTAACGTTCAAAACGGAGTTTTTTCACTTTGAGAGGGAGGTATTTCGCTGCATTTTTGATACTTCCCGGATGCGAAATGGTACGTTTTTTGCCGCTGGATCCGGTCCTCTACTGTAATTTTAATCCTACGTTGGACCAGGGTTTTTCAAATTCGAAAAAGGCAACTTACTTTGATCACAACCTTAATTTTGCTGATCCAATGGGGTGCAAATTGAATACTAAAGATCCCCAGAGAAGTTGGGATCAATACTATCGCCAGACTCTCAATGAATTTGAGAAGAGGGACATTGATGTGATTATCGAAGAAGACTGAGCCCAAGGTATACATCCACAAGGGTGTCATCACTAAACAGTATAAAAAATTTTGTTTTCTTGATCGTCAGGCAATTTTGTGGCAAAATAAGAGGGGTTTGCTTACCAGCAGCTCCTAATGTTTCAATAAAAGTCATACAAACCGAGAGATCAAGATTTCCGTCAAAAATAATCGTCCAAAAACTACTCTTCCCTCCTCCGGGAGACACGGCGACGGCGAAGAACGCCAGCTTCATTGAGTTCTCAGCATCGGCCAGTAAATAATAGGCTAACCCAAATCCTATCTAAAAATTATTTTGGTTTATCATCAATGATGACTTTGGACGCCTAAATCAATATTTCGTTCCCTCACCAAGGGCATAAAGAAGAATTGGCAAAAGAATCCGCATAATGGCCCCACAGGCTTCTTCATTATCTCGACCATTCGATGGAACTCCAGCTGAGTTCCGATCAGGAAGGTAACAGCGACAATAAAGAAGGTCGCCACAACACTGAACACCTTCGAGACTTGGGATTCATACTCTGAGCGCTGGATTCGAATGTCCAATGGCTGAATCTCTCTGAAATCGAACAGGAGTTTACAGGAGAAGTGTCCAAAGTGCGACGCTCAATTTTTTTTCAAATTTTTACATAACATGACATTAAAATTTCCGAAAGTTTTTAGCTTACAAACGCAGCTTTTGAAACCAGAAATTGTAAAAAAATGCCCATTGCTTTAGGCCTTCCGATCAAAAAATCTTGGACCATTTTGAAAATTATTCTTTTTGCAGAAAATCCGATAAGTTATAGTTAAAACTCACTCTTTCCCATCAATAACAGCCACTAGCTTGTTATTTCCAATAAAGATCCCCTCGATTCGAAGTTTAATTTCCTCCGTAAAGTTGTTGTTTCCATCCAAAGTCAGCCTGTCATTACTGCAAGCGATCACGCAACTCTCATTATTCGAACATTTAAATTGGATGGGCACATCAATAGTGTCATAATGAGAGGTTGCAACGACTTTTACAACTCTAAAAATACAATTACAATTTACAATTTTCAAATTGTAATCACTTTTTTTCTTCGCTTCGAAGTTCCACAAAATCATTTTTGTTGAATTTGAAAGCAATTTGGCCATAAACAGAAGAGCTCAATACGAGCAATATAAATCGATCCATAATATCGAAAACGGTTATTTTGACAAGTAAAGTAAGGTTGTTCGCAGTAATCGCTTAGATAATATTGCTCATAAATGGCTGGATTGTCATTTCAGCTGGGTTTAAACTATAGAGTTTTATTTTAAAAACACAATTTTTCGGTGTGTGGGATGAAGTACATCCGTTTTTGTTCATCTCTGATGTTTGTATTCATCTTGCACTGGACAAAACAAAAAATGGAAAATCGTATCTTTTACATGGAATAAAGCAATATAAAGATGAAATTATTATTGAATAAACTCTGAAAGGTATTTAAAATAACATTGGAAAGTGATAACAAAAATTGCGATCATTATTCACAGCATCGACCATGATTTTGCAAATTCATCGTATAAGATGTCACCTTACAGTAATAAGTCAAAAAATGGTTCCAAACAAATCTTGATTGCTTTGTGTGCGATTATCGACCATTTCTAGCCAATTTTTGTATTATCCATGAACGTTTCTCTAATCACATTTGAGCAATCATTCAATTTGTTTTGTTTTTCCCAATTTCTGATGTATTTACAATAAAAATTTGAAGGTTTTCGTCGGAAACAGACATCGCATCAACTTTGTAAATTATTTTTATACACTTCGATTGCCTTTCCTTCCTCCAACATCTAATAAACATCGCCTTTTCGATTTTTTTTGGTTTCCATGCCAAAAAAAATAAAAAATTTTTGTTTTTCCATTCGAAAAGCGTTCTTTTTCCCGCAAAAAGTGTGTTCTCCATGACTCAGAGAGGTCTGAAATTCTTGTGGAACACTTGGATTCATAAACAAAACAAAAAAATTAGGAATTTCCTCAAAAAAATTGGGAATTTCCTCTTTTCTCACTACTTTTTAAGAAATTTGAGGTGAATCACGACTGTTTTCGACCATTCCGAATAAATATTTATTCGATTCTCTACTTTTCGATCATTTCCACTCTACTTTTCGTCTTTTTTACTGTGTTTTGTTTGTATAAATCGCTGTTTTGCCCATCGATTATATTATACTTGATAAAGATTATATTGTTTTAGATAAATTTACATTATTTTAGATTCGAAATGAGTTCGGATCCAGTTCAACTCGCACAATTGCAATTTTCAACACGATTATTGAAGGAATTGGCCAGTAAAGACACTGGAAATGTAGTTGTTTCGCCAATTTCCATACTCACAGTCCTCTCCATGGTGTACAGTGGCGCTGCGAATGAGACAAAAGAGGAGTTCAACGAGGTTCTCGGCTATAGTAAGTAATTTGCAAGTCTTAAAACATCGAAATATGAATTAAAATTAGATTTAAAATTTTTTTATACCTAAAATAACATAAAAATTATTTTTTATTGTCTAAAACAAAGTAAAATACGCGCGGAACTTTTAGCATTATTTTTGTAGTCTATTTTCTCGTATCTGCACCTCAAGCTTCAATGAAAATCGCAAATTTTTTGTCAATTTTGCTATGGATAATATAAATTATTTCCAGATGGGGAAGAAGACGATTGGAACAAGCATTTTTCCATTCTTCTCAACGCATTCGAAGCCAAAGAGAAGCCGTATACATTAAATAGTGCCAACAAGATCTTCTTGAGGAATGGTTTCGATTTAAAGCAGAGTTTCAAGGACAAGATGGAGAAATTCTTTTTGAACGCCTACCAAGAACTGGACTTTGACCAGAAAACAGAAGCTGTTCAGACCATAAACAAGTTCATTGAGGACCACACTGGAGGGAAGATTACAGATTTGGTGGATGAGAGTAATATCAGCGAGCTTACAAAGTAAGGGGTGTCGATGACTAAAGTAATATAAAAATGTCTTGATATTGATGTAAAAGTAATTTTAGTATGCAAAAAATTTAATTTCAGGCTTGTAGTCGTCAATGCTCTGTATTTCAAGAGCACATGGGAGAAGAAATTCGATAAAAATAAGACGGAAGACAAGGTGTTCTTCGTCAAGCCGGATCAGGCAAAAAAAGTACGTCTTTGTAGTAATAGCTATCGAAATTTTTGGCAGTTTGTTGTTTTTTGATACATACCACCCATTTTGAAAGTCAATTTTTGCTCGTTAAATTTTTGATATTTTTTCGGCCAAGAAACGGCCAGAATCATCATGGATAATATAAATTATCGAAAAATCTTGCTTAAGATGCCGAATATATTGTCGTTTTGTAATAAAATCAAATTTCAGGTCAAAATGATGAAAAAGGAGGCCAAGTTCATCTACTACGACGAGACCGACTTCCAACTTTTGGGCCTCCCTTATGCCGGGGAAGGTGTCTATCTTTTCGTCCTGTTACCCAGAGAAAAGTTTGGAGCTGACGATCTCCTGAAAACCCTAGATGCAGAGAAGCTCAAGTCTCTCATAAGCCGAAGATACAAAGTGAAAGTTGATGTGGAACTCCCGAGGTTTAAAATTAATTCCAAGACCAAATTAAATGATGCCATGAAGAATATCGGGCTTCAGAAGGGATTCGGGATTGAGCCAGAGTTCACAGAGATTGCTGAGGAGAGGCTGAAGATCGATGAATTACTTCATCAAGTGTTTATTGAGGTGAGTTTTGATGAAATTGGATTGTATTACTTTGGTTTTGATAAGCCGATTTTCACGAAAATCACGCCCTTTTGGAGTGGAAAAAGTTTACGGTGATAGTTCTGTGAGGGGTTCTTTGGAGTGTTTTCGGATTGATAAAACACGTTTTATAACTATTTTTGGTTTAGATGACTAAAAATTTTAAATAGGTATTGATGACCTAAAGTAATATAAATCTTGTGAAGAAAACAATAAGATTTAAAGAGTCGAAATTCAAGCGTTGAATATATGGCTTACATCTTATCAGCCCGTCTTTGAGAAACAAAATCCACATTATTTTAATTTTTATACCTAAAATAATATAATTTTTCCTTCCAGACCAACGAAGAAGGCTCCGAAGCTGCCGCAGCCACCGGCGCCGTCCTCAATCTGCTCTCCGCAATGCCCTTGCCCGAAGAAGAGATACGATTTGTGGCCGATCACCCCTTCCTGTTCTTCGTGGCCACCAAATACAGCGATGTTCTTTTTACCGGCATTGTCAGGGATTTCTAAAGTAAATAAAAAAAAAGTTCTGAGCGGCCGAACAACAGGTGATGGGGGTCTTGAGTGATCGAAAGACTCTCTCTTCTCTCCCCCTTCGACCCGCCGCTTTTATCGGGAAGGTTTGGTTTCGAGATGAGATCAACAAATTTAATTCTGAGGTCGGCTATTTTGGTATCGCGAAGGGATGCGTCGACGATAAGGTCTTTGAAATTACCGATTTCCAGGGTAAGCGAGCGTATTTTAGGTTTACATTGGGGATGCAGCGGAAATCGATCGGGTTATTTTCCCCTTCGGGGCAAACAACGTGGTTTTCAGCTTGTTTTTGTTACGTTTTCAAGGTTCCCAAAGTTAAAACGTTGTATACAAACAAAAAAGGAAAGGTTATCAGGAAAGTTATTCTGTTTACAGAAAGAAAAGATGTTTGAAAAAATAGAACATGCATTTTCAGAAGTTTAAAAGCCTTTTTTTGGGGAAAAATTTACATTCTTAGCCGGGGGTGTCATCCAAATGAAGGTAAAGTAATATAAATCGATTTTCCAGACTCCTCATGCCAAATATGGAGGGCGTTTCACTGTCACAGCTCTTCCCGGTGATGGAATTGGCCCCGAAATGTTGGCCCATGTCCGAAAGATTTTCAAATTTGCTCATGTGAGTTAAAATTATATTGTAGTAGGTACTAAAAGAAAGGAAATGGATGTAACCTTCTCATTTTAGATCCCAGTGAACTTTGAAGAGCTGGATCTGAGCTCCCGTGACCTCAGCAACGAAGCCATGGAGGAAGCCATCATTGCGATTCATAGAAATGGCGTCGCCGTCAAGGTAACATCATCAAGTTTAGATACGGATTTTATTTTTAGGGAAATATTGAGACCAAATTCGACAATCCAGAGTTTGCCTCGCGAAATGTGGAGTTGAGACGGCGCTTGGATTTGTACGCAAATGTCCTGCATTGCGTTACGATCCCGAGTATTCCAACCAGACACAGTGGAATTGACATCGTTTTGATCAGGGAGAACACCGAGGGAGAGTATTCTGGGCTGGAGCATGAGTCGGCCAAGGGTGTTATTGAGAGTTTGAAGGTAATTTTGGGCTCTTTGTAATTTGTTAAAATTTTATAAAAATTTATTGTGAAGTTTTTTATATTCAAATTTTGATAGTATTAAGGTTAGAATATTCGATATACATTTTTAAAATTTTGGATTGAAATTTGAAGAATTAAATATTATTTACTAATTTATGCAAATTTTTGTTTAAAATTTAAATATTCAAGTCTTGGGGTTTTATGTGGGGTACCCTGTAATTTTTATCGGGGAAATTTGAATAAACAGTCAATTGAAAAAATATTTTTTATAAGTAATTAGCCCATATTCAGATCGTAACCCGCAAGAATATCGAGAGAATCGGCAAGTTTGCCTTCGAATACGCCCTCCTGAACAACCGCCGCAAGATCACGGCTGTCCACAAGGCCAACATCCAGAAGTTGGGCGACGGTCTCTTCCTGCATGTCTGCCGCGAACTGTCGACTCAGCCCAGATACAAGGACATTGAATTTGACGCCATGATCGTGGACAATGCCTCCATGCAGCTGGTCTCGAAGCCGCAGCAATTCAGTGGGGGAATTATGCTGATGCCCAATCTCTACGGAAATATCATCTCAAATATTGCTTGTGGATTGGTTGGGGGACCGGGCTTGGTGTCTGGCCTCAATATTGGCGACAAATACGCCGTGTTTGAGACGGTAGGGGAATTTGAAATTAGTATTTGGAGTGATTACCTTGGGGTTTGAATAATTTAGGACTAATGTCTGAATTTTTTACAGTGAATTTATAACTATTGTTAATTACAAATTACGTAAAAAACTTTCAGGGAACCCGAAACACGGGAACCTCCCTTGTTGGCAAGGACATCGCCAATCCCACGGCCTTCCTCCGCGCCGCCGTCGACTTGTTGCGCTATCTGGAGCTGGATTCGCATGCTGATCGCCTTTCCGACGCCATTTATCATGCTCTCACCGTCGAAAACATCCACACACCTGACATTGGAGGGAACAACAAGTCCTCGGAGATGGTTAATGCCATCCTCCAATACCTCCGAGACCATCCTTAGGATATATGAAGATTTTTATTTGAATATGCAAATTTGAATTCGCATTTTAAAAAAATGTGAAGACAGAAACCTAGAATGTAAATTATAGTATGAGGATCAAATAAAAGAATAATTTTGACTGAAAATAAAATTTGAATATTCAAAAATGCATTCCGTCATCTTTATGGTGAAGATCAAAAAAAAATTTTTTATTTGCATTTTCATACATAATACGCAAATAAATCACAATTCCGAGAATGTAAATTACCGTCTGAGGACGGGGTAAACACTAAAAAATTAAAATGAAATCCTTATTAGAGATTCCGAATGGCCGCTCCAGACATTCTGACACCCCTCGGTTTCGCTTTGTTTTCCAGGTAATTTTGCGAAATTTTTGGGGAATCCCTTCAGGCGGTAAATATGCCAATTTGAGGCGGAAGTTTTTTGTTTTACACGTTTCACGAGAACGGGACAGGTCATAGCCGTGTTCTATACGTAATAGTTACGATGGTTTCCAAGGAGCTGTCTCCTTCTCTGCTGGTGTTGTTGATAAAAATACTTGGACTCGGTTTACCCACGGCCGGCCGGGTCACGACGTCGAACGTATTAAACTCTAGCCTTCTCCGTGCTTGAAAGTGTCGTCATTCCGTATGTGAATGCTCCAGGTTAGCCGAAACTCGGGAATATCTGGAAAAGAATACTTGATGACAAGTTGACCAGTTCGGCAGGGGTTCGCTCTCTGAATACCATGGTCAGAGCCCCTCTAATTACTCATTCTGCCGAGCATTTCGCACTCTTCGTCCTCGCCTTCCTTCTGGATCAATTGTTTTCTCATATCGGCCAAGAAATATCCTCAAAAATTGCGCTGTCTCCAGTTGTGTCGTGGATGTGATATATTAATATCATGCCCCCGTTTATCCCCTTTAATTCCCCGAACTCGTCCCTCAAACTCTGAATCTTCTGGCACTCAAACTCGCGCTTCTATAGCCCATACCTCGAATTAATATCTCCTTTAATATCTCCAAAACGTCGTGTCTTATTTCGCTCCGTTTTTTCGCTTCGTCGACGACGTCTTCAATGAAAATATTGGCCATTTTCTCGATTTTCTGCGGCCCAAAATGCCCGCAGCTGGTCCCATTGTTCCCTGCCCGCCGTCGCAGTGTATATAAATCGTCTTATATGAAAGACGGAGTGATACAAAGGAAGCGAGGTTTTGAACGAATCATTTCTCTTTCTGACCTGCTCCAAATCCAATTTGCGCCCCATTCCCCCGCGCCCTCAAGGCCCACTGTCGGTCCCGCACACTGAATTCGGGCTTTGTTTTGTTTTTTGTTGATTTGCCCGGATTTCTCGCAATTCCCGAGCAAATTTTCTTCAATTCTCAGCTGATGTTATCCTTGCCCCAACATTGAAGTCATTATAAGAGGGCCTAGAATAAATCATAAGATACTGTGGCCATATCCTGCCTTTCTGAGGAGTTCAAATACCATAGAGCAGATTTTTATTTTTTTCTTTAAATTTTTGCCTAGAGGCATTTCTGGCAGTGTCTTATGAAGTGATATAAAAAGTGGGCGATTGGAGAATTATGCCGTATTTTATTCATTGGTTGGTGTTAATCGACAAATCAAAACTCAATTTTTATTTTATAACCTCAGGGCGTCTTCGGGATGGATTTTTAAGTCTCGCCTCCAAAGTAGAATGTATTCTTTAGATACCAGCAGTCATGGATAATAAGTCCATTAAATGGCTAAGACAACCGTCCAGTTTTATTTTACAATCTATGCTTTTGATTTCTGAACACTTTCGAACAGACCTCATGGATAATATAATCTAATCCCGACTTGATGACTCTGAATAAACAATTCAATTTCTCCTCCTCCCTCTACTCTAAGCTCCTGCCTTCAAGCGTTTCCGTAATTGCCAGACTTGCCACGTGTGTGGTAAACATTCAGTGATACCATATTTCCGGCCTACACTTCTTTTTGCTTCCTGTCTGGCCATTGATCTTACAAAAACACTAACATTGACCATTCAGGTTAATGACCATTGGGTTCCATCCTCGCATGAATCACGTATTGCCGACTATTTCACTTATTTTATAAATCTTCATACTTTTGGCTAAGTCATCATAAAATGGCGAGACTCTAATGAGGCCGTCTGCCCTTCCTGAACTCTGTAGTCCCTTTGTGCTCCCACGTTACGAAGTTATTCACTTTTGCTGTGTCGGACACCATGAGTTTACGTGATACTTGAGATTTTATACTTTCTGCATTTTTTCATTCGTCTGGATATTTTTTAGGAATAATGAGTTGCGAGCAAGATCAGCCACTCTTCGATCTCAGCGACAACGCCACTTTGACTTTTCTCAACACTCTTCATGATTTTAAAACGTAAGACGAGTTTTTCAACATTGTACTGGACAATTTTTATATAAAAACAGCTCAAGCGCGGATTTTTCGAGTTTCCTACATTTAAAAAATTTATCTAATGGCATTTATAGATTCCTGAAAATTCAAGCTCGCGACTTGGCGGCAGAGCCGAGATATTCAGTCATTTCTTGCGAGAGAGCACGTAAAATGAGGAGAGACGGTTTGAAAAAAAAACGTTTTTGTAATATCTTTCCGAATCGTACAGTAAAAAAATTGATTTTTTTTCAATAACATGATTTTTTATTGGGCGTCGAATTTTCAAGTTCTGAAAAAATAAAATTTAAAATTTATGCCAATTTCCGGCCTAAAAATCTCGGTAATTTTTGACAATTGGAAGTCCTAGCTTCTACAAATACTCTAGAAAATTTGGTTCTTAATTTCCAACAATTTTTATCAAAATTAAACCCTCATTTTACATGTACTTCAATAAAAAAAATTTAAAAAAAAAGTTATATTCTATCTTGATAATTTTGTCATCTTTCAGAAACTACGGAACGATTCATCGATATGTTGCGTTAATCTTATGCCTCGGGGGATTAGTAATCAACTGTATCCATATCTGCATCCTCACTTTACCTCGAATGCGAAACTCTTCGGTCCACACGACCCTCACTTGTATTGCGTTGGCCGACATCGGGACAATGACAAGCTACTTGGTATGGAACATAATTATAGGCTACAAATTTTTGTAAACTGTTATTAGGGGTTGGAATGACGTCAATCAACGTTTTCGGGAAAAATAGAAAAATTATTATCAAAAATAATTAAAACGTTTAGAATTTTGGTGCAAAATTCATAGCGAAGAAATAAAATTGCAGGAAGAAAATTACAGTAGTTTTTGGAAGAATTTTTTTATCAATATTTTGCATTTAAAAATTATTTTTTTTCAAATAGATTTTTTTCGTATTTTAGATCTACCTAACCCGTTTCGAGTACTTCTCCTCCACACAAGGCTATGCGTATGCTTGGGCGCTGTTCCTGCAAGTCCATGCGGTCCTTTCCATCGCTCTGCACGCCCTTTCCATCTACCTGGTCACTCTGATGGCCTTCCTTCGTCTCATGGCCATGAATGCGGGCCAATCCAAATGGATGAAGCCGAGATTGGCGCTGACGGCGTCTCTCTTTGTCACCATTACCGTATTTACGATCTGCATCCCCACCTTCTTGGCGCATGAGGTGAAACAGAACTCGGCCGCCTACTACAACGTGGGCTTCTCGGCGCTGTTCATGGAAAACGGCTGTAATTTGCTGAAATTGAATCTCTGGCTGACTGGAATCTTCCTGAAAGCGGTCCCGTGCTTCCTCCTGATGTGCTTCACCGCCGCCCTGTTGCGGCGCCTGCGGGCAAACGACAAGAAGCGCCAGCTTTTGTTCCACGGCGAGAGCCGACGATCGAATTCGGACCGGGTCACTTACATGCTGCTGCTAATGGTCTTTGTCTTTTTGGTCACCGAATTACCTCAGGGCCTGTTTGCCATCCTAAATGGTGAGTGGATTTGATTAAAGCGGGTAATTTATTAGATTTTAATAGATGGTTATAGGCATTGACGCAATTCGGGTATGTGAAACGTGCAGAGGGAAGCACAATACGGTTTTTTTCGTGCAAAATTTATTTCCTTTTTTTAAAAAACATTTTGATTTTTTCGCTCGAAAAAGTACGATAATTCTGCATAACGCCGTTTTAAAAAATCAAGGGAAATAGAAATATTTTTTTATAAAAACATGAAAAAAATTTTTTTTGAGCTTGACTGTTTCTGCACAATGCAAATTAAAAATTTTAAAAATTCATCGAAAATTCGTCTAATTTTTTTGAAAAAATTAAATTTTTCAACCTCAATTTTCAAAGAAATATTCGTACATAACACGATTTGAAACTATGTATTTTGATTTTTTAAATACGACGTAATTCAGTTTTTTTATTGTTCCTCTAAAATTCCCATTTTCAGCAATGTTCACTTACCAATTCCACCGCTATGTCTACGTTTGTTTCGCGGACCTCCTGGACATCCTATCGCTGATCAACTGTTACGTTTGTTTCTCCGTCTACACAGCCACTTCGTCCACTTACCGGCAAACGCTGTTAATGCTCGTACCTTGGCGGAATTAATAAAAAAAAACGGATCTTTTTAAATCATAAACAGATATAAAAACGGTATAAACTTTGGTTACAGTTTTATAAGACATGAGAGGTTCTTAGCTCGCCGGGTATCTTCGGAATTCTTAGCGTTTTCCATCATCTAAGATTTGCGTTTTTCCTCTTCTTTCCAGGACAAGATCCATACAAAAAATCAAATTTTTCCAGTGAAATTAGCACAGATATGGCCAAAATGATTTTTTCGCTGAACGCTCCCCGCATACAACGTACTCTCTCGCCGGAAAGGCCCGTTGAATATCTCGACCCCCCCTGCAAAGCGAAAGCTAAAAGGTTCGCCATCTGACATGTACAAAACTTACATTCTCCTTCAGTCATCCTCCCCGCTGTAATTTGTATTCTCGAGCAATAACAGTCTAAATCGTTTCTGTCCATTGCCAGAGAATACCCAGTACAACGACAAAGTGAAAATTAAACCATTCAAGGAGTTAGCGGATCAAATCAAGTAGGAATTCAAAGTAGAAATTAATAAATTCAAAGCAAAAAGAGCACTCCTACACTCTTAGGAACTGAGTAATACGTAGTAGAAAGCAGTAGTGCACGATAGATGACGGTTCGTCACGAAATATTTGATATGGCCGAGACAAAACAGGGTTGGAAGAGGGCAAATGAATAGCCGGAAAGGTTGAAGGGGAAAAGTTAAAAGTTGAAACAGAGAACATTTGAATAATCTTTTGTACAGCAGTCGTCCACAGTGTCGGGTCACAGTTTTAATCACGAAAAAAATTTGTGGCGCAAAGTTGGAATTTGTAAAATTTTTCTGAACCTTTACTCAGGTGAATTCAGGTAAATTCTGCTGAAAATACGTGATTTGGAAGAAGTTGGAAATTCATAGGCCATCTAGCCGGAACACGATTCCTCTTTTGCCACTGTATTTTAGGCAGCAACCTCTGGGATCAAGTATTCTTTTCTGGCGTCAACAAAAAGTCACTGCCACTTCAGAAGATAGCAGCGGCCTCAGTTTGCACTTTAGTTGTTATTTCCTAGACGAAAAATAATCTCGCTTAAACACACATATTCCGAAACCGAGGTCTCTACGCCGCCTTCGCCGGAAGTCATAGCCTCCGACTTTCCTCCGCGTTTTTGTAAGGCCCTGTACATCTTTTTGGCTTGACCATAAAAGTAAATACTTCAGTGTCAAAATAGTGGAACAAGGTGTAAGTCAAGGAGTTTCCAATATGATGACTAAAGTTCCAATAATTTCCCTTCAACAAGTGTATAGGATTATCTAAAAGAAAAAAGGGTAACTTTGTCTAGCAGTCCTGAACACCCGTTGCAGTCCAGATTGGCTTGAAATCTGGCTGAATCCGGCCCCAATCTAGCTCTAGCTATTACCCACTTCCCGACTCATCCCGCGCTCCCAATCGCCAAGGTGGATACGCAACATTGGGCGCGGAGAATTGGGCTAATGGAGTGAATGAAGACATTAGAATTTGAAGTGATATGCCCGAGGGGGAAGGGCGCCAACCAGGCCCGGTTTAGAGTGCATTCTTTTGCAATGAACCCGCCCGCCCGGGAAGCGGCAAGGCCCAGGCATGGTGGGGAAGGAATGACTCGAAATAGTGGCCAACACAAACATAATTAACCGCTCCGCCGATAATACTATAGTAAGTGCCGCACCTGAGTGGCCAAGCATCGGTGGCCCAGCCCTTGGTCTGTAAGGCCAAGAATCTTTAGTTAGGACCATCCGGTCTGTGGCCATTAAATCCGCACCTTTTGGGCAGAAATGCCGCCTTCAGTTGAAGGGCGACATCGGTAATCCTTTTTCGGGACACCTACGTCGCCTTTCCTTTGTAAAACACCTGTAGAATGGGGAAAGGCCTCCGGGCAATCTAATGAGGAAAGCAGCTGGCCGCGAAAACGTTTATTATAGTCAGAAAATTTTCGACAAAAAAATTGGTAAGGCACGTAGTACTGCTTTAAAAAATGTACAATCTAGCATTTTCGAAGGGATGAAATGATGACATATTTTGTGCAAAGGTCATAGACACTTGAAACTGCATTGTGAATGCAGTAATTGAGGTTTAGCTGGCAACTTACTAACAGTACTACTTTAGAACAACTATAGAGAAGATTGTAATTCTCGAATTCAGGCCCTTAGCAAGCGACAAGCAGCTTCTTGCCCTGAGGGCCCATGACTACAAACCCACCGAATCCCTACTCTTAATACAAGTCAAACCTCTTTACTCTACAATTTAGCCCTTCCTTTGTGGCCGGGCGCACTAATGAGCCAGCCCCACAGACTTGGCCCATCCAAATTTGAAGCGAATTAAAGTCGACTTGAATAGCCGCCGCCCATTGTTCCCGATCCCATTTTAATACCCAAAAACCCCTCCAAAAATTCGGACATTATCGGGGCCGCGCTACCGTATCATCCCACGAAATGGATATGAATGTGCTTGAAGACTCATCGTTTCGACATTTTTTTATTTTCCATTCAAGGCTTCATTGACTCCAAATTCCCCCCATTTTTTGGCGTTTTTTCTGGAGGAATTTCGGCGCGCAAGGTTTAATTGTCGAGACTGCCGCAGGGCCAGGGCATGGAATTGCGGATGAAGAGGAGAGGGGAATTGTTGGTACATGACTTAATTGAAAACCCCACCACCCCCTCATCACTTTTCGACTTCCGAATTAAGCCGGCCAAGACATTAAGAATGAGTAATATCAACTCAAGAAGGATTAAAGTTTATTGTACACATAAATGGAAAAACACAATAACATGATAAAGGAAAACATCGATCGAATAAAAACCTCAAGAATCCACACGATGATTTTAGAAAAAAAATTTTTTTGAATACTTTTTAGACTCAAAAATCTCGTTTTTCCACAAAGTAAAAATTCAAGTTTGTATGTAAAAATACTCAATAGTCCCTGCAACGAAAAAAAATCCTCTGTTTTTTGTCATGATCAATCTACTAAAAAAATTTAATATCTCAAAAAACATGAAAAGAAAAATCAGAAAATCTCAAATTGTAATAAAATGACCACAAGCAATACTTAATCAAAATTTCAAGCGAAGCGCCAGGTATTTTCCCCTGTTATAGAGTAATTCATCCTTTGATCTCCACTACAATGTACTCAAATTCAAAGAACCAACAAATTTTGAGTTCAAATCGAAAGATCGCCCAAAAAAAATCAAATATATCAGACCAGCTACTACTTCTGTACACAAATTTGACGACTTCAACTCCCCTAATCCAATTATGACACCATTTTTTCATCCGAATGCCAAGTGTAGTATCTTTTCATTTCTTATTCAAATTTTTTCGGAGAAACTCCGCCTCTGTGAGTTGTTTTTTTACTCAATGATGGACCCATGAAGAAGCAACAAGGTTGTATGAGGAAGAAAGTGCCTCCAATCCTCAGCAATCTTGTAATCTGACCACAATAAAGAGGCCCAAAGGGGGTTATCAGGAACTTTGGAGTGGCGAGAGACCCGTTCTCGCCTGATTGATAAGCCCGTTGTTGCGGCTCGAATATAAAAAGGACGTTTGCACACCTTTCCGGGCATCACAGACATGTCCGAGTTCCTGCGGCTCAGTCTCCACGAGGATTTCACCTACGCCAAGGGCATTGCCTACTCGCGGGGAGTGCAATGGCCCGCGTTCTGGATCTCCATGGCCTATGTGGTGGTCATCTTCTCGTTGAAGGCGTTGATGGCCAACAGGAAACCTCTTGAAGTAAATCACGCCACATTTTTCCCTTATTTTTTCTTTTGTTTTTTCATTATTTTTTGGTCATCAACATCATGTGTAATATAAAAAGTATTTCAGTTTGAACTCGGAAACATTCTGAAATCCAAAACAGATGCTACATGTTCCGTTTTCGTACTCAAAATTTGCTATTTTTATATTACACTTGTCATCAAAGCTCACTGAACTCAAACCCCACTTAAAATTTGAATCAAAATCCCAGCTTCCGTTACAAGTGCCACAATCCAATTATAATTTCAGCTCCGTCTTCCCCTGCAATTATGGAACCTGTGGCTAGCTGTTTTCAGTATCGGCGGTTCATTAGTTACTTCGGCCGCGCTCTACAACGAAGTCTCCAAGTATGGGCTGGTGGGTGAGTAATTACTTGTTTCACTTCATTTTTAAGAAGATTCGAGAAATTTTTGACACAAGAATCTGATTTGGTTACCAAAGATAACCAATGTATGCCACAAATTATATTACACTAGACATCATCATGAATAATATGCGGATATGAGTGATTTTCAGCCTCCTACACGAAATGCCAGGACTTTTTTGAGGGCTACAGCGGTCTCTGGACTTGGTGGTTCTGTCTTTCGAAGATCGCCGAACTCGGCGACACCATTTTCCTGGTTCTCCGCAAGCGCCCGTTGATGTTCCTCCATTGGTATCATCATGTCGCCACACTCAACTACGGCATGTGGTCCTACAATGAGCGTACTGCTTTCAACACTTGGATCGTCTGGCTCAACTTCAGCGTCCACGCCATCATGTACAGTTATTATTTCCTCGCTGCTTGCAAGATTCGGTGTCCCGCCGCTGTTGCGCAGTGCATCACGGTTCTGCAGATCACTCAATTCGCCATCACTCATGTCATTTTGTTCCATGTGGGTGGAATCAAGGCTTTGGGAGGTGAAGTGGATGCCTCTTGGCCAGTTTACTGGTATTGTTTAATCATGGAATTGAGTTATCTGGCCTTATTTGGAAACTTCTTTTATCATTCTTACATCAAGAACGGTGGCAAAAAGTTCAACAGGGAAAAACAACCTGCCAAGAAGGAGGAATAAAAGCATCTCATAAAATTAATAAATATTATTTTTATAATAAAACTGAAAAAACTGTTTTATTTCTAATAATTCAAGTACAATATAAGCTCAAAAAATCGATGACTAGACATTGGGAATCACCTCATACTACTTACAAATGCGTAAAAAGGAGTTAGACTCAATTTTCAAGCAAAAAATGTACATCGAAAGCTCCAAAAATCTAAAATACGACCATATAATGGCCAGAAGTCATCAAAAAAAAAACATTAAATTGAAAGTTCAGCCCTTAAAAGTGATGCCTATATCTCAGCTTTATCATTGAGATCCTTGAGGACCTTGAGATCGAGTAGAACCTTCCCTTTATATCCATTATCCGGGATCGCCTTTAGTTTTCTTATATAATCCTCTGGAAGTTCATGTTCAATAGCTCCCGAAACGATGACTTGTTTGTAATGAGGAGATGGATTTTGATGTTTTCTGTCGGGATTTGAGTATTGATAGGTTCGACACACGACTGTTTCGTTGGTTTTGACTAGTTGTACCGGTACTGAAAAAACTTGATATTAGAGACCAAAATAAAAACATATAAGTCTATAATATCAAAAAACTTTTTAAATAGCAGCTAGGATCATATTTTAAAGGTACACCCAAATATTTTTTCACTAGAAACACCGGAATAAAAAATCAACAATTCTGCCTAGTATAATATAAAAAAATTCCACAACCCAAAATCCAGCCCAGAACCCCTTTCCAAATTCCCTCTCGCACCTTGTAATCTGTGATACCCGGACTCCTGAAGATCCAGCTCTTCCGCGAATGAGTTCGGCACCTTCCAAACGCACCCCCAAACTTCAGAAGAATTGGAATTCTCAATAGAAGCGATAGCTCCATGCCATCTGGATCCCCAATCAAAGAAAGAGAGTTCGTAATTCTTCAGGAGTCCTACTCCAACAAATTGAGCTCCTTTTATCTAAAACAATATGATTAAAATTACAACTGTTACCTACTTGAACATGAAGTCGTTCTTGAAGAAGATTGCTGCCAAAAGCAAAATAAAAGAAGAAATCAGAGATCACTTTCACTTCCTTGGAGAGAGTCATGGTTTTTATGGAGGGTATCACAGATTCTGAAGACTTTTTGATAAAAAATATCAGAAAACGGCAAGTACAAGGTAAAAGATACAAAAATACTTGTATCTCGTGATTTTTTAAACCTCAGGGGATTCAGAATTGACTAATCATAACGTCAACCACCTAATTCCCCGTCATTCCGAATAAATTTATCAATTTCTCCATTTATTTCCATAAATTTATTTTCGCAAGCCGCGCCCAGCACCAGAGCATTTTTATACGATAAAAGATAAACCGTTTATCTCGAACAGTAATTTAGTGGCCATTGAAGGCCTAATAAACCTAGTTTCCATTGATTTTACCACATTTTACTGCATTAAAAACAGTGCAATCACCCCATAACTATGGGTAATATAATTTTTCTTGAATCTTCTTCAAAAATCAGAACGTTCACATGCCTAATGCAAAATTTGATCAAAAAACTGATAAGCGCGTTATCAAGAGCAATAAAATAGCTGTAGTTTCCCTTCGGCCCTTTCAATCAAAATAAATTGGCAAATTCAGCATGTTCAAGGTACAAAATTGGTCAAAAATGTTGTTTCATATCAATCTAGAAGCTCTTTTCATATTTTAAATGAAGTTTTATCGATATTTCAGCGTTTTAACAGCATAATCAGCCCAAATTTCGGAGTTTTTCCTCGATATAAATATTATTCATATTCTTCAGAGATCAACCATAAAATGAGAAAAACAATAATGTTAGAAATTCTATTTAATACTTCACATCGCTATTGTGGATGTTTTCGAAGGACATGGCGTTCGAAAGTGGGGGTTCTGGAGCGCTCGGTGGGTGCTCGGGAGGTATAAGTTCGAGGGTACCCGGGTTACTACTGTAACGGAAGTGAGGGTTCTTGAGATCGAGTTGGTTCCGCCGGATTTGCCCATTGATCTCCACAGTCAACTCAATATCATAGCTGAGTCGTTGATTGGCCGTCATTAGGAGTCGACCGGTCGCTTTTTCACCTTGTTTTATGAGAACCGGATCACCGAAAAGACATCGGACTTGATACCAATGGGTGGGAGGGTCGCTGGGGCCGGTTGAGAGCCGGACTTCTTTCCTAAAGGATCCTATTCGATAAAAATAAGATGATCTTACTGTGTTCCACAAAACAAAACATCAAACCAAGAGGCCAGACCATGAACAAACGCCGTTCGAGTGGCTGTAAACGTGAATGGAATGTCGATGGTATGCAATTTCTCAACGGAATCCTTCTCAAAGTCGTAGGGCCACACCAGGACGTCGGAACAGACGATTGTGGGGGACCAATTGTCCTGAAATTTAAAGATATTACCAGATCAAGGAAGATGTCAAGTATAATATAAAAGGTGAGGCAGGGCTTCCGGCTATCCTCAAATTTTAAAAATATGCCCAAAATATATCGTATTTTAATCTCTAAAAATTTTAATCCATGATTTTTAGGCGCAGCGATATTAATCAATTTTGCGACAGATCATGTAAAATGAGGAAAGCGGGAAAAAACCGTTTTTTGGCGACAACTTTTCGTCAAATAAAGATAAAACTGACCACAACCGGTTGTTTAAAGTTCTCCACATATGCCTGATTCTTGAGACCACTCAAATTCACGCCGTAGAAGTGTTCGTGATGCCAGAAAGTGCATCTCTGCACGGTCTCCTGATACAGGAGCTCGTCGCTGAACAAGGAAAAGTACATGTTGCTTTTGGTGGGGAACATTTGGCCTAAAAGTAAACAATGAAGTCATAATACATCATAATATGTGTTACCATTCGGCTTGAGGAATTTCCGGGCGTAGACGAAGCTCTCCAACATCCGCTCATTGACCAGCATGTACCCCATGGGCTCCGATATTATAATATCCACCGTCTCCGGGATGCTGACCTCTTCGATTTTACCGGGAATTAAAGTTATTTTGTCGGAGAGATTGTTGGTTCTGATCAGTTCCTAAAAAATGAAAATGGTGGCAAAAATTTTGCTGATGTCTTCGAAAAAGCGAAATTTTTAGCAAAAAAATTTCAAATTGTCATCAAAAAATGGACTTTTTTGCAAGAGAAAGCGACTGTCCATAAACTCTATAAAATAATAAAGAATATTCCAGGCCCTTACTTGACAATGCACAGCCATAGAACTGGCTTCCACCGCATAAACTTTCTTGGCGCCCGCTTGAACAGCAAAGAACGACAGAATCCCCGTCCCGGCCCCAACATCCAGCACCACTTTGCCATCAAAATCGCCGCAATTCCATAGGAAAGAGTTCTGGTATGTGGAGGTTCGAACATAATCCTGCAGCATGTTCTGTTGCTGATGCAGGAGCCCGTAGAAATGGAAGTAAACCTCCGCCGAGTTGTCCTCGGTCCTCTCCGTAAACTCGTTCTCCTTGCTCTCCTTCTCCGGCGTTTCTCTCACAGCCATTTGGGATAACTTTATCGCCCTCTGGAACTCCCTATAACCTGATTTCTGATGTTATCCATGATTCGCTTACTGTGGGAGTCTTTAAATCGCAAAAATTGTGTTTCGTCTTTGGTCTTGGAGGCGATGGAGAATAGATTTGAGTTTATGGAAGAGAACTCAAAGTCCGAGAAGGGCAGAGAATAGAACTGGCCGTTATTGTCTAGGAACAAAATAAAAAAATTTAAATTTCGCTTACTCTGAAGAACCACAGAATCGCCTCCGGCTGAGATGGAAACGTAGAGATTCTTGTCTTTTGGGATTATACTGGGAAGATTGTTGTCACCGCCATTCGACACCGAGGCGATTTGGGAAAGGTCCGCGAGTCCAAACGAATTTGTTGTCTGAAAAATGCATGATTACTGTGATTCGACGTGGTAAATTTCAATAAATCGTTAGTGCAAAAATTTTTATTCTCAGTGCAAGCAATTTATCTAAAAATTTTGCTCAAGCAATACCAAATGGGCCAGAAAACTCTGGAAATGTTTTTTTGCACTGTGCGGAAACAATAAGTTTTTGTCTTCCGCACTGTGCGTACGAAAATGTCGATGAGAAATCGAAGGGTTCTGCACAGTGCAATCTCAACCCCTTGTCGCAGCGATGCACCTTGGACGGAGTTTTGTCGCTCATGTTTTTGCACGGTGCGAAAAATAGATTGAATTTTTGTTGCACTGTGCAAACCAAAAACAATGAAGTCGGAAACTTCTGCACTGTGCAATCACAAAGCACTTATCGTTGCGATGCACCTTGGGATCTTTTTCGTTCGAACTGACGACGATTTGCACAGTGCATCAAAATTAAACTTTGGTTGCACAGTGCAGGAAAAAAATTTCAAGCGCACAGTGCGAAAATAATTTTTTTTACAGTAAAAAAACGGCAAAGACTTACTTTAATTTCCATAATTAAAAATGTGTAAAGGAAATAAATGTGTGTAAGACCAATCCCAACAAAAAATAAATATATGGGGCGCTTAAAAGTGCAGAAAAACAGAAAGCCAAAGTTTTTGCTGCTTAAGTTTTCGTTGTGAGGTAATCTTGCAGGGGAGATTCAAACCGTATGTGTCTTGAAAAAATGACTCGCGGCACGGTAAAACTATCATTTTTGTACTAGGCGGGCCAAAAAGTCTTGACATGTCTGCACAGTGCGCCGTCGTGCATGAAATTTGTCGCGCGGTGACAAGAAACATTTAGGGTGCAATGCGACCCCGCACAGTGCAAAAAGGTTGTTTTGAAAAAGGGTAAACAACGCACAGTGCGTTCTTCTTTCGCACCCCGCCGAATTTTTATCGCGCGACACCTTGTCGCAACGCCGAATTCATGCGCCCGCACGGTGCGAAAACATGTCAAGACTTTTTGGCCCGCCTATTACGCTTTTTCAAAAGTGCAGACACATTTTCCGGCCTTTTTTGCAACCGCACCGTGCATGTTGCGCGACGCGATGCTTTTCGAAACATTTTGCACTGTGCAATTTCTTTTCGCACGCCCAAAATTCGCGGAGACTCAGCTGAGAAAAGCTTGCGTCGCAGCGATATGTCAGCGATATCCGGTTGCACAGTGCAAAAGGTCAAATGCACCCCGCAAAAAGGGGTTTTGTGCACGGTGCGGCCCACGACAAAATGTGTCTGCACTTTTGAAAAAGCGTAATACTAGTCCAGCAAAAAAGTCCGCGGAATGGCTGCACTACGCTGTACGCGCATGCACTGTGCAGTTTTCGGCCCGCACAGTGCAAAGTTTCAGGGTGCGCGCGACGGAATTGGGCGCACGGTGCGAAAAGACGTTGCACAGTGCAATAAATTGAGTTCGTTTTGGGTTTGCACGGTGCGCTCGGTTTTGGCCAGATTTTGGTGGCGGCGCACGGTGCGGTTGGATCCCCAATTGAATGCACAGTGCGGATATAAAATTACGTACGGCTTGGTTTAGGAGGGTAATAACTGTAGTAAATTGGGACATTTCTTGACTAAAATACATGATAATTATAAAATAATGGTTGCAGAAAGGATTGTGAATTTACTGGCGTTTTTTAGGGCTGTTTCAAACCAAAAATGTTGTCATACAGTAATTTTAACGCCTTTTGAGTGCTGTTTTTTGCTAAAAAATACTTTATTTTAATTTTACAAGGATGTTGACAACTTTAGTGATTCAATAATCAATTTTAAGAATTTCAAGTGGAAATTTACCATCATTAATGCAACATTACACAGTAAAAATCTCAATTTCCGAAAGACCGCACAGTGCAAACCACAATCAATTTTAGTTCTGCACTGTGCAGACGGCCGAGAATTGCATGCTCCCCGCACTGTGCAAGCAAAAAAACCCCAAAAGAACGAACGATTTCCAAAGCGACAGCCCCAATTTCGGCGACATGTCGCAGAAATTTCGATTTTCATTCGAAAATCGCTGCGATTTCGCAAGCGAAACGGAATTCCAGGATGCACTGTGCAAAAAGCCCAGAAATGGCCGCACAGTGCCGATTTTAGCCCTTTGCACTGTGCAAAGTCAAAATGCACCGTGCGAAAAGTCTGTCGCGGGGGTATGCACTGTGCTGATTCAAACTGCACAGTGCGGGGTGCGAAATCCATTCCGCGGACTTTTTTGCTGGACTAGTACTAGTCGCGCCATAAAGTCCTGACACATTTTGCACCGTGCGAAAGTTCGGGGTTTGGACGTCGCGCCCCCAAATTCGGGTTTGTCGCACGCGAAAGTGTGCAAAAACGGGAAATCGCGGCGACAAATGCGAAAAATTGCACCGTGCGGATCAAATGAAAGAAGAATGCACGGTGCGAAACTTCGGGTTTTGGACGCCGCGCCTGCAAATTCGGGTTTATCGCGGGCAAAAGTGCACGTCGCTAGTGCAAAAACGGGAATTCGCGGCGACAAATGCGAAAAGATGCACAGTGCGGATGAGATGAAAGAAGATTGCACGGTGCAAAATGTGTCAGGACTTTATGTCGCGATTAGTAGTACTTTTTCAGGCTTGAATTTCCACTGGTTTTCAGCTTCCGGTAATTTTCTTTGTTTGCACAGTGCAAAAAACAATGCCCAAAAAACGCACAGTGCAACCTAACCAAAAAGCAATCCCCACCCGCACGGTGCACCCGCAGTGTGCTCATGAATTTGTCGCCGATTTTCGAAGAAAAAATCGCTAATCTCCCCCGCGATCAATTGAGGCCGCGGCGATGTCATCAAAATTTTCGGTGAGTCTGCGACAAAAATTCCATCGCTGCACAATTTCACAGCGACAAACAAGCCGTCAATTTTTTGGATCAAGAACCGCGATGTCGCTGTTGGCTCGACAACGTCGCAAGTCAGGGGGCATTTTTGGCGATTCTTTTCACGCTCTGTTCACTGCACTGTGCAACGAAATAAAATCGCAATTTCCGTGTGCACTGTGCGTAAAGAAAAGAGCTTTGCACAGTGCATAAACCCATTGGGTTTTTCGCACGGTGCAGTCTGGTCGCAATTTTTTTGCACAGTGCAAAATTTTTTTCACAGCTTTTTCATGGGAAAATGGCTGGTAATCGATTTTCGAATCCAATTTCATAATGTCCAGCTTTAAAATGCAGAGTAAACACTCGATTATTATGCATTTAGAAGCGAGAAATTGCATTTTTTGCTGATTTTAATTGCTTTTTTATCATTGATGATTTAGCGGCTAATTAGCAACTAATTTGTTGCAAATTCAACACTTTTGTTTGTTTGAAGAACTTTTTTACTATATTGTACTAGGCAAGTGTAGCAAAAAAAAATTTTTTGATTAGGTCTGCAAAACTTGATTGGATTTTGGATACCATTTGTGAATATGCGCCGTTTAATTTGTGTCTAATTTACTCCAAGTCCTAAGCTGTAAACAATGGAATAAATAATTTTATTTTCGATGACTAAAGTAATGCCAAAATGGCCTTTTGTTGGTCTTGCTAAACATTTTTTATTATTTTTGTTGATTATTTTAGAGTTTATTCTTGTCAGTTATCAAAGAATTTTCCTTATTACTAATTATTTTCACAGGTTTTACATTGATTTATCAGCCAGACATCAAAGAAAAGGACCTCGCCCTGAGGCACGTGACACCTCACTGACCCTCAGCGACCCCTTCAACTACAACCAAATTCTCGCAATCATGAGATCTTTTCCTCCTCCACGTGAGGACTGATAACAGGCTCTTTTTTCGGGCTGAGCCAGCAATTCCAAAGTCTGATGTAATCTCGAGTCCATTTCAGGTGAAAAAACGCCCAACTTTTTGCGTTTATTCATGACATGCCTCGGGCAAAAAGTCCCGGGGATTTCGTTGAAATTGCTGCAGAACCCGGGATTCGTTCGTGTTCGGCGATTAATTGTATTGTAATAGGTCGTGAAGGTGGAATTGGATGAAAGTTTAACTTGTTTCTGTTTGTATCGCTCATTTTATTGTGTGTGGAAGGGTGTGGGAATGACTTTTGATGGTATTCAAATGAATGTATGGTAAAGGGAGGCCAAAAAAAATTAATAATTTTGATGATTTTTTGGTAAAAATTTGCGATTTTTCAACGAAAAAATCTCGATATTTAAAATTTTTTTTATGTACTAGAAGTGGCCTAGTTTTCATTGGTGTCTCAAAAATCCTAATTTGTCACCGAAAATATGCATTTTTGATTTTTTTTTTCACCCAAACCTTCGAATTTCGCGCAAAAACCTTTGAATTTCGAGAATCCCCGCTTCTCTTGTCGCTTATCCTCATTCACGTGGCCCGCGATGCGTAAACACGGCCGGAATGTAATAATGAGACATTTTTTCAATCGTCGAACACTTTTTTCCTCCTGCAGCATCCGGAAATTGTCCTCAGGGTATAATAGGATTTGTCGCAGTTCTCGGCCGAGGCCCCATTTTTGGCATCCGCACTCATTTCGCAGCGCCGTAAATGAGAATGGCTTTTGGTTTTTATGGGGCCTTCTGGCCGCGCGATTTCCGCTTATCAGGTTTCATTCGCGCCCCCAGTTTTTGACGGTCTGAAACCGGCATATTCGATATCGTCTCGAATGGGTGTGGGCCGCGTCGTGGGAGGCTTGTTTTCGAGATTAGACGACAGTTTTACCGAAAATTTTTGAAAACATTCGTGGGGCGGATAATCTTTTTTTGATGACACAATTTGAAGATTTTCGATAAAATTGGAACTTTTGCGACATTATAAACAAAAATGGTCTCTATTTTTGTTTATAATGTCGTAAAATTCAGGGCTTGTTTCCTTCAAAGTTCTTTTATAGAGCACTATTTTTCATCTCCGAGTCCCACCACGAAAACCTGAAATATCAAAAATGCATTGCTAAATTTTGAGATAGTGATGAAAAGGTGTTTCAAATATATTTTTGTGATATTCAGAAGAGTAACTTTTTGTTTGCATTGCTCATTTTTATCAAAATCACGTCTTTTGGGTCCCAACACGAAAACCTGAAATCAGAAAATCACTCAAACTTTTATCTAAGTATGTGTGTAGCCTAGCTAAAAATATACTTATGGTATTTTGTGACATATTTTCGATCTTTCCAATCCACTAACAGGTCCCACCACGAAAACCTGAGCTCCCAAAAATCGCCCAATTCCCTTCAAATTTCGAAATCTGTCCGAAACTGTTTATCCAAGCAGTATTTGCATCGCGAATATAATGAAAGTGCAGAGCCATCTTCCGTTTTTTTCATTTTCCGGTTCGTTTTCTGGCGCCGACCCCTGAACCTCCCCTCCGGCCCTGATAAGCACCATTTTCGGGGAATTCTCCAGTCGCCTTCTAATTCATTATATCGCTCGTCTAATCGCGACATTTCTATTTCCAATTTTTTGTTCCCAAAATACTTAATTTTTTTTTAATTTTCTTTATCCAGTCTAATTGGCTGATTGCCGCAGAGCCAATGGAATCTCATTGTTGTGCCTCAGGGCATGCTTGTTTTTTGTTGGACAGATTCCCCTCCATCGCTTCGTAATCTGTGACGAGTCACATTTTATCAATGGTCGCGGAGACCTCGAGATTTGAGCAAAAGAGCCCGGAGGGCATGCGGATTCATTTGTTGCTTTTAATGAATCTGCGAAAAAAGTAAAAGTGCAGAGTTCCGCAGTGTTATTATGCAGGCTTTAATTAGTCATCGCCCGTTTTCCCACCACTTTTATTCGCCAGACTTGGGGCAACTTTTTTGCTTTTTTTGGCCACATTCGGAAGATCGTTCGTCATCCAGGCTTAACATTAGTAATTTTGGGGCCCTAAGAGCGTAATGTTCGTATTCACATGAAAGTTTTGAACTTTTCGGAGGGCGTTTATATTGGTTTAGATGATTTAGTGGAAGATATGGCTTGTTTTCGATTTTTCGTCGATAATTTTTATGCTTTATAGTAATCATGTTATGGCCGCTTCCTAAATCGTGATTTAGTCAGCATATTTTTTTTGATTTCCAAAAATTTCCATATTTTTGAATATTTCTGAAAGGCATGTCATGATGACAAATTTGATGATTACGCTCAAAAAATCGTCGAACAAATCGTCTTAAAGTTTTTCTCAGACAAAACTGAGACTTGCAAAGCCCCCTGTTCCCATTGTCATCGTATTTTCCGATAAAAATTTCAGTTTTTTCTACAAAACCGTATTAGAAATATAAATTTGAAAAAAATTGTTATTCGATGGCCCCGAATTTGATCTGTAAATTTAAATTGGGGGCACACTGAAGCCAAATTTACCTTTGCAGGTGTAATAACGTGTACGGGTTGAATGTGAAATTTTAAATTTTGGAAATGACATCAAAAAAGTCCAAAGTTTTATTTTCACTAACATTTTGAAGTATCCCAACAGTTATTTTAAGTTGATTTTAATCCTAATGAAATTTTAATCCGGGTTTATAATGGTAATCTAATTGTTTTTCACATCAAAAGTTTCGTTTTTCGGCCATTTTGAAGCTTAAAAGTGTCTAAAATAAGGTAAACCTGTGCTATTTCCTTGTTATTTTTTTGCAAAAGACTCACAGCACCTTGAAAGATGATGTCAAGGTGTTAGATTGCACACCCAGGTCCTCAATCGGCGAGGGTTTCCATATGATCCCGTTAATTGTCATCAAAATTTCTGTTTTTGTTGCGTTTTAACCCAATTTGTTATGTAAAATGATGCAATTTTTGACGTGTTCTCTCTCAAAATAGTTTTTTGTAAGCATGAAGTGTTATGTTTGAGTCATTTGAGTAACGAATTTACAATTTATTTTTTCGATTTTTATATTCTTTTAGCCCAAATGAAATGAATGAAACGACGGAAGCGGAGAGCGATTTCATGTGCGAAGATGGCTCGCTGCTGGACCGATTCGAGGTCCGGTTGACAGTCATGGCCATCTACATCATGGTCTTCCTGCTGTGTTTAGTGGGTAAGGGAAAAGATTTTCGAAAATTTGAGGTGTTCATGGGGAATATAAAGGACATTTTTTGGGGGGAAACGGTAAGAGAAGAGCGTTTTAAGGGCTGATTTTTTATTTTCAACTAACGTGTAGTCCTATTTGCAAATTTTTCCTAGTTTTTTTTAAAAAGATACGATTTTCATTTCTTCTACCTTATACATGGACCAGTTGGATCCAATCAGCAATTTCTGCAAGCGCTATGCTCAGATCTTCTTCATATGTTTAACACTGGCTACTTATGGGTCCTAAATGATTGTCTAAAAATATTGGTTTATTTTTTGCATGTGAAACCGAGATATTCAACGATCTTTGCGCTGAAAGTATGAAAAATGAGTCATCAAAAAATGGTGGTCCACCCTTGCCATACTTATTCTAATTCGTCTTCTTTTTCTTGATCAATCTTCCCTATTTCATATTTGACCTATAAAATGTATTTCCAGGCAATCTGTTCACGATCATCGTCATCTGCGTCCATCGTTCCATGCGCACAGCCACCAATTTTTTCCTCGGGAACCTCGCCTTCGCCGACCTCCTCGTCGCCGTTTTCTGCATTCTCCAGAACATGTTCCACATTGTGGGCTCGGACAGTGGTCATTGGCCCTTGGGCGCGATCGTCTGCAAACTGTACGTCCTCGTTTTGCACATGGTTCCGTGCACTGGGATCGGGATTCTGGTGTGTGTTTCGCTCGAGAAATACATCGCCGTTCTGCACCCGTTGCTGGCGTTGAAGTTGCTGACTCCGCGGCTGCGAGCACTGATGATGGCGGGGATTTGGATTGGGTCTTTGGTCATAAACCTGCCATATTACTTCACGACGGTCGAAAAGAGATATAATCAGTTCGCGGCTTGTACAAGGGACATGTCCTCGCTTTATGGGTATGTTTTTTTGGATTTTTGGAGGGGAGCATAGAATTGAGAGGCCTTTGAATTCAATAATATTCATCGAGTCCCTGAGGGTTTACCGTTTTTAGTACATTTTTTGTCATGTTTATCTTGAGATTTATATTTTTTGACGGAAATACCAGTAAATCACAAGTGTCTTCCCTAGTAATCCTCATTTCCTTCAGCCCGCTCAGTTTCACCATCAAAGAGATGATAACTTTGTCCTTCGTCACCTGGTATCTGATTCCCCTGATCACAATAGCCATTCTCTACAGTCGAATCGGCCTTGTCCTCTGGCGGAGCAGCATGAAACCCCTCTCGGTTCGCCCTTCCACCACTTCTCCATCAGCTCAGGAAGCCCTCACAACGATGACCCTGCCCGAATTGAGCAATGGGAATGGGAACGGGGAGCTGGACTCAATGGCGGATAGTAATCGGTCCATGGATGAGACTCCATCGAGTGTGGCCAAGGGCGGCGACATCTTGGAGAGCAGGAAAAAGGTGGGCGATTTGATAGGCTGAGATGCAATTGAACGAGTAAAAAATAGAACTCTGCACTGTGCAGGTTAAAGAAGACCTCCGCACAGTACAAAGCTTTTGGGACTTCATTTTTGAAACAAAAAAAATTAAAAATTTTGTTACAAAATTGAAATGAAAAACAGCAAAAAATGAGAATCTACAATTCATATTTTTACAAGAATTTTTCAAAAAAAATTTTTTTTTTGATGACACCTATAACAACGAAAATATTACAAAAACCCTGAGGCTTTATGAATTTGGGTAAAATTTGGATAAGTTTCAAGATTCATAAAGCAACTGTCAAGACTTCACATTTTACACAGGCTTTTTAAAATTCAAAAAATCTCAAAATTAAATAAAATCAGCCATATTTTTCGAAACCTGGTTGGTTATTCCTATAATTTGAATGCAAATACTTCAAATACACATTCCAGATCATCCGCCTTTTGATTGCAATAGTGACCTCCTTCGCGGTCCTGACCCTCCCTCATCACGCCCGCCTTCTCCATGTAATGTGGTCCACGGAGCACGAATGCAACAGTAAATGGACCTCCCTTCTTCAGCCTTTCACTTACATCTCGCTCTTCCTCTCCAGCTCCATCAATCCCATTTTGTACGCCTTTATGTCGCAGCGATTCCGCGCCGCCGTCAAGGATATCATGAAATGCAGGAGTCGGGGGTACCTGCGGAAGTACACGAGGACGCGGACCATTTTGTCCGACATCCCCGAGCATCCGTCGAGGTCGCCGAGCTTGAGTCACACCAATAATGTCAGGACCACGTGCATGTGAGCATCGTATTCTTGGAGACGGGTAAAAAACTTTTATATCAATGGGATTTGAGGACATATAAGGGAAATTCCAAGTGTAATATCAATGCTCTAAAACCAGCTCTAAAACTTCTCTAAAAATTAAAATCCCAAAGCTTTCACACTTTTCCAATCAAAAAGTCATCAATTTTTATATTACACTTGGCATCTCCTTTCCTCCCCAAATTTCATGTGTTTCGTACAAATCTCTCACTTTTTTGACTGATCTCATTGTAACTAAGACATCTCCGATTGTTATTATTGGTTTAATTTAGCTGAGAACAATAAATTTAGGAGTTTTTAAAGGGTTTTACTCTGTTTTTTTGGAAATCTGAGAGGTCCCGTTCGTTCCATTTGACTGCTCCGATTTGTGGGTCTTCGGCTTTTTGATCGCTTTGAGGGCGATGGTGAAGATGACAGGGCATACGACAAACATGAGGATATACCAATACAAGTACATTGAGAGGATGGGCTGGAATTATTTTACATTATACATCAACATGTTGTACTAGGCAAAAAAATGACAAATTCCTTGCGAAAAAAAGTAATTGAACCTGCTAATTACATAAAAATGTAAAAGATAAGCCCTTATACATATTTTAAACCACTTACCCTAATCCAGACCTCCTTTTTGACCAATCCAAATGTTAAAAATGCAAAGGCCATTGATGTGTTGATGGTAATTCGGCCGAATAACCAGCAGAATGGCCAGACATACGGCCGATTCAAGAACGCTTGGACGTCTGGTAGCCTCCTCAAGATTTCATAGAGCTAAAAAGTTGAAAATTATATTGGCAAACACAATATCAAAAAAAATTTTAATTTCAAGTGTAATATCCAATATCTTACCTGTCCTTGTACAAACATACACGCCATTTCAAACGCGAAAAGAATAAAGTATCCCAAGTGATATCCGTGCCATACAGCCAGGTAGAAAAGGGTGACGGCTTGACTGTAGAATTTGTTTCCCATCCATCGAAGTCGTTTGAACAGGTAGCTAAAAAAATATTAAAAAATAAAAAATTATAAAACTCAATCAAACACATCATACAGAGAACCTCCAATACCTAAAAAAAACATTGTGTCAAAACAATCGGACATTTTCGACATTACCCACGACCGATCAAGTGTCGTATAGAAAAAGCTCCCGAATCATTAGACTGTTCAAAATTTCCTCCACATTTGTAATCAAAACTCACTTCTTGGCGAAATCGTTGGTTCCGCAGTTGAACGAATCAATGCAAGATTGGAAGTCGCTGCCCAATTCCCATTTAATGATGTGTACATTGCGGACTCCATCCCACCGATCCTCTCCCCTTTCATTCTTTCCGTTGTAGGCCAGACCAGCCAGGATGCACGATCCTTCCTGAAAAACACAACAATGTTTATCTAATCCTCCTTTCATAAAAATTATACGAAAAAATAAAACATCCAGAACCTACAGTAAGAAGCCAGCACATGCAGTAGCGATACATCGTGGCGCGGTACCAGATGGTGTTCCAGATGACTTTCCAGTGGAAGGGGAGGTCCTAAAAGCCAAATTCAATACAAATCAAGGTTACTTACAAAGAATTCCTGGCTGTTGAAAAAGCTGTCCGGGATCCAGAGAGTGCCCCATTGATGGAGGACGGCATACGTAACACCGGCGACGAATCTTCGACAAGCTTCCATCAGACTGGACTCCTTGACTTCGCCGTCTTCCAGGAATTCTCCATTCACAAATCTTCTGAACCTATTGAATGAAAAGAGCGGCCCAACCAAAGCTCCGCCATAAAACATTCCGAAAGAAGCGATCTCAAGGAGGGTCGGAGGGTCTTCAATAGCCAGTTCAAGTTGGTCTCCTTTCCTCCTGTGTCTTGGCATTTGTCCATCAGACACGTCCATGACGAGAGCGATGAAACGGAGGGCCATAATACAGAATGGGGTGGTCCAGGTGATATCATACTGGTCGGTGGCGTGCGACCAATATCCCAGGAGGAGATGACCCTGAAAGGAGCCATAAGTCTCATAAAAAAGCATACTAGCCTTTATCTCAACCATTTAGAGCAAAACTCCATCAAAAATTATATTACACAACATCGAATATTTTTAATTTCGACTTAAAAAATTATTAGATCAAAATTAAAATTACAAAAATCAATTCAAACTTACAAAAAACAATATATGGGCCAACGCTATACTTGTCTTCGTCCCAGGGATGAAATTCGTAAGCGCATATGCAAATCCAATGCTCAACAAAAAATGCCAAATAGCCCACCCGCAGTTGAAGTAGAGGAGCGAGATACCGACCGTTGTGAAAAAGATGTGTTGACTGCGAGGTTTCAAGTTGTAAATAAAGTATCGGTAGAAGGCGGAGATCGGGTAGCCAAGAACGATAGAGATGAGGAGACGGAGCCCGTCTTCTCGGACGTTTACCATGTTCGAGAGTTCGGTGATTACACCCATGGTACTGAAAAGGTATCATTACTACCTGATAATCAAATTCTTGGTAATCTAAACGCGCTCACAAAACATCAGAGACCTATACCATCCCTTATCATACAAAAACAACATCCATTCCATACTAAATCACCAAAACTTAACTTTATTTTAGTCATCCATATCGAATACAACAAAACTTTTTCTTTAAAATCACCTGTTCTTTGCTCCCAACCCACTCTAAGGACTTCAAAACTTCCCCAATCTTATATTCACTATCAAGACCCCTAAATCAAACCTCCAAATTATCACACAGCTGCGTGCACAGCCCCATCATATATCATGAAAGTCACAATTCAGATAACAAAAAGTTTTGCCACGGGAATTAAATTAAAAAGAAACGCGTGCGAAAAAGTCATACCACCTTTCGGGAGTTCTCTTTGCACCTGAAGAAGGCAGGGAATCAAAGTCCGTCAGACAAAAAGGGTCAAAATAGACAAAAAAAAACTTTCCGAGCGCTGATAAAATGGCCGAAAAGAGAGAGAATTGTCAGTAGTCGAGCTGGGAGAACGAGATGATCTAGGCGGCAAAAATCGTGTGTATGCTTGTAAAATTTGACATATCAATCAAATAGGCAGGCAATAAATGCAATGTTTGAAAGGACCTCTTCCTATTCCAAATTTTCGTCTTTATTCGTCACCACAAAACCATTTTTCTTACGCAATTTTATCTAATCCATCTCCCATAATGTAATTATACCTCACATTTCCGAAACAGCCAACACTTCTTGTAAATCGCTCATTAAAAATCCACTCTCCCTTCTATTTTTTTATCAAGATTGACTACCACAATACAAAAATAACCTCAAATCTTCAAATCCCGAGTATTTACCCACTTTAGATCGTATTTACAGCCAAAAACTTGCATTAGCATAGCCCGAAAGTTGTTGAAAATTCGAGAAAAATTGGATATTTATTTGCAAAGGAAAAACCAAAAAACGGAGAAAACTTTTCCAAAAGGGGCGTTCTGAATAAATTTAAAGATCTCTTTTTGCCAAAAGAAATTCCCAGCTTCTAACTTCGTCAAGTTTCATATAAAAAACAAACCTATGACAAAGAAAAAATGGGAACTTCGACCCCTTCCGGACAATTACACAATCATTTTGGAGGAAGATTAATTAGCCTAGCGTGACAATTAAAGTTCAAAAGTTTTATAAAACCCTATTTTCGATAAAAAGAGTGTGGAAAGTCGGAAAGACGTTGAAAATATTAGAAACCGTCTTTCAAAGTAAAAAAGAGGCTTTGAATGGCCAAAAGAGAAGAGGGGAAGCACCTGGCCAACCTGCTGATATCATTTTTTGAGTTCTCAAACGTAAGCTATTATTTTTAACACGCAAAAACAAAAAAAGCGTGCCTCATTTCAGACTAAATTAATATAAAAATGGCTAAAATAATATAAAAAGATCCTTATAAAGTATTCCAAACATAACCCAGACATCTCAACCGGGACAATTAATCGTTCACAGCCGAGAAACTACAAAAAAATGCATGAAAACAACAACAAGTCCCAAAATATTCTATATTGTCCTTAAAAAACGATTCCAAAACGTCAAGAATCCATAAAAAATAGAACGCAAACAACAAAATTGGGTCACTTCAGGAACAACAAACCAAAACATCAATAAAAATTATCATAAAAAACAACAAAACGGGCATCCCTTATATTACCCATGACAACAGAGCTCGAAAAAAGCGTAAACCACCATTCAAGCACACTTAAAGCAATACAAATATGGCTCTCCGACCAAGGCAGATGATAATTGGACCTTATTTTGTACAAATTTATTCAAAGTAATTTCTGTTCGACGATTTCGAAGAGGATTCGTCGCCGGAATTCGGGCATATGGCGCTGGCTGAAGTTGATGGGCGCTCGGCGAGAGACGTATTCGCCCATGCGGCAGGTGAAGACGCCGCAATCGAAGCCATTCATCTGTTTTGGAACGTCCTTTAAACAAAAAAAGTTTTTTTTCAGTTCTTCGGCAGGGTTAAATCCCTATTTTAATATCAAAACCCGGTCAGACCTACCTCCTTGCTGATGATTATAATGTCTTCGGACCTCAGATGACCTCCTGGATGTTTTGTTTCAAATTCGGTAATGAGGTAATCACTAAAAATACGTTTAATGTATTTACATTACACATGAAAATCTAAAAAGCCTATTTTAATCCGGTTCTCGTTCAAAAATAGTTCGCCCACTCAAACGATCGACAAAAACAAGTCGTCTATCATATTTGAAAGGCCTTCAAACTCTATTTGTTTACATTTTCACTTCTTTTTCCCTCAAATTCAACCTCAAATCCCCGTTTCAAAACTCACCGCAGGACTTTTAGATGGGAAAATCCATCGGATCGCATGGAATCCAGGAAACGCAACGTATTTGAACCACATTCGTAAACCTGGAACCACATTATTCTTCATTTAAAACTATTTTAATCTCATAATTGGCATAAATAACTTACAGCTAAGCACCAGTGACAGTTGCCCAGATTGAGCGGGAACAGGATGATATCATAGTTAAAGATATTTAAATTCTTTGTCCATCTTTTTACACGACTATGACCACCGCGGGAGACGGATTGAAAGAAATAAGTAGGGAAGGAGTACACCTGAAGGATGGATAATATAGAGCAATATAAAAAATTGATCCAAAATGCAAAAACGACTTAAAAATTATCCTTGACTGACAGAAGACCTAAATTTCGATCACACAAAAAATTTAACTTACTTTAGGATATCCATGACTTTTTTCGGACCTTTCTGATATCAACGAGAAGTAGAAGTTAATAATTTCGTCGTTCAGCCAGCCATGGTTGTCCAATTTTATCAGATCTTTTCTAGCCAAATGAATATTGAACTTTGAAGAAAAAACTTCATTCGGATCTTTGTAGGGATCCCAAATGACGTCACATAGTTCTTGAGCTCGTCTTGGAAGGACTAGAAAAATATAAATATACAGTTTCATTATCTCACCTGGGAAATCTTCAACACCGGGAACAAGATCAACTTTGGTCTTAACGCCTTCCAAGGAGAGTTTGGACCTTAATCCTTCGATCAACGAGGTCAGAGAAGACTGGGATTTCCTTCTTTGCCGAAGATTGAAATCAGTGGTGTGTTCGACACTCCGAAGTTTTAAATCCATCATAGATCGGTCAAATCGGAACCTAAACTCATAAAGAATAACACGAGAAACCAACTTACTCTTCATCTTCTGACCCAATATTATACGTGCTCCTAGACCTGTCCAAGGATGTCGAAGAACATGGAGAATCGAGGTCCTCCAGATAACTTGGCATCGTACGACGCTGAACACAGCTTTATATTAATATTTCAATCATATTTATCTCAAAGAGCCAAAAAAAAAAACAAAATATTAAATTAAGACATAAAAATCTCATGGATACCATAAAAATGACAAGTTACTTTCGAATTTCGTCATTCAAAATCACATACAAGTAAAAACGGAATGTTACTTACCCTTGACCTCGGCGTGGAGCCAAAAACCCGTTTCAACATGTACTTCATACCCGTATTTTCACCCATTTCGAAGCCTACGAAAAAATAGTAAACCAAGAATAAAATCAACAGTGCCGCTGAGAAGAACAATAACATTCGGAGCCGAACATCACCGGAGGGTTCAACCAAAAAAATCTCGAGGAAAAAATAAAATTTATGCCAAATATTTTGAAAGAATGTTTTCGTTGTGAGACCATATTATATTATTCATCGGGCTATTCTTCGTAGTTCTGCAGGGCGAATCTGATTCGTTCGACGTTCATTCCGTTAAAGGACATAAGGAGTTTTCTTGCTTCGTTCTCAGCATCAGATTTTTCAAGGCTTTTGAGGGTTGTTTCGGCTTCCTGAACATGAATAATGTAAATAAACGGCCGTGAGTCACGCAATTTTGATTTATATAGGAAAATTCATCGAAATACAAGCTCAACGCTCATAAATTTGAATTTAAAAACTAAAAATTTATATAAGGAACCCGAAAATAAACGTTATATTACCTGAACGACATCTTCGGGGAAGTTGACCATCTTGGCGATGGTGATTCCAAACGATCTCTCAGTGACCCCAGGAGAGAACTGATAGAGTAAAGTAATAGTATCACCATCTTCACTGACATCAGCCTTCAAATTCATTACATTTTCCGGGTAATGGTAAGACAAATAGGCCATCTCGTGGAAATGGGTGGCGAAGATGCAAAAACTTTTCAGTCTAGTCACAATATCCCTAAAATATCAGTAATCATCTCTCTATCAGTCCATAACTTACTCAGCAATCGCCCAAGCCAGCCCGAATCCATCGTAAGTAGTAGTTCCCCGGCCCAATTCATCAATTATAATAAAGGAATTAGAGGTGGCCTTGTCCAAAATAACTGCACAATCGGTCATTTCAGACATGAAAGTGGAGACTCCTTTGAATTGGCAATCTCCAGCGCCGACCCGAGTGAAGAGTCCATCAAAAACTGAGAGCCTCGCGGAATCACACGGAACAAAACATCCGATTTGAGCCAAGAGGACAGAAGTAGCTGCCGATCTCAGAAAAGTCGACTTCCCTCCCATGTTAGCGCCAGTCAAAACCATGAATTTCTTGTTATCCTTGAAGACAATGTCGTTGGGAATGTAGCAGGACGACTCCAATATCTTCTCCACAATCGGATGACGGCAATTTCTCAGTTCAAAGACATCAGTGCCTAAAGTAAGAAAACTAATATTGAAAATGGCATTCTTACCCATTTCTAACATCTCTGGACGGACGAAAGGGCTGACTGCGGTCGCTGAGACCACGGAAAAAGCAACAAGAACATCGATCGTGGCAAAAAGTTCGGTCAATTCGGAGAGTTCAATAGAATGCTCGGCTAAAATAAGGTCATCAAATTAATATTTTAGATATCAAGCCCATATTTTTGTGCCCATAGGTTAAGATACGGGCCTATAACCTCAACAAGAACATAAATTTCATACCTGACTGTTTCATGATGTCAGTTGTGAGGTCTTTTTGAGCTTGCTCATAGTCTTTAACAGCATCAGCAAACTCCTTATTAAGCGCTTCCATTCGGCTGTTGACAAAATACACTCCTCCGCCCTTCTTCGTATTCAAAATTGTCACACTTGCATTTCTGATCTCTTTTTCCGACTAAAAACTAAAACTTTTATCATAAATGACATCACTAACGAAATTCCAATAGAAAACCCATACCTTCAATGTAACTTTCATGTAATATCCGTCATTGGGGTCGCACTCAACTTTAATCGCATCACTGTCAATCTCTTCCGATAAAGAATTTGCGATTTTTTCAGCTCTGGAATGAATTTTATCAAGAACGCTGTTGAGCTGCCGAAGATTCTCATCAGATTCAGGTTTGATTCGGTAAATCTGAGATACGGGATCTTGTTCGACATTATTTTCAATCAACTCTTCGAGGTTTCCAAGTTTGTCTTTCAGAACGAGAAGAGGTTCCTGAAAGGTCAAATGTCATAAAATTTTCGGCCCAAACTGATTGATCAAGCTTCTAGAAGATCATCCAAGCCTAAATAAAGACACAAGAAATAATAAAAAACCCACGGTGACCATCTTGATAACACTTTCATTGTCTCTGTGATTGTCAAACGCATCCACAACGGGATTGATCATTTTGCATGCCCGATAAATGCGATAAACATCCTCCAAATTAGCGGACTCCGTCCCCAACTTCTTATTTACAGCGCAAATATCAGGATACTGCCTCAAATAGTTATTGTACAGCTGTTCTCGGCATTCAACATCTTCCACCAGGATCTCGACTAGATCATGCCTTCGATTAATCTCGTTCAGATCATCCAACGGTTCCAGAAGCCAGTCACCTAAAGAAAAAGTAAGAATGAGTTGAAAAACTTACGAAGCAACTTTTTTCCTTGAGTGGTTCGACATTCGTTGAGATAATTGTATAAAGTGAGGCCTCCAGCAGCAGAGAACTCGGTGGACAGGTCAAAGATCTCGAGACAGGTTAGAGCGGCTTCTTCTAGCTTCATTATTGGTCAAATTGTTAGTTAGAAAGGCAAAATGATATTGCACTTGGTTCAAACTTTGCAAATCCCGGGTTTTCTATTTTATTGCCGCCAGCTGCGCCCACGATTTCGCAAAATGTATAGACATCTTACACGAACTGAAAAATATTTTTCTATAACCAAACTATTTGGAGTTTATATGTCGTAAAATGCACTCTGAAGATATATCAGGTGATAAATAAATTATTTTGAATCAAATCTTTGTCATTTATGTTACACTTGGCCGTTTATATTACACTTACCACACCGCCTTGAAAAGATTGCCTGATTTGTGGCATAATGCCAAGATAACGTTGTATAATAATGTGCGATGTGGAATTCTGATGTCTAGAGAAAAGACGTCTGCGAGTGGTGGTAGCATCAGATAACTTTTTTCCTCCTCCTTTGGTTTGGGTTTTTCGCTTGCGTTGGAGCGGATATCGACATTCAATCCCCGATTTCAGGTTCTCAATGGCTGACGAATGCCCATCTGCCACTGATTTGGCCACTGTCTTTCGAAAACTCCGTTCTTTGACGGCCAATAAGGTGAGTGAAGTTATCATTGATTTGATTGTTGGTTTAGACTTGTTTCGATTGTGGGGCGAGGAATCCCACTTGGTCTTCCGTCACTTATGGAGTCTTCATTTGTATCGATTGCTCAGCGACTCACAGAAATCTTGGTGTACACATTACTTTTGTGAGGTCGACAAATTTGGATACAAACTGGACATGGAATCAACTTAGAGCTATGCAGGTTGGCGGAAATGCCAATGCGGTAAGTTTTGGGGGTTTTATTATTTTTTTATCCATGATCAATATTTCAAAAATACTTATGGCGTTCTTTTTTTCTTGAATTGGAAGGTCGAGTTTGCAAGAAACTACTCAGATTTACTCGCTGATTTGCCTTTTAATAGGTTTCTTTTTATAGATATTATTCTTCCTTTTGTATAATAGATTTATATTTGAAATCTTATTCCTTGCTATATCTTGTACTTGCAGACCACGTTCTTCAAACAACATGGGGTTGACACAACTGACGCACAGAGAAAATATAAAAGTCGGGCCGCGACCCTGTATAAGGTAAGTCAAATTACAATTTGTGTTATCTGTTTAGAGCAAACTTGCGGAATTGGCAGCTCAGGCTCATAGACAGAATGGAACTAAGCTCTTGATCGAGACTGAAGTCATAGATTCACCGGCAACTCCAGTCAAAGACGACTTCTTTGAGCAAGACTTTTCCAAACATGCCGAACCAGTAGTGTCAACTGAGAACTTGGGATCGGCTTCTATGGTCAGGGACGACTCTGATCAGCTAGCTAATCCATCGTTGGCTCCACCTGTGAAGAAACCAATCAAGAAGATCACTGTGAGAATTTTTATTGACAGTTTTCCTTTTAGATGGTACAGTGTAATATAATTTTTGATATTTTCAGTTAGGAGCGAAGAAAGGAGGTCTTGGAGCGCAGAAGATTAAGACCAATTTTGATGATTTTGCTCAAAAAGCAGCGGATTTGGACAAGGAACGAGAAGCTTTCTCCAAATTGGCTCTTCAGGAACCAGCACCTCCACAAGAACAACCAGAAGATCAACGGGCTAGAATCGCCTCCAAATTCTCTATTCAGGACGTTGCCAAACAAAGAGAACAAGTGGAAAAGGTAATTCAGCCAGGCAAAGACCATTTTTACATTATTCTTTCATGTGTAATATAATTTTATTGTTGTATACTCTCCATCTTTGCTTCAGAAGATCAAGAATGACCCGAATAAGGCTGAGATGTCCGAGAGACTTGGAATTGGCGGTCTTGGTCGAGGTGGTGTCAGTCATTCGGTTGGCATGAGATCAATCCAACAAGAAGGAGTTACCAAGCTTGCGAACAAAAAAAGTACAGACTCATTCCAGTCCGACGAATGGGAAGTGGTCACTGGAGATGATAATAGGTAAGGGTTTTTCATAGTTTGAGTTTATTTTTTAGATCCTCTGGACTCGATGACCTCTCGGATCTGCCCAAATCCAAACCTCGGGAAGACTTTATCGATACATGGGAACGATCGCTACCTCCATCGTAAGTTATTTCAGAGAGTTTTGGGAATTTTTGATACTTTTTTGTTTGAATGGAGATTATGATTTTTGATTTTGAGAAAATTTTATGTCACTTTAGTCAATTTGATGTAAAATACGAGTCAGGGTAGTGATGTTTTATTTCAGAAAGACCTACAGAGCCCCAGTTCAGTCCACCCCTGCCCCGGCTGTCGAGGTTGACCCAATGAAGAAGTTCGGAAATGCGAAAGCCATCAGTTCTGATCAATATTTCGGGAAAACAGATGAAATGGACTTTGAAACTCGCTCAAATTTAAGCCGGTTCGAAGGCCAATCGGGTATTGGATCGGCTGATTTGTTCGGCAACGGACAACAGCAGCCAAGCGGGTTCTCCTACTCGGATCACGTTCCAGAAATGGCTGATATCAAGGATAGTGTAAGACAAGGTGCTAGCAAAGTGGCTGAGAAACTCTCCAACATCAGCAGCTCATTCAGTGCATATCTCGGGGTAAGTTGAGAGTTTTGAACATTTGTTCGACGCTTCCCTTCACATTTAACCCGGTGTTTTTAACATTTGTATTATACTAGACTACTAGATTTTGAAGGTGAATATCATGTGAAGCAGTCCTCTGTATTGGGTGTAATATATGTTTTGCTGACCCTCACCGCCTTGTCTAACCCCCCGAAATAACAAACCTCTTTCAGCGGACGGCTAATTAACGAGACGAGCGGCTTGAATGTGATGTGTAATATCCCGAAAGGTGGTCGAGTCGATGCCCTCTGTCCCCTGCTTCTCTATCCCTAACCTTTCCCCGCCCCAGGGCATAATACGAAGACCGTCTTACTGTGATATAAATTTTGTTTCAGGACTAAAACAAGATGGAATTTACAAAAATTTTTTTCTTTTTTTTTTGAGATTGTGCTAAAAAAGGAGGAGTGTTCTCGGAAGGCAGGTGGAATTGTTAAAGTAATCCCCTCATGACTCCTATTTTGACATTCTAAAAGGCAACATTCCTCGCCCCACATGATCCCAATCTGCTAATTAACTGTAATTACAGCTGGAAATTTGATAGGCCTTTTTTAATTAGAGTCCAAATAGACCACTAAAACATGTTCAACATCCCCCATTCCCCACTCTGAAAACACTCCGCTCTCTCCGACCATTATTTTTATCCTATTTTTATTCATAATTTATATTGTAGAGCAGAGAAATAAAGTATAAAATAATCAATTGTACTGGCCAAGATGTGGTTGTAAAAGTAGATTTGTAGACAGTACTCTTACATTCCTGATATGTCTCTTTTGATAATCTGTTTGTCGGTTTATACTCGTCGAAGGTTTCTTGGGGAAATTCCTCAAATCTTTGCAGTTTTTGGTGAACTTTGTCGATGAATTGATGGGTTCCATCGATGAAAAGTCTATTCATACTGGTGCTGGATTAAGATACTCCCCTTGCATGATCATCACCTGTTCAGTGGGTATCGGAGTCTGAGTACACTCTCCGTTCCAACTGATCTGCTCCAGGAGGCGCTCTTCGGGCGCCAGTCGATGGACCGCCGACCTCTTGCTGACCGAGCGACGCACGAGGGCTTCGTGTTTCCAACTGAAATTAATTAACTTTGTTTCGAAGCCGGATTAGTCACAAGTTCATGAAGGGAGGGGCAGACATGCAATATAAGGAAGTAATCGTAAGGAGGAAGGGAAATGACACTCTTTTCGGGTAATTTTATCACTCTGCTCCTTAATCCCGAATAATTGAAAGGCCAGGAATCCAAAGTTTGAAGGTTCAGGGGGGATTCCAGAAAATAAGTCATCTTTAGGAGATTACTTCTTTATTCCGCAACTAAAGCGCCGAATTTTTTTAGTGATTACAGTGAGGGACCTGATCCAGTGGCAAAAAATGTATCATTTTGCATCCGGGAAGTATCAAAAATGTGGCAAAATGTCTTCCTCGCCAACTAAAAAACTTCGTTTTGAACTGCGCGCCCTTTCCCTCACAAAAAGAATGGGCGCTTTTGAAATCGGAGTTTTTTCGCTTCTAGAGGGAGGTATTTTGCTGCATTTTTGATACTTCCCGGATGCAAAATCATACATTTTTTTGCCACTGGATCAGGTCCGCCACTGTAGCATTCAGCCCAGTTATCTCAAGACTAAAAGAACAATTTCGAAAAACTGAGTAACCAAATGCATCAGCATGACGTATTTTCTGGAAATTTGCGGGAAACTTGAGATTTGAACTAATGGTTTTTTGCTGAAAATATATTCCTGACGTTGTGTTTTATATGCATAATCATTCCAAATAATGGCTCCAAAAATTTATGCAAATTGTTTTGTCGAGATGATGCGGCAGTCCAGCGACCACAGAGACCTCGGCAGTGTCACGTAACGGGGATAATTAACCCCTCTCAACCGCGGCCGATCTGTGATGCGGAAAGGGAGCATGAATTAATTAAGCCCGTCGAAAAAACTTTCGCTTCGGATATTATAGTAGGGCTTCTGTAGAGCAAAAAACAAATCGCTCGAGCGAGACGTCGCGCGTTCTGCCTCGGGGTCTAAATGCCGCGGTAAATAAACACATCTTTCCGACTTAATTTGAGGGCTTTTGGCATTTTTTTGTTATTCATTTGATCGATTCCAAATTTTGGACCCGAGGCTAACATAAATAATAAAAAGAGAGCCCAGGAATGCGGGAAGAGCGGGCTTTCGATGCATGGGTAATGCCGCTTACCGTCCACAAGTCCGCACGCACTCACTCCAGCCACTGAAAATGTCGCGGATTTGAGCGTCGACTTCGGGGATCCGCAGCGAGTAGATGAGCGGGTTCAGCAGCGATTTGCCCAGAATAAACGACAGCTGGATGCAGCTGAAGAGGAACAGGACTCGGAAACGCTGTTCTCGCAGCAAATCACAGGTGTTGCAGGTGATTGTGAAGTGGATTGTAGCCGGCGCCCAGCCCACAAAGAAACTGGAGCAGATCAAAATCGCGGTCCACAGGGTTTTGTTCTCGCGGGTCATGCGGTTTTGGGCCGACTTCGAACGCCATTTTGCACTTTGAGTACGAAGCATACAGAGCTGAAAATTTAGGGTCAGTAAAGGGCATCAATTTTGACTGAAACTTCTCAAAAATACAATAAAAAACCGGACTGAAAGGACAGTCATTGCCAAGATTTGTTGAAAGTACCAAAATAGTACAGTAAATGAACGCTACAATTTCGAAAAAAAGTGTAGTTTCTTTGTCATAAAAAGTGTTGAAAACTGTTTGATGATTGCCATACAATTTTGAGAAGAATAATCCAAATTACAAGAGAGGGCTTTTAAAACATTGTACTACTACGGTTGACTCCCACACTAAAAATGAATACGGGATGAACAATTATTTTTTTGAGCAAAGTTCGAAAAAGCTGTGGAAAAAACGATTTTTTCTTATTTTTTTACAAAAAAATAGTTTTTTTTTTCAAACAAAATTCGAAAAGTTATTGACAAAAAACGATTTTTTTCTTTTTCCGTCTCTCCTCATTTTACGCACTCTCTCGCCAAAAATCTTGAATATCTCCGCTCTCCATGGAAAGCATTAGCCAAAGTTTTTAGCCATTGAAATACGACCTATCTAAAGTTCAAAAATTCCAAATTTGAAGACAATCGGTTAGCAGAGTTTCAATAAAATTAAAAAAAAAATATTATTTACTCACCAACTTGCTGTAGCAATACATGATCATCAAGAAGATGATCAACAACAGCACCGAGACGCTTGTTCTGAACACACGGGAGTGGTAGAATCGGACGTTATAGCAGTTGTAAAACCCTTGATCTTCGAAGATCAAGCTTAAGGCAAAAAGAACGGTTAAGGGCAGAATCCATGCACCCAGACAAAGAACGAGGGCTGAACAAATATTATTATTAGTCAGCAGTCAGTTTACAATCGGAAATTAAAAAGGAGTAGCACAAAAATTTAAAATTTAGTCTAATTTTAGATGTAAAGTAACAAGTAGTCATAATTTTTTACATAAAAACTAATTTTAAATTGTGAATTACGTAACCAACATAGTCTGAGGGCTGTAAAACAATCTTACCGATATTTTTGAGCATTTTCTTGTTACTGTGAGGTCGCACAATACTGATATAATGATGGGCCGCGATTAGAAGCAATTGCAAAGTTCCGGTGATCAGACCCCCCGTTCTCAGCATTTCCAGCAGCAGAGAGAAGCAGGGATTCACCGCCGTTCCTTGGACGGTCGGCAGATAGCTGTTGTAGAGCAGGGAACAGGCCACAATCGAGCTTGTCCACATATCTGACACGGTCAGAGAGAGGATCAAGGTGACCGTCGCATTCCGAACTTTTGTCCCCCTTAGGGCCCAGATCACAACCCCGTTGGCAAGGACGGCGAAACAGCTGATTAGAAGGAACACCGGGATCACTATCTGATACATCTGCAAAAATTATATTATACTTGATATCAGAAAGTAAAAAAGTGGTTAAAAATGGGGAATACTATAAGAATTTAAGAGTAGAACTACTTTTTATGGGGTAGAATGTCATATTACAACATTTTGAATCAAGTATAACCAAAAAAATTAGTTATATTACACTTGTCATCAAAATTTAAAAACAAAAAAAATAGTAAAACAATCTTAAAGGCCACTACTTTTTATCGTCTAAAGTAAAAATTTGTTATTTCTAGGCCTTCCTAGTGGGTTTTGATACACTGGAAACAATTTTATATTATACATGACACCAAACTTTCAATATTAAAAAATAGTAAAACCCTTAGGAAATAGAACTTTTTATAGGATTAAAACTCACCTGAATCCTGTATTCGACCAATTGCTCCACCCCACTCATATTACTACCCGACATGGTCGTATTTACAGTCGACATTCCATCCAAAAAGACTTCTTTCTCACAACATAACTGAAAAAATTGCGATTACTAATCCCAAAATACGAAGTAAATGCGTACACCGATTAAATTAATTACTGGACATAAACCCGCCACCTCGTCAACACGTTGATAATGTAACATCCTAGTGCGAGGATTATATTGTACTAGGCATTTGATGAATCTTATGCATGAATGAAGCCGAGAATGGGGAAAAAGTAAAGAAAAGAAAGAACATCCCGGTGAGATGAAGATTGTAATTTGGGCGGTATCTGTAGGTTAACTATGAATAAAATACGACGTTTTTATGATCTCTGTTAATGATCATTAGGCATCGAAAGGGCTTACTAAAAGATTTTGAATGGAAATTGAATAGAATTTTTTATGCATTAATCCTTCTATTCACTAAAAAAAAGGCAATTGTTACATAAAGAAACAGAAAATCAAGATTAAAAAATATATCTTTTTATCGTATAAAATGTCGCCCATGTCAAACAACTGCAAAAAATGAATCCTGCACCCCCAAGAAACAGCGTTTTTATAGACGGCAAAAATGTATTCTGGTCGTGGGTTACACATAATTCTAAATCATCATTACCACTCATCCCATAAACAAGTAATGTAAACAATGTTATGTCTACAAGCAGCTAGGAAATTGGCCAAGTCTAGTTCCTCATGTATATTCACATAGATGCATAAAAATGAGGAAAATACTGCAGTTAGCAGGAACACGGTAATAATATATAATATATTACTACTAAACAAGTAAAGTACGTAATCAGATCAGACATTCGCTATAATATGCAAATTGCTGGAAGTGCTGGGAAGGGGGAACTTCACGGGAATTTAAGATGCAAATCGAGGCCTGAAAGAAACTTTTTCTTATACATAATAGCTGATGTTAAACTGGAAAAATGTACCTGAAGATGCTGGTCAACTGTAAAGTAATAATAAGTGAAACGCAAAACAAAATCAAAAAAATTGCATACAGATTGTATTACACATAAGCACACATCACTTCACCGATTTATGACAAAATAAAGCCCCAAAATGCCCTGAGGTTTCGGTGAAATCCTTCGATATGTCTGTTAATTCGTTTTTCGGAAGAATATCCTTGTCCCATTTACACCTAATTATACCTTTTACACCCAATCGAGTCATTTACACCGACTCTTCACACCGCCCATTTCCGTCGTTTCGGCCGCCCCCCGGGCATCTCGGCCGTTCCGTTTCAGCGAATGCGGCAAAGAACGACGGCACCGATTACAGGGTTAATCGCCGCAGGGGATTAGAGCGAATATGGTTGCAATCCTTAATCCAGCCGCTAAAAAACAGACATAGCGTCAGCGAATGAATCGACCTACAATTACAGGCATTCCCAACTCACTTACAGTCATGAAAGAATGGGGTGACAACAGGTGTAAAAAGGCTCACAACTACATACTATGTACTGGAACAATTACAAGGTTGGCGGAACGGGAAATTGAGTTACTCGCACACGTTTCTCAACGAATTGAGTTGACCCTATATGTGTAAACACTCTGCCCAAAACGTAGGTCAGACTTTACAATGAACGGGGGCAAGGGGAATCGCGTGATGACTTTCAAAAAGGTGGCCTGAGTAGGTGATCAGTGTATGGCCTGAGGGCTTAAAAGAATTTATTCTTTTGCAAAACACTTGCCGACTAATAAGGGCACGGCATTATGCAAAAAATTATGGAAAATCGAAAATTTCAAAGGAAATTCCAGAAAATCGATCATCATGATTTTTTAGCAAACCGACAACGGCAAACATGGCAACAGAAATTGTTCATTTTGTAAGCACACCATAGTAAAACAAGGATATGAGGAAAATACAGTCACAAGTTTCATAATTATACATGTCATCATGACGGATTTTTAAAAATTTCTCCCTAAAACCTCAAAAAATGTAATAATTCCGAATGATTTTTTCGCCTTTATGTACTGGCATACCCTATCTTCTAATCAGATTTCATTTCATAAATTACAATACGATGCCCAAGCCGTAAAGTAATTGTCATCCCCTAATCCCAAAAGGGGCATATATAATAGGCTCAAGCCCTGAGACTATAAGCCCCGAGCATTTTAAATTACATCACCTCGCCTCCGGAAAGAAGTACGACCGGTTTGCGTACTCTAGCTGAACATATTATACCTAATGGGAGCTGGAGTTCCAAAAAACATCAACAAATGTGAGGGTGAGCCCTGTTTGCCGACGATAACTCGCCGTTTTCCTCCGAGTCGTGGACACTTGGCCATTGATTTCATACAAAATGCCAAGTTTCAAAGGGAAATTTGAGGAAATTGGAGGAAAAATTATATTACACATGACAAAATTTTGTTCCGCATGATAAAAACGGAAAGTCTAGAAGGTCAAAAAAGACCTCTGATTAAATGTAGACAGCATAAAAATTGATGACATGTAACATAATGTCGTGTTTTAGTCAAGAGCACAATATTTTGCACAATAAACACTAAAAATAGGGTAGAAATTGTATTGTAGTGGGCAAAAGTGCTCCCAACTAGTACAAACGCCCGCTCGTAACTGTAAGATGGAACTGGGACGATTGGGGAAAAAGACGATTGGGGAAAGGGACGATTGGGGAAAAAGACGATTGGGGAAAAGTACGATTGGGGAAACCGAAAAGTATTATTTTTCTTCCATGCAAATGTCGAAGTTAGGATAATAGAGGGTGCTCATTTCGAAAATGACATTCATTTTTTCGATTCTTACTTTTTTCCTTAAGTAGTACTGTAAAGTAGTAATTTTTGATTTTTTTTCATAAATACTCGATTTAGGGGTTTTCGAGGGTGCTGATTTCGAAAATCATGTTCATTTTTCCTCTAGTACTATATAGTACTATTCTGATACTATATAGTACGAGGTCAAAATATGGCTTTTGACGTTAATGGTGTTGTTTTGATGCTTAGTACTCTTCAAAAACACGTTTTAAAGACTTGGTGCTATATAGTACTACCTGATACTATGTAGTACGAGGTGTAAAGTTGGCCTTTAGGCGTTCGTGGTGTTGTTCTGGTGCTTACTACGCCTATTTTTACTTCGTACTACATAGTATCAGACAGTACTATATAGCACCAAGTCTTTAAAACGTGTTTTTGAAGAGTACTAAGCATCAAAACAACACCATTAACGTCAAAAGCCATATTTTGACCTCGTACTATATAGTATCAGGATAGTACTATATAGTACTAGAGGAAAAATGAACATGATTTTCGAAATCAGCACCCTCGAAAACCCCCAAATCGAGTATTTATGAAAAAAAATCAAAAATTACTACTTTACAGTACTACTTAAGGAAAAAAGTAAGAATCAAAAAAATGAATGTCATTTTCGAAATGAGCACCCTCTATTATCCTAACTTCGACATTTGCATGGAAGAAAAATAATACTTTTCGGTTTCCCCAATCGTACTTTTCCCCAATCGTCTTTTTCCCCAATCGTCCAACTCCGCTGTAAGATACATCTCAACACAAAACATGAGCTCCAAAACATTATATTTTACCACGTCTTTCAGTTGGCCGGACCCGTTTTCCCCCCGGAAGCGAACATTTAATTGAATGCTGGACATGCATCCCCAGCATACGACCTCTTCGGGCAGGTTCCTGGAATGCCGCGCAAGCCTATAGCACAGAACAACGACCAATTTTAGAGGCAATTACCTTGCACATTTCTCGAAAAACATTACAAAAGATTTAGGAATGACATTCAACACAACGTTAGCTGTTATTTGAGTGGGTATATTTAGAAATCAGAGAAGAAGTGGGGAACGAGCAGCTGAGTTCTGAGTTCTTGGGATATCAAAGATTCAAAGATGACATGGATAATATAAACAGGCCGATGACTTTCAAAAAGGATGACTATGTGGAAGATAGGTATATAAAATGATATAAAGTAGTCTCAAAAATATTTTTTAAAACTTTCGAAACTTCAAATCAAACGAGTTTGACGTAAAAAAAAAAATTTTCGACCGCACTGTGCGGAAAATCAAAATCCTCGCACTGTGCAACGAAGAAGTTTAATTTTCTCATCATGCGTAAGAACTTTGATAATTCGATTTCTGCACTGTGCAGACAATAATTTCTTGCACCGTGAAAAATTCAATTGACTGCACTCTGTAAAAAACAAAAAATATTGCACTGTGCGGAAAAAAATTTAATTTCAAGGTGCAAATTTTTGTCTGAGATATTTTAAGGACAAACATAATTTACACTACGTTTCTATAGCCTCATAAAGTCATACCCGACACTACGTGCCTACAAACATTCGACGTTTTTCATAACAATAATCATCGGGTTCTGGCATACAAAAAACTTATGTAAGATCTAATTATCCCCTTCAAATTACCCCTGTCCTCTCCTCGGGAAGAGGCCAGTGTGTAATTTACAGAAGACGTCCATCCTCGGGATAACCGTGACGATCAATCCGGTCCAATTTTAAGCCCAATTAGATAGTATTATATAATTTAAGTTTAATCGAAATAATAATGTCTAGACTGTATGTAAAGACATTTCCAATGCAAACGATACTTTTCTGAGGGACTAATAGTACCTTTAAACTGTTAAAGTAACCTGTTTTTTCTTTGGAAAACTCTTTTTTACATTTTTTTTATTTCGTGATATCTCAGGATCGCGTGAGATCCATTGAAATGTATCCAAATTCATGGAAACCAAATGAAATGTTTAAAAATGCAAATTATCAGATAAAAAGAGACTGTTTACAAAGGAAATACGATGAAAAAAGTATAAAATAAAATCAAATTTTGATCCAAAAAAAAGTAAAAAGTAAGGTCCAAACATGTCTGAAATTGTCATCAAGTTGAAGTTAGCCAACCCTGAAGCACTGAAGGAAAAAGTGAAATTCAATGAAACAGTACGAGAAATGTAGAAAAAACGGATTATCAGTACAATTTTGGAGGAAAAGTA